CTATTCTCTAGGGAGGCTTCCTCGTCACTGCCATCATTAAGAAGATGATAATCAACTCTCTCGGAGCGAAGACGGCGCTTCCCAAGAGACATGGATAAGTCATCCATATTAAGAAAGAAGTTGCAACATATTGATATGCTTTGTATCTCTTAGAGCTCAAATCCTCTAGTTGGAGCATGTTGGGTAAACAAAAGTCGCGACTGCTGGGCATTCATTCATTGGCTCGGCTTTTGCCGAATAAGTCTTGGCATTATTTACGAATATTCGCGAATAATACGAATAAAACGTCTCGAAATTTAGTCGAATACGAATAATCGTTCCCAGGGAAAAGTCGAATACGAATAGCCAAAATCCTTATTCGTGTCCAGCCCTACAACTGGCCTCAAGAGACAAATGAATAGGACGAGAAGAGCATAAAAGAGTTATACTATATCAGCCACCGGGGGGATCATCAGTTCATCACACTTTACTAGCACCGAACCCCGTGACGCGTGCATTTACGGTATCCCACCCCGGTTGGTCTCTCCGTCAGGTTTGTTTTCATGCTAGCTTGCGCCATTTTCGACCACAGCCTCACGCCGAGAACTAATGTAGGATCCGGATATCGGAAACTAACTTTGGAGGGGAGAGATTTGGAAAATGCCTCACAGTCGAGGTGATGGCGACGTCGCCAGGTCGAGAGGGATTCTTCCACTCCTTTTGACTTACTCCAACTATTCATATACTATCAAATTATTGCCATAGTGGTTGTTGTACCGCGCTTCCGCCGATTCAATTCACTTGTTGCACGATTAGTTATATTCGAGAGGATGGGCTGGAAAGATTGGACGCCGCCGATTAATTTCGTGACATTACATTGTACCGTGACCATATCAACGTCTGGTCACATCTCGCTAATTGCGTCCGTCGTGAAGATGCGTATATCATTAGCTTCGGTTTTCTAGGCTTGATCATCCTCTATCCCCATGGCAATCTTGATGCTGTCGATGCATATTTCTTTGGCGTCAGCTCCTCGACAGAGTCAGGTTTGAATACGTACGTTGAGTCGTTGACCCCTAGTTCCGTCCCATGCTCTCGCCAACTGACTGACTGATCGGCCAGTGTTGATATCAAGGACCTCCCAACATATCAACAGCTCTTCACCTACTTCGTTCCGATGGTTACAAACTTGGGCTTTATCAACATCATTGTAGTTGCTGTCCGTCTTTACTGGTTTGAGAAGCATATCAAACGCGCTGGTCAGTTCGATAGACTGAACCCTTGGTCCCTGGAAGGGCGAAATTGAATCCCCTTCTAGTACTAGTTGGGTTGGTAGGGTGGAGGGGTATTCAATTTCGTTCCCGGAGGCCGCCTGCTTCTTGTGCTGATGACAGCGTAGCTCCATCCTTGCTCCAGGGGAAATCTTATCGGAGTAGACAGACTGCGGGCAACGAGGACACTCTTGCTCCGCCTGACGTGCAACAAACCCAGAATATTGCCAAAGACGGCATTACGACCGGCACAGATGCACATGCCAGTACTCCTTCGCCTCCACCGCAAGAGAAAGTCGCGGGAAGTGAGAATAGGTACGTCGTCATCCGCAACCACCTGGACTGGTACTGATACTAGTGCAGTGTAGTGGTAGGTGAGAAGCATGCCACAACCGTGGATGCGACGAAGAATCAGTCCACTGGCCGACATATCATTTTCGATCCTGCAACCAATCTGCCCCGGGATGAACAAAAGAGTCTCTATATCCCTCCGCCAAGGGACCGGGACAATGGTCACCCCATCGTGCAGCTTGACGAAGATGTGATGAGCGATGAAGATCCGGATCTGATCAAACCCGACCACTCCGCATCCGAGCAAAGCGGAACGCTCCGCCGACGACTCCAAGACGGCCCGATCATGGCAACCGCGGTTTCCATGGAACGGGCCGCTGGTGTGGCGTCATCCATGTTCGTCCTCGGTGCAGCTCCAAGTCATCGCGAGAGAAAACGACGTCCATCAGAGCGCTCGACCCCTTCGATGAACGATATGCCGTATCTTTCGTCCCAAGCCACTCTGGGACGGAACTCGCAGTTCCACAATCTAACCGTGCAGGACCGAGAGGCGCTTGGAGGGATCGAATATCGGAGCTTGAAGCTGCTGCTGAAGATTGTTCTGGGTAAGCGAACCCTTTCTTTAGATGGAACATGGCGCGACACTGACACTTCCATCAGCATACTTCTTCTGTCTCCACCTGTTCGGAGCCATTTGCCTAGTGGGTTGGGTTCAGAATGCGAGTCGAAAGTATCTGGATTGGTTGCAAGAATGCGGACAAAACAAAAATTGGTGGTAGGCTTACCCTGGTTTCGGCATGCACTGTTCGCACTGATGGAATATGCAGGGCATTCTATTCCGCGCAAACAATGGTTGACAACCTCGGATTCGCACTCACTCCGGACTCGATGGTGACGTTCCAGGATGCAACCTTTCCGCTTCTGGTCATGACGTTCCTAGCCTTCGCTGGAAATACCTGTTATCCAGTCCTGCTCCGCCTTCTCATTTGGACGATGTCGAAGATCGCCCCGAAGGATTCCTCTCTTCGAGATCCGCTGAACTTTCTCCTCAATCACCCACGCCGCTGCTACACTCTCCTGTTCCCTAGCCGACCGACCTGGATCCTCTTCGGTGTTCTCTTTTCTCTCAACTTCGTGGATGTCCTTCTCATTATCGTCCTCGACCTCGGCAATCCGGCCGTCAACAACCTTGCTCTTGGGCCGCGGATTCTTGCGGCTCTCTTCCAATCGGCTTCATCGCGTCATACAGGTACAGCGACTTTCAACCTGGGAGCAGTGAACCCAGCGGTACAGTTCAGTCTGTTGGTGATGATGTACATCTCCATCTTCCCCATCGCGATCAGCATCCGAGCATCGAACACGTACGAGGAAAAGTCGCTCGGGATCTATCCGCGCCGGATGGACGGAGACGAATCCCGGCCGGGCTCCTATGTTCTGACCCACCTGCAGAACCAGCTCACCTTCGACCTATGGTATATTTTTATCGGCGTGTTCTGCATCTGCATCGCGGAGAGCAAGAAGATCATGGACGCGAACAACCCGGCATTCGCCGTCTTCCCCATCTTCTTCGAAGTCGTGTCCGCCTATGGCAATGTTGGTCTCAGTCTCGGCCACCCGGATGTCCTCACCTCTTTGTGTGGGCAGTTCACGCCGTTCGGCAAAGTCGTCGTCTGTCTCATGATGATTCGTGGCCGTCATCGTGGTCTACCATATCAGCTCGACCGCGCCATCATGCTTCCGAACGAGCGGACCATAACGGACAAGCCTCCTGAATCGCTTTTTCAGGATGAGAAGCCGAAGGAAGTACGAGGCTTGGCGAAGCTCAAACACTCTTTGACTCAATGAGATTTATTGGGTCTCATTGAGACCCGCTCTCGCTCATTTGGAACGGTTTTGTAGCCGGCCATGAGATCTAAAGTTTTGCATCATCACGGTTCAGTCGCTTGTTTTGTCGGTATGGATAGCCGCGTCAACTATCATTGGGTTTCTTGACTGCCTGATAATCTGGCGCCTTTAGCCACACAGAGTCCTAAGTTCTTGCCACCCATTCACCAATTACTCGTTAGATACGATAAATAGAGCTCGTTCTGAAATTTTGATGGTTATTTAATAGTCACATGTGTAATACGAGGCCGAGCTTATCAGCGATCCTGAAGGTTCCCAAATGTTCGCCATAGCAAGTTGCCGCACCATTTATTCACACTCAACCCCAGACCCTTCTACGAAATAGAGATAGTTATAATAAAATAAAATAACTAATTAACAAATTTTTGACTACAATGCGAGTCGTTCTTAATATTGAAGCTGCACATCCATACCTTTCCGGACCCTGCGCCGATGCCAACAGTCTTTCCTGACAGGGATGAACATGACGGACGATATTCTGAGGGTAGCAACAAAACGTTCTCAGAATTATATGTGATCCACGCTCCTTCTGAACTTAAACCCCCGACCTCATATTGGGGATGTTGAGAGTCGGTTACTATCATGCTTAGGGCGGAAGCGGACGACGCGCTAATAGCGAGAGTACCGATTTCAGTTTGAAGAGAAGAACTAGTGGCATCGAACGATATGTTATGGGTTGTCATCCTAACCTCGAGTGTCTGGAGGCAGGCGCCGATAGTAGTATCCCAGATCTTGACTGTCCTGTCGTCCGACGCTGACGCGAGCCGGGCCGAGTCGGGCGAGAAGGCTACCAAGTTGACGTGACTGCTATGACCCTCGAGCGTCTGGAGGCAGGCCCCGCTACTGGTATCCCAGATCTTGACTGTACGGTCGTACGACGCCGACGCGAGCCGGGCCGAGTCGTGCGAGAAGGCTACCGAGAAGACGTAGCCGCTGTGGCCCTCGAGCGTCTGGAGACATGCATTCCATTCTGCTGGCATCGATGGTTGTATAGTGATCCATTCCAGCTCTTCATGTCTAAAAAGACCCCTTATCAGGCTGCAGACTGGACTAAACAGGAGCGCAGATGCATATGCCTGAAGAGGACTATTCTCTATCGCTAGGTTGTAAGACATGATAAATCGACGCGCATCTTTAACGAGGTTGAGCAATCCCGATACGTCTGCTCTTGCCTATTTATGTCAGCATATGGTATTCACGACCGCTGGGCTATGGATTACTTGGGATAGAGCCTCGAGTTTTGCCATTGATACTACCCCTTCCGATATACTTCTGCAGAGGCTTAGAGCCTCGAGCCAGTAAAGGTAGCTCTGACGCAGAAACTGGTCGACGGATCCACCATCTTGGAGATCGTCTGTGGCACACGTGCTAGGATCACAGTGAAGAAGGTGATTAACCCAATAGGCACACGAGTATCGTGCTTGGGATAGCGGATCTGGACTGGGTTGTTTGACTTGGTCAATAGGAAATCCGGGAGCACTTAGGCCGAAGATATCGCGTCGTAGTGTCTTCGACATGACCTGTAGCGATCGCGAGAAGATGGTGTGATGTATATATTCTATCCCAGACGGAAAGATCTCGTTGTATGTCTTTTCGACCAAAAAGTCACTCGCTGACTGATGAACGAAGGAAATGGTGCGTTCTCGGAGCGTTAGAAAAGAGCCACAAAGCCCTATGATCTCTGATAGAGCTTCGAATGCGCCGGAGGGTATGTCCACGAGAGACTCCAGCTCGCACAGCGTGAGAGGTCGGTACACGGCCGAAACCACAGCCAATATACGTTTACAGAGTTCAGCATCCTCCGAATCCTCGATCTGCTCCATCATTCGGCTGTAGAGGGCATCGAGTCCCGGTGGAAACGCTATCAACTTCTGCTGAGCCTTCCATCCCGAGGTTTTGGAGAGTTCCTGGCAGACCAAGGCCACCCAAAGAAAAGTGCCGTGTGCATTTTGCAACAAGTAGCGCTGGACAATGCCCCGTGTATTGCTGCTGTATCTGTTTCGCTCCGCTAGCCGATCCACCTTAAACTGGATGTATGACGTGACGGCAGCGGAGACGGAGCTCTCATTAAGCTCAAGAGACAGTCTCACCTTCTGAGTCGCTGCATCGAGATCCTGTTCGATATTCGGCCAGTTTCGGCTAGAGATGATCCATTTAACACGAGAAGATACAGAAGACATCCGCACGATGAAGTCCAACAATTTTGGCAAGCCTTCTATGCATTCGTCTAGTGCATCGAAAATTAAAAAAGGTGTTGTCCAAATTTTGGTCTTGAAGAATGTTAATAAAGATTTCGGACAAAGCAACCCAAGCATTAGAGTCTTCAAAGAGCGTTTTACCAGCTTCATCGTACTTCCTTCGTACATGCAAGATGAGGTATGGTTGTTGGTCGACAAGCAGATAGATCAGACCCCGCATCACGGCCGTGGCGTTGTTGATGCTGGAGTCAGTCGCCTGGCAGAAGAAGTAGGATAGAAGATCCGAGTCGGCTATAGACTTCTTAAGCTCGTTGATAATACCGCAGAGCAGCATCGTCTTGCCCTTTCCGGGATCGCCCTTGATCCATAGCAGCCAATTTTGCTGGCTGTAACGCCATTGTTGGAAGTCACGGTTTTCAAGAATCCAGCGGTATGAACCCTCAAGCAAGCCACCCTTAGACTCTTCGATACGCTTTTTGTCATCGCGGGGATCGGTAAGGCGGAGATCTCGTGTACATTTCTCCAGCTTGTTAATCTCATCCTCGAGGCGTTTGAAAGCACTCGTCATCCCCTCGCCGTACCGAGGGGGGATGTAGACGCCGAAAATGCCTAGTAATGAGTAGGCTTTGTCTTCATCAAGTTTGGTCTGGCGAGAATTTATCCGCGACATTCGCTCATTGACGCTGAACTGAGATAAAGGGTCTCCACGAAGCGATGACTTTGAAACGCCCGTTATCTCGTGGATCTGTTGCTGTAGCGAGCTTTTGTCTCCAAGTCGCTTGCGTTCTCGGGAGAAGAATTCGACCGAAGCTGGAGCAAGGAGCTCCTGAAGCGTCCAGCCCCGAGTGAACCATCTGCTTTCCCGGAAATGCAAGTCCCAAGTGTCCTTTGCGCTCCTATCTCTTTTCCTCTTCTTTGGCGGAACATCGGACAGGTACACGTAGCATCGAGTTGTTTTACGGGTACCAGCGGAACATGGACCCTATTGCGTGTGAGAGTTCGGCGTAGTTCTTCTTATTGATACAACATGTATCAATCCAAAAGTATTGCAAGCCATCCTCTCTAGCCTGTTCTCCACAGAATCGAATCTTCTCATAGCCAGCCTTTTTCTCGCTAGTGCCATTCGTCATATCCTCAAAGGTAACTTCCTCGGTATCCAGTCCCCATGTATGAGATAGTATGGCGTAAGAAGGAATTGGATCGTCGCCGACCAAGTCCTTGGTGAGACTAATATCACCAGTCTCGTTACATTGGAGAAGGCGCATGGTTGGGTGTGGGGATCTACGCTAGCAAATGGTGGAATCGGGATCGGTAGGGCTCAGATGGGCAGGCATCGGCGAGGGTTCCGTCCCTAGCGATGGAGATACCAAATGCAGAGCTAAAGCGAGAACAAATATCGCATCATACAGTACCGAAAGATTCATCTCCCTAAAGGCTGGTGTGGGCGGCTCCCTGGGTGCCTGAAGTCCGGCTGTACAGCCTGACAGCCCAGATCTTGGCGTAGTGAGGCTGGACAGGACTGCTGCAGGTGCAGAGCCCAGCGATTCTTTCTTGCACAGAGGGCAGGCCAGTTTAATGAAAAGTCAACGTACGCCGTACATATGATTACTTAAATTTTCTTTCACTACACAGGAAGTCCTTGAAAGTTTGAATGGCGCAGAATGGAATAATACGTTAATACTATAGTTTTACCCCTAGGAGGGAGGGATTTGGTGACCAGGTCGTGTAGAAACGCGGCCAAAAACGGAATCACCAACCACACTCTCGACATCAACCTCATAAGTATGAGGTTCCTAAATTTCCACCTGTATTAAATATCATTCTCATCCTTCATGTATACCACTGTCCTCCGCTGTAGCACATAGCACCCCAACCTCTCCCAATTGCTCGCTCCATGGCATACCTTCCCACCCCCCACCTCCTCCACCTCCAATCCCACGGCTTCATCCGCGGCCACCTCCTCACCTCCCCCACCACCCACCGCCCTCTCTGCACCTACTACGGCGGCGTTCCCTACGCCTTGCCTCCCACTGGCGAGTTCCGCTGGCAGGTCCCGCGCGCGCTGCCGCCGTGCTATGCGTATGGGACGCGGAATGCGCCGGGGGAGTTTACGGAGGGGTGCGGGGTGTGTCCGCAGGTCGGGGGGGAGGGGGAGCAGGAGCAGGAGGAGGACTGTTTGGGGTGTAATGTGTGGGTGCCAGTGGGGGAGGCGCCGGTGGGTGGTGAGTGATTGCCTACCTACTGCCTACCGATAACGGGGGCATTGGAGATAATAGGGGCTAATGCGTTATTGAAGGATGGCCGGTATTGTTCTATATCCGTATGCGAAATTCTTAAGATGTGTTGCTAGAAGGAAGCTGAATCAAGTAGATGGAGGCTTTCTCCAATTCGGCGACCCCAATTCAGGAGACGTCGTGCCGCTGATATCGGAGACGGAGGTCAAATGTATCATTGTTAAGCCCGGCTACCGGCTGAATGTCTTCGGGTTTCTGTCTCTCGAGCATGCGCGTCCGGAAGGGTCGAATAGCATCGCCAGCAATTTCGGGCTGTGGGATCAGCGGATGGCGCTCATGTGGACGTATAAGAATATCAGTTACTTCGGCGGGGATCCGGCGAACATCACGCTGGCGGGATACTCGGCGGGTAGGACATCTCCGAAAGACGGGATTTTATAAGTTTTCTAACTAGCATCAGGCGCATACTCCGCGTTCCACCAGCTCGCGTACGACCTCTGGCAACCGCAGCAACTTATCCGCCGCTGCATCATGTGGTCCAACGGCCCCGGCATCCAGCCCAGACCCCCTTCCGAAGGCCATACGCAATTCAACGAGCTGCTGACCGCCCTCCAGATCCCCACCACCCTCGACATAGAAACCCAGATCCAGAAACTGCGCGCCGCCTCGCCATCCGCCTTGCTCACCGCCACCCGCGCCATTCAACGCCACCAGTTCCGCCCCGTCACCGACGGCCGCTTCGTTCGCCGCGAGCTGTTCGCTGACATCGACCGCGGTGAGTTCGCGGCGCGCATGCAACGCCGCAACATCGCCCTGATGATTGGTGAGTGCGAGCACGAGCGCCACGTCTACGGGACGTACATCCCCCCGGCGAACTCGTACATTGGGCTCCGCGACCGGCTGGAGGTCGACTTCCCCGGGGTCGCGGACCGGCTGATGGGGTACTATTTCCCCGCGAAGCGGCTCCCCGCGCAGTGGGGGGATTGGCGGGAGGCGTTCGGGGCGGTGTACGCGGACGTGCAGGTGTATTGTCTGCAGCGGGGGTTGGTGGCGCGGATTGCGCGGACGGCGCCGGGGTTGGTGTGGCGGTATCGGGTGGAGTGGCGGGCGGGGTGCGTGGAGTTGCCGGTGGAGTGGGGGGCAACGCATACGACGGATTTGGCGATTTGGTTTTGGGGGGAGGGGCGGTTGACGGGGAGGGAGAAGAGGGTGGTGGAGGAGGGGTTTGTGAGGGGGTTGGCGGCGTTCGTGACGGGGAAGGAGGGGGGGTGGGGAACGCGGACGGAGAGGGAGGTGAGGCGGCTGCGGGCGGATGGGAGGGTGGAGATTTGGTTGGACGAGGAGTGGGATCGCGGAGTGGAGCTTTGGGAACTGCTGAGGAGCGGCGACGTGGGAACGACGGCGAGAGCAAATCTATGATTAGGGTTTGGGTGCTGCCACTGCGAGGAACGTTGCTGGCGAATGCACTATCGAGAGTGCTTGATAATGGAGTGCTGGGTTGACATTAGCTTCGAGCTTCGTCACCGACTGAACACGTCCAAAGGGACTTGCTGCTCTCCTGCAGTTGCTCCCAGGCCGCACGTAATGCAAACGCTCCTCGCGGATGGGTATATCGTGATCTCCACATCTATGCGTCCGAAAGCTCATGAATCCCCCTCCCATCCCAGCCAGGAACTCCATGTAATCGATTCTTCCCATGAGCGCCACTCACTCCTTATGCGCACCACTCGCCACCGAGCCCAGCGATGCTCTCGCCTTCTTCTTCCCCCCTCGTTCCGAATCGCCCGCGTCGCGTTTCCGCTTCGACGACTTCCCGCCCTTCGGCCGATATGGCTCGTCCTCGATGCTCTTCCGCGACCGCTTGGCCGGTGCCTTCTCCTCCAGGACGAACCCGATCTCGTCATCCAGCAGTTCGGGCTTGTAGGTCGAGGGAAGCGCGTGCGTGAGGCTTCCCCGCTTTCTGCCGATGCCGCGCGTCGATTTCTCGGAGCCGTTTTCGTGCGGTTCTTTGGGGTCTTTGGGTTCTTTGGAGGGCTTGTCTTGGAGGAATACTTCGGGTTGGTTGCGTCGCAGCCAGTTGATGACGGACATGGGGTTGCGGAGGGCGAGGTCTTTGTCGGTGAAAGACTTCTTGACGGGGCGACTGGGAGGGGCGTCGGGAGTGGGCGCGTCGGTGGACGGGTCGATTTGGTCGAGGGATGCGAGGAATTCCTCTTCGTGATCGATGTCGAGGATGGCGGACGCGTACTCTCCGGGGGATTCCATGCGCGTCCGGATCTCCGATCGACTCAACCCGAATGTCGTGGGATCGGAATCGATGAGGTTGAGATTGAAGGCTTGTTCGGGGGGGATGAGGTCGCTTTGGTTGACTTCCAGGAGGATCTCTCGGAGTTGGCTTGGACGAGGTCAGCTGTCGATTATCGATGATATCGCGTCGCATTAGGGGACTCACTCATTCTGTTCTTGCAGACGCTTCGCTAGGCTCAAGGCCTTTTGTTCATCGGTATAGAGCTTGTTGCTGTCCTCCATCGCGTTCTCGAATCGGATCTTCAGCTTGCGGTATTTCTTCCTATAGAACCGCATTGATATCAGTTATGCAAAGCGACACCGGAGAGATAGATCCTACCTCCATGATCGTAGTGGTGTCTTCTCCTTGGCTGCGGAATCCAGAGGATGAGCCATCGCGTCGGGGAGATGGAAGGAGGCCATCGGAATTAGGAGGAATCAGGAGGGGGATGAGAGAGGAGAGGAGAACGAAGGAGAGGGGGATGTATATAAGTATCGGTTGATCGGATCAAGATGAAAAGGCGAAGTATTGGATTAATTGTCTTATTATCGGACTGCTGTATTCACTGCTCTCCATTCATCTGCCGCTCGGACCCATGGCGCGTGTTCGTCATGCAAGCAACAAGTGAGAGACTCATGTGAGAGAGAGATTCATAGAGAGGATCCAGAACCGATTTTCCGTTTCCGTCAATCCAATACCTAGACCATCTATCGGCTCTTTCTTCCCTCTACCACTCAACTTCCTTCACTTGACTTCCGTTCTCATCTTCTATTCCTTAATTAATTTCTTCCATCACCCTCGCTCCTGCTCATCGCCCTTATTCTCTTCCCCGAGTGACAGCTATTTTTCGAGGTGCGCGTGGTTCTCTCCCTCCACCTCTTACTCCCTAGGTAATTAGGCGTATTACTATCTTATACACTTACGTGTCTTTGCCCGTTTCGTTCCGTGCCACAGGTGGAGACATGCAACACTAACGGTCTCCAAAGATAAATCCCCTTCTGCCTACCGGAGTTCCTCTCACTGTCGCCTTCTGTTAGAAGTACCTGGGGAAGTTCACGATCGCGTGCCGTTCCTCCTCCGAATGCGCCTCTAAGATACCGACCGTCCATTCCACCCCGAACAGGCTCGCCATGCCTAACACGCTCACCGTGAGCAAGAATGGCAGGCGGAGGAGATCCAGCAGTCTCATGTACACCGAGCCTCCGGAGTCGCTGGAGCAGCTCAGCGACCAAGCTTCCCTCCCCAACCTAAATGCGGAATGGGTCAACGCGAAAGGTCAGTCATGCCGGTGATAGCAAAGTCCTCGTTGCTGATCTGAAATGTCAGGCGCATGGATCATCCACCTCGTCCTCATCTGTTCCCTCAAGATCTTCTTCGACATCATCCCCGGAGTCAGTCAAGAAACCTCATGGACCCTCACCAACATCTCCTACATGTTCGGCTCGTACATCATGTTCCACTGGGTCCGAGGCGTCCCGTTCGACTTCAATGCAGGAGCATACGACAACCTCAACATGTGGGAGCAGATCGACGACGGTGACCAATATACGCCGGCGAAGAAGTTCCTGCTGAGCGTCCCGGTCATCCTCTTCCTGATCAGTACCCATTACACGCATTATGATTTCACATATTTCATGATCAACTTCCTTGCGACGCTTGCGGTTGTCCTACCTAAATTACCATGGGTACGTTCGATTCTTCCTAAGGAACGATGGATGCTAATATCACACAGAGCCATCGGCTACGATTTGGATTGTTCTCGGGTCCTCCTGAAGATAGGTAACGCAATGGAGAGGTGGACATGGAGTTTGGTGTGCTGGCTCATATTGCATTGTTTGGCGTTTTAAAGATACAGTCCATGGGAACGGTCCAGCCGAAGTGATGGAGAGGGATAGGACGTGTCTGACCTCGAAACTCACCATCACACCCTTGACGCTCGGTGTACGGACACTGGGTGGGACGTGGACAGATTGGCAATGGTCTGGCTCCTCGCAACCTACATGGGGGGCACATTGGTTGTCCTTTGTTCTTCTTGGCTCTATTGTAACATGCGAATGGACAATAGTAGCTGAGGGCGAGCCAAATGGACTTGCGCTTTGATAACTGGACACCTGGGTTATTATTGGCGCTCCGATGTGGCATTTACATGTAGCTTTCCACCCTAAACAGTGTGAACTCTTTCTTAATGCAATATATAATGTATGGCGGTGGCTATTCTCTGCGGAATATTGGCAGCAGCACCTCCTCAAACCTCCTTTACGAATATTCAGCCATGCACGTGACAATCCCGTTTCGGCCAATCAGATCTCGCCATTCCTCACCTCCAAACTTTCGATATCCAGAGTCGCGAGAGAGGGAATCCTGATATACTGCCCATCAGCCCATTCGACTTCAAGCCCTTCTTTCCAAGCCTATTAAGAAGTTCACGTCATAGCGATCAATTCAAGATGCCGAAATATAAGTCTCCCCTCCCTTCTCCTCGATCGCTACTAACAACCTGCACTCTTCTGTAGGTGTTCTCCCACGACGGCGACGCGATATTCTAACCCACGCAGGCGACTACTGCGATGTCTACCTCACCCACGACTCCATGAGCGTCCGCAAAGCCCATAACAGCGGTCGCAACCACCTCCGCAACGTCGTCGACTACTACAACCGTGCGTCCCTCCCTCCGCCCTTCACCGCCTTGTCGCGATTGCTAACACCTCCGCGCGCAGAAATCGGCCAGGAGCAAGCCCAAACCGTCATCGACTCCATCACAAACTCCTACGCCGCAGAAGGCCAACAGGCCTCGAATCCCCTCCTCCAAGCCCCCGGCGGCCTCGCCGGTGTCGGTCCCAGCGCAGGAGGTTTCCCACCACCCTTCTCCTTCCCCGGTATGCTCCCCCCCTCTCTCTATGTTTCCTATCTAACGTCACCCAGGTCACCCAGGTATGCCACCCCCTCCCTTCGGAATGCCCCCCGGTCCCGGCGGCTCGCACCCGAACCTCCCGCCGAACCTTCCCTTCCCACCCCCGAACATGCCGCCGGGCGCACTACCCTTCCCGCCGCCGTTCCCGCCCAATAGCGCGGGGTCGCCGGGCGCGGGGATGCCGTTCCCGCCGCCGCCGGGCGGGCTGCCGCCGGGGTTCCCGATGCCGCCGAATATGGGGATGGGAGGGCCGGGGATGCCGCCGGGGTTTCCGCCGGGGATGATGGGAGGGCAGCAGCAGCAGCAGCAGGGGCCGCCGGGGTCATGAGGTGGATGGGGGATTGGGTAAGGATGAATATCACTTGGGGTGGATGCCGCGAGGCGGGGGAATCGTGCCGTCGAGAGGAGAGGGAAGGATGGGTTGTCGAGATGGCGACGTGAGCACGATATGTATCAGGTTGTACCAAACAGGGACCCTGCGCGCGGTGATACGACGGGCAGGCGCAGAAGGATGCCACAATGCGAACCATATGCTGGAGATGCAGTGGAGATGGGCTGAAAGCAAAGGGTCTCAACCCCCTTCATTAACACCAGCAGACCACGAATCTGCAAAGAACCCTAATCTTACGAACCCCCAAATAATACAACCACTTCCAAGCAAACTGACAGAGAAAACCCTACAACCCCCCCTCCCTCAACTTCTCCCTCACCAACACATTCGCCACCGGCGGGCTCGGCCCCTGCTGGACCCCCTGCCGCGCGTAATCCTCCATCGTCAAATTCACCCACAGTACCTCCCCCCGCTGCTCCTCCGACACCGCCGCCTTCACCTGCGCCACCTCCTCGTCGGGGATCCCGCCGCCAAAGATCACCGCCTTGGGGGTACGCAGCGGCTCGTTGGCGGCGGCGCGGGCGGCGTTAGTGCCGAGGGTGGATGCGGGGGAAGGGGGGGTAAGGGTGAGGATGAGGGGGATTTCGTGGAGGGCGGTAGGGAGGTCTAGGATGATGTGGACGACTGCGGGGGATTAGATTTTGGCGGAGTTGATGGTGGGGAAGGGGTAGTTTTGCGGGTGGGTAGGGACATACCGTCGTATTCTGGAAGTAGCAGCTTTTGAATCGCCGTCGCGATCTCTGCCCTTCGTCCATACGTGACGACGGGGATTGACTCCATCTTCGGTGCTCCGGTCCGGATAAATCGTCGAGTTAGGGGCTGATGATATCGGATCGTGAAACTGCGGGCGGAAAGGTAGCCGGTTTGACGGAGGATGTTCATGAAAATCACTAGACGATGATAATTGAATAGTCAACTGTTGGCCAATTCAAGTAGACAATCAGTAGTAATGTCAATTATATATATACTAATTCGGTGTTAGCGTCCTTAAATACGAGCCTCGCGGTGAGGGGTTTGGGGCCGATTTCTAATTCGGACCTAGATTCGAACAAGAGCTGATGACGGGTTCTGGATTCTAGAGCTTTGTAAACGAACTGGAGCTCATCCCGGCATTCGAAACCAATACTGAGCTCTGAGAAGCATGTCTCAGTCTCGGCCTCGGTCTCGGTCTTGCGGACGAAGCGAATTAATTTGGGGAAGGTAAATTCGCCTTTGAAGCTTCGACTGGGAGACGACGTCATTCATGGATTTCCATCGCATGTTCAAAAAGGTAGTATATAAATGTACTGTACTAGGGTAGGTACAGGTATTCTTCACTCTAGAGGAGGGTATATACAAGCCGTCTCCTCTCATCCCTCCCCCCAACTGAACCACATCCCTGAAGATGGTTAAGCTCATGGATCTTCAAGACATCGAGCGGAAAGCCGCTATGTATGTGTAAAAGTCTTCGCTCAAGAGAATCAAAAAGTCGTGCGTATCATAACGTCGTGATGGCCACCCATCTATCTCCATGTTTACATCCCCGCTCACCTCTTCCCCCAACCCCACCCCCACGATCCCGACGCATACCCCGTTCCACTACCACTCCCACTCCCAGCACTCCCCTCCTTCCGCTCCTCCGGCGGCGTAAACGTTCCCACGCTCACCGCCCCCCTCACATGCCCATCCCTTCCCACCCCCACAGACCCCACGTCCGCCGTCATCGCCTTCCGCAGCGCGTTGAATTTCTGCCGCATCTCGTCCACCTCCGCCTGCGCCGCCGCCTCCGACGCCTTGCGGTTCGCGAGCTCGCTGACCGCGTAGGATTCGGCGGCGCGCGTATTCTCGAGTTCGGTTTTGAGGCGGTTGAGCTCGGTGAGGAGGGCTTCGGGGTTGAGGAGGGAGGAGGTGCGGGGGGGACGGGCGTCGTTGGGGGTGGTGGATGTAGGGCTGGAGGGGACGGGGACGGGGTCAGTAGGGGAGGACGGGGTGGCGAGTGATGCGGTGCTGGATCGACCGAGTTGGAATGGGCGGAGACCGGATTTAGGGCCGGTGGTGGTTTGGCGCTTCATGGCTGCGGTCTCCTTGATGCTGGAGTTGGAGGCGCGCCGGGCGTCGGAAATCAGGCGCTCGCGGTCCGCTTTGAGTTCTCGGACCGTGGCTTGGAGTTTCTCGTTTTGCGCGCTGCTGTTCTTGTATAGGTCGCGGCAGCGGTTGAGGTCATCCTTGAGGCTGGACGCTTCGGTGGTTCGGGTGGAGAGTTCGGCCATGGCGCCTCGGAACTCGTGTTCCACAGCTTCGATCCGCTCCGTTGCGGTGGCCAATTGAACGGTGAGATCCTGGGAACGAACCATTTCGTTGGAGAGGGCATCGCGGGTGCGGGAAAGGCTTGTCGTAAGTTCCTCCTTGGTTTCATGCATGGAGACGCGGTGGGATGACTCGGTTGCCGCAATGCGTGCTGCGGCAGCCTCGATCAGAGAAAGAAGATGCGGTGTCAACGGAGACGCAAGCTGAGTTGGTGGTGGTGCTAGTCGTTTCGGAGGACTCGGTGCGGTGGTCAAAGATTGAAGTGACGGGATTGATAGAAGGGATGATATTGCGCTGGATGATTTCGAGCGTGCATGGGAAGGGGCTGCGGACGTCGGAGGGGCAATGTCGTTGAAGCCGTCCACAATATCCTTCATCACTCGGCGATCCTCCTCCCGCTCTTCTCGCTCCCGTTGTAGTTCCAACGCAAGGGAAGAATGAGAGACCTGCATTTCCCCCAGCGCTTTGAGAAGATCCTCAATCTGCGTATGATAGGCTTTGTCTTTCTCGGTAGCGGCCATCTTGCCGGCAGACTCTTTTGATTTCGTCTGCTTCAAGGTTTCCCCGCTAGACTCTATATCCGAAAGCCGTTCAGATTGTTCAGTGATAGCGGTGCTCGCAAGACTCGTGACGCTGTCAGAATTGGAAGAGGTCGCCTCGAATGAATTCAAAGTCGAGGCCAAGCTCTGTTTCGAAGGTGTCCTTTGCAAGTAGCTGCTGGGCCGCGATGGCGCGGTCAGCCCGGGAGAGAGGGAAGAGGATTTATTAGAAGACCATAACCGGCCTAGGAATCGGGTAGCTGATGCCTGAGCTTCGGGGACATATCCTGCTGATGTACTACGCTTCTGCGCTTCGGTAAACGAGGACTCCAAGGCGGTTAATGACTCTCGAGTCACGGCGCTGGAGAAGCCGACAAAATCCGCAACTAGCTCATCCGCAGATTGAGCATTGAGGCCGTATGAATCCCACAGTTGACGGGAAAGGAGGAGGTGCATGACATCTTCAAACTCTGAAGAGCCTAGAATCTTTGCTTCGTTCCGTTGCATGATTGCTAGGGCAACCCGCATGATGGTTTCACTAGCACCTTCGGCAAAGATGACGTCGTATATCCGGAAGAGTAACGGAAGCGGGCAGGTGACGGCGAAAAATGACAGGAACCATTGTGACAGATACGATCCTTCAACCTGCAGTTTGTGGAGATGTGCAGCGAGCTTCGGAAGATGCTGCTCGAGCAAGCACTGGAACTGATAGATCCGCAGATGCAGACCAGAAAGATCGGGAAGAAAGCAAGCACGCAGGTCATAGTCTTCCATGAGCCTAACAGGGATCAGCATGAGGATAGAAGCTCAAGACAAAGGATACATACCGGACCAAGACACAGAACGCATCTCTCTCTCCCATCTGCATCAACAGAGGGCCAACAAGGAACCCCAAACCTTGACAATACCCAATCTTCTCATCATAGAGACTGAAGCACTTCAAGACGCGACCCAGCATTCTCTGGCCTTCGCCATTCGCCTCGCGGAACATCTCCACCCCAGGAAAGCTTCGCCCGATGTCTTTCCCAATCATGTTCTCATAGGGGCTGGATTCGCCGCATAGACGATCGAAGGCATCCTCCAACACCTTGTCCGCGGCCCCCGCCATGCTGACCCATACAACGCCTCGGAGGGGAGCGGGGATACCGCTTCGGACTTTGTTGGCTGTGAGGGTTGGCAGACGCTGTGCGGTGTTCGGGTAATCTTGGACTAGGGCGGCCCAGAATTCGAGTTCGGTCATTTGCGGTGTGGGAAGCTGGGAGAGTCGGATGGAGGCCGGCCGATTGTTGAGGACCAACTTTTTGAGTTGTTGCACCGACGCAGGTCGGGAATTTTTGCGTAACCGATCTTTCGTCCGCACGGTAGCTTTTGGATCATTTGCGAGGGAGTTATTCTCCTGCTCCAATCGAGCGAGCAGCATAGCGACGTGCTGCAGTACCGTTAGCGATATGGACTCAACTGCTCTCCAACCTGCACGTACATCATCAGAACCTTCATCTTGCGCCTCCTTCTCTTCCGACTTATCCAGAGCATCCCAGTCCACAGGATTGCTAGACTTGGAGCTGTTCGTGCTACTACGCGAGCGTATTGACACCTCTATTGACTCAACCGACCCATCCAAAGTGTCGACTGGAGAAGGGTGGGCCTCCTCTCCCCCTTCCTCTTTGGAATCCAGCTCTTGTTGTAGATTGTTCATTAGGTCTAGCGAGCTCGGACGGGACGCTGGGGAGTCGGGAGGTGGGGAAGTGATGGTATCGGGCGACCCAGGAACCGACAAGATGATCGGAGGAGGGTCGTCGAGCGTTTCGCGGGTCGAACTGGCCTCCGACAGGCTGACGGTCACCATTGAATCGGTCGGTAATGGTTTACTATCCGGTCGGGGTCTCGGAGCGTTGCTATGTGCTTCATTTTCCTCCATCTTGCCCGGTCCCGACGGGGACGTGTTTATATACTATGCTCGCTTATATGGCGCGAGTTAGATGCAAATGAGGGTTCTGCATGCGTGTGTAGAGACCACTGCCAATGTCAATGATGGACAGCTTCCAGGACAGGATGTATATAAGGAGGGATAATAAAGGAAGGACCAGTATGTCGGATGCCTAGGAAGACGTAGAGCACTGATTATGGTAATGACTGATATCGCACAGCGACAAACGCGAGGAGGGAGAACGAGCAGCACGCGGTCCTGACGTCCTAAACATCAACAAGAGGGGTGGGATGGTTTCAAAAGGATTGTGATCTGCCTAGAGACTGAGGACGCGTATGAAGTTGACGCAGGATGTCTCTCTCTCGGGAAGGCAGCACCCAAAAGGAGCTTAATGACAGGCAGACAATCGAATTGAGCAAATCAATCGAGTTGCCTTGGGGTAAAAACTTCAAAGAATGGCGAAGGCGAGATCGATTACCGATCACCAAAGGATAAGACACGACGAAACCCCCGGTATGGATTGTGAAGACACCAAGACATGAAGAAAGAGGAGAAAGCGCTGAAGATTGCGGTATATCGAAGATGACCAGGGCGAACGACTGGGGATCCTCGTTTCAATGCCCTAAGGATGGCCCGGTTCAGGAGAAGGTGAAGCTTGGGGGTTTGGAGCGGACGCTATCACTCTTTTGGTGTCTCGGATCTCTTTGGGTCTGTTCTGGAGGTAAGACGACCGCCACTCACCCAATCAGCCTGGACCCTCAAATGAAGCGAAGGATCGACGGGGCATTTCGGTTGCATGTTCATTGGGTCTGATTGGATGATTGGTGAAGAAGAGACTCCTTCAATAATCAATATTATGGACAATTCAATATCGGACAGACAACGGAAACGACAGCCGAGAGGGTGAGAATACAAACGCAGTACCGTGATGATGCGATGAACTACCCGGTGACTAATACAAAGATAGTAGCACTTGTGGGACCAGTACGGCTGATCTCGTTGCACCGCATGCTTTAATGAGATGCTGATGTTTGAAGGCGATCCATTGTGAGGCTATTTCAACGTCGGCAATGGCGTTTAGGACTTTGGGATTCTCCCAGAGCCGATTCATGGTTAGGAAACGCCGTCTGCGTTGACCCGGCTTAGATAAATCAGATGAGCCTCAGATCGAGTCATGACTGAAAGTGATGCATCAATGCAGCATTGGTTCATCCAAATTCTTTGTCTATCATATAAGACTCCAACTCGATCTGAGTCGACTTTGAAATCGGAATCATCCAACTCTAAACGAGCAAACATGATATAGCCTGATGTGTTGACCCTTAGACAATGACCCGACGCCTCGCTATGATGCACATATGGCGGTGAATTCCATTACCCCCCAACCTCATTGCCCCGACCCCAAAAGATCCAACATCCCCTTCGTCGCCCATGCCTGCTGCGCCAACTCCACGTTCTTCCGGACCCCCTCGTACAGTGCCATCAACATCGCGTCGATCTCCTCGCTCTGCCCCATGTGCTGCGCGTATTCGTCCAGCATGACCAGCGCGATGTCCGTGGTCAGCTTCACGTGTCGGGGGTCGTTGATCGCTCGGTTCAACCAGCGTAGTATAGGCTGTAACGTCACTTCGTCCCGGTTGGCGAGCGCGCTGCGGAGTGCCGATCGGTGGCGGAGAGCGGTGAAGAGGGTGAGGGAGTCGGTTTTGGATGGGTTCTAGATCGAAGGTCAGGAACAATACGGGGGTGAATAGGACGTGAACATACCTTGGGTTCTAGCACCACGTCAAGCGCCTTTGCGAACTCGCCACTCCGCAGAAATCCCTCCCACTCCGGCAACTTCTTCTGCTTCGACCGCACGTTGCCCTCGATGACCAGATCCGCATCCTCGCCCTTATAATCCTTCCCGCGTATCCTCGCCTCCCACCCGCGCGTCCGCGCCTGCTTCTGCTTCTTGCGGTCGTACTCCTCGATCGTACCGGCCGCCAACGCCTCCATTTCCCGCTTCTTCTCCTTCTCGCGCGCCTTTTCTTTGCCCGCGGTACGCGTGCGGATGGACAGCAGCCCGGACTGGAGCCCGACCGCCAGATGATGGTCTTCGCCATTGCTGGCCGGCACCACGCCGACAGACAGCACCGGGGCCGGGTATTTGAACCCGGCAACGACATTCCACTGTGTCGACTCGAACACTTTGACGTGTCCGTCCAATGCACCGCTTAGGATCCGTGTGCCTCGACTCGCTGACCCTAAGCTCACTACCGTTCGTTGATGGTTCTTCAGGAGCGTGACCGGCTTGGCCGCGACAAGGTCGAGCACTGCAATTTTGCTTCCGGCAGCCGCAACCACTTGCGTCGACCCGGGCAGTGGCATGACTGACTCGACAGGATCCGACATCTTAAACGCCATAACCGCCCCACGATTCCCTGCGCCTCCTCCTACTCTCTGATCCCACACTCTCACCACCGAGTCATAACCCCCCGTGACCCACGTATTCTGACTCTCCGTCCCCGGTGTGCCCCCTTCATCCGCCCTTAACCACTCCGCCGCCCGCACATACTCACCCCCCTGCGTCCCCCACGTCCCCACACTACTCTCCTCGCTCAGATCCCAGATCCTCACCGTCCCATCATCGCCGGCGCTCAGCAATGTCGTCGCGCTGCGCGGATGCCATCGCGCCACGCGCACCGCCTGCTTGTGTTCCTTCCACGTACGCAGGATCGCGCGCGATGTGGTGTCGAAGACCTGCAGGAGGGCGCTGGAGGTGCCGGCGACGACGAGGCGGGAGTCGGTCGGGCGGACGTGCGCGCTGTGGAAGGAGGCACCGGGGGCGACGCGCGCGATGGTGCGGGAGGGTTGGTGGGGGGTAGCGAAGAGGTGAATGCGGGGCGCGGTGGTGACGGCGAAGAGGGGGTTGGCGGTGCGGGAGGCGGAGGGGAGGACGGGGCTCCAGTGGGGGACGGTGATGCTGGTGACGGGGGCGGAGGAGGCAGAGGGGACGGAGATGGGGTTGCGGAAGGAGGACCAGTAGCGTTGGTCGGGGGTGAGGGGTTCGGGGCCGGCGGGGGCAGTGATGGGTTGGAGGGGGAGGACTTCGGCGGCCATGGCGAATGGATGGACTGTATCGGAAGTCTTGAATGAAGAAAGGTTGGACTAGTAGCCTGTAGGATGTTAGATTCGCGATATGTCACAAGTAGAGGGGAGTACTCACTCATTCTGAGTCGAATTTGAACGGGAAACAGTTAGGAAACACCGCAGAAACCCCTTGAAGAGTAACTCTGGCCTTAATTCGAGCGACAAGCACAGTTTTGGATTCGTCTCGTCAAACTTAGTCAATTCTAGTGAAACGGAATAGATCTTCGTCTTCAATTTCTTGAAAAATTTCGAGACGTCGAAGATCCCTGTCAGTATTATCCCCTCGGTCACGTGATCAGGTGAGAGCTTGACGCGAAACACGTCTCTCAGTTTCACTTCAATATAATTTCTACCTGTCACTTGCTATTGACCATTGACACCCGCTTTGGAACAGTGGCGGTTAGAGAACTTAAAACATGCTTAAGTTCACCATCGATCTCAGATCCTCCGCTGTTTCTCTCCAACCATGAGTCCTTCCGAATCATCAAACCGTCACATCTTTTCCCACTGATGACTTTAAAGAGCATTAACCCACAAATCCACACAATCACGACTTAAACTCCAATCAACCACCGACCATGGCGACACCCACCGCCTCCACCACCCAAAAACACCCTCCCAATGCCCCCACCCCCACCCCCATCGCCCATCTCGGCCCCTTCACCTCCCCCGCCCCCCGCAGCGTCCCCTCCCCAGCAACCCACCGCGTCGCCGGCAAATCCCCCCGCCCCATCACCACCGTACCCACGGTGGCCCCCCTCCCCGCCAACAACCCCACCGGCAGCTCCAGCCGCATCGGCAGCTCGCCCGCTCCGCACCTGCTGAACTTCGAGTCGCCGGGGCTCGGCAACCTCGCGGGCATGGACGGCGGCGTGGGCATGGGGATCACGATGAGCGGGATGAGCGGGATGGGGTTGGGGCTGGGCAGCTCGTTCGGGGGACGGGGCGACGAGGAGGAGCGGCGGCGGCGGCTGGAGGCGATGATTGCGGCGTTGGCGACGCGGCCGGGGCGGGTCGGGGAGGAGTCGTTGGAGAAGTTGGCGCAGACGACGGGATTCGCGGTGTTGTGGGATCCGCCGAAGAATGAGCCGCCAAGAAGGGGGGGTGGGAGGACATTGACGTTGGCGGGGACGAGCGTCATGGTGGATGTGGAGTTTGGAGGGGCGCAGGGGCGGAGGGGGGAGACGCAAATGCCGAAGAGGGTGACGGTGGCCTTCCCAGACGTGGAGGAACGGTGGGATATGAAGGCGGAGGAGACGGCGCGGTTGCTGCAGGACGATCTGACGCCACCGCCGGGACGGGCGGCGATGAATTGGGGATTGGAGCGGTTCGCGGGGAACCTGGAACGGCTGGCGCGGTTGGACCGGTTGAGTACGTCGAACTCGAATTGCATGGCGGCGGTGGTGGGGGTGTATAAGAGCTTGCGAACCCTTTACGAGCACGAGAAGAAGGCCGTCTTGGCCCTTCATGACACCGAGGCGGGGAAGGACGATGTGGCCGCGAGTGTCGAAGTCATTTGCAAGAAGAGCGGTCGTCCCCGACTGAACGGCGGCAAACGCGTCGGCGTATCTCTAGAATACTGGATCAACCGCCGCCATATGGCCGTCGAATCCGCACGGAAGAAAAAGGGGGAAACCACCTCCAACGACGCCATGGACGTCGACCACCCTCCTTCCGAACCTGACTTCCCCCCCTCCACCATCCACACCCTCTCCATTGAATGCGAACCCAGCCCCCCCAACGACATCATCCGCCCCCTCCGCATCAGCGCCACCTGGCTCGCCTCCCCCATCGAACCCCCCCTCGATCACCCTAACCTCTTCCCCACCCCCACCCCCACCGTCAACTGGACCGATCCCCCACACACCGACGCCGACGACATGGACCTCTCCACCGCAACCGACAAGCCCCCTGCCGTCCGCTTCGTCGCGAAACTTCATCCTCCCGTTGTCGTGCCGTGGCACGTCGCGCATCATCTCTATACGGCCGTCGAGGCGCCGTTCCCACCGGAGAATAGCGGTCGATGCGCACTATTCGAGGACCTCGTGGTGCAGGCGGACGCGGGGGATGCGTCGGGCGAGGGGGACGGGATGGAGGCGGTGACGACGGTGCTGACCCAAGGAGCGAGCAGAGAGACAGAGGTGCGGCACCGTAACGTGCTGAGTTCGGATCGCAGCGAGTTCGGGTTCGTGGTGGAGAGTCTGCCGTTTTCGCATCCGAAGCAGCTAGTGATGCTCCTCCCGGTACGTGCCCCCCTATCTTCATAAGTCATCCACTAACGAACGCCAGATCCTCCGCCAACATGCCCTCCTCTCCCACCTCCTCCGTACCGCCTTCCCTAACCCCACCCCTCAATCCCCACCTACCTCCGCCCCGATCAACGCCCCTCCGTCCTTCCTCTCCTCCCTCCTCACTCCCCCTACCTCACCTTCTCACGCCACCTCCGCCAACCCATCCCCATCCCCATCTTCATCGACCCCATCGCACAAAGTTGAAATCAACCTCACCCCCACCACCGTCAGCGGAAGCGCGCAGCTATCCATCAAATTCGGCGTCAGTCCCCGGGTTCCGTCAACGGGAGCAAAAGGAGAAGTGGCGCGGCGGCGCGCTATAATAGGGTTTAGCATTGAGGCGAACGCGGACGTGACGTGTGTTGGAGTAGGGGTTCCCGGGGGGAATGGGAGGGAGGGGGAGGGGGAGGGGGAGGGGAAGGAGAGGGCGGTGGGAAGGGCGTTGGAGTGGGTGGAGGATGTGGGGTTGGTGGTGGAGTGGGTGAATGGGCGGTTAGGGGGGTGAGAGCGAGATCGGAGATCGGAGACAATTAGGTAACGTGGCAGACGCGAGGTTTTACCTATTATATGCGACCATAGCATACGAACTCAGCGTATCATTCACATTCATCAATCGCAAGCATCGGCACATATCATGGTCTTTGGAGCACGGTTGCGTGTCATTGGCTAGCAGATACAAAAAGAGCCCTCGAACGGCCTTGGTTCTCTCCCGCAAATGGAGAAAAAATAAATGCGACAAATGTTCAACCTGGACGATGTTACGTCGAGGTGAAAACATGGCGGAGAAACTCCCGATCCCGATTCCTAGTGTGGACTGGGGCCGGGTGGTGATATATTGTGTGGTGTGTAGGTGTGAACTCCGAATCCTCCTCCGTCGCGGCAAAGGGGATGGAATAAAACATATGAGATCGTTGGATACCAGGGGGTTGGGTTGGAATGTCGTGATCGCAGAGGTATCGTGATCGTTCGCTGTCTCTTCTCGCTTCCTCTCTTCCTCGGGTCATGTACAGTGTGTGTGAAGGTAGGGGGGTAGGGGAAAATAACGTGCGGAGTGTTCTAGTTGGATATCTTCGCAGTTGGAGCGGCGATGATTCTAAAGGGAAGGGAAAGGGGGAGACGACCAGTTACGACTTGGTTGTCTCAACGACGGCGTCCGGTGTTGATGAGGCCACCGAGACGGCCTTCCCGATGTTGACACCCTCGACGTTGCCGCAGAGCTATCGATCGTTAGCATTGGTGTTCGATAGACGATGAAAAGGTACACATACCGTCTGGACGATGATACCCGTGATCTGATACGGGTCGGCATTGGAAGCCGGGCGACGGTCCTCAAAGTATCCCTTGCCCTCCTCGGCGACGGCGCGGTTGACACGCACCGACGCACCACGGTTGGCCACGCCCCATGAGAACTTGTCGTAGCTGGCCGTCTCGTGCGCACCGGTCATACGGAGCTGATTGTCCTCGCCGTAGACCTCCATGTGCTCCGCATGTCGGGTGCTGAGCTTCTCCATGGCGGCCTCGATGGCCTTGATGCCACCCTCCTCACGCATCTCCTTGGTGGAGACGTTGGTATGCAGGCCCGCGCCGTTCCAGTCGCCGGGGACGGGCTTGGGAGCGAAGGTGACCTTGACGCCGAACTCTTCGGCGACGCGGTGGAGGATGAATCGAGACATCCACAGTTGATCGCCCTCTATGAAAACGTTAGTCATCGGCGGATTTGGTAAGGGGTCGCGTGACTTCTTGGCATTGCGCGAGTGGCGAATTGATCATCGGGACAATCATGAAATAATGGGTTACACTTACGTGAAATGCCGACGCAAGGCCCGATTTGGTACTCCCATTGGCCGGGCATGACCTCAGCGTTGGTGCCGGAAATCTGAATGCTGGCGTACAAGCAAGCTTTGTAGTGGGCATCGACGATGTCACGACCAAAGACCTTGCCGGCTCCCACCCCGCAGTAATACGGGCCCTGAGGCGCCGGGTAGCCGTTCGTAGGCCAGCCCAGCGGCCAGCCGCTGGGGTCCAGAAGAGTGTATTCCTGTTCCAGACCGAACCAGAACTCGTGACTGGCGTTGGCGTCCATCAAGACGGCGGAATCGTGACGGTAGTTGAATTTGTTGGGGGTGGCGTCGGACATCCATGTCTCACACATGACGAGGACATTGTCACCCAGACGGAAAGGATCGGGGTAGTAGGCGACAGGTCGGAGGTAGACGTCCGAGTTGTCGCCGGGAGCTTGGCCGGTGGATGAACCGTCGAAGTTCCATTCGGGAAGATCGTCGACACTTGTGATTGGCTTGTTGATGGTCTGTTGGGATTAGGAGAGTTAGCAAGAGTCCGATGATGTTATTCATAGAACAATATGCCAATAATATGCGTGTGGTGATAAATGGTGGCGGGGGAGTGAGCAACACGCGAGTCTCAATAGCAAGGAATGTTCCTCATGAATTGCTGTTTGTGTGCGTCCACAGCGCCAGGCAATCAGGAAGGTGCGGGGCTATCGTCAGTGTGGCGGTTGACATGGTCGGCGGTGAAAGCGAGGATGCCTCATGGCCTTGTGGCCTTGGGGCTCATCAATCCAGGGTCGGAACCGCGGAATTGCGTGTGTGCGTCCGCGTCTCCGCGATTGTGCGCCGGCGGCTGTTGGTGGCTTGGGGGTGCACCAATTTCGGTTTTTCGCCTCTTTCGCTTCCAGATTGGAGGCGGTGCTTCGGCTTGCTGCAGGCCGCCAACGCCATGACCCACGCCTTATCGCACACCTCCGACTGGTGTCGTTTTTGGCGCTGTTGCAGTCGATAAGAGCGGGCCAAGCATGTAGACTATCAACCCCTCCAAAAATTGCAGAAGCAATGGATCGTGGAATCGTCGTATTGCAGCGATGCTGGGGGGGTCCATCGTAAGGGAGCACGCATGCTCGAATTGTGCTAGAGGGAATGGGTTGTGGGAAAGAGGATAGCCGAATGAAGTCATGGCAAAAAATGAGTGTAATGAAGTCATCAACGTACCTTGCACTTTGACCGACAACCGCCGGCGCCATCAATCCACACGTACTCAGCGATGATGCTGCCTTTCTGGTCCAAATCAAGATATTTCTTGAGCTGTGGGAAAAGTGGCTGTCAGAACTGGTGCTGTGCAATTCCTGTGCGGGACAATATTAAGACATACATTGGCGGTATTGGATGCGGAGTTAGCCTGTCTCGTGGTTAGCACCATTGTCACCCACAGTCGCATGAAGCGCAGGATGTTAGATATACCATGATCGCGACTGTTGATGAGAGGATGAGGGTGGTGGGTTGGTAGGAATGTGCGGTATCGGGAGTGAAGTGGCGAGGTTGCGAAAGGAACACGACAACGCTAGAGGTCGAATTGCAAGAAATGGAAGAGTTAAAAGGAGGTACGGATGGTACGTGAGTGGGAGGATGAGGAAGAGGAAATGGAAGAGATGAGAAATGAGTGGAAACGGAGAGGGCGGAGAGTCGAGATAAATAACATTTCGAAAGAATTATTATGGCGCGGTAGGTTACTCGTGGACCGGGATTACCGTGGAGGCGTGGAACTCATGGAAGTAGAAGAGTGGACTGTGAACACTGGACAGCCTCCGAGTTACGAGATCGGAGAGTTCAGGGTTGGGGGTGCGCCAGTATGAACAACAGGAACAAGGATGCCGATAATGGTCAATCAATGCCTCAATAGACAGGAATCTCGCCCCAATCATGTCGGGCATGCTGCACTCATCCGGGAGAAAAAGAACGCGGCCAGGCACCGCCAATTGTTCGCTGCCCCCGTCGTCGATCCACATCCCACTATTTGCCCCCCCTTCCTTTTCCTCCCCCGCTGCGGTTGAGAATTGAAGATTCCATTTCCTTTTTTAGGACGGCATGTTTGGGACATTGGTACAACATAATGTATTAGTTGTGATTGGAGACCTAGAGTCGTGGATATGAATTATGTAGCCTCATCATTGAGCGATTATCTCTCATGGGATAAGTGGTTACTAGGGACGCCTGACGATGACTCCTTTTGTTCCAGGCTCTATTCACTGCCACACAGTATGGCCACCTCTCTTTGTTTAGTTTGTTAGAACTCGATTCGGTTCTTTGTTCCATGGGAGTCGATTCGGAACCTGGATCTACTAGATGACACCTATTCCCAATATCAAGCCAATGTTGGGAACGGGTCCCCGGAAACCCCCACAATCCAAGTCGCTCCTACGGATGTCGGAACTGGGTGTCTCAACCGCCTAGGGCTGAATTGTCCCCTTCATCGATGGGATATTGAGATATCGACCCTTTACTCCTCTAAAAGCATCGGTCACACGAGCTGAAGATCAACCACAAAGAGTCCGATCTTGTCTGACAACCGCTTCGTTTCGATTGGTGAAAGGAGCAAGACCAGATCGATTGGGGAGAAATGCCTCATGCATGGGGTGATGGGGGAGATATGCAAGCCACACTCAGACCTCCATCTCAATCCACATCCAGGTGTCAAGCAGATGTCTCCCACAGTGTTAACGGGCCAACTGTTCTGGAATATCCCATGCGAAAATAGACTCCACGCTCTAGGAGCGTGGAGTCTAGAGCAGACCCTGAATCCTGCGGGATTTACCCCGATGGTAATGTAGCATTCAGGCTGAGCTGCTGCGATATGTATGTACTATGGGAGAACAACCGAGAGTCCTTATCGAAGACGGTCTAGAAGGCAGTATTGACTCTTTTTAGAAGAGCGAACCAAACTCGATACCTTCAATATTACAATCCATACGAGAATAACACCTCAGCCAAGTAAATCGTCAAAGTGAGATCCCCCTCACCGCGACGACGTCCAGAACCACGAATCCCTGCGCATCGCCCATCCCAATTCCCACCACGCGATTCGAATTGTCAAAATGTATCCCCCCAATCCACCACTCTCAACCCCGCGAAAGCATCCCAATCTCGAAACCAACCATTCTCCAGAGTCCAGCGCTGGTGTCCCTGCAGGATCCACGGACGTTGGATCAAGCGACATCGCACATCAGGTCAGCACCCTTCGAACGTGGGGTCTTTCATATGTTCGGCTATCGTGACTTTCGGAAATCAGTCAGACCGCGGTCATTGCAGCGACTGAGAACTGAGCTATTCGGGTAATAATAATAATCACGATGTCCCCTCGGCCTCCTTCTTTCAACCGACGAAAGTCCAGACGACCAGAATTTGTGCCGGATCACCGGCAGTCGACTGTCCCCGCGGCACCCAACATTTCTGGACCGCCGCGGCCCCTTTCCCAGCGCCTCGTGCCATCAACAAATCAACAAATCAACAAATCGCCTTATCAACCACCATGTCAAATCTCCCTTTCCAGTTATTAATGGGTGAGCGATTTCCGATGATAAGGAATTTCCAGAATCCTGACGACCCGAACGCTAATTAGCGGGATTGCGCCTGCATGGTCCCGCCACGCCGATGGTGCCCGCTGGTGCAGGGGAAAAGGGCAGGGGTGAGGACTGTTGGCGGCGATTTGCGGGCGATGGGAGGATGGGTGCAGGGGGGTGGGGCAGTTCCGGGCGCTTGGGGTGGCGCTAGGCTGGTTTGGAGGATTGCTTATCGGGAGACGCTGATTGGTGGAGAGATGGTTGTGGTCTGTGGATGATCTCGTGAGCTGTGATTGAAAAGGTGAGATCTGGAATGGTGGATGTGTCAGCGTGGAGAATACCATGTGGTAAAATGTTCAGTTGGAATGCGCGTCGGTAGATCATCACGGGGTGGAAGCTGACTGTGGGATGCGTTGGTTCTCAACAGTCAACAGCCAACAGTCAACATTCACAATACCGTAATGTCACAGCTGGTAAGGAATCCAGGGGTTGGAGGCCGTCAGTGCGTCCTTGTGTTTGAAATCACTCCTCCACACTCCACCCCTGACTCTCCAGCACGACACCACTCAAAGATCACAACGGACCGTCTCCTACTCAGAAGCAAAGGGAAAGGACTGACCATGATGATTACCTGTAGCAATCTATTCATACGGGCACAAAGCTCGTCCTCATCAGCCGCTGCCATCCATCGGTGCTTTCAGCCCTACAGACGCCAATGGACCAACTCAGTCCACGGCTTTCACCAGATATCCTGATCCCCCGCACGTACTATTAGCCTGGTTTCCATACATCTCACAGCATCAGACTCCCTCTACTAGCCGGACTATCCTGCCATCGGCATCAAAACCCGGGGAATCTCAAGCAACCGCGAACGATGGGAACCGCCGTCTGCCACCCAGTCGATCCAGTGCGTCGTCGCCTGTCTGCGGATGCTTCCCGCTCTTGATGATCATCTGGCAGAGCCGCAAGACATGGTCCGGTGCCCGATGGTGGTTCCTGCGCCGTTTACATAACGAGGAGGGCAGGGGTGTGTCATCGGCCGTTGCTCGTAAGGGGCCTGCGGGTGGTGCTTGGACCTGGGAGAGTTGTAGGGGGTGGTGGTCTTTGAGTCCTAGGCTTAGGAACGCTGAGGGAATTTCTGTAGGGCTATGGTCTTCGGTCAATGGTCCTGAAGTTCGGGTCTTAGAATGGAGACGGTACTGCTTCTGCACATATATCATCCAGTTCTTCCCCATGGGGAGACATGCAGGTAACCTTGGCGAAGGACGCATTCATTCTCTCCTTCCTTTTCTTGAATTTCTGCGAGTCTTTGATTTCTTACATTATGCGAGTCTAGTCTGTTCCCCATCCCTTCGATTTTCCTATCGTGGATATTCCCTTTCAGACTCCCTGTCGCCAGTCCTTTGTTCGCTGCTCCAAGTACCATTGAATGCCTCACCCTACAATGTCCATTATATGTCCTCGGAACAAAGGCCTCGAGTACAATGTTTCTTTACCCTCCGTCTCTACAATGGGGTTGTCCCCCTTCATTGTTCTCCATACAATACACCTCTCCCGCGCCTCGACTCCGCATTCAAATACCCCCTCATTCTCCTTCTATCGTCTTTTCCTCCTTCAAGCAAGCGAGCACCGGCCCCCAAGTTTCCAGCGTACCGCGTACCAGAAATCCCCCCCTACCAGTCCTCCGCTCGCTCCCGGCCCTCCCCACCCCACTCCAGACAGCGCCCTCCCCCGCTCCCCCCCAAAATGTGCGAGTGGACCGACGTCTACCACCGCCGCTGCGGCCACTGGTCCATCCCCACTCTCCTAAACCCCTGCCCCGCCTGCCGCCACGTCAACGGCCACCCCGTCAGCTGTCTCTTCCCCATCAAGAACGGCATGGTCACTCACGAAGGGAAATGCCCCGCCTGCGAAAATAAGCGCACCGGGCTCGCCGTCTTGCACCATGCGCTCAGGAAGATCGTCGTCCGTCGACGCGTTCGGAAGATGGTTCGTGTCGAGTGGTCAGATGCGTTTCCGGCGGATACCGCGGACACCGCCGCGGACCGCGATGTGGCGGATACGGCGCTGCCGCGCTGCTGGGAATCGAGCGGTTCGCCCCAGAGGGGGCGGAAGCTTAGCTGCTCGATTAATTGGCGGGTGGTGTCGTTCCCGACCTCGAGACCGGAGCTGCAGACATCGTCGTCGACGCGCGCGGCGGCGATGAGGTTCGATATGGATGTTCGGAAGCATATGCGAGGAATTCGACGCGAGAAGACCTTGTAGATTTCCCTGGATTCCCTTCTCCGACTCACGATTTCCGAGACGTCTCTAATCTCCTTAGGTTCCCCTCCCGAAATTTCCCCTATGCTATGTATCCCTATCACAGTCGTAGGTCCGATCCAACAGCCAAGACCAAGCGTCAGTATTCAGAATTGAAAAACGTAGTTAGTTATAGACATGTTGAAGAATCTTTAAACCTAGACCTTCGGATCTACAGTAAGTTGAAGATGATTTTCAACCTATGTTGCGCCATGGTGATATGAGGCTGAGGGTATTCTGTTTCTACGAGGCGCTGTTCTGCGTGTGCTGTCTGCGATCTGCAGCTCCTTATCAGATCTACCCGCGAAGCCGCTCGAGGCGGCGAGGGGTGACTAGGTGCATGAAATTCATTTGCGCTTTGCAGTCACAAGCACAGCCATAAGATGGTGCCAGAGGCTTGGGTGGATACAAGCCTCTTCGTGGCGTGCAACGCGCTGGCTGCCGCTTGTCTTTCCCTTGGCCATCCGTTAATGTCGTCATTGCCGCAGACATTTTATTGATTATTTTATTGATTATTTTTTGCGTGTCTTTTATTTTACTATCTGTTGCTCAAACACCTCACCTTGTAGTCCATCTAGGACTTCGAACAAGGTACGTATGCAAGCTCCACAGGAGAAGGGGATAATGGAAGGCAAAAGTCGCTGATCTTGCTCATCCATCAGGCACTGAAGCTGTGATTTTTTCTGATTGCTAGATCTAGAATATTGTTTCATTCCGTTTATTTGCATATTCACCGATATGAGTTTTGACGGGCCTGTCTATTGGGCGTTAGAAACTCGGTCGATGATATGTCGCCAAGACAACATTGCTGTGGCTTATGCAGACTGCAGTATTCCATAGAGGAGACGACACGACCACCTCTCCATGCAGAATCTCAGAACGGAATCGCTCCATGCAACGTTATCAACAAATCATAAGATTCATGCCTAACACTGGAAAATCAACCGAGCGGGGTAGACCCAAACTTATAGCCAGCCTATTCTCGTCTCGAACATTCCGACAAGGCTACATGTCTAGCGGAACAAAGATTCGCTTCCAGTCGTAACTCTGAGTAATCACTATACAGCAGTATATCGCCTCATGGGGTCCGGCGAGAAAGAAGAATCCAAGGCGAGCGAAGCTGCGAAGCCTGCGAAGCCTGCGAAGAACAGCAGCAAACCCGATAATGCCTCCAGCGATTCAACGAAGCCTGCCGCTCCGACTCCAGCTAGACCCGGAAACTCCGAAAAACCTGTCCACAAGGACGACAAAGATCACCAGGCTTTGAGGGATGCTCTCCGAAAAACGAATGAAGTTGACGTGAAGACGATTCTGGAGCAGCACCCCGAGTTCGTCAACCGCAAAATTGGCATCGATAAGGGGAACGTGGTTCACTACATCCTCCGAAATGTCAGAAGCCGCGACGGCTCTCAAGACGAGAAGGCAAGTCTCCGTTGGCTACAAATCGTCAAAGGGCTGTATGACCCTGAGGGGTTGATCAAACCCGACTGGAGTGCGAAGGATAGTCACAACAGAACGCCGCTGCACTTAGCCTGCTCACACACGAGACAACATTTAGAAGTCGCGAAATTTCTTCTCGACAACGGAGCCCGGCCGGATGTAGTCGACGACACGCCCTCATCGCCGCTGCGCGACGCCATACACCAACACCGCACGGACATGGTGCGGGTCCTCATCCGAGGAGGAGCCAGTCCGGGGTTTGCGGTCAATAATAGCATGCCGCTACACACGACTGCATATCGAGGCTATCGCGATATCGTCGACTTCCTTCTTGCCCAGTCCGGCGTACAAATTGACGCAAGGGACGGGAAAGGTTATACCCCCTTGCACCTTGCTTGCTGGCAAAATTATCCCCTCGTGGCGCAAAAGCTGCTCGAAAATGAAGCAGATCACACCGCTAAAACAACGGGGAATAAATGGACGCCGTTACACCTGGCAGCGTATCATGGCTCTCTTCAGTGCGTTCAGGAGCTCCTCAAGGCTAATGCGCTGTGGTCTGCGCGGACTAGGCAGAAAAAGACGGCTGAAGAGCTGGCGCAAGAGCAGGGCCATATCCAGATCGTTGAGCTTCTGAGAAAGCAAGGCGAAATTAATGGGGCCTATGAACTTCAAGTGTGCACGCCAAATGAGGACCAGGAAAATCTCAGTCGGGATTGTGGTGGGATTGTCTGGCCTTCCATGGAGCACACACAAGTATGGGACATATTGACTGTGTGGGATATGCTTTACATAGACGGCCCAAAGCTAAAAACGGGTAGGGAGGGCGTCGAACCCAGGTGGATTCATATTCCATCCAACAATGTAGGTCCAAAATGTGTCATCATTGTCTAGGCACATGTTAACACTGTTACTTGATAGATTGAATGGATGAAGGTATCACGTGTTGTCATTACATCGCATGGCAAGCACTGATTGCATATAGGATGTCTTCAGAGTTCTCTACTCGGCTGCTGTCACCGAGCTTGGGAGTATTCATGGAGGCGGCAAAGGTAAAGGCAATGCTACGGACGATGCGCAACTATCCAAGGCGCAGAAGGCAAAGCAGTCATTAGAAGCAGTTCTTGAGTTCATTGATGCCGAATTTGGCAAGCAGAGACGGTCTCACTGGGCGGTAAGATTCAAGTCTATGCCGCAAACGCTCGATAGTTTCACGCCTCGCAACTGCCACAGAAAACCTCTTTTTAACCCCTTTATTCAACCCCTCTTAAGATTTCATAAAGATTTCATCGTGATGCTGATTTCGGTTTAGGCATCATACGGTGGAAGAACCAAGAATAAAGACAATCAGATGCTTTCGCTCATGGTATGTGAATGCGAATCGACTTCCAAACTCCACGCCTTCAAATAGTCGAATCATGAGTGGAAATGAAATGGCACTAATTATCCCACAGTTTCCAGTTCTCGATGTCGACATGCGGAAACCTTACTACAAGCCGCCAGACACCAAGGAGACACATCCAGTGAGCGCCCCTGAGGGTCCCTCGAAACACCGAGAGCGTCTGGCCAGAGCGGAGATGGAGCACCCGAGGAAGCTGGAAGACTTGGCAAAAGCCTACAAGGGCATGGTATCTTCCACCTGGACGCTGGACGGGTACTTCCACGAGTTCATCCAGGAGGATAGTCTGAACTCCCGGAATGGTGATCAAGTCGTCTCACGGTACATCGCACACCACATAGAAGAAGAAGAAGAAGAAGCCAAGCGGCAGGCGACGACTGTGAAAGAAGCAAGTGATACGTCCCTTAAGGTGGACTTGGATTCCCCCAAGACACCGCACGTCCAGTTTCAAGAAGCCAGCGGTGAGGAAACAACTCCTTCTCAGCTCGAAAGCCAGCATGACCAGGTGAAATCTAAGGTTTGCAGATTGACCGGCCTCAAGCGCATCTGGTCGGTCCCCCCTCACGATTCGACGCCAGGTGAGCAGAAGGAAAAGGACGGCGAAACCAGTGACTCTGAGTCTGTGAGAGGAAAAGATGAGTCTCTCGATCATGTCGAGGATGGACACGGAGCCCATGGGAAAGGAATTCCACAGCAAATCATCACTGTTCCGCAGCTGTGGCTGTTGCAGGTCGACAGTAAGTGCTCTCTTGGCTATATTTACCTATTCAAATGCTACTTATGTACGCTCATGAAAAGCTAATGAAGGGTGCAAATACGAAACAGATATTGTATTAACGTCATTTCCCGAGCGATGGGATAACAACATCCTCCCGGATATCATTCTCGAACGACTTATCGAACTACGTAGGAGAAAAGACGAGAGCGGCCCTGACAAGGCGATGACTACTGACGACATCACCAGTGAAATTGTGGAGGCCTGTCTGGATTACGAGCCGTCCTTGACGACGTATAGCGGAGCGCGGAGCTATCTTGACGCATTTGGTATCGAAATTGCGCATTTGGTACGTGCCCATTCATGACGAGCAACAACGAGGAATAGCTAATCCTGGTTCTGCACAGTCCAACAAAACGACGGAGTGCTACGAAAAGTTCAAGGAATCGCTAGGTGAAGCTATCACGGTGTTTCCCGAGGCGATTAAGGGTGAGACAGATCACCTTGTCAAGATTGATGATGTGTTGAGCGAGATCGGAATGCTTAGAAGAGTACACGAGGATCAAATTTACATCTGCATGCTGATAGAAAGGAGTCGTAATAGCGATAAAAGCCCGAAGAAAATGAGTAAGTTAGACTTCGAGTCAGAAAGTTTTCAGGGGCTTACATCCGGATACAGGCTTCGGGCTTCATGAGGACGGCGGGGAGTTTGGCTACTATGAAACGAGACGGCGGAGAACTCAATTGACGGCTAAGATAAACAGACTGGAAGCCGATGCCACGAAAGTCCGACAATCGGTGAGCATCGTGTTCCAGCCAAATATTCGGAGGGCTGAACGCTGACTTACCACAGATCCGAACCCTGCTCGACCTGAGGCAACGCCAGGCAACGACTGAGGACGCCATCGAGTCAAGCAAGCATTCGGCAATTCTCTTCGCTCAGTCCAAGGTGTTATTCATCTTCACTTTGGCTACAGTGATATTTGTACGTTTACTCTCTCCAGACCCTCACTGATTTGCGCTTTTCTTCTCAGTTGACGCGGCAAAAAAAGGGACCTCTCCAGTGGGTCACAGGTTTGATGGGGATGAATATCGAAAACTTTTCTCGCGAGACGTGGTCTCGAGGCGATGTTGCTGAGGCTTCTGGTAAGTAAAAGCGTCACGAGTCAGCTGGCGGTCCAGGGCTAGATGCTAACAGACATATACAGTGGCAGGTGTGTTTGTTACGATCATCGTCAGTGTTGTTGGTGTGATTGTCTACGATCTTATTGAGGAGAAGAAGTTGCGGAAGTTTTGGAAAACCTCAGTAATGGGCTGGTGGCTTAAGCAGGCTGAGACATGGAAGATCAAGCGTGTCAAGCAGTAGCGACGCATGAAGTCATCTCTCGCTTATTATGCTCCAATGATGACTCCTAGCGGTATTTAGGGGATATCATTTTTGTTTTTGTGAGCATTGCAGCTCAGGGTAAGTTAGAATCAAGGTCATGTTGGCCACGGTAGGACGTACTTGTTCGTCTGGTTGGCTGGTGATTTGGAGGCAAAGAGTCCAGTGGTGGGTGATAATCAGGCTTTGGTATGTCTACGGTGGGTCAATCCCTACCCCATTTATCAGTGACCGCTTCTGCTTGGAAAGCATCAGGTATGCTTTCTCTCCAGCTGGTGGAGACGATATTACAAGGTCATGGCAATGTCACCCTGTAAATTGTAATATTTACACGTCCTTGTAGAAGCTAAGGGATCATCCCCAGCTACCTATGTCTCAAGTCGTATTGCAATAAAATCTGCCCACTATACCAATGTACCACGTTCCTAAGACAAACGCCATGCCATGCTATGCTTCATGATTACGCTCGACCCAAAGTAGACAAGAAAAACATTACCAAAACGCCTAAATCACGGCGCGGCGGCATTGCTCCCCTGCGATGGACCCCCGTTATTCGTCGGCGCGGGCGGCGGCGGCGGCGACATCGTTGTTCTTTGTGGAATATTTTGATTCGGGTTTATCTTCGACGCCCCTGCGGGCGGTTGATATGTCGGCGGCAGATCATTCGAATACACTGTATCACAAGTCAGCCATTTCTCCCAAAATCCACCTCTCAAGTTAGGGGGTCTCATACCCGGCGGCGGCTCCACATGCCGCCCATCCATCCGATAGCTCCACCCATACGGTTGCGCATGATAATACGCGCCCGGGCCCGGATCGAAGCGCGCGCGCTGCGAGCGGGAGAGCAGCCAGCGGTGGTAGCGGAGGGGAGGCAGGCCTTTGCGGACGCGGTGGCGGGCGTGGAGGTAGCCGCCGACGATCCAGGTGAGGAGGAAGAAGAAGATGGTGCCGACGATGACCCATTTGGCGACGTAGCCGGCCTGGAGGTGGTTAGTGGCGGGGTGAGGGGGGGAGGAGGGGGTTACGCACGGGGGACCACCAGAAGGAGTCGGAGTAGTAGTGGTCGTGGACGAAGTCGTCTCGTGGAGCGAGCATCTTGGTGATGGATGCGTATGGTTTTCGCTAGTACTGCGATGATGCACACCAGGCAAGCTGGGTCGAGGTACGGTGGATTCGTCAACCAAACCTCGATCAGAAGATCACCAAGCGAGACTATGGACGAGAATGGGTTCGAGAGAATACTGCAGGAGGGAAATGCCGTGCGATGATCGGAAGCTTATGTGGATTTGGTGCCGACGTGATGCTCTGCTAATGTCTTGCAGTCACAGGGCTGCGTCGATTTGGATGCAGCACGACATGCAGGCACCCGGATCAGATGTGTTTGTCGTGAGGTCGGCAGCGTTTCAGATGGGCTAACTGCCGGTACGGGGATGGACAGTAGTGTTAGTTCCTGGGGTGAGGACTTAATAGTGCCGTCGTCCTGTCGCAAGGATGAATTAGGGGAGACGGCAGGTGACGAACCGTGCGGATCGGACTTCCAACTTCTTCTCAAAGAATGCAGAAGTGCAGAACAAAGGCTTCGAATTCTGTGCTCCAGGAGAGTCTGATAAAAAAGACTCAAAGGTCACGTTGTACCATCGTTGCACAATTGAAACCACGCATCCAAGAAGACAGCCGACAGGATGATGAATTAACCACTTCAGAAAGCACATGGACATCAGCAGCACTATTTCATCTATCCTTCGCGAATTAATTAAATCTCTCTACTTTCCAATTCTTGGCCCTCTCTATCCTCAACATACAGCCCAACAAGACTTCGGACCGTACCATCTGGACTCCGGCTACTATGCGCGAATTGGATTTGGTCGAGATTAGCTCGACCTTGGCTGGCGCATGGCGTGGATGGGTTTCGGCTTAATTGGACGACGATGCCCTATCGATCGACAGGATTCCGAGTCCATATGAGCGGGGTATTAATACAATTTGTGCATCGATTCTGCATTTTGGGTATCGATCTTTTCAACCCTCCGAGGAGGTCGCCATTCGCCCATATCGACTGGACAAGGTTAGCCCGAGGATTTGGCCGAATAGAGGCAGAAGTTGGCATGAATCCCATCCGTTGAGATCTAAAGTTGAAAATGTTTAAGTGAGTATGGTTTGAAGTGGTCTTTCATTTATGTTCTGGTTTGCGGCTGAAGTTTCGTCCCGATTTGGTACTGAAACGGTAAGGACCATCTCCTTATAGTCGTCCTACACAAGCAAATGATCTTCTCAAGGGGTACGCTTTTGATTATACTCATTGTCGACTTAATTACTATACATGTCCGAAGGGCGAAGCAAACGGCGTATAATACACCAGGCACTATCCGATCTGCTGCAAGGCTTGCTAGATACGTCCGACCGTTGCCTTTTCCCCAAACTCATCCCTAAACTCATTCCAAACCCATCCTGACCAACGCCAATATTTACCTTCCCCCCAATCCATTATGTTCTCAGGTACCGTCATCATCCAAGTGAGGGACAGGCCACCAAACCTGTGAGGCCCGCATCCACATTCTAAACATATCCGTCATTACACGGTGTTAATCAGCTGGCCTCATGATCTACACCTGGCTCATCGACGGCCCACCTCGACGGGAACTCGGACCTCGGAGATTGGCGGAGCCACGGCCGGACATGAAGGAGAAGAAGATGGAGGCCGCCCAGCAGGCGAATCCGAACCACAGGAATGCGGTGGATGCCTGGCCCTCGCGGCAGACCTTCTCGGAGCCGACGGAGACAGAGTTGTGGTCCAGGTAATGCTAGATGATGTTAGGTCCGGGAGGTAATGCGATCACACGGAAAGAGAATGGTCTCACCCTATCGGAACAGCTGTGGACCCTCAGATACGACGCGGTGGCCACGCCGCCGCAGAAGAAGAAGATAGTGTTGAGGACGTCCAGGACGATGTTCAGGGCAGGATGCACTGTGAGGTTTTCTTTGATCGCCGATGGAATGAGGTAGAGGAGCGACAGCATGGCGAAGGCGGCCACGAACATGTCGTAGTTGACAACTGAATGGTTGCCCTTGTGGGCCAACATGTTACCGATTAGAGACATGATGAGGATCGTCCAGAGGAACTGCGAGCTGTTAGCGTCTTTCACGAGGTGTTGTCCGGATGAAGTATGATTTGCACATCTTACCTGGAGTCCTCGGAGAATGGTTTGAACCAAATTCATGGTGCGTCAGTGGATGGATATGTTTTCCGTGATGGATGCTAGGTTGAGCGGGGTTGATGGAAAGTTGGAAAGCTTCAGGTGTCAGTCGTTGTGCACGAAGTGTGAACAACTTGCGAGAGAATTATTTGTTGATGAGATGAAGCAAGACTGCAGATGTTGATCTCAATAAAAAGCTGTGTGCGGGAGGGATGATGAACGGGCAGAACGGCGCATGGCGGATGTTTGATTCATCGATTGTGTCTTGCTGATGTCTTTTCCTAGAGACGATGATGACGTTACGGCGTCAGGGCGTCGCGCCAGCAACGCCCCTCCACACGCAATCACGCCCTCATTCGCTCCTTCCTCCCCAGTCCCACCCCACATCCCTACTGACTCAGCCCGACTCCTCATCACTTCTACGCAACCGCAATTGCTGCAATTGATGCAATGGGTGCTCGTCCCGGTGAGTTCTCGCGTAGTGTGATCATTTCGAATGTATATCACGGGAACTGCAACGAAAATCACACCAGACGAAAAGTCAGGTATATGAGGGATTATGTGTCGTCCATTCTTCCGATCTAAGCGTCATTATTGTCCAGATACCATCGTCGTGTTCGCGTCACTGCATCAGTACCTATCCGTTGGACCGTTCTCAGGAGGGTGACGCTCGTGACATGTGCGTCCCTATTATGGTGCCTTTGGGCATGAGCTATCTGTCAAAAAGACTCAAAAGGCTGTTTCAGCCTTAAACTGAGGTGAAAGTTGAAGGCCAGTAGCAGAGAGCAGGAGTGGACAAATGAAACGCATCCTCCACAATTCGCTGCGGTAGCTATGTCTGAGCCTCATCGTTCACGCAGCAACCTTGTAGTCTGGAGTCTGGATAGCCAACAGGATATCAGCCACGCAGAAGGGACAGGTCGCTCGCTTCTCTTCCTTGCTTCTACTTTTCTTGTACTTATACCTTGTAGAGGGACAGTCAAATACTCAAATGCCAATGAAGGCTAACCAGGGTGCGGCAGCTATCATGCACTGATAAAGCTCCTTCGGTTGGTCCCGCCAGTAGCCGCAAGGTACGCCGCATCGGGAATAAGCATATCCCATGGTATACGTCAAATACGAGGCGTCGCAAGCCATTACTAAGCGATGCTGACGCTTGTGAAAATGCATCGCGCAACAGCTGAGAGATATCTAATAAATGGATATCTTCATTGAGAGATGGGAAAGTGGATGAGATGTCACGATTTGATCAAGAAGAGATGGACGATCCCAACTTTTGGCTGGTTTCCGGCGATATCCCGTCACGAACAGTATCCCCGGGATCCGGCAGCTCGTTGGACCATGCGAAACCGCGTCGCCGACCGATCCCGCGGAAAGGCCATACCAAGTCGCGAAAAGGATGCTACAGTTGCAAGAAACGGAAGATCAAATGCCAAGAGGGCGTCCCGGAATGCTACCATTGCGCGAAAGCCGGACTCGTCTGCGTCTACCCGGTGACAGAGAAGACATTGGCGTTGGCGGTCCCGCGACCAGGATTGCAGTCGACGCCCACGACCTTCACGATGCAGGACTTGCGGTACTTTCACCACTTTCTGGTAGGCGCGTACCCGCACCTGCCGGTCAAGGGGGATGATATATGGAAGAATCGGGTCGCGCAGATTTCTCACAGCGTTAGGACATTCGAGGACATCCTGGATACATTGAACTGATCCTTGGTAGTACGACTTCCTCATGCATTCCATGCTGGCGTTGGCAGCGTCGCATCTCAGCCTGTTCGGCGACGAAGACCGTGGCTCGGCCGCGCTCTCCCATCGTGTCGCGGCCATCAACTCGCTCAATGCGTCGCTCTCCCAACCATGCCAGGACGGGGCCGAGAGCGATGCGCGGTTCGCGACGATCATGGCGTTGACCTTCCAATCTAGGTATATACCGGATGGCATGAAAGACTTCTTGACAATGATCCGGGGCTGTACGGTAGTGGCGCAGACGGCGATGCTACCCTTTGAAGAGTCCTCCTTCGGCTCGTTTACTCATGAAGGACATGTCTCCACCATAGCGAGCCTGATTCAAATGGATATTGTTGTGTCTTTGGACGGTGACGGCTGGAAGAATGCAATAGATTCATTGCGCGACCTTAGACCGCTTGTTCAGACACCTTTTGAGCAGCAATATCTTGCAGCCTTGGAGAATGCCCTGCAACTAGCGAAGACGGCGCCTATTGACGGTAAGTGTTGTATCTCTCACATTCAACATCCATACCCCCGTTTCTGACATATATAGCCTACACAACGTTTACCATGTTGTACGTGTCCCCCGCCGACATCTCCCACGAGGAATTCCTTCGGTTCCTGGAACCGCAAAACACCACGGGCCAGCTGCTCCTTGCGCACTTCTTCGCGCTGGAGATCCTGCTAGGTCCGATCTTATGGTTTGAACTGCAGCACCGGAACGAGATGTTGTCGGTGCTGCGCCAGATCTCCTTCCATTGGGTCGAGAAGATGTGCGTGGGTCTACCGGAATCGCATCAATCGTTCGCGCGGTGGCCGTTGGAGTATAGTATAATGTGGCGGAGATCGCTAGTGTCTAACAAGTCGAGTTTTATTGAAGTTGTTGACTCTTAATCTCGTTCTATACTCATGCCTCTTGTGTCTATTCCAGTTGGCTTCCCACGATGTCTCTCTCCCATACAATTTCGTCCCTTTCCAAATGTCGCCTCATTACCATGTCGCCTTTCACACTTCAAGCACCCCCCCATCCTGTCTCCGCTCCGAGCTAGCCGACGAATCCTGCTCCCTCTTCGCAGCGAGTTCCACATGCTGCATCCCCCCGCGGCGACCCAGGAATCGACTGGGATGATACAGGCAGAAGATAGAAATGGCGATGAGCATGGGGATAGCCTCGAAGACCCAGAAGATCCATTCATGCGTGAAGGCGTACCCGTGGATGCCCTGGGCGAACTCGATGACGCGATAAACCGAGCGGACCTAGCGAGCGAGGTCAGAGCGAGGAAACAGAGCCAAGGTGGTGTACTTACCAAGATCAGCGACGACGAAACATACACCGCCAGAATCACCTTCCGCCAACCTGCTGGCGTGTCCTCGACCTCCATCCGATTCGCTAACCAATGGAACCGGCTGAAGATGCACATATACACGGTAAACGTTGCCACCTGCAGACTCAGTCCCCCAATGAGCACGTTCGTGCCCGTCTCCACGGTACTCCCCTCCCAGTCATTCGAGCTCGCGATCCCGGACCCGGACGCCTGGATCAAGCACGAAAGTACGTCGAAGGCGACGAAGATCCTTGTCAGCAGGCGTGCGGGGACGCGGAAGATCCGGTGGTGGGTTGGGGGCAGCACGGCGCGGATGAGGCGGCCGATCAGGAGATAGTTCCCCGCGGCAATGAAGACGGGTGCGATGACGATGAAGGTGGATTGGATGGCGAAGGGGGCCTGGGGGGTGAAGAGGTGGTTAGACTCGTGTGGGGGTTGGTGGAGGGTAGGGAGAACTCACTACTTCGTATTGGAATTTAGCAGAGTAGCTACGGGCGGCGTAGCCGGCGACTTCCATGGCGGCGCCGAAGACGACGCAGGTGAAGAACCAGGCGCGGTACTGGATTATGGTTTGGTAGAAGATGATGAGGAAGGGGATGGCATAGACGATGGCTCCGATGATGGATAAGGGGAAGGAGGGGGAGGAGAGCCAGACGCGCTCTTCTTGGGCCATGGTGGAATTGGTTCGTGGTCAGGGGCAACTGTATGAACAAGATGTGTTGCAGTATGTTTCACTACACGTTCTCTAGAGGGAGTTGAAGACTTCATTGTGCCAGTTGGAGGATCCATCTCTTATATAGACATTGTTACACTGCTTGAAGCACCTCTCGTCGGTCTTGAACCATAAACACCGAAAACAACGAATCCGAAAATGCGAAAATGCGAAACGCAATGCTGACGCGTCTTCATTATACATTCAATCTTCATTCTATCCACTATTCAGGCTCGCATATTCTTAAATAGGGGTCGGTCAGGCTAAGCCCCCAAACCGAAGAATGCGAGGCGGAATTGTCGTGGTATGGAGACGAATTCGGCACGGCGATTGGCTAATGGTCGATGTCGGATTGCTCGCATTCGTGCGGTATAGATGATAAAACATGGACGATCCCGTTAGCTCGAGGTTGATTTACTTGATTGGTAGAATGCTGAAGATGGCCAGATGGGTCAGCAAGAGACAGCCTCAAGTCCTCCCTAAGTATTATTATGATGCAGACAGACGAGCAGACCGCAAGTTGCCAGTTGGAGAAAGGGGAGAATCGAGCCTCAAGGTCCAAGCTCGTTGTAGCAAATGGACACTTGGACAGGACAATTGGACATTGGACATTATTGGACCCTTGCAGTGTTCGGTCCAATGCCGAGTTTGACCTCAACTTTTCTCGACTGCAGTTCATACAATTCATTTTCCATGTATCCCGACACCGAGGCCGCTCATTTCTCTCTTTAATTACCTCTTTGGTTGGTGAGAAGTTTACTGAGGGGATATTAGCCCACGATGAGGCTCTCAAATTCAATATTGCGGCAGTCAAGAGTGCTGCCGTCGAAGTTATATGCGCAACGAACCTTTTCGACCAGCCCCCAATGGCTGCAACGTACGAGCACCCAGTTCTAGGAAGAATGATTCCGCTTCAATGGCTAACATTTGAGATCTAGGAACTCTCCCGGTCTTCGAAGAGTCATCATCACCGGAACTCCATAACCTCCTCCAACTCGCTCGGGAGAAGATCATCCCCATCGCGGCCCTGAATATGGACCAAAAGAAATACCTCTTCTCGCCCCGGAACAAAACCACTCTCGAGAGCGATCCGCTATACATTGAATTTGCCAACGATGAAGCGGTCCAATTAGGATACACCAACCCTCTCACCGACCTCCCGGGCAAGTTTCGCCTGTTCAACGAAGCGACGGATCTAGCTACGACGAAAGAAGACTGGCAGAATGTGTCCAGGCTGCTCAAGGGGATCGCACAAGGGGAGCGCCTCCAGGCCAAGCTCCAGGAGCGGTACATCCGACTAGGCATCCAAGCCGGCCATCCATCCATCGTCCTAGGCACCGTGGAGGCGGTCGAGGGCTCGAAAGTGTCGTTGAAAGTCGGGGAGAACCTTCTCTACCTGCTCGAAGGGTTGCGGAAGTACGGGTTCTGGTCGGCGGAGGATCCGGAGGAGGCGTCGGCATGGCTCGTGGGCGCATACACGCGGGTGATCACCATGATGGAACATCGGAAGCATTGTGGAGCGAAGAATATTGCGAAGGACGATTTGCGGCGGCAACCGTGGGTGTTGGCCCCGTTGGTAGAGATCCTGGGTCTCCGACTCAAAGCAGGATGGGACAGTGCTGAGAAGAGCGCGTTTGGGTTGTATGCGGCTAGGCTGGTCGATATGTTGGATGTGGAAGCGATTGAGAATGCCAGCAGCTTGCCGGTATGTCACCACACTTATCGTTTGATCACTGCTAACAAGGTCCCTACAGGATATTGATCTCTCCATTCCGAAGAACCGAGCTGTTGCAAAGCGGCTATTACTCCGCTGGGAGCCCGTCTACTCGGCTTTGGAGCTGATCCAAGAATTTCAACCACAAGGCGTTCAATTAGAATCCGTCCCACTTTCGCGCCTCATCGAGAGCCTCTCCACGAATCTCGACAGGACACTTGCCCGTAGCAAGGAGGTTGCCTCGCGAACCGTCGAGCGCGATCCACCTGCGTCATGGTTGAGCCCTGAAGTGGTTCGATGGACTCGATATACTACGCTTGGTCGAAATATTAGTGACGCAGAAATGCCGACCACCGCAGCGCGAGACTCGGTTCTCGGTTTCTCCGAATAAAGGGAAGGAGTGGAATCTGCCAAGGAGGCGTCCGGAACGCTCTTGCCGAAACAATTCCAATCCGAATCCATCGGCAGGTGCGAAGCGGACCGGCAGTGCGACCTGTAACACGACCCTCCCCCTCTTTCTGCTTGTTTTCACGATTATCCCTTGAACGGTTTCATAAATCACTCGAATCTCACATCCCCCATATTCAACCGGATCGATGTATTACATTGACCAATACCCCCACTCTCCCTTGACGAACATTTCTTATCCAACCTAGCTAGCAGGCATTGGCGGCCACGACTCCCAACTGATCGTGCACAATGTGCAGCTTACACGACTATAACGGAACACGACCGCCGAAGCCGTCGCTGTTCACCTATCTCCTCTCACCTTCCCCTGAAACGAACACTCGACTATGGCAGACTTCGGTCCCACGGGGATCGGCTCGACCAACATCGGTCCGTACCCTTTTGCGTTTTCTACTGGCCGGCACACGTCCGAGCCGTTCGCTGGCCAGCTTCGACGGCGCCATCGCACGGAGGTTCCACACGATTTTTATACCGGGCGCAGAATCGGGGCGTTCAATGCGCGACGATACCGCACCGAGCCGTGGCACGCCGACACCACGCCCCCGAGCAGGCCAGCCATCACCCCCAACTTTCCTGCACATCGCAGCACAAGCACCGTTATCCGAGGCGCACAGCCTGTTCGAAGAAGAATTGGAACTCATCATCTGGATGACAGACCTGAGACAAATTTACTTGGTCCAACTCTGTTTCGTGAACGACTTTTCACCGATACCACAGAGGAATCTTACCCGACCCTTACCAATGGCCTTCGTAATCGACGGTTGTACTACTCCGAACCCTCTCCTCGCGACCGTACTCACCGCAACGGGCCAATAACCACTGGTTTCCGACGTCCATACCACTCCGAAGAACTACCATGCCAATGCGCCCCTCTCATTGACCATGATCCAAGCGACACATCTTCGGCCGGAATCCCGATATCCTGCTCGTTCTGCGGCGCCCCTTTCAGTCCCGTCACCTCGTTGGGGCCACCCGGCTTCTGCAACACTTGCGCATTCCCATCGCCACCGACCCGCCCACCTAAAGGCGCGAAGATTGCACGAATGCTTCCGGAACGGTTACGCGCGTGGCAGCAACTCATCCTGATATTCATATGGTGCCTGTTAATGTGCACGATGGAGTGGGTGACCAGAAAAGACGGGCAGCCCGGAACGCCACCTGTGCTGGTTTCCCTGTCTCCGCGGACCCGGGCGATGGGCTTCACCCTGGTGTCTCTCATGATCCTCAAGAGCTACGATATCATCGTCGAGACACCACCGGCTGTCACCCTGCGCCAGTACACGTTGGGAGCGATGGTCATCTCCCGCACGGTTCGGACGCTGCTGATCGGGATACAGATCCTGTACGTCGCATTCTTCACGTACATGGTGATCTGGCTGGTGGAGGTCCGACGGGAGAAGGGCACGTTTGCAGAGGTGGTGTCGACGTTCATGCTGCAGGTGGTCTTGGATTTCGAGCCGCGGCGCGTGGTCGATCTGTACCTGTACGTCATCTTGGGCGTGCTGAACGCGCTCGTCACCAACTCGTTCTTTGCTCTTGTCATGGCGGTGGTGATGGCGTGGGATGCCACGCCTCGTTGGGTGGGTGGGAGCGTCCTCGTGCTTTTACGGCGACGGGTTGGGTTTCGGATCGTGGCGATTGCGCATTCCGTGGCGGGGTGGGTGTGGTTCCTTCTCATGTATGTCCTCTTCACCATGTTGATCATTTTGGATGTTCTGAGCCTGGGGGTGGAGTTTTGGCACCTTCGGTACGATTGGTATCAGCATGTAACACCATGGGGTATTGCGGGTGGGACGGAAATAGACCCGATAATCCCCGCCGCACCAGCGATGGTGATGGTTTAATCATATGTACAGTATCTGCATTTCGGGTGTGATTGTGCGTGCTACATCCAGGAAATGTCGGATCCTTCGTCTTGGCTGTCGGGGATGACCATTGCATCATTGAGCTTTGCTTTCGGTGGGGTGTGGGTATCGGTCCGCGGTAGAGGCGAGGACTGCAAGTCCTCAATATCCAGGAACCCATCATCGTTCGCCTCTGCGGCCAGATTTGACTGCATTTCCTGAATCCCTTCCATGTCGTCCTCACTGTCCTCCTCGACATCCACCAGACCCACCGATTCCGCGCCCACCAACGCCGATTCACCCCCTTTCCACTTCTTCCCCCTCCCCCTCCCCCTCACCGCCGTCTCCCCACCCCTCCTCACGCTCAACCCCCTCACCACCTCTTCCCAATCCATCCCCTCCCCACACCCCAAACACTCCCCCCACCGCGGCACCACCTCACCCCCCTCCCCCCTCCTCTCCCCTTCCTCCAAAAACCGCCTTCCTAAACACCCCACACACGCCACCATCGTGCACTCCCCTCGCGGACACCCCACCGCATCGTGATCTTTCGCGTTGATCTCCCGCGCACACACCGCGCACCGCGTCCCGGGCGTTGAAATGCGCTGTGTTGTCTTCTCCACCGCTGGCGCTAGCGGCGCGAGGCTGAGATCCCACTTGTCTATCGGCCCGACGAGATGCGTCTTCTCCACGACCTCGACGCCGACATCCCATCCGGCACCCGTGGCCCCTCCGCCAGTCGGCACGCGCCTGTCACGCGCGAACACCTCCCAGGCATACTGCTGATGCTTCCCGAGGCGTTTGCGGGCGATGGAGGCCCATTGGGTGGTGAGGAGGGGGGTCTGGGGCCGGACCACGAGGGGCCAGCGGCGGAAGGCGGGGGCGTGGAGGAGGAGGCGGAGGTCGTGGAGGTAGGATGGGAGGGAGAAGGAGGTGCGGGGTTTGGGTTTGGGATGTTTGCCGGGGGGAGGGGGGGGAGTGGGGAGGTGAGGAAGGAGGCGGGTGAGGAGGGGGTGTTGCCAGGCCCATCTGGGGGGTTTAGTTGGGGTGGGGAAAAAGAAGGGGGGGGGAAACTCACTCGAATTGGAGGGCGGCGTGTTTGGAGGGGAAGCCAGTGACGAGGAGGACCATTTCCCAGGGACGGTTTTTGTCGGACTTGGTCCTTTCGGCGCCGCCTTCGCCGTTGTGTTGGTCGGTACGGCGTCGGGGATGGGGGGTCGAGCCGACGTATAATAGATTGGACATAGTGGATTGAAGGAGATAGCAGCAGTAGAAGGGGACTATGGGGTTTTGGACTTTCGAGACATTCATGGCCGGCATGATGGGCTGTTTTGAGGGGTTGTTTACACGAGTTGGGAAGGTTGGCAAACCAACCATACTCTGGATTGATTCCAGTAATTTCTTATCCAGAAATTCAACCTGGACTTTAAATGCAAGGCCGCTCGTCTGTTCTATTGCAGTTCTCTGGGATATGATGGATGGTTGATGATGCTATTGTTAATGCTATTCATTGGGATATCGAGGACACCAGCCTATGTAGGGCAGCGACGGGGATGGACGTTATGAAGCGCGTCTGACGACATGAAACTTCCTTCGTTCCGCAGCAGGGGGTGGGTGTTCCGATCGGTAGTTTCGTATGGAATGTTCATTGGCTTTTGATCGATCATCCACTAGTTAGCCCGGAAGTCTCTTTATATTGGACAAGTTCGGTCCCGGGGAAGGTGAAGTTTGGAAGGTCGGACAATGCGGGCACAAGGGACACACGGAAAACTGAAGGGGATATCCTGATGTCTGTACCCCTGGCCATTACCTGCTCTTATGAAACATATACGCTGACAATCAATAATCTTCCCCTGTTCCGGACAATATTAATATCCGATTACAGGTGATGGATGAAATGAAGCCTGGGTCTCATATCAGCCGTGGTCACGTGGACAGGATGTGCATTTGTTTCAGCACATGACTTTAACCAGGACCTGGCATCTTTGATAGACAATGATTGGTTGAATTTATGATCAAGGTGCTTACTTAGCCAGTTTTCATGGATCTTATAGCCAATAATACTTAAGTAGTGACCGAAAGAAGCCAAGTGGTATTCCAGCAACACCACCGCTTTCACCACCACTTTCAGTTCACCACCCGCAGCCCATCCTTTACATCTTCTCCTCCACTCTTTTCCACTCCAATCCAACCGAATATATACCCTCGTATTCCCCTCCGTCCCTTTCTCTCCATTGCTCCTATACTGTTCACCTTGTCATGCTTTCCTCCACTTTCATTCACTTCTCTCCTTCCGCTGCATGTCCTTTCCTCGACGTCGGTTCATTCTTGGTTCGTCCTTGATAGTCCGACCTGCATCAAGTTCCTAGGTACTCCGTACCATACCCTGACATCCATACGGATGATTGACTGAAGCCACCACCCATCATCCCCCATTTTCATCCACTTCACATGGGCCACTCCGTCTCGAGTATTCAGCTTCAGCCCACCTCTTTCGCTTCTCCACCTATCGTCCATCTCACCCATCTCGATATCGGCTCCTCCGCGCATTCGAGCGCATCGTGGACCCTCGACACTCGACCTCCCCACACTCTCGACTTCGTCCATCCGCTTGCATGGTAATCCCACCATCTACCGGCGGCGCGAGCAATGCGTCCGCTTCCCTCGCGCCTGCCGTTTCGTCCTTCCGCGCCGTCAATGCCCCTCAACCCGCCGTTGCACACGATCCAAATCCTGTCGTCGAAGGATGGCGCACCATGTCACCTGCCAACGGCTTTACCTCCATCCAGGCTCAAGCTGCCGCCGCTGGAGCGACCCCGAACGGCATATCAACACCGACGGGCTCGGTCCAGGGATCGTCGCAAAAGCAGCACGTGAACGGATCCGCGAATGCCCCATCGAGCGCAGGCCAGCGAACCCGCGTGGGGAACCTCATCCCGGTGAATCCTCAAGCACCGCCGAATAGCACGGGCGGAGGGTTTCCGTTGAGTTCAAGAAAGGCTCTTCCTCTAGATCTGGCTACGGTCGAACGACGATTGCCGCCGCAGGATGGGCTCCCGCCCGGGTCGAATGGGCGCGCAATGCCGGAACCGATTAAGATGTCGAGGCATTTCGGACTGGATGAGGCACCGACGTATCGGCCCACCGAAGAGGAGTTCGCGAAACCGTTCGATTTCATACGAAGCATCGCCGAAGAAGGCCGGCGGTATGGCATCGTGAAGATCATTCCACCGGACACATGGAATCCACCATTCACGATCGATACAGAAGTAAGGATCTCGCATGGCTGTCTCACGTGAAATAACCATACTCACCACTCGCAGAAATTCCATTTCCGGACTCGAAGACAGGAACTCAATGAGGTGGAAGGGAGCAACCGAGAAAATGTCACATATCTCGAAGCACTTGCCAAGTTCCACAAGCAGAACAGCAACACCAACCTCAATCGATTTCCTAGCGTCGATAAGCGTCCCCTCGACTTATATCGCCTCAAGCGCCTCGTGGAAGAGAAAGGAGGTTTCGACACCGTATGCAAAGGCAAACGATGGGCCGAGATTGGCCGAGACTTGGGATACAGCGGCAAAATCATGTCGTCTCTGTCGACGAGCTTGAAGAACTCCTACCAAAAATGGCTGCAGCCGTTCGAAGAGTATATCCGACTCAACAAACATACCGTGCGATATCAACAAGAACTCGACAATGGCGGACCCTACACTCCGAGTCCTGGACCGAGTCCCGTCAAACAAAGCCCCCCGACAGCCATAACCGGCATGTCTCCCGCTGCACGAGCATCACAGGCACTCCATGCGACTCTTCAAAACGGAGCTCCTCCTGCTTTCGAACCACAACCCCAAGAAGTGTCTCACGAAACCCCACCTCGACCATTCCCGTCCTCGGGATTTACAGCGGTCAACTCCGGGTTCACTGCCGTTAATGCTCCCCAACACTCCCCACCTGCACCTGCGCCCACCCAACAAAGCCTCACCGGCTCCTTCCCCGCCATCAATTTCCCCAACGGCATCACCAACGGCGGCGACACTGGACGCTCTACCCCAATGACCACCGGCAGTCCAATGGGTAGCGCAAAAGGCACTCCGGATCTTCGCGATGCCTACGGTGTCGGCCACATCCCCAACGGCCACCTCAACCCCCTCAAACGGACCGACTCCGAATTAAGCAACGAAGACCCCTCTGGGCGACGAAGCAAACGAGTGAAGCGGGAAAACGCACCCACCGTGGTCGGCTCGTTCATGTCGCAGCCGAAGCAGCCTATCAAAACGCCTGGCCTCCGCGACCGGGTCATCACCCCTGGTGAGGCTTGTGAAATATGCGGGAAGATGGATACACCACTGCACGGGTGTGACGGCTGCGATAGCGTGTATCATGAGGGCTGTCTCGACGAGAAAAACCGCCCAGCTTCGGACGGCGAATGGCATTGTCCGAAGTGTCTGGTCGGAACGGGAGAGTACGGGTTCCAAGACGGATATATCTACTCGCTGAAGCAGTTCCAAGAGAAGGCACGCTTGTTCAAAGAGAATCACTTCGCGTCGAAGATGGTGTTCGATCCGATCGCGAACAAGAAGCGAGACGTCCCGGAAGATGAAGTGGAGCGCGAGTTCTGGAGATTGGCCGAGAGCTTGACGGAGTCGGTCGAAGTCGAGTATGGCGCGGACATCCACTCGGGTATCCATGGAAGCGGGTTCCCGACGATCGAAAAATTCCCTGACGAGCGATACTCGCGAGATCCATGGAACCTGAACAACATGCCCTTGGACAAGGAATCGCTTTTCCGACACATCAAGTCCGACATCTCCGGCATGACTGTGCCGTGGGTGTACGTGGGGATGTGCTTCTCGTGCTTCTGCTGGCACGCCGAAGATCATAATTCCTACTCCATCAACTACCAACATTTTGGAGATACTAAAACGTGGTATGGCATACCCGCCGACTCGTTCGAGGCGTTCGAGCGAGCCACCAAGGAGTTGGCACCAGATTTGACCGAGAAGCAACCAGATCTGCTCTACCAGCTGGTGACGCTATTCACGCCAGACAAGCTGCGTAAGTACGGTGTCAACGTCTACGCAGCCGATCAACGAGCTGGACAATTCATCGTTACCTTTCCACAGGCCTATCATGCCGGGTTCAATCATGGCTTCAACCTCAACGAAGCGGTAAACTTCGCACCGAGTGACTGGGAACCGTACGGCGAGACCGGCGTCCTCCGACTCCGCGACTTCCGACGACCGCCATGCTTCTCCCACGATGAATTACTCGTGACGGCCGCTGCACGCGACCATAGCATCAAAACGGCACGGTGGCTTGGCCCTGCGCTGGAGCGCATGCTGGAACGGGAGCTCCTCGCGCGGGAGGATTTCAAGACGCGTCACATGGCGGCGATGAAGGAGCGTTGGGAAGACAGACGATTGGAGCTGGGGCTATACAGCGATCCGCAACCCGGGGTCAATCGGCCTCTGGAACTTCTAGGTGGCCCACCTGAAGGTCTGGAATTGCTCGACCATGTCTGCAAGCTTTTTGACAAGGATCATGTCCCGGTCACGACAAGTAGTTGCTCCCTGCTGTTCGCCAAAGAAGATCCGACGGTCAGCGAGGAAGACTACGTGTGCTCATACTGCAACTCGTACTCATTCCTGTCAAGGTTCTACTGCGCAACAGCGAAAAAGTCCTTCTGTCTCATCCACGCTGGAACGGTCGAGTGCTGCGGTGAGACGAACTGGCTATTTACGTCGCGATCCCTGTATGACTCGGAGATCCCGGCACATGGCACGGAGATCGGGCATCACATCGCCTTCTTCCGACACCAAGACGACGCGTTGAAAGAGATCGTGCAGAAGGTGGTCGACGTCGCCATCACTCCGAACAACTGGGAGAAGAAGCTCGAGAAAGTGTGCCACGAGACTGCGACCCCCCAATTACGGACGCTCCGCAGCTTGCTTGCTGAGGGCGAGAAGATCAACGCGCAATGGCCGATTGGCGAAGAATTGACGCATCTGAAGCGTTTCGTCGAGCGATGCAATGAATGGGTGGACGAGGCCACCGGATACGTTACTCGCAAGCAGCAAAACCGCCGAAAGAACGAGAAGGTCTGGCGTCGCAGCACGATCGGCAGTCGCAACAAGTACGACGACGACGATCGAGACAAGGAGTACCGGAACGTCGATCACCTGACGACTCTGCTGTCGCGGGCGGCTGAGCTCGGATTCGATTGTTCCGAGATCGGGCAGCTGCAGGAGCGCAAAGAGCGGATTGAGGAGTTCCAGGACAACGCACGAAAAGCCCTGGCGGATCCCCGCTCGCAGGACGTCAAGGACCTCGATGACTTGCTGGAAGTTGGACGAAGTTTCGGTTTGGACATCCCCGAAATGGAACGGCTGGATCGACTGGTGCAGCAGATCAAGTGGTGGAACCGAGCGCAGGACCTGACAAACAATATCGAAAACTTGACGCTCGAAGACCTGGCGGAGTTCTTGAACAAAGCCACCGAGGTGGGCATTCCAGAGGCGGACCCGGTGCTTTACTACATCAAGGAGTTGAAGAACCAGGGAGAGTTCTGGGAGAACAAGGCCAAGGAACTCATGTCTGTCGAAAACGTGCACTACCAACAACTGGACGCGTTGTCGAAGCAGGCAGCCCAGCTCCCCGTATCCAAGACCACCTTGGCAAAGGTCGATGCGATCCTGAAGAAACAGCGCGACGCCCAAGACCAGATCCAGAATCTTCTCGATCGCAGCAAGAACCCCGACTTCCGCCAGCGACCCAAGTACACCGAAGTGCGCGATGCGATGGAAGCGGTCAACCAGCTCAACTCGAAGCCCGCGGGGACGATCGACCTGGAGAAAGAGCAGCGACGCCACGAAGACTGGATGCGGCGCGGGAAGAAGCTGTTCGGGAAGGCGAACGCGCCGCTGCATATCCTGCTCCAGCACATGAAGTACGTGGATGAACGGAACAAGGCATGCTTCGACCTGAGCGATCAGCCACGCATGCCCGTGGAGCCGAGCAGTCGCGAACACACGCCGAACGAGGACCAGCCGCAGAGCCAGAGGGATGTGTTTTGTATTTGCCGGAAGCCGGAGGCGGGGATGATGGTGGAGTGTGAGCTGTGTCACGAATGGTGAGTCGATATCCACAATCTCAATTTCGTCCTAACGTCCGCAGGTATCACGGTCGCTGCTTGAAGATCGCTCGCGGAAAACTCCGAGAAGACGACAAATACACCTGTCCTATTTGCGATCACCGCGTCACCATCCCCCGCGATGCGGCGCGACCCAAGCTCGAAGACTGCGTTGACTGGCAAGTCGAGATTCCGGGCCTCCCTTTCCAACCGGAAGAAGAGGAGTGTCTGGCATCCATCCGTGACACCGCCACCGCCTTCCGCAACTTCATGCAGTCCTTCATGAACCCGATGCTGAGCAACCCCGACGAGCTGACCACGCAGCGCTTCTATCTCCGCAAGCTCGAAGGCGCCGACATCCTCCTCTCCGCAGAGATCAACTTCTTCCGCCAGGAACTGCACAAATGGGCCCCCGTCGCCCCGGACCCGCCCCGCATGATTGCTGCGAGCCTGTCAACCCGCAAACCGCGACCGACCAAGCAGCAGAAGCTCATGCAGCAGTACGGCGTCTCCACCCCGGATGATCTGCCTGCGCACATCCGCATCCGTGGCTCGGGCCGCGGACGGAAAGCATCCGATGCGCACAGCGTCACGCGGCCCCAGTCGGCGGGAAGCTCGCACGCTAGTGCCCCGCCGTTCGGAGGCACGCCGATCCCCGGGGCGGCTGCCGGTGCCGGCCGTGGGCGCGGCGGCCATTACCAGTCCGAGGGTCGGCCTCACTCGAACTCCATGTCCGCCTCCGGAGACCACGCCATGCAATCACCCAGCGTGACGTACCACCATCACCACCATCACCGACCGTCACTAGGCCTCGTGGGCCACCCCGACGGCGCGGATGGACCCGCGGGGATGCCGAGCGATGGACTCGGGCCCGCGCATGCACACCAACCCCCGCGCGACCAAAGCCCCCCGCTGTTCTTCTCGGCGTCCAGCGAGACGCACCCCCGCGACCCCAGCGTCGCCATGTCGATGCCCCTGCCGCCGACGACGCTCTCGCACGTCGACGACATCGTGATGAACGACGGGCCGTATTTCTCGGGGCACTACGCGATGGGGGGACCGAGCACCGGGGGACGGGGGGTCGGGGCGGAGGAGGCGGTGGATCCAATGATCGATCCCGGGTTGATGGAGGGGCAGGGGCCGGAAGGGGAGGGGGGGAACGAGGATAGTTTCGTGAGTGGGGGGAGTGGGGATATGTTTAAGGAGATGATGAATATGGAGGAGGATGGGGATGGGGAGAAAGAGAGGGGGTGAGGGTTGCATCCCCCCGAAACGAAACGAATCGCCCTCGATGTCTTCATCATTTCTTCTCTTTCCCCTTCAGCACTTCCGTGCTTTGCATTGCTGCGGCGTTCTCCCCTTTCGAGATGATGATCTTTTCTATTCGGTCCCTCCCGCTCGGAGCAAGGACCCGCATCTTCCTTCGATCTGATTACCGATCTGATCACCGAAGATCTGGCATCATTCATCGTGCATCAACCATCAAGATACATGTATCCGGGTTTCCTACCTATCGGAGCACCCCAGGAGACTCATCACCATCTGCGACTTATCGCGTGCTGCGACGTGTATCATGGTGCATTCTCGGGTGGCACGCAAAATACTTTCTTCGCCTAATTACAGATTTTCTCGGGACATGGGACGGGGCGTCGACTTCATGGGTTCCCTCAGCGTCTATCTGTAGGGATCAGGATGGGAACTGCGATCGGCGCATAATAATGTTCCATGGTTTCAATGCTTCTTTCCCAACAAGCCATGTTCGTGCTTTATCGCATGTACTTCTAGTTCTGCTTAATGGACGTAGACATGCTACGGTCAATTCTACCGTTTCTACTTGCTGTGCCTGATCCAGCCTTCTGCAAAGCGTGAACCCGCCTAACCTTTTACCATGTCTATGTTAAATTCGAGTGACACCGATCTGGGTGGATTGGGATTTGAGCGACGGTAAGATCTGAGTGATGTGGAATTATGCGATCGGTTCATGGCTCGAATCGGGCCTTAGACGTCTATGGATCACTTTCAGCCGCTGTAATCACGGTTTAATGAATTTTGAACATAAAATAGCAGTGACGGTAGACGATTCCAGCGGGCGGTAAACACTTCAACGATTTCAAAATGAAATAAGTGGCAATGGACAACCCTAGCAAACCTACTTTGGATTGGCTGCGACGGGCAGTTTCGATAATTAGCTGACTTCTTATTCTCTACTGATTCTGACTACTCATCTCTCACGACGTCTCCTAATTGTCACTTTGATGGTCATATCGCGTCATATAGTTAAAATTGCACTGATCAGGACTATAATTGGGCAGATTTGATCAGCACCTATGAGTATGCTCTTTAATAGTGGCCTTTGAGCCTGAGGCCTACAAACCGTTCCGAGTGAAATCTACCAACGGTCCCAGTGACAATCCTGGAGTAGAGTAGTATAACCCAGCCAAGCCGAAAACCCTCCAAAAACGGTGCTAGAAACATGTTTTTTTGGAGGCAATTTCGGTAGCATACAACGTTACTCCTTAGCATGGTAAAGATAAAAGATGTTGCATACGTAGTACTAGTAGAGTTCCCAATCAGGCTTAACTCCTTCCTGTCAACAGTGAATGGGCCAAACTCCGTCCCCTGAGCGATTGAGGCCTGAGCCACGCTATGGTAGGATTTGAGATTTCTGGATTGGTTATTGGTACTCTAGCCCGACAGCCCGGCTCGGGCCGCTCAGAAGTGAGACACCAGACAACGCATAGTCGTCACGGTCGAGAATGGGTAGCGTTTATAATAATTCTTCATCTTTGCTCAATCATCAATGACCAATGTTAAATTCATATTAAGCTCTCTTGCCTAAAACCTAGGCCCAAAGCTCCCAATCTAGTTCGTGAGCTCCATTATAGGGGCGGAAAAGAGCTACATCAAGGATAATGACTAATTATAGCGCGCAGGAATTTCCCATATATATAGTAAGGCTGAGACTTGGCCAAGAAGCCCAAGAAGTTTTCACCCCTAACGGGACGCTCCGGACCAATCCACTGACACTAATAGCTAATTGGTGGCTTTGTGTAACTACTGTATAGAATTAGAGTTCAGGTTGCGTCTTTTACCTACGAATCCTAATTGAGTTCGAGAAGTTCTGTTGAAAGCAGTGTCGCTCACAGTCCCGCAGTGACTGATTTCGGTCAGAATTATTCCAAATGAATAACTATCGCGAGGGCTATGGTATGATCCTTCAAGAGGGCTATGGTATGATCCTTCAAGAGGCCCTACTCTTGAAAATTTTGGAGGACGATATACTTACGAGTAAGCGTCGTGGGGCTCAAAAGGCTGAAACATCATGGAAACCTCCTTTTTCCATCCATAGCTTCGTCCTTGTTTTCCGCTCAATTGGATGGGCCAGTACAGACGCTGAGGCTTTCGTTCTTCAGATAGGCCAGTACAGGTGCTGAGGCTTTTGACCCTTTCAGACTAGCTATCTTGATTCGTCGACAGCCCGGTCTCATCTGGTAACGCAGCCTTGTCCTATTTCCGTTTATGCTATATTACTACCATCACTCAAGCGGTTTGCCTAGAAGTAATGTCTTTTTTCTATTTTCATTTTCTTGCCGTGTTTTCTAACTTAGCATCTCCTACTTAAACTCTATCTTCATTATGTCCGGCCTAAGGCTGCCCCTTATAGGGTGGCTAGGGTACCTCCGCATCTTTCTTCGCACTATTGGGCTTCATGTGTTGAATTCTGTCGACCGCTGGTTCCTCCAAAAAGCTGCAGGCGAACAGCCCAAAGCAGTCATTTACAAATCACGGTTCATCGCCCTTTTCCGATGCTGTATCCATATTGTGCCAGCGACGCTGTCCATTTTTCTCCTCTCAATAACTTTTTGCGGATATTTCATAGGGTGGGATTTAGCAGGAACCCCTGGAAATTCAAGAACATATCTATCGGTTCTCCAAGTGGCAGCAAAGACACAGTAACTTTTGATTACGGGCTCTATCGCATCTATCGTCCTCCATAAGCTCCGTACGGATCTAGTTCGAGACGGAGTCCCTTTGGCCTCCTTGGCTCCGCACTAAGCTTCAGTCAACTGAGCTTCTTCTGGACCCAAGATTTTATTGGTGCAGTATCCTCGAAAGCCAACTGCAAAGCAAACCGAGGTCTCATATTTTACCTATTCATCACCGGACTACTAGCAACTTCGACTGGCCCGGCATCAGCGATTTTGATGATCGCAAGAAAAGTCGAGATGCCGGCTGGAGGAACATCGTATTATGTCAAAGGGAGCGCTAGTCAACTTTGGCCCGATACCATTGGGATTGAACATTATGATCCGTTCCCTGAATTGAATTCGGGAGCCGGGAAGTTCCAGTGCATGTCGCATCATGCACATTTGAGCTCGTTCTGCCCTAACGGAGGGTATCATTCACTGATGGAGCAATTTTCCTCTATGCTTGGCTCTTATTGTATCCTGGCGTTAGTCCAGACCGCCTGAATATCCGGGGAAATCGACAGCACACCACGGGGAGCCTCTCATGCTCCCTTCTGGTGTTGGCGTTTTGATTCGGAGCCTTGAGGGGATGGTATCCTCATTTACAATGGATGGCAGAATTCGTGGCTCGCACGGCGAACGTGAGACTATTACAGTTGGTACGCACGCACCAACGATTCTTCTGCAACAGAGACTCAATAAGGACTGGACCGATGCTTTATATAACAAACACCTTCCGGGACCCAGTTACTCTCGACTCAAGTACTACGAAACACAACGAGCGGTCGTACTCACTCGAGTGCCTGTTGTCCGATGTGTATGTGTGCTGCAAGACCCGAATGCCACGACTCGCAGGATTTTTATGCCTGTATTGCCAGAATTCAAACGCGCAACTTCGGAGGACAAATGGGTAAATGAGGTTGTATTGGTCACCATCTCCAGTTTAGCAACTCACACATTCTCCAAAGCGGCCCGAGTCTCCTGGGTCGACCAGAATATAACAGGATTTCCTCCAGAACATCGTATGACAACTGGACTCCTCTTTGAGGCCCCTTGGGGAAGCAACCAAAGCCGAAGTGCATTTGGATGCTCTATCGATGCACGCTGGGCGAACGCAGATACCATTATTGAATATCCGGGCTTCTCCGAGTCTAGGATCACGGCCACGATGCGTGATAAGCCGGACAATGGGTTCATTAATAGTTTTCTTCCACATCCAGAGCCATCGGCCGGATGGAGTCGCATAAACGTAACCCCGGAGTGGCTAGAAACCGTGAATTTCAAGCTGCCATCGAACTCTAGCGGCAAATACGAACCACGATGAACCGCTTTAAAGGCTCTTATCATTGCCCCTGTGGGGGATTGGTTGCAAAATGTGGCGAAGATCCCGTCAATATCAAATGACACTGCGGCTACCATGGAACATGTCATTGCCACTACGTTTGCCGATGCGTTACCCAGAGTTGGGAGTTTTCGAGGCTATGATACCTCAGAGACGATTAATGATACGGGAATCTCAAGGTCCCCCTTTAATTATCGACGTGAAGACGGCTTCTACCAGAAACCCCTAAAAGGGAAACGAGCACTCAAAGCTCCCGTCGTCTCTGGCCCTTATACGACTATGAATATGACTATTACGGTCACTGGCTATGGATTTCAGCTCCAAGCGGCCATAGATTACCTGGAGGTCGGAATCCTATGTATCTATATAGCGATAGCTTTCTACCACAGGATATACATATTCTGTAAGGGGGAGAATTCGGGTAGTTGGGATACAGTGCCAGAACTGATTGCTCTGGCAGAGCAAAGTCGACCGACATCAAAAGGTCTAGCGAACACATGCCCTGGAATTGATTGTCTAAGTACCTTAAGACAAAGAGTCCGAGTTTGACCGAGAGGTACAACTGGGGACCACCTGGCGCTACTGTTTGATGCAGACAACCCTCCTGAAAAAGAGGATTCTGTCATTGATGGACAACTCTATGGGTAAAAGTCTAGTACTGTTATAGTCCCAGGCTTGTGGCCTGCACCCTTGGGAACATGTTATAGCTGATGCTACAGAGGAGTACCTGAAAGGATTATCACAGGAAGTGATCATGTGTATGGATTGGTTAGCACTGGAGGAGATGGATTATATCTCATGTATATATGTACGAGAAGACTTTCTCTCGTCTCTTCTTTTCTTTAGTTTGGATTAATGGAACTAGGTAATTGCGGACATCACAGTCTGAAACTGTGACAAGATTAGAGTATCTCTCTTACCGGTAGCAACCATATCAGGTATCTTCTCCTCTTACTTCTCTCTTCTGCTTTAATCTCATATTCTAACCCTTCCTCTCTTCCTCGCTATCGCACAATTAGCTAACTTATTTACTTACCATCTCGCCTAGCGCTCACCGAGATCTACACCGTTGTATGATCAGGCAAAATCTCACTCATATCATAATAGCGATCACATCAGGAATCTCCTCTCACTTCTCTCCTGCTTAACTCTTATATTCCGAACCATAGCCTCTTCATCACCATCACCGAACTTACCCCTTTCGCCTTCCCATATATGGCATTCGCCCCGATCAACACGATCACGTCATGGTTCGTACACGAAATCTCACTTAACCATCAGATTTGGAGCGCCGAGTCACCGCTTCTGCACGCATGTAAGGGGAAAGCACCCTCCTTCCTTCACTTCACTTCTAACCAACCGTTGCACATCCCCCCTCAATCGCCAAACATCGAGAATTAGCAGGATGACTTGAGTCTCTGTTTGATAAGGAAGACTTCTCCTTCCTAGTATAGGATCCGAGCGTCGGGGGAATGGAGCGAAGCGAAATGGGGGAGGAATCCCCCTTAATCCTTGAAAGAGGAGGGCGGTAGCTGGATGCCTCAATCAGAAGGCTAAGACATTGCCTTAGGTAGCAGTGCGGCCACCTCTGATTTGAGATGAAGCCCCTCGACTACAAATTCTCTCCTTCCTCCTAATTGCCACCTCGACTGTCACATCGTATGGTTGAAATTCCACTGATCACGACTGAAACGGGCGGATTTGATCCACGAATTGTGTGTGAGTAGATGTAGACTTACCCTGTCCGACCCCTCCAAAGGTCCCAAACCTGCCGGGAAACAAAAGTGAAGAGAGATCCGCCTTATGTACAATATGTTGACAACGGTGGAGGTCGAATGCCATAGCCCAAGCAGAAGGGCTTGTCCCCTTTTATCGCGCAATCCAAGTCGGCGCGTAGCGAAAGAGATTCCATGTTCCCGTTCGACGAACCTCCCGAGTAACGGCATTCGACCCGCCCCACCCATGGTGTTCCATCCTCCACGCCCGATCACCACCACATCCCCTACCCCCGATCACTTCTCAAAATCGCTCTTCTGCAAGTTCCGCGTCATACTCGGCAACCGCACCACGATCCCATCCACCTCCTTACTCATCAACACCTGACATCCTAGCCGACTCGTCTCCGTCAGCCCGAACGCCAGATCCAGCATGTCATTCTCGTCGTCCGATGGCTCCGGCAGTACGTCATAGGCAGCCTCGGAGTCCACGACCACGTGGCAGGTCGAGCACGCGCACGAGCCGCCGCATGCGCCCTCCATCTCGAGGTCGTTGGCTTGCGCAATGTCGAGGAGATTGTCGCCGTCGGCAACGGTGAAGGTATGGGAGGAGCCGTCTTTGTCGATGAAGGTGACGTGGCGTCTGGAGAGGAGGGTTAGTGGATTGGTGGACGGGAAGTTAGGGAAGGGAGAGGTACTCTTCACCGGGTTTCGGGGGTGTGAGGTGGGCGTGGGAGCGGGTGGAAGAAGTGGTGAATGTTCTTCGGGCGGAACGCCATTGCGTGGAGGGTGTGGTTTGGGACGATGATGGGACTCTCCTGGCTCTTGAAGGCTGTGTTATCCGTGTTGCGGATTGAATGGTGGAATACATGGAGCGGAAGTGTTGGAAGGCATAGTGTGGTGGATTCGGCGCCGCTCTTCTTAAACGCGTCGCGGAGATATCGGGGACGATTCTTCGGATTGACATGTTCAATTGTCACAAAACCCGATCGTGCTATAACCGTCCACAGCGGCAATCGTCGAGAAGATCCGAATGTGAGTGATGGTCCTGACGGATGTTAATAAATCTTCCTGTCAGTGACGATGTCGGAACTTTTCCAGCGCGGAAAGATTAGCCGCAGAGAGAGAGGGCTTGGTCATCGTCTAAAGTTGCCGAGATTCCCGTGCATAGCTCCCCTCCCTTGACAGTTGACTCTCTCCATCAAGAGCAACGTCTTACACCATCTATTCCAACATCTCCACTAACTACGGCTCTGTTACCTCAGGTCCTCTTGTCCTGACAAGTGCATGCTTCTAGGCATTCGTCCCCGCCTGAAAGCTCGTCCGTCTCTACTTGATTTGATCGAGAACGGAAGGTCGCACCGTTCCAATCCCCCTAGTCCGGAGGCTACGAGGAGCTCGACCTTTGGGAGACCCGCTGAGCTTTTCGACGTTGAATTCGCCATTGCAAGCGACGACCTCGAAGACCCGTTCGTCGAACTGCCGCCGTTGCCGGAGAGCCCTGTGAAGCCGGCCATCTCCCCTGGGATCCTTCCTGATATTGTTGTGAACGGCTCGGAAGTTGAGAAAGACGTCATTGAAGAGCTGCCTAAACAGAAGGAATCGGTCAAGATGGCACCAGTAGGTCTACACTCAAGCTTCAGAACCCGGATTATTGATGGCTGATGGGTACTGTAGGCAGCGAATACAGCAGATGAAGAATACGATGGTATGTTGAGATATGTCCTTGGTTGAGCTCAAGCTAATCCATTGAATAGGCTCCGTTTTCTCCGTCTCAGGGTACGAGAACAACATCGCCCTGATCCACACGTGCTAATGTTTCGTAGTCCTGTCATCGTGGCGGAGAACATGATCGGTTGTTCTATGAACGAATTGGTATGCTACTTCCCTCAGATCCTTACACGCTCTTCTGCTGATTCCGTAGGTTCGTGTCGGCCACGAGAACCTGGTTGGAGAAGTCATTCGTATAGAAGCCGATAAAGCCACGATCCAAGTCTACGAAGAGACAGGTATGGTCGATTGCACATGGACATAATCTACGGGTGCTGACAGGCGGTAGCCGGAGTCAAAGTTGGTGATCCTGTCATTGGCTCGGGCAAGCCCTTATCGGTCGAACTCGGACCGGGCCTCATGGAGACCATCTACGACGGTATCCAACGGCCCCTGAAGCACATTGCGGACGTGTCGAACTCCATCTACATTCCTCGCGGCATCGACATTCCTTCCCTCAACCGTGAGAAGAAGTGGGAGTTCACCCCCGGCCAGTTCAAAGTCGGTGACCACATCACCGGCGGCGACGTCTTCGGTACGGTCTTCGAAAACTCCTTGCTGAGCGAGCATAAGATTCTGCTTCCACCGCGCGCTCGTGGTACGATCACACGACTTGCTGGGCCGGGCAGCTATACTGTGGACGAGAAGATCCTGGAGTTGGAATTTGACGGCAAGAGGACCGAATACAGCATGATGCATAGGTGGCCCGTTCGAGTTCCTCGACCTTCCAATGAGAAGTTGAGCTCGGATCAGCCCCTCATCGTCGGACAACGTGTGCTAGACGCCCTGTTCCCGAGTATCCAAGGCGGTACGGTCTGCATTCCCGGTGCCTTTGGATGCGGGAAGACCGTGATTAGCCAGAGTTTGTCCAAGTTCTCGAACAGTGACATTATCGTGTACGTCGGCTGTGGTGAGCGAGGAAACGAGATGGCTGAGGTCTTGATGGATTTCCCCGAAGTACGTATTGCCTGGGACGTATGTGGACGTAAACTGACCCAACACAGCTTAGCATCGAGGTCAACGGAAAGAAAGAACCCATCATGAAGCGAACCACCCTCATCGCCAACACCTCCAACATGCCCGTGGCGGCACGTGAGGCCTCCATCTACACTGGTATCACCGTGGCAGAATACTTCCGTGATCAAGGCAAGGACGTCTCTATGATGGCCGACTCCTCCTCCCGCTGGGCCGAAGCGCTGCGTGAAATCTCCGGTCGTCTCGGAGAGATGCCTGCCGATCAAGGCTTCCCCGCTTACCTTGGTGCCAAACTCGCGTCCTTCTACGAGCGTGCTGGTCGTGTGACGGCGCTTGGTTCTCCGGACCGGAAGGGCAGTGTCAGCATCGTCGGTGCCGTCAGCCCTCCCGGCGGTGACTTCTCCGATCCCGTTACCAGCTCCACCCTCGGCATTGTCCAGGTGTTCTGGGGGTTGGACAAAAAGCTGGCACAACGCAAGCACTTCCCCTCGGTCAACACTAGCCTAAGCTACACCAAATATACCACCGCACTCGATAAATACTACGCGGAACATAACCCCGACTTCCCCCGCCTGCGCGACCGCATCAAAGAACTCCTAACCACCTCTGAGGACCTGGACCAGGTCGTCCAGCTGGTCGGCAAGTCAGCGCTGGGCGACTCCGACAAGATCGCACTCGACGTGGCGACCTTGCTCAAGGAAGACTTCCTGCAGCAGAACGGCTACTCTGACTATGATCAGTTCTGCCCGCTCTGGAAGACCGAGTGGATGATGAAGAACATGATGGCGTTCCACGACGAGGCGCAGAAGGCCGTTCAGCAGGGCGTCAGCTGGGCTCGTACCCGGGAGGCGACCGCCGACATTCAGAGCCAGCTGCGGGCCATGAAGTTCGAGTTGCCTAGCGAGGGAGAGGAGAAGATTACCAAGAAGGTGAGATTTGACCTGGACCTTGTGAGATTCTCAGCTAATGTGACATGCAGTACGAGGAACTTCTGCAAAGCATGATGGATAAGTTCGCGGCGGTGGTCGATGAGTAGGAGAGTGCAGCGGTTCTCGGGATTTGGGTCTCTTTTGTGAAGCATAGAATGAATGGTTTGTCGGGGCTACCATAGTATGGATACCAATGGTCTTTCTTTCGTCAAGAATCCAGACACTGTACACAGCGACTGTAGTCTATCCCGTAATAGGTAGGGTACCTGGCCTGCCGTTCTTGCCAATTCTACATACTTTCAAAAATCAGCTCTGGGACTTTGTGACATGGCGATAGGATATATATATTATATATCCCTATCCATATTATGAATCTCCTTACTTATTGACCCATATTCGATCTGATACATGTATCACATTATTCACACCAGACGTCAGCAGATTCAATGGTTTAGCCTGTTGCACCGCCTCAATTGGTGACGAAAAGCTCCACTGGTGCACGACCACCAGACAAAGGTGTGGCGCATATGTCTCGGTGGACGGGCAATGAACACGGGCAGCGATTCCTCCTGACAGCATCAACAACCTGATCACAACCCCCCGATTTCTTCGCATTTTCCACCGGACCATTTCTAGCTGCGAACTCTCCACCATTTGACCACTTGTTTGACGTTTCGGCCTTCCATTTCTAAACTCCATCTGGATCGGAAGCACGCCCTTCGACGCTGCCCTTGCCAACCATGGCGCAAATCAGTCCAAATGCGTATGCCTAATCCCCGATACCCCCCCCAGACTTGAATTGACTGTGCTGGTTAGGATAAACGTCAACGATCCGACGTTGATCACGCTCGTCAATAAGCTGCAGGATGTGTTCACCACAGTTGGTGTATGTGCTTGCATTCGCCGAGACCCGGATGATCTGGCTGGATACTGATGCGTCATTTTTAGGTTCAAAACCCAATAGACCTCCCACAGATTGTCGTCGTAGGATCGCAGTCGAGTGGCAAGAGCTCCGTGTTAGAGAACATAGTTGGGCGAGACTTGTATGTACACTCTTCCTTACTGTACTTCGGGTAGGTTGTCTAACTTCCACGTCTCCAGTTTACCACGAGGAACCGGCATCGTCACGCGACGACCGCTCCTCCTGCAACTCATCAACCGCCCCGCCACAAAACCTGAAATTAACGGCACCGGCCAAGGTCTCGCCCCCGATGGCCAGGCGCCCGCCGAGTCCAAGGCGATCAAGACGACCGACAAGGAGTCCAACGTCGACGAATGGGGCGAGTTCCTCCATATCCCCGGCCAGAAGTACCACGACTTCAACAAGATCCGCGAGGAGATCGTGCGCGAGACCGAGTCGAAGACGGGCCGCAATTCCGGCATCTCGCCCGCCCCGATCAACCTGCGCATCTACAGCCCGAACGTGCTGACGCTCACATTGGTGGATCTGCCCGGGTTGACGAAGGTGCCGGTGGGCGATCAGCCGCGAGATATCGAGCGGCAGATCAGGGACATGGTGTTGAAGTATATCACCAAGTCGAACGCCATCATCCTCGCCGTGACGGCCGCCAACACGGATCTGGCGAACTCCGATGGGCTGAAACTGGCGCGGGAGGTCGATCCGGAGGGCCAGCGGACCATCGGTGTCCTTACCAAGGTGGATCTGATGGACGACGGCACGGATGTCGTCGACATTCTCGCGGGCAGGATCATCCCGCTTCGACTGGGATATGTTCCGGTGGTGAACAGAGGACAGCGTGACATCGAGACGAAGCGACCGATCTCATACGCTTTGGAGCACGAAAAGAACTTCTTTGAGAATCACAAGGCATACCGGAACAAGAGCTCTTACTGTGGGACCCCGTATCTGGCGCGGAAACTGAACCTGGTGAGTGTGGAAGTCGGCACAGAAGTAACCATACTAACCGATATAGATCCTCATGATGCACATCAAACAAACCCTTCCCGAAATCAAGGCTCGGATCCAATCATCGCTATCGAAATATCGACAGGAGCTGGATCAGCTGGGCGACTCGCTCCTAGGGAATAGCTCCAACGTCGTGTTGAATATGATCACCGAATTCAGCAACGAGTACCGCACCGTCCTCGAAGGCAATAACCAGGAGCTTTCCTCCATCGAACTCTCCGGCGGCGCGCGTATCTCGTTCGTGTTCCACGAACTGTATTCCAACGGCGTCAAGGCCGTCGATCCGTTCGACCAAGTCAAGGACATCGACATCCGCACTATCCTGGTCAACTCCTCCGGGTCCTCGCCCGCGCTCTTCGTCGGGACCACAGCGTTCGAGCTCATCGTGAAACAGCAGATCAAGCGACTGGAAGAGCCGAGTCTGAAGTGCGTCAGTCTCGTGTACGACGAGCTGATACGTATCCTTGGGGGGCTTCTCACCAAGCCCGCGTTTCGAAGGTATCCGGCGCTCAAGGAGAAGTTTCACCAGGTGGTAGTTTCATTTTTCAAGCGAGCGATGGATCCAACGAACAAACTGGTCAAGGACTTGGTCTCTATGGAGGCGTGCTACGTCAATACTGGTCATCCAGATTTTATCAACGGCACAAGAGTATGTATTCTCCCTTTACCCCTATTACCATTACATCGACCTTTACCTCGCACCCAGTGCAACCGCCTTTCTTAAATACCAACTACATCATCTCTTGCACCATCTAACTAATATACCCAATAGGCCATGGCAATCGTGCATGAACGATACCACGCCGCCAAGCCCACCCAGGTCGACCCGAAGACCGGCAAGCCGCTCCCACCCGCCGTTCCCCCGCGGTCCGCATCCCCGAGCATCGACGCAGATGCCAGCGGCTTCTTCGGCAGCTTCTTCGCCAGCAAGAACAAGAAGCGGATGGCCGCGATGGAGCCGCCGCCACCGACGCTCAAAGCGAGCGGGACGTTGAGCGACAAGGAGACGCAGGAGGTCGAGGTGATCAGTACGTCATTGTCCACCGGAGCGTTGTGTGCCATGCTAACCAGATATCCTAGAACTGTTGATCACGTCGTACTTCGGCATTGTCCGCCGAACCATGATTGACATGGTCCCCAAAGCCATCATGCTCGCCCTCGTCGCCCTCTCAAAGGACGAGATGCAGCGAGAGCTGCTGGAGAACATGTACAAGACCGAGGAGCTAGACGAGCTACTCAAGGAGAGCGAGTACACGGTCCGCCGACGGAAGGAGTGCCAGCAGATGGTTGAGAGCTTGAAGAAGGCGAGCGAGATTGTGAATCAAGTGCAGTGAGTAATGTAAGACAACCCGGGTGGCCCAAGCAGTTTCAATCCAGCGACGAAGAAGGCACGAGCGATGGCTTCTGGGGATGTGGACGTTCAGGCAAGGGGTGGCACGGAGAGACGAGGGCCGCATTAGATAGATTGACGTGTTTTGAAATTGTCCGAGTTTGGTATTCCTGGACTCCAGCGCGGGTTCCGGAGCGCGTTGCTTCGCAGATTCCCCGATCGCCATTTTGTATCTTCCGAATACTTCCATAGGTCTGTTAAACTCCCGCAGAATGAAGCAGGGTTTACGCCAAATATGCTATTTAAGTCTCCCCCGACCTTCCACCCACTTTTGCGAAACGCACACGCCCTCAAGTAGCCCAACCTTACGTATCCCCCACCCGCCGTGCTTCCAACTTCTCCACCCTCCCTAACGGCACCCTCCCCCCATCCACCTGCTCCATCACCTCCCTTACCACCCTCCCCACCTCCCCCCCCACGGCCTCCACGCTCCCCCCAGCATCCACCCACACCATCTCCTCCCCCCAACTCATCCCCGCTAACCCCTTAAATCCCGCCCGCACCCGCTCCTGCATCTCCCGCCGCTCGTACCGCTCCCCTCCGTACCCGCCGCGCGCCTGCGCCTCTGCGGTGGAGAGGTCGAGGAAGAGGCAGAGGTCTGGGCGGGGGAGGCCGATGTCCGGGGCGGCGGCCCAGGAGAGGGGGAGGGAGGGGTTAAGCTTAGCGGCGGAGTAGACGGCGCCGCTGTAGATATAGCGGTCGATGACGATGGTGGTGCCGGAGGTGATTAGGCGCTCGATGGCGTCGCTGGAACGGAGTTAGTTTATGGATTTGATACTAGTGGATTATGGAGATTTGGAGGCGGACGCACGCGAACTCCCATCGGTTCGCGGAAAATAGGAGGTGGATAACGTGATCATGCTGTTCCGCCGCGCCGGAGAGATATTGATTGATCAATTGGCCAGTGGCTGTTTCTCGGTCTATTTGACGTTAATCTTCCATCCTGTTTGTAACTAAGATGGAAACGTACTTGGAAACCGCATATGTGTTACCCGGTCCTCGCCAATCTCTTCTTTGAGGCTCTTCACCAACATCTCCGCCTGCGTGGACTTCCCTGCTCGGTCGAGTCCCTCGATGACAATGAGCTTGCCTCGTGTCCCCGTAGGGTTCACGAGCTCCTTCTCCTTCTGTTTCGCCATCTCCGCCATGATTCGGTGGAGTTCTTGTCGTTGCTTGTTAAGGACTAGTTTTTTTACTTGTGGCACGCCATCGAGTAGATATTGGGGTTTGGCAGGGAGGGGTTGGTGGACGACATGCTCGTACTCCTAAACTCCGGCCGGCACCAATATTTGCTCGACGGGTGAGGTGACGATCGTTGGCAAACGTAAACGAACTTCATGGTTTCGTATTTATATTCAGTAAATTCCCTCGTTGTAATACGACGGTCGGACAGGAAACTACAATAGGGGATTCCGCACTTTCAATTAACATCAATATAACAGTAAGGAAACTTCATTTTGGAAGAATACACCTATTCGAATTAGGGCTGGACACGAATATTCGACTATTCGTATTCGTACGAATATTCGTAGTCGAATACGAATAAAATTTAGAATTTCCGCTTACTAATATTCGTACGAATAATATTCGCATTATTCGTAATTATTCGTAATTATTCGTAATTATTCGTCCATCTCTGAAGCTATTTCCATGTATCTCGCATCGGAGAGATGGTCGACAGAGAGCTTTGAGCTGGGGTCACTTGGCTTGCTGAATCGTCAGGAGTGATCAATTCGACGCTATTGATATGCTTTGTATCTCTTAGAGCTCAAATCCTCCACATCGTGTTCGGGTAAACAAAAGTCGCGACTGCTGGGCATTCACTCATTGGCTCGGCTTTTGCCGAATAAGTCTTGGCATTATTTACGAATATTCGCGAATAATACGAATAAAACGTCTCAAAACTTAGTCGAATACGAATAATCGTTCAAGAGGAAAAGTCGAATACGAATAGCCAAAATCCTTATTCGTGTCCAGCCCTAATTCGAATACAAGACGCTCATCTTTTTAATCCCTCTCATATAAAGTGTACACTGGAAGATGCCTTCCATACAACCCAACTAGTACTCCGCAACCCAGACCGCCGCCATCCCCATCCCCGTCCCAACACACATGCTCGTCACCCCAATTCGCTCCCCCCTCCTCTTCAACCCATACAACAGCGTACTCACCTGCCTCGCCCCCGTGCACCCCAGCGGATGTCCAAACGCAATTGCGCCCCCCTGCGGATTCACCTTCGTCACATCCAGCCCCAACTCGTTCGTGCACCACAGACACTGGCTCGCGAACGCCTCGTTGATCTCGTACACATCCACCTCGTCCTTTGAGATCCCCGCCTTCCCCAGCGCCACGGGGATCGCCTTCCACGGCCCCACTCCCATCAGCAGCGGCTCCACGCCGACCACCGACGAGCACACGTACTTGCCCATGATCGTCTGCCCGAGGCGCTCGGCGGTCGACCGCTTCATCAGAAGCACCGCCGCCGCGCCGTCCGACACCTGCGAGGCGTTGCCAGCGTGGATGCTGCCGTCCTTCGCGAAGGCCGGGCGGATCTTGGCGAGCCCTTCGGCGGTCATGCCTGGGCGGATGCCGTCATCTTGGGCGACGAGGAGGTCCTTGACCTCCTCAGTCTTGGGGTCCTCCCACTTGACGGTCAGGGGGACGATCTCGTCTTTGAAGAGGCCGGATTTGGTGGCGGCTTCGGCCTTCTGGAAGGAGGAGGCGGCGAAGGCGTCTTGGTCTTTGCGGGGGATGTTACGGTCTTTGGCCATCTTCTCGGAAAGGAGGCCCATGGGGACTTTGCAGTTCTTAGCTTCGGGGTAGGAGTTGAGGAGGTCGGAAAATTCGGAGACGGCGCCGGGGCTATGGTCGTGTTAATCTTGACTTGACTTTGTGGGTGGTTGCACGGGAGAATTCGAACGTACCCGTAGTTCTGGCTCATGCTCTCCACACCGGCACCCACGCCAACCTCGATCATCCCGCCTCGGATTGCGTTCGCGATATCTGCCACCGCCATCAACCCAGAGCTACATTGCCGATTCAGGCTCTTCACAGCTGAGCTGACCGGGAACCCCGCGGCCAACGCGGCGGCGCGGAACTCGGTGGCACCACCACCGGGGGCTAGGACATTCCCCACCGCAATGTCCTCGACGAGGGCCGGATCGATCCTGGAGCGCTCGAGCAGGCCCTTGAAGGCGCCGACGAGCAGATCAGCGCCGGCAGTGTCTTTGAAGCCGCCCTTGCCGCCGCGGGTGATGGCGGTGCGGACGGCGGAGGTGACGACGATGTCGTCGGGGCGTTTTTCGAGGAGGGCGGATTTGCCGCTGCCACTGACGTGGTTGCTGACTTGGGAGAGCCGCTCTTGGGCTGTGGGAGGTTGTTAGTCTGTAGAACTCTGGGGGCGAGATTATGACGTACCTTTGAAGTTGGTGCCGGCTTGGTTGGCCATTGTGTCTGGTATCAAAGAGATGGAGGATGTGTAGGATTCTATGATTTGCTTGGAGGAGAATACCGAGTAGGACAAAGGGTTACAGACGGGATGGAATGGTATATGAAGGAAAAAGATGCTCCGTGTTCAGTACTCCATGTCAATACTATACCAGCAGACCCTCCGACTCGCCAATCTTCCAGACAAAGTGATATGCCTTACAAGCGGCCTCGGTACTACTCCATTTGGAATAGCGCACCGAAGCATCGATTTGACTGATCCACTTCACATGTTAAACGATGACGATCAAATCGAAGGAAATCAGAGGATGGCTAGTGGTCACATGTAGAATCGCGGATCGAATGGCGAAGCATTGAATTCATCTGGTGTGGACTGCTGACCATTTGTACGCCACCATATTCACGATCTCATGTTCCCATGATAGCCATGATTACTATTGTCTCACGTTGGACCATTATTCATTGTTAGAATTGCACATGTCGCATGAACGATACCTAGGAGCCGATATTCTCTTCGTCTAGGGCGATTGGTAAACTCCCCCAGGTCCTCCGATGGCGCTTTTGCCCTCTTTGGCTCCTCGACCGAAGAGAGCCCCCATTGATGCCACATTTACGGATAAGTAATACAGATGCTCTCTACCCTCTGACATTAAAATCCCCAAGATCTTTTAACTTAGTTTTGAGGAAAAACACGGCAAACAATGCCCACACATGTCGCTAGGTGCCGGTAAGTCAGTATTCAGAAGAACCCCCCTAAATCTTCATGCCACCCGTAACCTCCTCTCCAACTCTTCCGCAACACTCCCCCGCTGCACCTCCTCGTACCCCGGCGGCGGGTCCGCCGGCACGTCTCTTGGCTCCCCATCCGGCGGCTCCGCCGCCCCATTCGCCTCCGGCGACTCCCCCAGCCCGCTATCCCTATCCCGCTGTCCCCCGCTCGTCACTGGCGGCGGCGCCGCCCTCGAAGCACCGCTCTGCTCGTACGCCGGCAGCTGATCCAAATGCACGTTCCCCCAATCCAACGCGCCCAGCGCGCCCGCCCCAGCCGCCCCGCCCTCCTCCACGCCGTCGCCGGCCACCGTCCCGCTCTCACGCGCGACCTCGACGGCCTGCTGCAGGCGCTCCTTGATGCGCTCAAAGGTGGAGTGGAAGTCGAAGGCGCCGCCGTCCTTGAAGGTCAGCTTGAGCTCGAGGGCGAGGTGCGCAGCGGGGAGGCCGCCGCCGGGGACGGGTTGGACGATGGCGCTCCAGACGTTGGGGCCGAAGAAGGGGGCAGCGACGTGGGTGTCGTGGATATTGAGGATGGGGGCGGCGAAGGAGCGGAAGGCGGAGGTGGGTTGGGTGGGGAGGTAGACGATCTTTGGAGGGGGTTAGCAGGGCGCTTGTTGCGGTTCGATAGCGGGGGTAGAGCGGCTTACTCGGCGGTTGGTGACGTGCACGCACCCACTGCTGCAATATAGCGAGTACTTTTCTCGGCCAGGGGCGGTGTTATGTGACGATATTGATAGGGTTGTTCGAGGTGGTGAGTTATAGAGTCGTTGTTCACCGGGTAAGGACGTGAAGCCCTCGCTCTGTGAGAGCATCACCCAACTATCAGGAGAGTGGTTCCGCCTTAGCATCTTCGGACGAGGCATGGCGACGAGAAGGACAGAAGGATGAAAATGCACGGATAAATTGACAGGTCTCGTAACAACAATGTAGACCCGTGTATCGCAATGACGGAGATAGACTCACTTTATAGACATGTTGTTGGATAGCGGGGCTCGGCCCGTGAATCACGCAGCGCAATCAATGCCTCTTTATCGGCGTCTGTCGCGGTTCTCTCACGCCCGGATCGTGTACCCCTCCGTCCTATCCGTGGGTCTAGGGCTTCGCTTGCGGGAATGGAGGAGGTGGAGGATGGTGGCGTGCGGAACCGGTGCGTGCGTGCGGCGAGGTAATAACTGACACGTATGGAGTAGGAGGGGGTATAATAGTGCGTGCACGTGGACGTCACCACGCTTCGGACGATGCGACGGATTAGAATCAGGGGAGATATTTAAGCGGAGGGTTGGAATTGAAGATCGACAAGTACCTTGAAGGATTTGGAGATTGGTGGCGTAGGCTGAAGAGTTAAGGTATTCAGCGATGTGGGAGACGTGTGTTGCGCAATGAATCCACTGCTAATGCGGGGCATGGATCTATCAAAATCGGGCCCCGTTTCCCCCCACGCCGATCAAATTGCACAGGAGTCAGTCAAGACAGTCGGAACAGTAGTCCCCCATATAATCAATTTTCATACCGAATAATAATCCCATTCCTATCAATCAATCCAATCATTGTCCCTCCGACATTGCAGTACGTTCCAAAGTCATCAACCCGTCATTTTGTCTCTCCTTGTCCATAGCCTCCGTCCCCCATTCAGGAATAAACATCCTCGCACAAGCTCATCTTTCGAACGATATGCGTCCCACTCTGCCCCGGACAATTATTCGGACACTCAATATCCTCATTCCCATACGACCCAAAGCAATCCAACGCCTTGACCCCATCGTCAAACACCTCACTCGGCGGCCCCGGATCTGGCCGTGCCGGGGCGCATCCCGTGAACTCGATGCCCTGGTGTCCGAGGATCGTCATGTCCTTCCAGCAGAGGAGCGACCCCGGCCCCGTCGACGGCCCGCCGATCGTGCCCTCGGAGCACGGGGGGGAGTCCGTGAACCAGACGTACCAGTCCCAGGGATGGGAGGCGGGGTCGCAGGAGGTGCGGCGGCCAACCCAGATGTTTTGGAGGGCGAGGGCGGGCGTGAGGAGGGAAAGGAGGGGGATGAGAAGGGTGGTGGTCCGCATGGTGAGACGAAAGTCCGAGGGAATGTCGATTGACTCTTCTTGGATTCGAGCACGAGGAGGAAAGGTTGGAGAATGGTGTCTTCATCGAATGCGTTGTAGGGAGGCAACCCCTCTTGTACTTGGTGCTTTGACTGTGCATAAAGACGGTGAGAAATGGGCATTGCACACCTGACCTGAATGCTTCCTCCTGTTTCTCGCGATCTATTGCTTACCTGCTTCGAGCCTCGCCAAAGATGCATCTGGTCTCCCAAAATAGGTAATTGAGGCATCAGCTAGCCGAAGCAGGCAAGGGGAAGGTGAGCTACCGACGCCTCCTTCGTATTCTCGCTCGGTCTAGGGGTCTGGAACATGAAACAGATGACAGCCATTAGCGACAACGTCGGCGAAGTGGACTTGGAAGACTGCATTGGCTGTGCTTGCACAGGAATGACGCAGACTAAGAAATATTTATGCAGAATCTTGAAAACGAACCGTTGGACGAAAGTATTTAACTAAATATAAACAATCTTGGTAAGGGTTGGATGTAATAGCTTCACCGGTCACAGATGCTATCATGGCTAAACCCTGCTCGCGCTAATGCAGATCATCGCAAGTCTCCCGGTGTGAGTCTGGACTCTGGAGAACTGAGAAGTGCGAACCCGCGATTAGTGGAAGAATATCATTTCCGTTCTTGGATATGGATATCGTTTCATGTGTTGAAGTTGTGATATCCATTTACCCTTCCATCCCAAGACCTAAAGTGTGCGGTCTCCTCGGTGGATAGAAGCAAAGATCCAGCCCAAACGGCAATAGTTAGTAGTATACCGCTTCCCTCGGCCGACGTATGAATAAAGACGGTATCTTTCTGCCGCGAAATAAGTATATCGTTACGCTCTTTATAAGTATTAATAAGTAAGCGACTATAGAAGTATTAGACCGCTAGATCACTCTAAGATTATGTATATGTCCATGGGCGATAGGACGTGTAGTCTCGGAGCAATTTAGCGTTCGAATACGTCCGTAGTCGCTTACTTATTAATACTTATAGAAAGCGTAACGATATACTTATTTCGCGGCAGAAAGATACCGTCTTTATCAATACGTCGGCCGAGGGAAAGCGGTACACTCCTCCCTAGTCTCGCCCTGGTCAGTCCTTTGCATCTATCTGCCGAGGCGATTCCACAGCGTGGGCCGGTTGGACCGGTTTCTCCGAACAAAGGCAGGGCCATTCCTCGACATATTCGCGCACGATTGTCGGTGCGAACAGTTGCAGTACCTGGCGTCGGAAGTGGAGGAGTTACTGCGACTGGGGATTTGGTCGTGGGTCCAGCTCCTTCAAGATATGCCAATTTCTGCTTTCGGTCGGCTCTTGTTCAGACCCTCGAGTAGCACGCATGCCTTGCAGATACTCTGGCTCGACAAGTAGCCGCATCGCTCACACGTCCCCATGACTTGCTGAGTCACCTTCTTCTTCCGCCTCGGCTGGGAATCGGAGGCTCTCGACGCCTTGTTCTTGCCATTTGGGAGTTTGAGGCTGTTCATCTCCACCGTCACGCTGGTGATCTCTGTCTCGAGCCCATTCTCCTCCGCCTTCGCGTTCTCGCGAAGCCTGGCCTCCATTTTCGCCATGGACTCGCTGCTCTTCCCGCCCGCGCTGCCGCAGCCTTGAACCTCGTCTTCTGCGGCGGTCGCGCTGGCGTTCGTGGCACAGTCGTTTGCGCATGCATCTTCATTTCCGGGGACGAGCCTGGCCATGTCCTCCCCACTCTTAATCACGTCCACGATGGAACTAGGTCGAATCCGTTCCAGGTTCTTGATTAGAGCTCGAGCCGATCCGCGGAAAGCTTCCGGTGAGTAAATGCATTCCGTCGAAAAGTAGAGAAGGCTCTTGTGATGGGCGTAGAGGACGATTTCCTTTTCATAGGCATATTTGAGAGGCTTGCTTCGCTTGATGGTCGTAATCGACGGCAGTCCGCCCTCGGTCGTCGCGGCCTTCGCTTCAGGTGCTGCCGATGGGGTCGATGTGATGATTGAGGTTGTTCGCGAGAGTCTCGCCAGGTCACCGCGCAGCAGATTCATCATGACCGTCTCTGCCATATCATCCGCATTATGTCCCGTCACCACATGCTGGACGCCTAACCGCGCCGCTCCTCGATCGAGGGCTTGTCGTCGAAACACGCCGCAGTATGTACAGTTCCCTTTCTTTCCCACCTGCTCCACCACCTGATCCATCGTCCATCCGTATAGCTCATCATACCCAAGGATCATCAACGGCATCTCGTAGTCCCGCGCATTCTGCCGCACCGTGTCCAGTGAGTCATCCCGGTAGCCTTTGATACCCTCATCGATGGATAGTAGGACTAGATCGAGTCCGTAGTCATGTCGGTCGTTCAGCGTCTTCATGACTGAGGCGAGGACAGTGCTGTCCTTGCCGCCCGACGCACCAATGGCCACCCGCTCGCCACGGCGGAAGAGATTGTTGCTGGTAATGGTCTCATGGATCTCATCTTCGAAGGTGATCAGGAAACAGGGCTTGCAGAGCTTTTGGTGGTTCTTTGGCCGGAGGATTACCGCGCGGTTGGCGGTGCAGAGAGCACATATCGAAGGCGGCATTCTGGGCGGTGTGGTTGTAAGATTGAAGATCTGATCGTGACAGAGAAATATATGGAGCAAATCATGCATGAGTCAGTGGGCCGGATCTCGTATCTTGGAACGACTCATGGGCGATCTGATTTCGTGTGTGCACAGTGCCTGTATTATGGAATTGAATCTAACTGACGCGACTTCGTAAGTTCGTATTGTATTCCTAAGTAATCAATAGGATAAATCTTGTCCGTGGTGTGTCAGTATAATTCGTTGGCGTTGTACCATACACACAGTAGTTAAGTTCAACCCCCTGTCAAGTAGCCAACCACTCGAGTAGCCAGTATCACCATCTCAACCTCCATCGGTCAGACAGCAATATCTCTACTAAAACATATTATATTTGGAAATCTATACAGCATGATTCAAAAGATACAGCTTGGAGAGACTCTGATGTAGATTTGGCCTCCGAAATTGGATGTCTTCGTTGGTAATCTTCCTCTACCGCTCGTACAGCTTCTTGTGCCAATTTGATCTCCCGAACTTGCGCAAACCTCTGATTAAGATCTATCTGAACTTTCTTTTTACGTTTTGGTGCTGTAGCAGCATCAAGGCGTGCCTGTAAGCCCGCGATTTTCAGATCTGATGAGGCCTGACGCGCCTGTAGCACTCCGATCGCCTTGGCTGCCTTCTCTATATACGACTTCGTCGTCTTTGCCACGCGTGTATTCTTGCTAAGAACGCGTAATGCACTCTGTACCTGTTTTGGCTTGTAGGGCGTCGTCTGGAGAACGGAGGGGACTGGTATGGGGGTGCGTGGAGGCGTGTTTGGTGGTGGAATTGGTGGTGCGGTTACGGTAGGCGGTGACGGTACAACGAAGCGGTTACTGAGGCCCTTTGACCGGTCAAACGGCACAAGTCCTGCAGCCTTCCACCCAGATCTGATTGTACGGTCGGTTAGGCGTGCCTGACGTGCCTCTGCATAGAGGACAATGAATCTCCGTCGTTTAATCGGTAGGGCCTCGTCGATATACGCGCTTTGGCGGAGGAGGGTCTTATAAAAGCGTTTTAGAGGCGAAAAACAGGCGAGATCCAGAGGTTGAAGGATATGGGAGGTATGTGCAGGTAGGAAGACCACGATTACGTTGTTTATCTTGCATTCGTACAAGAAATCGATGGTTGCGTGGCTACCGTGCCCGTCCATTAGCAGAATCCGGTACTGCCGCTGTGTAGCGGTTTCAGGCAGGAAAACCGTACGGAGCCAAACCAACGCGTGTTGATTTGAAGTCCAGCCGTTCTCTGATACCGTATAATGGAAGTCTGGAGGTTGTTCAGGGAACCAAGAAGACTGTAACGTGGCGCCTTTCTGTATAATCGCTGGTCTGATGTACTGGCCGGTCGCGGAGACAGTTTCAACGATACTAATCCATTCGCGGCCCATAGGACTAGTGATATAGGCCGTTGACTTCTGCGAGTCTGCGATAACCGTAGAATTAGCGCAAATCCCTAGTCCTATACCAACCTCATCCATATTCCAGGTATCAGAGGGGTGGACATCGTACTGAGTTTGAACTTGGTGAAAATACGTGTAGAACGCGTCGATTGTATCCTTAGTTGCAGCCTGACGTCGGGCAACATCAAGACTACGCCCGATACAGGTCGCAACGCGTGGATTACGGTGTAGGAAACGCGTTACCCAGTTCTTCCCGAGGGGCGTTGAGTCTCCTTGGAGGCGTAGAACTCGAGATGCCATTTCGCGAAGCCGTGCGTGAGTAGGGGGGAATCCTTGAGCGTCATTTTCAAGTATCCAGTCGACTAAAAAGGATTCTTGGTCCGGTGTAAGGCGTTGGCGAGATTGTTGAGCTACTACGCGTGGTAGGCGGCCTTTTAAGCGGGTTTGAAGGGTGCGTCGGTTGACCTTGAATAGCGCCGCAGCTTCGTTTTGTGATTTGCATTGACCGGTCTGTAAGGCATCAATAGCCTGTTGGACCGGGTCTTCCGAGTTTGGTATCATGATATTGTACGGTGGTGGAGATATCGCGGTTAGAGAGATGGTGATAGAGGTGGTGATACTGGCTACTCGAGTGGTTGGCTACTTGACAGGGGGTTGAACTTAATGGAAACCCTTCGCTGCAGGCGTTTGCGCGGATGCCAAGCGCCGTGCTAGCGCCGTGAAATCTAACGGTTCTGTACGGTAAAATATATTTATGTCATGTTCGTTGTGTCCCGATCGGGCCTTCGCTAGCCGCCTAGCCGCCGTTCCTGCGGCTACTCCCTCTCGTCCCTCGTGCAAATCCCTGCTGCCTTGACTTTGCTCCAAACTGTTGCCGCCATCGAAATCCTCACTCCCGTAATGTAATCCGTAAACCGTATTCCGTTGGTTGTTTAGACTTAAACTGTGGTTGGCTAACTAGCGGGGGGTTGAACTTATTCTCTACGCCACTGCAAAGCCTAAACAGATTATGCTTTTCGCTAATGGAGCGGCATTATATTGCCGACCCTGATCGTAACACCAAGATGTTGCCATGCAAGACATTACTCGCGCAGAATCAGATATTCGCTGAGCCGATTATATCATCCCTGTCACGGTATGGGTTATCGTGAAGGAGATTAGTTGATGCCTTGAGATGAGTTGAGATGCTACAGGATCCGGTCTCGCGCAAGTGGCGCGTGTGGTCCTCATTTCGCCGGTGGTCTTCATCCACCCACGCATACCGTGATCCTGCCATCTCTCTTTTCCTTCTTTAGCTTTGAAGTTACAACAGAAACCGTTCTACAGTGCCCAACCTGTGAGGTTTATTGGTTGTTACAATCCCTGCCTGCTGTCTCTTGGGAATATGTACATGCTCGCTTTGTCTGTCTCGACTTTTTAGAGCTTCATTGCAGATGGTCATCTCGATTGCACCCAAGACGGCAGGGTTCTGCGATCACCGATGCAATGGAGCAACTTCTTCAGGAAGACCCCGAGAAGCTAGTGGCACTTCTCAAATATGCTGCTACCTTTCCCGATTTCCCCAAGAACTTCACCGTACCTTCTTTGCTAGATCCCAACTATGTTCCGCCTAACAGATCTCGCCCTCTCGAGGTGCTCTGTTACTGCCTGGCTGGCATCACCACCGTCGTGGTGTTGCTCCGACTGTGGGTTCGAATGCGGGTGCAAAGAAGGATGTTTGGAATGGATGACTGGCTGATTATTCCGGGACAGGTACGTGGTTTATATACTGAGCCGGTCCCAATAAAACTAATTAATGCTACTTGTCAACTACATAGATCTTATCTCTGGCAACAATCATAGTTATAATTTTGCTCAGTAGAGTGGGCGGATCCGGACAGCATATCTACGATGTCTCTTATGACCGGGCTGCAACGTCGCTAGTTGTAGGTAGTACTATGTCACATCCCAAGAAGACTACACTGACCACGACTCCCTATATTGCAGTTACAATTCATTGGCATAAGCCTGTATTTCGCAGCTATTTGCATCATTCGGCTCTCCATCACGGCATTCCTGTACCGCCTGATCAGCCCGGTATTTAAGACCAAGCGAATACTTCTACATTGTACGGTCGTTTTCATTTTCTTGGAGTTTGCCATTACAGGCTTCCTCCATATTTTCGCATATAAGCCTATCTCTGCTGGCTGGGACATTGACGTTCGACTGGCTGGATTTACGTCTATAAACGTGCCACTTGGGATATTCATCGGCTCGATTGTGTATCTCATTACGGACGTTTGGCTATTGATTATTCCTATCCACACTGTATGGACTCTCCGACTCTCTATTTGGAGACGCATTGGCATTACCTGGGTCTTCGCTTTTGGTAGCGTCGCCTGCGTCGGTGCGATTTTAAAGACGATCTATGTCTATCCATTGTTCGACTCCTACGATCCACTATGTAAGTCGGTCTCAGTCCTGTCATTACTGCCTGATATTGGGTTCATGTGCTCTGCCAATGGTTCGAGTCATCAGAGGACTGACTGTACTGATGATATACAACCGTAAGTGGGGTTAGACGCTCTAACATCACTATAGGGAATGGCATTGGCTTCCAAATCGGCGCCGTAATCGAACTCGGGTTTGGCGTCATCAGCGCATCTATTCCGGCCTTAAACCACATCTTAGTTAAAGCTATCCCTATATTACTTGACCCCTGGTTCAGCAGTACACCTATAAACGAAAGGTTCAGCTCCGCTAACCGAACGACCAAACCGAAACACCAGACGTTTCAAGAGGATTTTTCACGCAGAATACGCGGACCAAGTGGGCGAGCGGTCGAAGCGTATGATAATATCCCGGGCGGGAGCGAATTCAACCTTGGGCGGGAAGCCCGAAGGAAGGGAGCCTAGCTGCAATGGATGAAACCCGGTTATGAGGTTTTGGACAAGCAGTCAGAACGTACGAATGACATAATTTCTAGCGTTTCGAAGTATCCACTGCTCACAATTAAGTCGCAGGGCTCCCGAAGATTTCATTACGTGCAATGCCAGTAGCCCACATTAGACGTTCGGATGCCAGCCGCGGTCACGGTTTACCGTTAGACAAGGCTAGTGAGGAGCCTTGACTCCTTAGCAGTACCAATATATTACCAGGAGGCCTTTGCTGATTGTTATGAACCAGTCAGGGAACCGTGCTATGCCTGGAGGAACGTTAGTGCCTTGAGGAACTCAAGGCAGGGTGGCTATGTAAGCCGGGTCGGCTTGTGTAAACTGTATTTGGACCCTGAATTAACGGCTTATAATTGACTCGGCCTGCAAGCCGGTACGAGCCAAACAGTCTTCACCTCTAGCCTACCATAACTTCTTGGTTTCTGATAATCAATTGCTCGCGATCCCATTTCTACTGTGAAAATAGCGGTGGCAAGAGGAAGCGATTCAAACTACACTCAGATAGAATCAAAATAAAATAGTTTTCAGTAGAGCTTACCTTTGTAAAGTCCGATCAAGTTACCAATTGATATGGAATCACAATTTTCGCAGGCGACCTCACAGGCTGAAAGTCCTCCAAAAACCCGTGTTACTGCGCCTACACAGAGAGAACTATACCACTACGGCCTCATCCACCAAGCCCCTCCGTCGCGGAAGCGTCGTACCAGCCCCATATGGGACTGGGGGTTCCACGTCTACAGAATCGATGCTCCCCGTACGCCCCTCTAGGCCTGCAAGGTCTGCTGGAGATGGGCGGTATCTATAGATCAGCTAGCGATATACAAGGCCCTATCTACGAGCAACTCCCATAGGCACCTCAAAGCTGTACACGGGTTGGTCGAAGGGCCACTAGGGCGTCTTGTATCGCCGGGGGATCGGATAGAGAACCCGACAGGACGTCACGAAGGCCCCTTAGATCCAGAGATAGAGCTCGTTCGATGGGTCGTTATGGATACGATATCGTTTCGTCCAGCATCGTCTGTAGTGCATAACGATTTGATGGCTGCGATTAGTGGTGGAAAACCGACGTTGTGTCTTCGGAACCATTCTTCAATTAGTACGAGGATCGATGATGTATTCAAAGAATGCCGTCTTCTTGTTTCCCAAAGGATTTTGCAGAGTATAAGCAAGGTCTCTTTGTCGTATGACATCTGGACGTCTACGAACAAGTTACCATTCATTGGACTTCTCTGTCATTATATTTCCGATGAGGATGCTATACGACAACGATCAGTCCTCCTAGCTCTACAGGAGATCGGGGACTCCATACGGGCGTCAATATTGGCTCTGTGCTTCATCAGGCTATCCAGGACTATGGTATTACACACAGAATTGGGTATCTTATGCCGGATAACGCAGAAAATAACACCGTTTCGGTCAAAGAGCTTGGGAGACTTTTGGGCATCTCTTTGGTTGGAAAACGACTTCGTTGTATAGCGCATATCATTAACTTGATATGCCAAGAGCTCGTCAAAGTCTGTCTACGCGTCGACCCGGAGATTGTAACGGAAAGTGCCGATACTATGCAAAATGGCAGGCTCGATACTTTCGAAGACGATCCTCATGGCCAACCGGCGGAGCTTGATCTGGGATGTATTACACGACTCAGCGCAATCATTGCTTATATCGAAAAAAGCGCTCAACGCATGCAAGAATTCCAAAACATCCAGGAAGAGATTCTGGCGTCGGGCCACGCAGATCTTGAACAAAACCAGCCCCTCAGGCTAATCAGCGAGAATACGACGAGAGGGAACTCGAGATATGACTCGATTAAGAGATCTCTCCTCTTACGTCGCTCAATCGAGCGATATTGTAATCAGGAAACGGACCTTAAGGTCGACGCTCCGACTGAGGTAGAATGGAAGGTCCTGGCGACGATCCTCAAGATACTCGAGCCGATGAAACCGACCACGATGTCTGTCCAAGGAGATCCTGTTGATGGCGAGAAAGGCGGCCTTTTCCAGTCGTATTTAGCCATCTGTCTTATTATCCAAAAGCTAGGGCAGGCAACGAAGGATATCACGGAGAGCAACGTATTGCGGATATTGCTCAATCCGTTGGCACGGGCCCAAGCGAAAGCGATCAAATACAGGGCTAAATTAGAGGAGGCAGACGTATATCGTCTTGCTTTGATTCTTCACCCCAGGTATAAAAGCCGCTTGTTGCGCTGTATCGATACGAGCTCCCCTTCGGTGGACGATTTATACAGGACCTCTGCACAGAAGTGTCCAAGCGACGGGCAATGGATTCCGTCGCGCAGAATGCTGAATTTGCTAAAGGCAACCAAACGGACAATACCTTCAGGGAACTCCTGGATAAATATGGCCAGCATGTTTCTCCTCCGGATACTACCGCTGTAGACGAGGTCTCTTGTTACCTCGCAGACAGTCATAATTATCTCTACAGAGACTCCTCTCGGATGGTGGCACAGCAATCGTATACGCTACCCAGCGCTGTACTCTATCACCCTGGACCTCTTCGCGACTCCTGCGTCTGCAGCAGGTATTGAGCGAATCTGGTCTATCTGTGGAAGGATCTTCGATGATGAGAGGTCGCGAATGAAGCCTTCTACAATGGAGAAGTTGGCCTGTTTGCGCGATTGGTTCGCGAATGAGATAATCTCAAGGAAAGATCTGGAGGATATGATGGACAAGAGAAGACGTAGTTGATTGAAGATGTACCTATTTTGTTGACTTGACCAATGCGATGAACTTTACTATGCGATTTTGTATGAAGAGATGCAAGGTGGAAACGAGCCAGGCCAAATCACTCAAAAGTGGAGACAACGCTGGAATGGCTTGTAATTATTTGCCTAAATAGCCACCCTGAATTCATGACATGAGCGTAGCTGAGCAAGTACTACAAATTAATAACTACGAGAATTGAGTCACCCACCGGCACGCTGGACTCACCGATATTGCCATAGACTTTTGGAGATATCTCCATCTCACATGGGATTCATACGATAGATCCAACGCTGTAGATTCCATCTACGAGGTTCTTGTTTCACAGGAATTGTCGCATTTCCCCCAATTGCCCCGCCAACATCGGAATCATGGCGTCACAAAATTTTCCATACCACACTGTGCCAGGTTCCGTGGCGCTATCAGAATTCCGCGCCGCCAGACTGGCAACATCGCTTGGGGCGGAGGAGGTCAAGGCATTATGGGTGCATTTCATCGAGCCATTTCAGAAATCCGGGGACGAGGAGACGAACGTCCTGGGTTCGCTGTTGGAGTACGGCGATGCGTTCGGCGAGCAGGACAGCCTCTCCCGGGCGGCGTCGAACGCCATCACAAGAGGAGAAAAACCCAACACGTCGACGATCTCGTTATTTTTCGTCGCTCCGCGCCCGGGAACCATCTCGCCATGGAGCTCGAAGGCCACGAACATTGCGCATGTCTGCACATTGGACCGTTCCATCAAGCGCATAGAACGAGGGATGGTCATTGCGGCTCGGTTTAAGGAACCGCTGGACGAGATCTCGATTCCGCATGCGGATGAACTACATGATCGAATGACGCAGACCATCAGCCGGACCATGCCCGATCTTTCGATGATGTTTGGGGAGCATGAACCGGGCCAGCTGGAAACCGTTCCCATCCTTAATCAGGGGGAATCGTCCAGAGAAGCGTTACAGCGTGCAAATCGGGAGCTAGGGTTAGCTCTGGATTCAAGCGAGGTTGATTATCTCATCGACGCGTATCAAAATCAGTTGAAGAGAGACCCGACAGACGTGGAGTTGTTCATGTTCGCCCAGGTCAACTCCGAGCACTGTCGCCACAAGCAATTCAACGCCGACTGGACCATCGACGGGCTTCGAAAAGAGCGCAGTTTATTCGGCATGATCAAGAACACGTACCTGAAGAACCCCGGCTATGTCGTGAGCGCATATAGCGACAATGCGGCCGTGTTCGAGGGGCAGTCGGCCGTCCACTGGGCCCCGGAATACAGCACGGGGAACTGGAAGGACACGAAAGAGGTGGTCCACTATCTGGGGAAGGTCGAGACGCACAATCATCCGACTGCTGTCTCACCATTCCCTGGAGCCGCGACTGGAGCTGGTGGCGAGATTCGCGATGAAGGTGCTGTTGGACGGGGCTCGAAACCAAAGGCTGGCCTGTCCGGCTTCACCGTATCGGACCTGTTGATCTCCGATTTCCGTCAACCCTGGGAACTTGACGTCGGCAAACCAGCCCATATCGCAAGCAGCCTGGATATCATGATCGAGGCTCCGATCGGCAGTGCATCTTACAACAACGAATTTGGCCGCCCGTGCACCGCTGGGTACTTCCGGACATTCCTTGCGGAGGTCGACAACGAGCTTCGGGGATTTCACAAGCCTATCATGATTGCCGGAGGTGTGGGCACTGTTCGTCCCAACGATGCGCTCAAGGAAAAGGGCTTGGTGAAATCGGGGGATAAAGTCATTGTATTAGGTGGACCTGCCATGCTTATTGGACTCGGTGGAGGCGCTGCATCGAGTGTTCAGTCTGGTGAAGGGAAGGTGGAACTGGATTTTGCGAGTGTGCAGCGGGGGAACGCCGAAGTCCAAAGGAGGGCCCAAGAGGTGATCAACACTTGCACAGCTCTGGGAAAGCGAAACCCGATTCAGTCGATTCATGACGTTGGTGCTGGGGGATTATCGAACGCTCTGCCGGAACTCGTCCACGATGCCGGATTCGGAGCGGTTTTCGAGCTTCGAGAGGTTGACAGTGCGGATAAGAGCATGAGCCCCTTGCAGATCTGGTGCTGCGAAGCGCAGGAGAGATATGTTATGGCCATCTCGGAAGAAGGACTCTCGCAGTTCCAAGCGATATGCAAACGAGAGCGATGCGGATTTTCCGTGGTTGGAGTTGCCAAAGGATGGGAAGCGCAGCAGGACTCCCGGTTGATCCTCGTGGACCGCGATTCGCCAGAGAACCCATATCCGATCGACTTGCCGATGTCGACGTTGTTCGGAAAACCTCCCAAGATGACTCGTATTGTCAAGTCTCGAAAGTTGAATCTCCCTGCTATCGACCGGTCGCTTCAGAGCTATCTCCCTGGACTGAACGACACTGAAATCCTTCACGAGGCGGTGAATCGAGTCCTTGCACTGCCGTGCGTTGGATCGAAGTCGTTTTTGATCACCATCGGAGACCGGACCGTCGGTGGATTGACCGTTCGAGAGCAAATGGTCGGCAAATGGCAGACTCCGGTGGCAGATGTCTCGGTCACAGCGGCGTCGCTCCTTTCGGGTGTCAAATGCGGCGAGGCAATGGCCATGGGAGAGCGCCCGACCCTCGCATTGATTTCCCCAGCTGCATCAGCTCGTATGGCAGTTGCAGAGTCGCTCATGAATCTCGCCGCAGCTGACATCCTGGACGGCCTCAAACGTGTTGCCTTGTCCGCAAACTGGATGGCCGCGAGCGGTCATGAGGGGGATGGCGCTGCATTGTACGAAGCCGTCCATGCCATCGGTATGGATCTGTGCCCGAAGCTGGGAGTGAAAATTCCCGTGGGCAAAGACTCCATGTCCATGAAAATGAAGTGGTCGGATCAAGAAAAGGGAGATGTCACGGAAATTACCGCGCCTGTCACCGTCGTGATTACCGCGTTTACGGCCGTCCGGTCGCTGATGGATACGTGGACTCCCGCTCTGCGTCGGTTGGAAGACGTCGGAGAAACCGTCTTGCTTTTCGTCGACCTGGCAGCAGGCAAGAAAGCCTTGGGCGGCTCCGCGCTGGCCCAAGTGTTTAAGCAGGTTGGGAACGAAGCACCGGATGTGCGCGACGCCTTCACCCTCAAGGACTACTTTGCCGCCATTGAAGAGCTTCATGAGTCCGGCATCGTTCTGGCATACCATGACCGTTCGGATGGCGGACTGTTTACGACACTCGCGGAGATGATGTTTGCGGGACGTTGTGGACTGGACATCAACCTTGAAGAGATATCCTCCGCCGACCACGGGAGCCTTATCGAGACCCTTTTCAACGAAGAGCTTGGTGCCGTGTTCCAGGTACGGAAGTCCGATGAGGTCCGGTTCAACTCCTGCTTTGCAACTTGCGGCCCTCCCAAAGGACTGATCACACGGATCGGAAAGACCACGGAGGTCTCGAAACAGAACTTGAGTTTCTTCCGAGGAGCGAGCATGCTGTACAAAGAATCCAGGATTACGCTGCAGCAGCGATGGGCGTCGACGTCGTACCATATCCAAAAGCTGAGAGACAATCCCGCATGCGCGGAAGAGGAGTTCGCCAGCTTGGCCGGTTCCAACGACCCTGGCTTGTCGTACAGGCTGACCTTCAACCCGAAGGATAACATCTTACCTTTCAAGTCGATCATTCCGGCCGCCCTTGTGGCGAGACCCAAGGTTGCCATCCTTCGCGAGCAAGGTGTGAATGGCCAATCCGAGATGGCGTTTGGATTCCACGTCGCCGGCTTCCAGGCCGTGGACGTACATATGACGGACATCATCTCCGGCCGCGTCTCCCTCGCCGCGTTTACAGGTCTCGCCGCGTGCGGTGGGTTCTCCTACGGCGACGTGCTCGGCGCCGGCCGCGGCTGGGCGATGAGTGTGCTGTTCAACGCCAAGGTGCGACAAGAGTTCAAAGATTTCTTCGAGCGACAGGATACCTTCACCCTTGGCGTTTGCAACGGCTGCCAGTTCCTATCCAGACTGAAGCATCTCATTCCTGGAGCGTCCTCCTGGCCGTCGTTCGAGCGGAATACGAGTGAACAGTATGAAGCTCGTGTCTGCATGGTGGAAGTGCTCGATACCCCGGCGGCGCCCTCGGTATTCTTCCACGGCATGAAGGGATCGAAACTACCCATCGTCGTGGCCCACGGGGAAGGTCGGGCACAGTTCACGAGGGACTCGTCCCCGCATTCGCTCTCCCAGGAAGGCTTGGTCCCGCTCCGCTACGTGGACAACTACCTCCACCCCACGGAAAAGTACCCCTATAACCCGAACGGAAGCCCCATGGGCATCGCGGGCGTGCGATCGCCGGACGGGCGCGTGCTCGCGGTCATGCCGCACGTGGAACGGACGATCCTCAAGCCGGTGGCGAGCTGGATCCCCGACGCGCAATCGGAGGATTGGGGCGATTTCGGTCCGTGGGTGCGGGTCTTCCAGAGCGCACGTCGGTGGGTCGGGTGATTTTTCTTTACGTCCTGGTCAAAGTTGGAGTGAAAACACAATCAAAAGTTTTCTATGCCCTCTTCTATGCCTTTATGCGAGCTTCAAGATAATGTAGATTTAGAATGAAAGCGACTCAGAGCAGCGTCTGCGCACACCGGACACAATCTTCGAATTATAGAGTGTTCCATAATCATCCATTCTTCCTGATTAAAGACTATTGTCGATCAATGATTTGGCTGGCGTCTTGATACACTGTCGCCTTTACCAACGCTCAAATTTACAGTTGTAGCTTATCCGCTTCATCCCAGGAAACAGAATATGGCACTCCCCGTTTTCTCATTTCGACCGGATTGAACTTCAGCGTTGGCAACATATCTTGGAACCCCTCGATCGTGCGGATCTATAATCGAACGGCTCAGTTCTCCGGTTCCCAACCACACCACAAGGACTCACATTAATGGCAAAGAACGCCCGCTGCCACTCCATACTCGCCGTGTTAAAGTCGATGAGGACGCTGGTGCCACACGTCGGCAAAACTTGTGAGGGCAGGTCTTGAGGCGAACACGTAGCTGGTCATTTCATCTAACCCCGAGACGAACGTGACATCCTCCCGCCGGACGTAGAGGAGAAGGTAGCCGTTCTTGGAGCAGATACTGCAGTCGCAATCGAACGGTCGGGTGGTCGAGAGGTCCGGAGCGAGAGCGATGAGCTTGATTTTGCCGCAATGGCAGTTAGCTTTGTATTCTTTCTTTGGCCCTTCTCCGCCACTTGGGTTCTCGCGGTTGAGGCTCGCCATTGGGATTGTTGCTTAGATACGTGGAGGTTGTGGACGAGTAGCCTTGATGAATGGCCTTGATGAATCGAATGGCCTTGGTGATGGAGAAGATCTACGAGGAGAGCGAGACGAAGGATGTTTTTCAAGGAGATGGAAATTCAACGTAGTGAGAACGGCTGGAAGATAATACGAATACGACGGTGATAAGAGGTGTAGCTCACAGAGCTTCCCTTCATGATACCTTGGGGTTACCGCTGACACTTGGCTGCCAAACTAGGCTACACAGTACACTGGAGTTCCTGGGGCCATTTTATATTTTTAATCTACATACGTGCATTGGCTAAAGATCCCACGTAGCTTGGACGAATGGAATATAATGACATCAATGGCTTAGGAATTCGCTTAGGAATCCGCTTGGGAATTGAGCCGCAAAGGACAATTTTGGTGAAGGATTGAAGGTGTTGAACGACTTGAAGTAGACGAAGCGTAAAGTGGTGAAGTACTCAAATGGCAAGTGCGACCAGTGCTTAGTGCAATAATAATAACTAGTTAATGCAATAATGCTATCACGACGAACGCACGGACCATGTTCTCCATCAACTTGTCCACCTCACTTTCATCCAAGCATTCATCCGCTCCAATTCCAGCAAATAACACCCTCCCCAATTCCAATCGATCGCCCAAAATGCTGTCGAGGGTAATCCGACGGGGAGCTCTCGACTCCAACCGTCTCCTGTCGCGATGCATAAGCACCAAGGAGCAACCCAACGTCGCCAATATCACCGCGAACGACCCCAACGCATCCGCCCGCGCCCCCGTCCCGAACATCTCGGCGACGAACGAGCTCCCGTCGTCGTCCATTGGGAGCCATGATGCCGCGATACAGGAGTCGGTCGCGGAGGGGGAGAAGCTCCGCGTGCAGCAGGCGCCGAACAGGCACACGGTCTGGAGTCGGAGCCAGCAGCCCCGGGAGGCGGCGATGGTTGGGCCGCGATTCGAGCAGATGACGATGGCTGATCAGGTCAGTGAGCGAGGGAATATTGTGTTGGGTTTTCCTGGTTGAATGCTGAGCTAATTGGTATACACAGCCCCGGCCATTGGCGGCAATCGACCTCATTCACAAACAGCCTGTCCGCTGGCGAGAGGAGCGGGTCGTATCTTGCGACGGAGGTGGTGGTCCGCTCGGCCATCCCCGGATCTTCATCAACCTCGACAAGCCACAGATTTGCTGGTGCACATACTGTGGAGTGCCATTCGTAAGTGGATAGCATATGGGAAAACAGCAGAGGCACATGCTGACAATGACCAACAGGCACATGAGCACCACCGGAAGCACTTGGAGTCGCTCCCTTCGACCTCGTATCCTCTAGAACCGACCGGCGATCCTGCACAAGTTGAGGAGTCACAGCGAGTGACGGACGAACCTCTAGGGCAGAGATGAAACAAGGCCATGCGAATATCAAGTTGTACATATCTGTTCAGTGATGGAGCTAGTTCAGTCAGGATCTAATGAACATCCAAGCAAGCACGAAAGCCTGTGTGACAGGTACTAAAAATCTTCCATTCCTGCCGGCCCCACGACAGGGCCACGACGACAGCGGAAGTCGTCTAAGTCCTGTCTGATTGTTATGTGTTCTATAGTAGAATATAGAAGTTATACACAATCACCCACGATAGACAGTTGTTCAGAGCCGGCACCCTCCAGGCCTATTTCTTTTCGCCCTGGATGGTCGCTACAACTTTCCGAGAATGCCTCGACGTCCTGAACTCGAGATACCATATCCCCTGCCATGTCCCTGTGTTCAGCTTACCGTCCGTAATCGGTATTGAAACACTCGATCCGATCAAAGCGGACTTGATATGTGCCTACAACTCGGACATTAGCAAGATCCCTGAGTCGCTACGCTATGATTCAACCACATACCGGCATGTCATCTAACCCTTCCGCCGAGTGTCTATATAGGTTCCCTTTCCGATCGTCGGGCGCGATCCGATCCAATGCATCGCTCATATCTGCCCGCACATCCTCGTCCCAGTTCTCGTTCAAGCTCAATGCGCAGCTGGTGTGCTGGATGAACAGGTGTAGGATCCCGACTTTGTAGTTTTTTATCTCCGGGACACTCGAGGTGACATGGTCGGTGACCAGGTAGGAGCCCCGCGATTTGGGAGGGAGCGTGAAGGTTTTCTGGGACCAGGACATGGTCGAGGTGGATGGACAGGTGGCCGCGCAAGAATCTTGAGGACCGGTCGTATCTGGAGGGTGTGGTTCAGAGGGTCTGGTCGAGAAGGAGGGAGAGAAGGGAAGGAGGGGTAGGCGGAGAAGGGCGATGAATAGGTTGGGGAAGAATGCGAGAATGAGGACGCCGACGAAGAGGGAGGTATTGACAGGAGTAGCTCGAAACGGCATAGACTTTACATACCAGTAGAAACTTGAGATCCGTAAACAATTAGGGACTGTACTGATACCTTAGACGTAGAGTAGCTAAGCTAACGTATCCAACATCATCATAAAACGCTATCGCAGATGACGTGAATTTCAGCCTTACGATCGCAAGGCATCAATCCCTGCTCCCAGTCACAGCACGCAGGGCTCCAATTCTCCATTGAGTCTTGTGCCCCGAGAAGATCGGATGTGTCCTGGCAAACAAATATTCCCGTGTAACCTGGCCAGCCGAATGAGTTGAGTCGATATAGGAAAACCCTGGAACATTTAGAAATCAAAAAGAGCTAGGAATCCACCCACCAAGTCATTGAAACCTGGGAATTTCGGACCGCTTTCGGCCCCCGTAAGGAAGCACCTCACCTGCACTGTCGGCAGTCCTTGTCCGTGGAGACGGGCATGCGCTCGAGAAGGAGATCTTCAAACCGAATCAGTCTTTGCAGTCGAACAGTATAACGGCCGTCCGTCGAAATGGAGAAAATCACCAACAAAATCCAAGCCCTGCCCGAGAACGGCACTTACTTCTCTCTGGAATTCTTCCCTCCTAAGACCCAGATCGTCCGTCCCCCACCCCCATCCGTCGTTCATATTTAAAAACTAACCTCCCCAGGGCCTTGACAACCTCGTCGCCCGCTTGGAGCGCATGTCCGGCGCCCTTCGCCCACTCTTCGTCAATGTCACCTGGGGCGCGGGCGGCAGCACCGCCGGCAAGTCGCTGCAGCTAGCGGAAATCTGCCAGAAGAAGCTCGGGCTGACCACCTGCTTGCACCTGACGTGCACGAACATGAGCCGGGCACTCGTCGACGACGCGTTGGAGAAGGCAAAGGCGATGGGGATTCGGAACATCCTGGCGCTGCGGGGGGATCCGCCGCGGAGCGAGGAGTACGCCATTGTGGACGGGGAGAATGGGGAGCTGGACGGCGATTCGAATGATGAGTTTAAGTGGGCGACGGATCTGGTGAGATATATCCGGGAGCAGCATGGTGACTACTTCTGCGTGGGTGTGGCGACGTATCCCGAGGGCCATTCGGACCAGTCGCATCCGGAGCACCAAGATCCGCTATTCGATCTGCCATATCTCGTCGAGAAGACGGTGGCGGGCGCGGATTTCATCATGTCGCAGTTATTTTATGACGTGTCCAAGTTCGACGAGCACGAGCGGATGCTCCGAGAACATCCCTCGGGCGCGTTCAAGGACATCCCGATCATCCCGGGTTTGATGCCTATCCAGAGCTACCAGATCCTGCGACGGGTGACGAAGTTGAGCCATGCGAGCATCCCGCCAGAACTACTAGAGCGATTGGATCAAGTGAAGACCGACGACGAGGAAGTGAAGCGCGTGGGCGTGGAAATCCTGGGCGAGGTAATCCAGCACATTCTGCAGAAACCAGCCGTGGCCCACAAAGGCTTCCATTTCTACACGCTCAATCTCGAGAAAGTCGTCTCTCAGATCATCGAAGAAGGCGGCCTGATCCCCCTCTTCTCCATATCCGACGACGAAGCTGTTTCCAGCGCCGAAGCCTCGCCCGTCCGCAACCTGGAGAAGGTCCGAAGTCGTCTCTCGTCCATGAACTCCAACCCACACAATCGCGTCCTCGTCGAGAAAGCCGCGGACGTCCACAACACCGACTTCGAAGTACAAGAAGGGGAAGCCGGCATCCCGTCCGTCAGCAGCCGCGCGAACACCCTCGCCATCTCGGAAGGCGAGGGCGCCCTGGGCCGTGAAGCGACCTGGGATGACTACCCGAACGGCCGTTGGGGCGACGCGCGCTCCCCTGCGTTCGGCGAGATCGATGGGTATGGCGTGTCCCTTCGCGTGTCCACCACCGAGGCGGTCAAAATGTGGTCGTATCCCGTCACCGCAGCGGATATCAACGAGGTGTTCCGAAAATATATCAATGGCGAGATCCAGGGGATCCCATGGAGCGAGGAAGGGTTGAGCGCCGAATCCGAACCGATACGAGAGCAGCTAGGGAAGCTGAACGCGAAAGGATGGTGGACGATTGCGAGTCAGCCGGCTGTGAATGGGTTGAGGAGTGATGATAAGGTCTTTGGATGGGGGCCTAAGGCTGGGTTTGTGTACCAAAAGGTAAGTCCCTTAATGAGGAAGTCAGGAGTGATTGACAATGGCATCGTATATTGCTCATGGCTGACACACCTCTTTTCCTGCTAGGCGTTCGTTGAGTTCTTCGTACCGTCGAAAGACTGGGACACCCTTCGTGAACGACTCGCCAATGAAGACGAAGTCACGTATTTTGCTGGCAACTTTGCCGGTTCCACCTCCGCATCCGATATCGAGTCAGTCAATCCAGTGACCTGGGGCGCCTTTAATGGAAAAGAGTACGTATTCCAGTCCCGCATAATTCTTACCAACCACCCCATGTCTAACGCCTAAAACCATTAGGATCATCACGCCAACCATTATCGAAACGGTGTCGTTCCACGCCTGGCGGGAAGAGGCGTTCTCCCTGTGGAGCGAGTGGCAGCGGATCTATCCTCCCAAGTCGGCGACGTCCAAGTTGCTGGAGGGGGTGAAAAAGGATTTGTGGTTGGTGAACGTGATTCATCATCGGTTCATGGACAAAGATGCGTTGTGGGAGTTGCTGTTACGCTAACTGGGGGAAGGAGGGCTTCTGGGTCGCATTCGAGGGACATCCGTGCCACGTCAATAGAATTTGGAATCAATCGGAGAGAGCATCTACGGGATTACCATGTACCTTAAGTGCAAGATAAGCATCACATTTTTAAGAAGAGCTGGCATTACACCAATCATTACAGTAGAAAGCGTGCGACCCTGAATTCCCAACGCCTTTCATCCCAACGGTACAATTTGGCCCATCAAGAGTGTCCCTGCCGGTTCAAGAAGCAAACATCGACTCTCAGCCTCGGCTAGACTTTCAGACTTAATGCTATACATGCAGGAGATGTGGTTAGTCACATATTCTTGTGTTTGAGAAACCATACAAGAAAATGGGAGGTTGTACCGAACACGAACCGCAGCCACAGCTGTTGCAATCGCCAGCACATCCGCAGGTTGAGCAGGAGCTAGCAAAGGGTATAATGTTAGCAAGAGTGGGCGGACTCTGTGCCTGGTTTCGGGGGGCATTTACCAAGCAGGCATATTGAAAGGTCTGATCGAAGGCGTCTTGAAATGACCGAGTAGTTGAAATCTGGCGGATATCCGTTTGATTCTTTTGTCTCGAAACGTTGTCTCGATAGAGAAGTCTCCAAACCAGTCTCAGGAGGCATTCTGGTTCCTTATATGTCTCTCCGGCCTCAGCGGATCTTCCAGTTTCTTCCCGTATCCGTCCTCAACCCCGCCCACAATTCAGCATCCACCCAATATGGGATCATCTGCCTGCGCCTGACGATGACATTGGAAGTTCCGAAGCAGCCAAGGAGTGTATGGTGATGTCGGGTGATTTGGCAACCCATGCAAGCCTGTCCAACTTCATTCTACTGGATGGCCTTGACTTGGGATAAGGATGACATGCAGCAGCCACACGCATCAGCATCATCGGGACTAGGAGTAATTGGCCGATATGCCGATTCCCTTATGTAAAAAGCATATATAAAGGTGTGGTCCAGCAATCATCCGGGGAGGATACCGGGAATACCCCACGCCGTGGTATATCTGACCTACTGGTGCGGGGAGGGGTGTGGATCGGGCCGTTCCATCGAGCAAGATTGGTCCACCGCGCCACTCAATGATATAGTAAAGCATAGCGATGATAAGCTCGGCGTTGGGTGCGCGGCCTTGATGCTATACGTAGCCCGCTCTCAGTGGACAACAGTTCCATGGGCCAGACGCTGTGTCACATCAAATGCAGGGTCAGCTGACTTGGAATGCATGTGAATTCTGATTATGGGGTACTGACGGGATAGGGAATATTTGCTAGAACCGTTTGTAAATGCAGATGACAGAGTGATACCTGGTTGAGGTGGGACGTAACTAGAGAGACGAACACCCCCAATACATGTCCCGAAAAGCCGCTTGGCAAAGATACAGCCATAAGACGCGGCTGAACAGGAGAGAACGGATCCTAAAATTGGGTTCGGGGGTGTACATTCGGGTCGGAACTGAGTAGTGAAGACAGAAGTAGTGCGTTTTGAGTTAGGTATCGTGCTGGCATGAGAAAAAATAGACTCTGAATTCGAACTTGTAGCATCGATTCCTCTTGTGAAAACAAAATTTGGTATCATACAAACCGAAATCTGGTATCGTAATTTCCGCCGTGGTATAAATCCATTCCCTGCTCCCTCCATCCAATTCGGCCGCAAATGTCCCTGGGAACCGAAGGAGCGAAATCCCCATAGAACACCGTCCGTTGCGGCTGCCTGTCACATAACTCATTCCAATCCATGTTGTAGGGAGAATCACCACCGCGACCCCACGCTGCTCATTCGACCGCGCCGATCATCCATTCTAACGGAACAGATCCCCCCGGGTCTTCTTCGCATACTCCTGCAACATCTTCCTCTCATTCTCATCCAACTGCCGGCTTCCCATGCTCCTCGTACTATGACTACTCGACGGCCTCCGTCCATCGGGCTCCGGGGGCAACGGTAGCGCCAAGAACCCGCCATCGTCCCGGGGCACCACCATGCTCTTCCGCGCCTGACCACGCCAGGACGGCCCCAGGCCGCGACTGTGGCTGTACGTAGATAGGGGACGCGTGCCGCCCGAGCTGTCCGCGAGGTCGTCGAGGGAGACGATGCTGCTGCGGTTGTTCGCGGGGGGTTGGTAGAGGTTGGGAGCTTCGTAGGCCGAGGAGCCGGGAAGGTGAGTGATGTCGTAGCCTAGTTCTTCGAGGATCTCGTCGAACATGTGGGTTTGGGAGGGTTGCTTTTTTGCGAAAATGGTGAGCGGCTGCGTTAGCCCATAGGCGGGGAGGGAAGGGGCAGAGGAACCGAATTGGAATGAGGGCGGGACGAGATCGAGACGGTCCGCGAAGTGTTCTTCACGGACCCAAAGCTTGCGTAGAGAGATGAGGCCCTGCGAGAGGAGGCTATGTGAGAGGTAGGCGTAGTGGCTATCAGTCATTCCTTGGGTTGCTGGATTGTCGATGTTCCAGTTGACCTCGTAATGGAGGTTGACCAGACGAGGACTGAAGAGGGGGGGAATCGGGTCGAGTGGGAAGCGCTCGTTGATTTCCCTGGAATATGTGAGTGTTAGCAGGTAAGGCGCCGCCTCGAGGACAAGATGCAGGTCTTTGGTCTGGATCTGGGTTTCTGTAAGGGTCAAGGTTTGGAGAGTTCGTGCCACGTCGGGGCGGCAGAGGTAGCTCTGTAGGCCTTCCGCGGTGATTTGGGGAGACTTGTCAATGGAAAGGGAGGACAGAGCACGGAGGTTTGGAGCTACCGGACTTTCTAAAAAGACCTTGTCATCGATGCCTCCCATGTTAATCAGCTCCAGCTCCGTCAGCGAGGGAAGTTTGGCCAGGGCGATACGCATGGAGGCGTTATCCAGATCCAGACTTATGAGTGTCAAGGTCGTCAAATGTGGCCACAGACCGCGCTGGAGTTTCGCGAAGTGCGGCTCCGACCCATGGTCATATTTCATCTTTTGCAGGAATTGACACCGTGCTTCCAGCTCGGCACGTAGCGGCTCGCACGACTGCTTTCCCTTGAAGATCTCGTCGGGTAGATCGATGTAGAGGAGATTGGGCATGGCGCCCACAGCTCGAGCGAGGTCACCGTACGAGTCCCGGTCATCGCGGCAACGCGGGGGCATCTTGAAGAACCGCACTTGAGCGGCCAGCCCACGGTTACTGCGTAAAGCACCCGCTAGGAGCTTGAGCGATTCGGCCACTTGCGTCGGGCCATCCTTGCCGGACTTTTGGCGCTTGAGTTCAATAACCAGGCGAAGGTCGCATTCGTGGAAAGCATCCAAGCGGATGGAGTAGTAGCTGTATGGGTCGTCAGCGCAACGGTCAAGAGTGGACTTTGGGAGCGTACAGGACGGCACGGACTGGGACAACCCAGGCCCTCCTCACTCTGGCGCAGCGAGCGAGATCCTGCACGTCGCAGCAGCGGCACGACTGGACCAAGCTGACGCTCTCATTGGAATCGAAGCTGTAATCGGTCGTGTGCGGACAAACGAAGCGGAAGATGTTCTCGAGCACATTCGAGGGAAGACGTGCGACGTAGTCCAGTCGCGGATCGATGGGAGAGCCCCAGAGATCCTCTCTCCTCTCAGGCTTCTCCTTCACCCGCTGCTTGGACTTTCGCCGGAACGCGTTCTTCAGGAAGCCCATGATGGTGGTGTCGTTGGTATGATCGGCGAATGACTGCGGAAACCAGGGTCACTGGAAGGGGGCATTAGCTTTGGAAGGGCACATTGTGCGCCTCTTGGGGTTTGAACAAGAATTGTAGGTCGGAGCCAGTAGGGAATTCGGAGACGTGAAGTAAGCAGAGGTAGATGATGGGATTCCAGCGCGGTGGTGAATCCCGTTGCACACTTGAGTACGCATTTCGGGCCTAACTAGCACCAGTCTCACCGTTGTCCCCCTCTTCCTAGGGTTTAGGTGTCTGAGATGGCTTCAAGGGGAAGGTATCGGTTGATGAACTGGATTGGTCAACGCGTCGCTGACAGCTTGACACTTGACAGGGAGTCCATCAGACATGGCGGCAGCGGGAAACTAATGTCAATTGCCAATTGCCATCAATGTGATTGTCTCGGCGAGCCACAGATGCCAGTACTGCAAGACTGAGGTGGATGAAGGAGTAGATCTTAATTTTAATCATCCGAACCATCTCAATACAGTTAATGGAGATTTTGACTTACCATGCATCTACTATCCGTTTTACCGAAGAGAGGTTGGGGATTATAAAAGGGACAAGATTTTTAAAGAACTTGGATATCTGCAAAGTGCTAATATGGTTCAAGAGTGGTGAACTCCAGATGGACCGCTGGGATGGGCGCTTTTATGTCGTATCGCGTACGTTCATGCTCATCGCCAAGATATTCCTCGCAGATCATACTTTGGTACATTTGCGTTTCAGGTTGTTTGTAATTCTCAGTTACCCGTTTGTTTGTGGGGCGAAGTACGGGAGAGTAGCTATCTTCCTGATAACTAGTCTTGTTTGATGTACTCAACCCCGTCTCAAAGTCGCTCCCCTTTACGTCGGGTTGACTGGATACTCATTCTACTAGCTGCTTGCTGCTTGCTCTTTAAATGACTCCTGTGGCAACCGATGCGTAGTCAGGTACCATCTACTCCATATCCGTTCTCAAGTAAAAGGCAACGGCCCTGTGCGTGTGTTGTCGGTACTTTAAGAGTTACCACTGTCGCAAGTTAGCCTGATCTTGTAGTTGTCCATCCCTCTCGTGACCTTGAAAGAAAATCAAGGATGGAATGATCATGGTTCGATATGAAGGGATCATACGGCTGTAGTAGAGCGCACATTCATCAAGAGGAGAACATTGGTTGCATGAGCGCAGAAGGTATTGGGTGTATGATGTGTTGCCGCTCCGTTCACCACGGGTGGAAAGCTCTGGTGGCTACAATTGCTTAGAATAAAGTATTTCAAACAGTCAAGTAAACAAAAATAGAATTTGGTGTAGGATAAGGATCGTAAACCGACTTGTATTAGGAGTTCGCTCTCCTTTTATGAGTGCAAGGTGGAAACGATAAGGCCACAAGGCCTGTTACAGTAGAATGGACTTCACAGTCAATAAAGGAATAATCGGAAACCAAGTATTCCGTACGATCCATTGAAACTCGAAGTTCGTTCGTAATCATCCAATAGGATAATATGCAATCATGAAACCGTGATAGCCACGATCCAGCACAATGGGGGGGCATATGCTGCCTCAAACGATGGGCTTTCTTAGCTCTCGGCCGCCATCGGGAGCACAGCATCGACGCTGTGGAGGTACAGAGGCATCCTAGAATACCTGTACAATGGACAAACCCAGAGGGACGGTAAACAGTTTTGTCTGGTTCGTGAAAGGGTTCGTGATAATCTCGCCTAGTCAGCAATTTGTCCACTCGTCCGCCGTTAGGATGAGGCGTGCGGAGCCGAACGCCCTGAAGCTCTCTTCAATGTCCACGACGGAGCAGCATCGGAGAGAGTCCACGGGTGCACGCTCTTGTTCACCCTATCCGCATTGCGTGGTGATAAGTGGTGGTCTGGTCTCTCGAGGCTAACCGCTTTGGTAGCAGCTGCGATTGGGAATGGGTCATGTTAAAGAGCCATTCTAAAAATGGCGCATGAGGAAGTTGGATGGTCGAAGTCGAAATACTTGACAATTCCGTTAGGTATACGGAAAATGATGGTACCCTAAGAATTTCCTGGCCCAAGGACTTCCGAGAGTACCATATCAGCTTGGCCTCCTTGAGGGTTGCTGTGGTGGTAGAGAGTGTGTGCACACTAAACTCTCAGACTAAACTCTCAGACTGCACTAACACTTTCTCGTGCTGTGCTGATGTTGCACGTTTAACTCTTCTTCCTCTCAACTCTTGAACTCGCACCTTCTCTTTCGCCTCATCCAATCTTCCCCATTGCATATCTATTTCCGAGGCTCCATTCGAGAGACACGTTTCCAAGCTAGGCCACGGCTCTTTTTGCCATCCTACCTTCATCCTTCTTTGCTCTTGTCGCCGGTTCTTGGTCCCTTCGAGTCCGACAACTGCCGCCCACGTCCCTGTACGACGCCGACTTTCGCTACATCGCCCGCTGTCCGTCATTCTTGTTGAGCTTTTGGGAGCGTGGTTCATTGCACTTCGTCCGGGCCCGAATTGATACTTTTGCCTAATTTCGAACATAATCACCGCTTGGTCGTCTCAACCGAGCTTCATATCGCATCCTCCCCTCGAAGAGCTCGGCCTTGAAAAGCATGGCGAACCAGCCCCAAACCATCCCCAACGGAATAGACAAGTACCTTGTCATTCACGTAGCGACAACATGCGACGAGCATGGCGTATATGTGACCCGGGACTCCGCCGAAGTTATTGAGATCGGATGGATACTGCTGGACGCGAAGACATTGGAGGAGGTTGGTGGCCGAGCCCCTCGAAACTTTGCGGATGGAGACACCGTATAACTAACCTCGTCTGACATAGTTGCACCGCGATAGCGTTTTGGTCAAACCTGTGAATACGCCGATAACACCTCTCTGCAGTAAGTCATTGAGCTACCGCCCTCGATCCTCCACACCAATGGGAACCGTGCTGATGCCATACGTTTCCTAGCTTCCCTTACCACCCTGACCTGGGAGCATGTCCGCAACTCAGGGTCGTTCCGCGATGCCATAAACCTCTTCGACCAATTCGCTCAGGAACATCTCATGCAGAACAATGCCGAGTTTGCCTTCGTGACCCTCGACTCCTGGGACCTCCGAGTCCAGCTACCCCGAGAGGCTCGAGACAAGGCGGTCGTCCTCCCCGCATACCTGCAGCACTCCCGCACCTTCGACCTTCGCTCCGAGTATCAACGATGGCAGCAACACCATCCCGAGTCCCTGCCGTTTGGAGCCAGCGCCCTGACCAACATCTGTGCCGCCCTCGAAGTCGAACCGGTCCAGTCCAGCGCTCCGATCAAACACAACCTCCCCTTCCATCTGCAAGCCCTCGCTCCGGCTTCTCCGCGTCGGGCTATGGAAGAGACCGTGACGCTTGCCCGCGTGCTCCGTGGCCTCATCCGCAAATCCCAGCCGGCACAGACCCATGAGGATATCTTGACCCGTCCGCTGGACGCTCGCGCCGATGTCCGGGCCTTCATGGCGGAGCGCAGCAAGGTGCTGCATATGAGCGGATTACCCCATGATACCACCCAGTCCGAGTTGGAAAGCTGGTTCACCCAGTTCGGCGGCAGACCCATCGCATTTTGGACGTTGCGAACCCCCGACCAGCACAAGCCTACAGGGACGGGATTTGCAGTGTTTTCGTCGCATGAAGAGGTGAGTGAGACGGTTTCTTCTCTTTCTGCTTCCGGACCGCACCTTCGTCTGATTGCCTTCGCACCTTCCCCCTTAGCGACAGTCCCGTGACCTTCAATGACTCTGCTCTATTTTCCTTATCTGACGATTTTGCGCATGACTTCATGTCATTCATTGATTCACTTCCTCTATCTGAGATTTTGCCTCTTCACCATCCTCGCTCGTTGTCTTTTCATCATCACCACCCCCTCCTCATTGAAGGGAGTACGGTTGGCATTTCAAGTCAATATATCACGTGGTCGGCACCTTCCTTTTCCAAGCAAACACTCGGTTTCTGAAGACATCATTTGCTCCTATTGTCTCCATGACTGCCATTGTGAATTCAGCCACGGATCCTGTCGCCTACGGCTTCAATAGCATCCAACCTTGGACGGGCCGAGCTCATTCATTTTCCTATTATCCCATCGTGTGTATTGACCAGCCTTGCACTGAACTAATCGCCCGTCACACTTTCCTTCTACTGATCGAGCTATTGTCAAATTTCCCGAAGGCACCTCGTTTGTGCTTCGAACTTCGCTCACTTTCTTCATTGCCTTCCTTCGTCTACTCACAATTGATCGAGGGACATTACTCACATCTCTCATCACACTCGCACGTCATCCATAATGGACTACCCTCAACCTCCCCTCGCTTACTACTACCCTGTCACTTACACCTATCCTGTCACTCAAACCTACTATTACGCTGGCACTCCGCCTCAACGTCTTTCCGAAACCCAGGCTAACATGGATCCACCCCAGGCTGCCGAATCACTTTGCATGAATGGACGAGCTTTGAATGAGAAAGCGGTCGAAGTCTCTCCGTCCTCTTCTCGCGTCCTCGATCGCGCTGCCGATATCCTCACTCCGTTCCCGCCGTCAAAGAACCGACCGCGTCCCGGTGACTGGACTTGCCCATCATGTGGTTTCTCCAACTTCCAACGTCGCACGGCTTGCTTCCGATGCTCCTACCCGATCAACGCCATGCCTCCGGCACCGGCTGAGATGGGCTATATGCACGGCGGTGCCTACGGTTACGGTCCTCCTCAGATGATGGGCCATGGACATCATTCCATGGGCGGACACCATGGTATGCATGGCCATATGGGTGGTGGTGGTGGTGGTGGTGGTGGTGGTGGTCGGGGAGGTGGCGGAGCTGGAAATGTCATTCCGTTCCGTGCAGGCGACTGGCAATGTGGAGCTAACGGCTGCAACTATCACAATTTTGCGAAGAATGTTTCATGCCTTCGATGCGGAGCGAGCCGAAGCCGAGCCTTGCTCGTAGCGGATACTGCGACGACGTTCTCTACTCCGATGAACCAACCCGGCAGTTACGGAATGGGTGGACCTCCTGGTGCTCCAATGGAAGCTGGTCCTCCGGGTCACTTCGGCGGCCCCGCAGGATTCGACTCGACTCCGAACTTCCCTGGACAATTCGGACAAGCCAGCACCTACGCACTCCCTAGCGGACTGGGTGCAGCGTCTCCCTATCCTCCGATGGGAGGTCAACAATATGCTGCGAACGGTGGCTCCGGTATACCTGGACCTTCCGGTGGTTTCGACAGCCGTGCCGAGGCTGCTTTCACTTCCGCAGGGCAACCGGGCGGTGTTGGTAACGTCAGCTCCGCCGGTGCCGGTGCCAATGCCTCCAGCTTTGCAAACGGCGCACCTGGATTCGATGGGGCCAGTGACCCATTCTCGTTCCTCAGCTCCGGCCTTGGAGGGTTGAGCATCAATGACTCCTCGAGGTCTGGCGGTGGCCCACCTAGCAAGTCCCCTGCCTAGAGGACTGCCACATGACCATGAATAGGCCCACGCGCCACTACATATTTGCTGTTTCGGTTTTGCTCTTTTTTCTTTTTCTTTCTCGGTTTCTAGTTCATCATGTTCGCACTCCAGTTCATACACGACTCTTCAGTGGCACTTTGGCAGACTGGTCGACTGAGGACAAATTCAATCCCCTAGTCACCGCGGATCTTCATGGCTCCAGCCCAGGCATTTGAATCTTTTACTCCCAAGCCTGCCATACAACTCTGAGCCATCGTCCTGCCTCGATGTTCAATTTCTTGCATCACAGGGGATGGGCGATGGCACTCGCCACAGCACGTTCCTAAGTCGGGAATCCTCTTTTCAACACGAAATCCCGGAAATCGCAATGGCAGGAATATCCGACCAATCAACGGTGCTTCTTTCAGAGCTTGGGCAGACAAAGACGATCGAAACCGAATAGCTGAGGCGCTGGTGGAGTGAATGAATCTTGCTAGGTTTGCGGAATCGCGACAAACGGGCACATCCAAAACGGAGAGCAACAGGCCGGATCTGGACGGAGCATCTTATCTTCTTCAACCAATTCTTCGACGGGTTTAGCAGGGAGAACGGACGGATCGGGTGGGGCTCAAAAAGGGCTGAGGGTTTCTGCGGATTCAAATACGCGAAAATGGGGGTTAGTCAACCCTTTACAGACTGGACAGGCTGGGCAACGGGTCGGAGGTTTTTGCATCGTTATTCGATTTTTCCTTGCCTTCTTCCCCCTTTTCCTTTTCTTATATTCACTTTCACATTCGTTTTCCGGTTTTCACATGCCACTGTCTGTCCCTACCTTCATCTGGCTTTTCACTTTGAGTTATGAGAATGGGTGCATGGCTCCGCACGGATGTCGGGATGGTCTTCATTGTCTGGACTGGAGAAGGGCGGGAGGCACAAGGAGGGAGCGGTGGTGCCGCAGCAGGAGACAGAACCAACCAGTGAAGGCAGGGGATGGACAAGCATAAAAAGTTAAGAGAACACAATAGGAATATTACGGACGTTCCATGAATAGACACTCGTCCTATTTCTCTCAATACTCTTCAACCTTGCATATTCGATGATAACATGTCGAGACAATCGATCCAAGGCATCGATGCACGGGACTCGTCATTGAATAGCGTACGATGTGCTGTCGTGCAATGATCTCACTCCAGTGCTCCCATCTACTCCTTCCCTCTTCCCCCTAGACTCTTCCAGAGCCTTGGTAATCGCGCCGTTCGTCATTCTCCCTCTCGTTGGATCTTCAGCGCGGAGGTGTTCATCAACATCTATTCACGGATCAGTCACCCGAGGCACCGCGACCGAACATACTGAACAGGGGCGAAGGAAAGGGTTCCACATACCGGCTATACCCTCTTCGAGCGCTTCCCCCAACCACCTCCGCATCTTCTCCCTCACAAAGGCATCAAAATCCCACTCCCCCAAGTCCAGTTGCTCCACGCCAGCGACAAACACGTACGTCTCCGCCTCAACCACCTCCCCCTCCTCTCCTTGCCCCTCATCCACCCCCACCAACTCCTCAACCACGCCCGCGTCCTCCCCTCCAAGCAACCGGACACTCACCATCCGCCGCTCATACTCCTCCCCCTCAAATATATCTAACAGCTCCACATCCCGCGCAGTCAATCCCCGCACCACGGTCCCCCGCACCTCTCTCTCCACGAACGCCAGCGAATCGGCCCCGAGGTGCGCCCGCTCGACCGCGAACGGGATGATGCAGGGGTAGTCGGCGTTGCGGACCTTGTGGCGGTTGAAGCCGGGGAGGAGGGCGGGGGAGATAGTGAGACGGGAGTGTTGGGAAGGGGAGGGGGTCGTAGTGCCGTGGAGGACGCGGTGGAGGACAGCGGGGGCCATGAGGGTGCCTGGTAGGGAAAGCGGTGAGATACGGGGTCAATTGGGGGAAATAGGGCTGGGGAACGGGTAGATACCGTAGAAGAAGCATGTGGAGGTGGTGGTCGCCATTGTGCACGAGGGGGATCTATCCAGCTTTCAATAGGTTACAGAGGGAACAATGTTTATGGCTAGGACTTGGAAACCGTATATTATATTGCCGTCCACGTTATTCTGTACCAAAGGATACCAAAGGATACCGAATCAGTATCAATGTTTGAATCCGGGTGTGTTGATAGCCCGATATCAACTGTGATGGCGGGGGACAGGGATCGGTCATATATAACCAATCATAATCTAATAGACCCTGTCAAGCCACATATTGTGGCGCAGTCACTTGGCTCATGACGATCCCGCTCCATTCCGCTGGGATCGACATTTCCGCGCCCCTTAGACAATCTCCATCTTCATTTCTCGGTATTAGAAATTTCTTCCGCATTTTGCACGCAATCCTCCATATATTCCTTATATCCCGAATCTGTTAGATGTCCGATGAGATCGCAAGCCGTTTCACAGCCGTAACCATGGGACCGTAACAGTCTCCCTACATATATATCCTCTGTCTCCTCCGACCCCTCTCTGCCACTGTGGACGGTGCGGACCCCCCCATCTGTCAAGATGGGCTTCGTTAATACAGCGGTGGGCTATTTGGCACCGCTTTTGTGAGTAAACCACCTAATAGAATCATCCGGTGACCGTGCCAGTCTGACTTCGATCGCAGTCTCATCACCTCGCCTATTACCTCCTATGCCGACCAAATCCACTCCATCCACCGCACCCGCACCTCCGCCGGCTTCTCCCTTGATATTCCGCTGATCATGCTGGTATCCTCGATCCTCAAGTACGGAATCCCTTTCCCTCTTTCTGATCCCGCTCTTCAACCGCGACTGTAACTTACATCGGCGCAGGATCTTCTTCTGGATCACCGACCACTACTCCCTCACCCTCCTCACCCAAGCCATCCTCATGATCTTCGTCCAATCCCTCCTCCTCCATGTCTCCTTAACCCATCGGCCGGCGACCCCTCCAAGCGTATACCAGCCCTTCTCCGATCCCCATCACCACCACCACCATCATCATCACACCGACCATACCACCGCCTCCGACACCTCTCTATCCGCCATGTTTACAACCCTCTTCACATCCCTCACCAGCCCCACGACGTCCCGCCCGTACAACTTCTGGCGCTGGCGATCCGCCCGCCCGTACTGGAATTTCCTCATGTACTTCACCGGCGCCGTCGTCGCGATCCAACTCTTCCTCGGCCCCACCGCGCCGGGCCCCCTCTCCTTCGTCCAATCGACCCTCGCCCTCACCACCGAGGCCATGCTCCCGGTGCCGCAGCTCTTCGCGAACTATCAGCGGAAGGGCTGCAAGGGGTTCCGGCTCAGCGTGATCGTGAATTGGGTCATTGGGGACGCGTTTAAGATGTGGTGGTTTTTCATGCAGGGGACGGAGAAGGTGCCGGTGGCGTTTCGAGTGTGTGGCATTTTCCAGGCGTGCTGTGATATCGGGTTGGGAGTGCAGTATTGGGTTTGGGGGGAGGGGAAGGAGTATGAGTGGGAGAGGGAAAGGGCAGAGGAGAAGGAGGGATTGGGGGATGTAGAGATGGAGGAGAAGATATCTAGGATTCGTTCTAGGAGTTCAACATAGGCCAACATCTTGAACGGCTTTTTTGGTTTATTTCCAGATATTTGGGATGGATTGGTCAACGATGGGGCTTCAAGGCATTGGATAGAATAGACGCCTTCAATTGAGCGCTTAGATTTTGTGAGCGAATTTCATGTAACAGTCCATCAGGATGATAGATCTACTGGTGGTCTAGCATAGCCTTTAACGTTGTCATACCCGTTAACGTGATCGCTTTCTCTTTTTATTTCCTTCCTTTATGGCGCCGCGCAATGTCCAAACGAGAAGTCATATCGTCACATGCGAAGATGATGGTTGCCAACCATCCCTAAGCCTGCCAGGGGATACTACGCCGTAGAAGACACGAGCTTGATCCGGCCCTCAGTCGTCGGACAGATTGCCTTTGATAGTTAGAAACGCTTCATGAATGAGATAAGTCCACATACCTTTGTCCAATCCACCGTAAACTCGCCGTCCTTGAGACTATCGCACAGTTTCCCCTCCACCCCAGCAATGCGACACCACTTGTGCATGACCTTGCGCATGATGGCCTTCTCCTTTTCGAACCGCTCCAAATCTTTCTCATCCTCTGTTTGCTCCTTCTTCCGCAATTCATCTAGCTCCGCCTCTTCCAACGGCTGACACTGAGCCTGGAATTCCCTCACCCTCGGTTCCCATCCCTTCCACGCCGAAAAGTCCATCCGCGATTCAGCGGGACTCGCGCTCCCTCCGAACGCCTGTTCTTTCCTTTCGACTGCCGGCGCAAGGGGGCTGGTTAGGATCGATTTGGTCGGCTCGATCACGGGGTGCGTGACGCTCATGTGGCGGGCGACTTCGCCCCAATGCTGCGCCATCGACATGCCCCAATTCTTCCACGCGCCCACCACTTTGAGCGACATGAAGTACTGTCGTAGCATCATGGAGATGAGGATGCCGTTTTCTTCCGAGACGATTTCTTCCGCGCTGCCGCCTTCGGATTCGACGAGCAGGGCATCGTAGCCGTCTTTTCCACGCGCCATGTAGCCTCGCGTGACCAAGACGTACTTCTTCTCGAGGTCGATCGGCGCATTTCCGATGGATACCTTGACGATCCGGGACGTGGGGGGCTTCGAGGGATCGAATTCTAGGGTGATATTGGAGACTTGGGGGAATCGGCCATCGAGCGCCGGGTACAGAGACACTGCATTCTCTAACGCGTCCCAAATGGCTTGTCCCGCCACTCGGATGACCATAACCGGGTCTTCAAATGGAAAGCAGTCCATGATGTCGCGGACTCTGATCGGCCCGGGAGGATACACTTGATCCCCTCTCACCGTACCCGCTGCCATTAAGCAACAGTCGCCTTGATAGTGGTGTCGCATAATATCGCACACAAAGTTCGCATAATTGCTTTCCCCCCTCCTGACCGTCGTAAACCTCGCGTCCAGAGGCGCCGCGGTCCATCCAAGCGGTTTGTCCAGCTTGGCCTTTAGTGCGTCCGTCAGCCCTGAGACCAGCTCTACCGTTTCCGGGTCGCGCTCGATAGACGAGATGACATCCCTCCGCACAATATCAAAGTCCCATTTTTGAGGACTATCCTGCCTCCTCCATGCTTGGATGTAGCTCAACTGTTTGAAGTCCGAGCCGGATCGAAGGACATGGGTACCATTGATGTAGCTGTGGTTATAGTAGTGATCGTGGCCGCCGAGGATGATATCAATCAATCCCTCCGGGCATTTCTCGGCCAGTTTGTTGTCGTTCGGCTCTCGTTGATGCGTAATGGCAATGATAATCTCCACGCCCTGCTCCCGAAGTTGCGGGACGAGCTCCTTCGCTGTCTCTGAAGCAGATTTGTAGATGATGTTGGGCGGAAGGGAGTTGATCGTTTGAAGCCATTCCCGCTCTCCAAGACCGATCAGACCGATCTTGATACCGTTCGAGGAAGTTATGATGTGCGTCTTCTGGGCATTGCCGATGGGAACCCCCTCGCCGAGTGCAGGATCGAGGATGTTAGCTAACAGCCAAGGGAAATTGCATTGTGAGGCAAGGTATCGGAATTGATCGACGCCAAAGTCAAGGTCATGGTTCTATCCAAGTTCATGTCCAGTCAGCGAGGGTCCTCTGCAAAAGTTGAGTGGAAAACAAGCTCACCCCCACGCAGGCGCCGTTGGTTCCAATCTGATTCAAGGCATGGACCATATGACTGCCTCCTCGATGTTAAAAAGAGTCCGAAAAGTCGATATAACAGCGGTCACGGACTTGAGTAAGGATAGCCCGAGAGTAGAGGTTGGTGGACCCTGAGGAAAGACAAGTTATCTACCTTTGGTCACACTGCTTTCCAAGCTCGGATTGAACGCATCTCCCGAGAAAAAGGCGAGCAACTCTGGCTGCCCTTTGAACTGCTCATCGGATCTGTAGTGTTTGCAGAGGGTGATGAATCGAGAGAGGCCCCCACAAGGTTCTGCGGAGGAAGAATCGACATGGTACACGTCATTGTAGTGGAGGAGCCGGAGATCTGGTGGGTTGGAATGTGGTCCGCCGGAATATGTGACGGACTCCTCTGGAGGTGGAGGGTGTTCCCGGGTCATATTGCTCCCGGTTGCAAAGTTCGAGGTAATATAAAGGAATCAAGTCCCTGTACGTATGGTATCTGAAGATGATGTTTGTTGGAGATGAATGCTGACTGCACTCTGCAGAGGTCGGAGGAGGGCGGTCAACGCTGTCAATTGCAGGCTTCGGATTGGTTGGTAGGGTGAGACTAAGCTGATTACTAGATACGGCAAGTAACAGGAGAATACACATACAGGTGACGACGCGTATATGTATAAAGTCTACAAAGCATTATAGAGCGAATACCCTCTCCTAGGAGGGCCTAGTGCGCAGCCCCAAAAGGTAGCGAGAAAGGTATGTCGCCATACGATCTTAATATAAACGGTCAAGTAAAGAGTTTGTGATTGTGATCCACGAGATTGGATTCATTTTTGTACGATTATATTGACCTTTTCATGGAAACAAAGACCACCATAGTCATTACAAAGGCTTTCGCACTGCCATAACCGATTGACAGATATTCCGGTCCACATTCCCGTAAGAAGCAGGTATCTCATCCCGATTCTGACGCAGGGCAAGAAGTAAGAAATCATCTCAGCGTATAGCTCGTATGGTGGCTAGTTCGTTGCAGCATAGACTAAGCAACCAGGCTTTCCCTTCCTTGAAGGCCCCCCTCCCAAGCTATGGCATTCGACAGATTCCTCCACATCAACCGCGGTGAACATGCCCCCATCGACCTCTCGCCAGTGCAAATCGTCCCAATCCGCATCCAGCGCTTTGGCGAAAGCGACATCGTATTCATGATCGAGATACGTGAACCCAGCGATCGAGTTGTCTGCCTAGAACAATTGAGTCTTGATATTCTGTTCGGGGCAATCGGGAAATCCAAGGATGGGAGCCGGGTTGTCGTTCCAGGCATAAACATAGCAGGGTGAGAGTGTGGCGGCCAGAGCGGCAGTGAACCCCGAGGTGTCGCGGAAGCTGTTGCATGGAGTCGCCGGGATGCCGTAGAGGAAACTGGAGGTTAGAGTTGAGAGAAGGAGGAGGAGAGAGAAAAGTATTGAAGTCTTTGAGTCCATGTTGAGTGGGTTTCTCAGATGATGTTTTTTTGACTGAGCAAATTAGTGAATCGATCATCAAAGCAGGATTGAAAAGAACGGTCTCAAACTTGTCAACAGGTATGAGTTCAGTACAACAAGCAATCGACTTCAGTGACACTGCGATAGGTACCTGACAAGACTCAACAAAGGAATAAAATGAGACGCAAGGTACCAGTAGAAAGGAGAGCCGGAGATGCCATTCCGAGTAATCCACGTAATGAGCCTTCCCTAACTAGTTCTAAGCTGTTCAATCCATGTTCTCCTATACCGGCAATGATGAGAGTACCGTAACATCAGAGTTGTCAGTAACAGTCAGTTGTACATATCGGGTCACTGCCTCATTCCTGCACACTGTGGTTTCGATATCAGGTACACACTGTCACTCTATACCGGCAGCAGACCGTCATGTCCTTCCATTTCAAAGGTTGTGTGTTAACTTTTAGGTGATTGTTGGAACCATCTTGCTGTTACTTCAAATAGGTTGGAATCACGCCCTACTTAAGAGATGATACTTAATCAGGTTGCAGTTGGGAAGGCTGCGATGGAATCTGATGCCATTTCATTCCTAGTACAGTGAAGGACATCTTACTGTTAGCGTAACATATCTAGCCAATAGTTAGCCTAAATATTGTGTTTGAGGCGCCGACTAAGCAACGCTAGTATAAAGTTCCAGTATCAAGCAACGTCATTGGCCCGCCACCATGACCGCGGGGTCATCCTAAACCGGACCCTTTGACTCAAACAGTCGAGCAGGAGATTCTTCACCGATCAACCAGACAGACATTAGGACTACACCATCTCAAGCTTTTCCCAACTTCTCCCAACTTCTCTTCTTGTACTTATTTCGAACCCTCGGTTCACTATGGGAGGAAAGAAAGGCGGTGAGAACTCCAGGAAGGTCGCCGGCAACGCCCGCAAAGCCGACGCGGCCGCCGCGAAACAGGCCGCCGTCGACGCGGCCGCCAGCGCGGCCGAGGGGAAGCAATGGCAGAAGGGCGCAAAGGATACCAGTAAATCGTGAGTAGCTTCCCTTGCCACCGATATACCTATACTTGGCTAGACTCGCCTTTTTGGGGCCACACTAGGAGAGCAAGCTGACGCACCACTAGGGAGGCCGCCGCCGCCAAAGCCGAAGAAGCCGCCCGTAAAAAGGCGGAGAAAGCCGCCCTTCTCGCTGCCGAAGACGCGGAGCTCCCATCCAAGAAGGCCGGCGGTTCGAAAGGCGCGCAGAAGAAGAAGGTCGGCCGCCCGGCCGGCTCGGGGCTGGACACGGCACTCTCGTCTCTCGACAAGCCCGCCTCGTCGATCTCCGCGACCGGCATCGACAATGCGCTGGATGCGCTCTCGCTCACGTCAGGGCACGATGATAAGCTCGACCGGCATCCGGAGCGGCGATTCAAGGCGGCGTATAACGCGTTCGAGGAGCGGCGGTTGGGCGAGATGGTGGACGATAAGTCGCTACGGCGGCAGCAGAAGATCACCCTTATTCGGAAGGAATTTGAGAAGAGCGAGGAGAATCCGTTTAATAGGGTGACGGCGACGTACGATATGAGTAAAGAGGAGTTGAAGGGGTTGAAGGAGGCGGAGAGACAGAAGGTGGAGAGCAGGTTGACGGAGGGATCAGGGAATTGAGGCGGAGCAAGGGGTTTGACGATATCAGATTATGCGTTTGAGCGGCGTCACGACACAACAGGAGGGATAAATGGCATGGCATAACATAGCTTCATAAGATCGGTCTCTTGAGGAGAGATATTCGACGTTGCCGTGCATCACTAATAGATCTCGATGCGTAACATCGGTTCTCCTTCCCAAGGAGAAGAATAGAGAGAGTAGCAGAAATGAACAAAAGAGTGCGACGAAAACAAATTACCGCCCATATGGTTTGGTGCTCGCTAAATCGAAGAACATTCTGGGCCAGATGATCGTGTGCATCGGCTGTTTCCCGCCAAAGAAAAATGCAAGCCGACCAGATGATGTCCGGTTTGGTCGATTCAATCCCGTACGCCGTGTAATGCTCTGATATGCAAATGGTAACTCCGCACACAATCGGCGAAGTTCGGCGACGGGTGGGGTCTCTCGCGTAAAAAGCCCTTCCAACGGCAACACCGCTCTTGCCGGGTCGTTCGTAACTCCCATCCCTCGCCAACAACAAAACACCGACGTAGACATCATCTCCAACGTATCCAACTCAGCGAGCATCGTTCCCCAAGTTAATATTGATATTGATATCCCCACGCTCCTTGTGCGTGCACTTGAGGCGGCGGCGGTGCCGATGGCGGCGCCTTGGCCCGTCCAGCAAACACAAAGCTACTGCCCCCACTGCTCAGCCTCTTGTCACCGCCTCTCCTCTCGACTGCCACGCCGGGAAATCCCATGGGTTCCACCGTCGTGCTCCGTCGCCTCTGCTTCTTCCTCTCTTCCTTCGGCACGGCGAAAGCATGCGCACCGGGCGCCGCGCCGAAGCCGACCATGCTGCCCGCATCACGCGGGGAACTAACATCGATCTGCGCGTAATAATACTCCAGAACCTTCGGGTAGGTGCGCACGCATGCTTTCCAGTCCTCGTCGATCAACCGCTGGAGTTGGTCGTCGGCGATCCGGACTTGTTGGCGAAGCGCAGAAAGGAAGCTGGGATGGACGATGTGCGGCGGGGGTTGCCCGCGGTAATGGGCGTACTGGGGGTAATATGGGAGAGCGCTGACGTGGGAACGGTACTCCTGTTTGCGACGATCGCGGAGGGAGTCGAAGGAGTTTGTGACGTGGGCGACGGCGGTGTTTGTGGCCCATTCACTCGAAATGAGTTAGTCGATGATTGCATATTGCCAGTAGATAAGGGATGAGTTGGGAAACAGGAACAAGGAGGTCGGTTCGGGTGGAAGAACCCCACCGAGTATGAGGGAAGCGCAGCAGATTGAACGCCACGATATAAATTGAAAAAGCCAATCTTAAGCATCCTCCCAGTTGATACCCAAGCTTGACGTGCGACAAGGTCTGGCGCAGTATAGAAAACTTACCGAACGTTTGTTAGCCATGTATCGATCCATTTATGCTCGGCTTGCTCGACGGCCTGTTGGAGCCGGTCGCTCTCATGGGGACACTCGGTCTCTCCAGGAGGGAGATGACCGCAGATGGCACAGTTTGGATGGATATCACCTCGGTGCGCCATGGATGGCGAAGAAAATGTTGTCCCGTCGCAGAAGTCAAGGGGACGAGGGGAGATTAAATCGGCGGGGATGCTGGACGGGGAAATGGGTTAGACGGGGATCCCGTGGATTCGGCCCGTTAGCGATCCCGAATACCCAGGAGTTTCGGGGAATAAGACGAAAGATCCTTTGATCTCCGTTGATCGTAGAATAGGTGTGGCCTTTATCGGTCGGGATGATGGGCAGGAAGCACAACGCCCATGGTCGGCGATGGAGCACGGTAGGACGAGACAAACCTGAGATTCTTTGTTGATGATGAGGAAAGAAGGGTTGAAGAAGAGCGGCGGAAGTGAGCGAAGGGCGGCGGCAGCCAGACGGCACTAAGACGGGTCTCCGCGTTTGGCTTTGGCATGGTCCGTTGGGACTTGGGCGGACATTAATGGCGGCGAGGTGGGCCGGTGGGAGGGGGAGAGGGGATTGCCTATTGGAGGTTTGCGGAGTGAGGGAGTCCTGGAAGTTGGTGGGAGGACGAGATGTCGATCGACCGCTTGGGTGGCTTGACGATGTGATTCGTGAAGGTGCAAGGCGTGACGGTGGTGAGTTGGCACCTCTGCTGGCTGCTTTGGCTTATCCTTTGGCTGATTCTTCGTCTCCAATTGGGGTTTCTTGGGCCTTGGGCTCCCTGCTCTGCTTCGCTTAAGCAATACGCAGACTTAGTAGACTTAGTAGAGGCACGTCGCCGCCCTCTTTTAGTATGGTGTTCTGGAGTATCCACAGGTCCGCGACAGCATATCACCACCCAGAGGCTTCCCACCGACGTTGCCATGGAAGCCCATTGCGAGGCGAGACAAGTCATTTCCAGTCATCGAGATCCTGTCCTTCCGAAGCCATTTGTATAGAGTCACATGATTGTCTCGTTCGAGGTTTGTCAACACTATCTGTTGAATACCACTGCATCATGCATCTGGTGTGTTGATGTGTTGTCGGCTCCCCACAGCTCGATTGCCCACAGATTGCTCTATTACCTAGACACTGCACAACACTTGCGCTGAAACTAAGGGGTTATTCAACATACTAGTAGTATAGAAACCAAAGCGGACAACATAGTTCTGGATTGAATATCGCCATAGACTCCCAATCTTTCCATTTGTCTTGAAAGGGATAGGTTGATAGGAGAAGTGCCCAAGTCTTGGAATAATGCATGTAAAATGGGGATAGCGGAGGGGTGGCCAACAAACAAAAGATCTGATGGCTCTACACCGCTCCCTCTCGGCTGGCCAACGTCCTCGCCAGTAGATATAAATGTGTAGTCGTAAGCCGTGAATCATTTCTTGCACCCGGCTATCCAACCGCATAATTGTCTTCACAAATATTGCTCTGCGGTGAGCAAGCCCCTGAAGCGGGGATTATATGATTAGTCGGAAAATTGGGTTACCCAAATAAAATTAGGATATAGACCAAAAAATGATCAAACATCTCAACAATAGCACTAATGGTCTAGTGGTAGAATGTGTCGTTGCCATCGACGCGGCCCCGGTTCGATTCCGGGTTAGTGCAGCTTTCTTTTTTATTTTTGACCAAATTGCTTTCAATTTTTAATTTAGACTAGATGCACACTAATCGGTTCCGCGTGCTGCTGTTGCATTGGCCTTGAATTCTGGGTCTAACACCAGACAAGACGTCCCAGGAAGCGAGGGAGGGCAAGTTTTACCGAGGATGATCCGGATCGCGATTGATATCGATGTGGAAACCTAGACCCCGTCCACGAAGTGCAAATGCATTTCAGTTGCTAGGGCTTAGAAACACCGTTTGTGAGAGCATTGACGATGGTGAGCAAACATTTTGTCGGTTCTAACTTGAAACTAATTATTTTAGGCACCGCGACCACCCACGGAACGACAAGTACGGCTTGCAAACTCCGCAAAGAAATCTACAGCAGGAAGAGCAGCAAAACGCTCCGCAGCCGGGTCGAGACCGAAGAGCCAGAGTGGTGGATCGAACGGGGGCGATTCTGCGGGCGCACAAAAAGGATATCCCGCACCTGCAGAAGCTTTCAGCACCACGAAGCGAGACAAACAATCCATGAAGCATTCGCTCCTCCTACACAAGATCGAGAGCTCGGGCGTCAAGAAGGCCAAGCGGCGGCGACCAAACAAGAAGCTAGTGACAAACCTCGACACTCTGATAGATGCGCTTCCCGAAATTGGTCAGGAAGCTGGAGAGAACGCCAAACCAGAGACCGAGGCCGCGAAGCGACAACGAAAAGCATACGGCTCTCGACCTGGTGCCCTCAAGCGGAGGGACAAGGTGGAGAAAGAGGAGCGCGAGTTTGTTGGAAAAGCTCTCGCGGCATTATCAGCTGGTGATCCGCAAGCCTCTGACAATCACACTGGACCCGAAGGAGCTGAGACCAAGTGGGAGAGGATCAGGAAGGCTATTGGAATGAACATGTCGAACGGGTGAACGGATTGGCAGGTTCGCGTCATCATAGACCGTAGGCACGCTTGAAAAGCCCACTTCCGCGAGTTAAACGCCACTTGCATACAGTGTCCAGGCAGGCACATCGATATGCTCAGTGTTACAGCGGCACGCAGGCTACCTCAGTTGCAGTGTCAAGGCTGCACTGCACGGTTTGAGGGATAAGCTGGAAGACATGGTGCAATGAGTCCCGGAATTAATTATCCGTGATCTGCTCTTGCACAAACATAGTGTCATCGCCAAACTTTGAATCGAGCTCAATTCTCAGCCGCGTTATTTTGTCCACATTCTACACTTGCTCAGGTTTGATACGGAAAATTCTGGGTGGCGGATAGATTTCCTATTACGGCTAGGCTCGGAGCGGCCCGCTTTGTCCATCTTGTCACTTGTGATTGTAAACAAACCACAACGAACAACAGTCCGCCTATTGGGTTTCAACACCACCAAGTCAAGGCTCTCCACTACTTGAATTCAATGGGAGAGACGTTCCAATTTCTTATCACTCCTAATCATGTCAAAACCGATACAGACAGAGCGCCCGGAGTCTCCGCAACTGGAGGAGGTCGACTCTGAATACAGCATTGATCTGTCAGTTCTGGAACGACGCGCAGGACAACCGATTTCGGACGAGCCCGCCAGCAGATACGGCACGATAAAATCAGAAGCGGCACGCGGCAATGCTGTTCGAGCTCCGGATATCATCCATACCGACGAAATTGGCGGCCCCAGCGACTTCACGATGAACATGGAATACTGGATGCGCGGTGGTGCACAACCGAAGGAGCCTGGTCCTCGACGAGTTGCGCCGCAAACCCACGAGCCTGCCCCCGAGGGTGCGGCCGATGCCGACAATGATTCCTCCGACGATGACTTCGAAGCACAGGAAAGGATCCTGCAGGAACTCTCAAGCTTGGACGAGGATGATTCCAGTGTCTTATCAGGGACTCCGCGACCATCGATGCTGAGCGACATCCGATCGCGTCAAGCGGTGGTAGAAGAGTCTTACGATACGCCTTTGAAGACTCGGTTATCCGGTGGGGAGCCTGTAGTTCTACCTACGAACCTGGACACGCTCCCTCCACTTCCCGAATCCTCCGAAAGCGGCGACACTCATATACCGCAGCATGAAGGTAGAGTCAAGGAACTGGAAATGCTTCTCGCTTCAGCGCGAGCCGAAATTGACAATGTCCGCGAAGAATCGCGGAGCGAGACCGTCAGAATACAGAACAGCTTCAAGAACACCCTCAAAGTTCAGAAGGATGATTCAAACGAGGAGGTCGGCTCCCTTCGAAGAACACTGCGGACTTTACGAGCTGAGCTTCGTCATACGCAGATTGAACTGGAGGAGAAAAAGACTCCGGAAATACAAAATGAATCACAGGAAGAGGATGACCTGCTGATGGAAACAAAGCTTGAGTTTCAAAAACTCCGTCTTTCCCACGAGAATTTGCAGGGCTTGCTTGTAGACCGCGACCAGCTCATGAAAAATCTCAGAGATGAGCTTGAAGATACCAAAGCACGTCTAGCCAACCTAGACGCGGAAAAGAGAAAAGAGTTCCTCTACCTACAGTCAAAGCTCTCTGCCAGCCAAAATGAACTAGAAGATTTACGGTTGCAGCATCGTGTCGACCAACAAGAACACTCGACGCTCCATCAAGAGAACCGGATGTTTTCCAACACGGTCGAGTCCATGAAGGAAGATTTGGAGAGAGCGGAACAGGACAACGACGATACGAAGCGGCTATTGGACGATCGCGAAACCGCTCTCGCCACTCTCCGTGATCAACACCGTGATCAGATCGAGGCGATGCGTACACGCGCCCAAGAAGCCGTGCGCAAAGCTTGCGAGCTGCGAGACCGGGAAAAACGAGAAAACGAATCGGCTCAGGCGGCGCTCCAGGTACGGGATGTTGAGCTGGCCCAGACGCGGGAGGCCATCTCAGCTTCGGAGCTCGCCTTTCAATCTACAAAGGAGCAGTTGCGGGTACTCTCAGCGAAACTTGCCAATTCCGAGGCGACAGCAAGGGATCAGCAGGAGGAGCTGGAAATCGCGCTCGCGTCTGCGGAGCAGGCGAAGGAGGAGCAAGACGCAGTCAACCGGGAGGTGGAGAGGCGGATTGCCGCGGTAGTGAAGGCACGAGATCAAAGCTGGGAGAAACGAGTCAACCGCTTGGTGGAAGAGCGGAAGAATATGGGAAAGATGCTAATGCAGGAATGGGGGAGGAGTGAGTGTGGTTTGTCCAAGCCGCAGATGTATCAATACAAGTATGTCGGTCGTTCGGCGGCATTATGATGAGACGGTTACTGGTCGAGGGCGTTAGATGCGTTAAACGGGATTCTATATTCTGTGCGAAACCCAGACTCCATTTGTATCTGCAATTGCTTCATAATCTACACCGAATGATTGTGAACTCTGTATAGATCCTCTGCACCCAGCTGTACAACCGGTCACAAGTACCCTTTTCTTGCAAGTTCAACCTTTCGCAACGTCTCCCCCTCCTTAAACCCCCCTTTGCTGGCGCAAATCGCAATGCCTTCGCCGAGCTCGACTTTCTCTTCGTGTTTCTCGAACGCACATGGGCAGTGATGAGGGAAATGGACACATGCTAAAGTGCCCGGGCAGAGGTATTTCGAGCATCGAGCTGGTAACAGGTGTTAGTGCCACGTATTGAACGGACGGCCGACCTTGCTCCACATACCGGCTTCATAGTTTTGACGATACCACTCCGGCGTGCTCGGACTGTCTTGTGGTTGCTGCTGCTGTTCTCCTGCTCCGAACATTTGTTGGAAGAAGCCATCGAACTGCGCGCTGACGGGGAGGAGGAGGGAGAGGAAGACGAAGCTGAAGACCACGACGAGGATGTTGATTCGCGCCATAATTGCAGAACTCACACTCACACGGCGCTTCGAACGGTTCAGGACATGTCCCGTTGGGTCGCTTACGTGTCCAAGAGTTCTTCTATAAGATCTGGACTACGTGGACACCTGCAGTGCTAAGTTGAACATGAATGATGAACTGACATGGACAGGACCGAATTGTGTCATGCGGCCTTACAGCCTTACAATCGCCAAGGCTGCAACCTCCAGCCGACAACATGAGCCATGTGTGACGTGTGTTGACATTCTGACTTCAACTGCGATGAGCTAATTACGAGATATTATCAAATATCCGTACATCAATATTCAATCCCCTTGATATCTGTTTCTCTCAGGAGTCCGAGTCCACCACCAATCCTTCAACCTCAAATACAGATTTCCAGAATTAGATTGTGTCGATGGTATGGAGCCGACTTCTAGGACGTGAGGGCCGCAACCTAGAACGCGTGTGATCAATATTAGGACGAGCAAATCTCACAAGTGCACCGGCGTAGTATCTCGATCATGATTCTGAAAAGTGAAAGATTGCAGAAACCGATCTCCACTATCACTTTTCTCTCTTCGCGATGCTCGGAGGGTTTCATTCATGCAACCCCCATGCTGCGCTCATCATCATTCTCCCCTACTCGGCCATCAAATAAACATTCATTGCGTCCGATCGTGTGACGTGAAACCTGCCCCTGAGGTACACGATTAATATATCTGCTCCTGTCAAACGTTATTCCTGTGTTGTTAGCCTTCTCTTTTATGCTGGGACCGTCAGTTCAAAATGCCACCCATTGTTACTGTGCCAATAGCGCCAGTCTCAGACGCAGACGCAAGTCATCGCCCTGCGGACCCCAGGTACCGTCTCATCGACCCTCCGACTCAGTATCTCGATAAGCTTGCGCAACAATGGATGGTGGCTCGAGGAGAATCTCAACCTTTCGTCCACTATACGCTGGATCGGTTGCCCGAAGGCTATACGCTCTACGAAATGCGACGACCGAGCAATCCGAACACGGCCGACAAGCGCTTGTTCGGGCATCCAAACCGCGTCTTCTTTGATTCGCCCAATCGCTTCTTCCCGCACTTTCTGCACCTTATGAAGAACAAAGGAAGCAACTTCGGGTGCCCTTGCACTGTTTGCAATGCCAATGGGAAAAAACCGTTGGGAATTCAGGATAGCCGGTCTGCATCTGCTGATAGCTCAGTTCCAAGAGGGCGAGAAAAATCGAGACTGATGGATTCTGTGCGAGACGACAAGGCCGGGAAGGTGGACGAAGAAGGCACACCTGATGTGTACCGGGCCCTCATTGACAAGCTCAAGAGAAAGGGAGAGATTGATGCGCCAATCGAAGAGCCGATGAGCATGGATTGGCGAGTCGAGCGGAAACCACTCCAAGTTATGTTGCAGAGATGTCGCACACAGGCCCCCTGGATCCCACGTCAAGGGGAAATCGTGCTCTTCGTATTGAGCATTCCGGAAGGACGCGAAATCGTCTTCGATTATGACACTTCCGAATATCGGCTTTACCATGCGGCTAGCGAGACCTACGAAGACTCTCCCGCATGGAGGGCGGGCGTTGTTACCCAAGTACCTACGGAGGAGAAGTCATACGAAGTCTTCAATCTCGTAATGGAACCATCGCATAAGTTGGGGGTAAATTACTCGGGGTTTCGCGTTGAATCGTTGCCGGATCCCAACGGCGAGGAGAAGTCGGTCCAAAAACAGTACAAATACGTCCCGTTGCATTACACACGGCCATTCGCATTTTACCAAGAGATCTTGCGAGGCATTCCGCGAGAATCATGGCATGCAACCATTACGAACGCGATGACCATCATGTCAAGCTTCTCCCTCGTCGATCGGTTTAACTTTCGAGGCAGTTGGCCGGAGGCGGTTGTCAACTGCAGAGGCATCTACATAGGGGCGGAACTGATCTTGGTGGGAGATGCGGTTCGTCTTTTGCCCCCGTCGGAAAAGCAGGGCAACATCACCTCGGTCGATATCGATGTACTGCACATCAAATCGATCCGTCTCACGCTCACCAACCTTGACCGGGCATCCGACAACGATCGCGACGAGGGTCATCCGTACAACACATCGGTTGAGGTTCGCGGCATCCCGTACACCACCAACCCGATCGCGAAGTTTGCCGATGTCTCCCCGTTGAATGATAATCTGGGCCCTCTAGGGATGGAAGACTATGCCTCGTTTACACCGTTCTTCCCCAAACGCGCAAAAGGAAAGCTGGTCTGCATTCCGTTTCATCGGATCCTCGGTCGGTGCTACGATGCCATTGCTGTGCAGTTGTGGTTTCCAAACGAGCAGCGTAAAATTGTAGACATGTCGCAAAAGAAAAATCAAGAAGTCACCGGAGCGGAACTGCCTAATATTACGCTACTACACTACGGGGCGGAAGGTGTCCTTGCCGCCCGACAGTATTCGTCTCAAAATTATCGAAAGATTGATCACCGGAGCGGCAAATCGTGGTTCTGGGGTGACACACGAGTGGAGTCGCTGGATGTTCATTCGATGAGCGGTGCGCCCGTGGAAAGGTTCGACGCGAACCGTGATCCTCGAAAATGGCGCCGCGAGATCCGAGTTTTGGAGGGCGTCGGACCCGCGGGGAAAGTCCGGACCACGGAAGAGAAACGGAAGCTGGTTGAAAAATTCGGTGTTCCAGGGAGGCGAGGCCGAAGCAAGGACGACGAGAATGACGTGGCTGCGGTGTGGACCTCGATCATTGAGGAAGCACGCTACAACGGAAACGAGGATGCGGACGACGAAGACCTATACCATGCGCTTGGGGCAGAGCTGTTGGCAAGAGATGGAGAGGCGGAGTGGGCGGAAGAAACGAAGGGAAACAGCAAGCGGAGAAAGTTCTTGGATGGTGGCAAAAGGGATGCGGAGGACCACGACATCATTGTCATTGACGACGATGAGTAACCACCCAACAAGGCCTATGATTACATTGATTGAAGAACATTTACCGGATTCGCTAAATCCAAAGGCTGGGCTGTGGGAGTCGCCTTCATCATGGGCTGCATCGTATTCGAACCGGACGAAGCGATGTCTGCCGGAGATGGCCATAACGGCGGCTTCTGACAGTGATTGATGGCTGTCTACGAGAGACAGTATCTATTCTCGACTACTAGCAGGCAAGGAGAACCCGACAGGTGAATCGGTCCAAAAGGAATTGCTTGTATAGCTAAAGGATTTGCTAGGATGTGGGTCCGCTGGTATTCAAATACGATACAACGAAATTGATGACCAAGTGATCTTGACGCACATCTCCGGCCAACGTAACGCGGCCGGATGTTTGATCCGCCTAACTAGTAGGAAAATAATAGACATTTTGGCCTCGGATATGGTGGCCTTTGGTAGTAAATAGTTAAACATTTTCGAGCCCTTGGGGAACCCTCCCGGTCTCAGGACCACCGATTTCGTCTATCCTAGATGGGATTAATACTGGTTCCCCTGTTCCGCCCATCTGCCGACTGCCAACGTCACATAAATGTTACAAATTCAATAATCACCAGTTTTCCGCTCAGAACCGCTGCAATGCCCTATGAAACAATCTGAAGTCGGAGATGACTTATGGACACGACTCGGCTGTGCTTGGAAAAATTGATGGATGATCTTCTGACTTCGTTCTACCACCACTCCCCTCCATAGCTATATCAGTCGTAATATGTGGCGGAACGAGTAGGGCACCATAATTCATCGAAAATCTGCAAATGCACCAATAAAACACGAAACAGTTAGGGGACGAGCATACTCCAGATCCCAAACCGATCCCAAGCATTCAAAGAAAAGCGAGGCAGTGCTTATGCGGCCTTGGCTGCAATTAGCAGGGTCTGTGATGGAGCGGAGGACGCGGACTGCCGCTGAACTTCATCATCAAGATTCCGCCAAGATCCAGCCAAGGACACAAATATAGTTATACATATTAGCAGCACCTATTCTGACGAATCCAGGCGGGTCTAGGACCGCCTGACAATAATAACAAGTAATTTTTGGTTAGCTGATCGACAATAGATATTGTTGCTTGGCGTTTCAATCGCTCCAGGGAGTCTTGGCGTCGTCGGAAGTTTAGACTCGATATTAATGACTTTAATCTATCCCCATCTCCGCTTCTCCCACAAGAACATTTTATCCCTGATCGGAATCATGAATATGACAACACGCGAGCGAGGTAGCATCTCGGACAACCCAGTTCAATTTGAAAAAAATCGGTCCCCACCAATCAGATAAGAGACAGGACACTCCACAGCAATCAATGTGTAGTCACCTGCGGAGAGGTGCGAGAATGAGCACCCCGAGGCTTGATCAAGCAATCAAAAACTATCCAAAGGCTCCGATCGGTATACTTGGCAGAAGGATTTTATATGGCATTTGAGTGTGAGCACATGGTCTTGGGACTGGGGAAAGGGGGACGGTGGTCAAGACCTCGCCAGTATATAACAACTAGAGCCATACTCACTTATTGACCCTTCTGTTGCTGCTCCCTTTCATTTCTAATCAGGCTGAAGGTGTTATCATCGCATTGCTGAAGTCGTTCCTTTACCCAGCCATGAAGTTCATAAATCTCCTTTCTGCTGTGGCAGCCTCCGCCAGTCTTGCCAGTGCCCAAAAAGCCGTCGCAGACACTGAAATCCCCGCGGGAGCGCGCATTGAGCCTAGATTGGAGACTCAAGAGTAAGCCTTTTTGCCATTGGCTAGATAAGAGTGATATACTGACTGATACGACAGGATCATCGATGGCGCCCAACGGACGACCATAAACTATGGCCCGTACCAGATCCCTCCGAATGGCATGCTATCTAAGCCTACGCTCAGGGCCGAGACTCCTTGCAAGGATTGTTTCGTCACTGCTATCCAAGCCAATATCCTGTACCTAGATGGCAAAGTTGCCAACGTCAACACAGGGGCGTGGCTGCACCACATGGTATTTTCGACACATCCAGCGACCCCTTCGGCAACAGACAGTATTAATACGTTGGTTAGGTAATAACCTCCGGAATTTCGCCGATTTTCGCCTCTGGTAACGAGCGAACTCCTCTTCGTGTGAACGGGAAATATAAATATGGTATCGAGTTGGATGCCAGGTCCAGCTTCATGTTTATCACCGATCTCATGAGCCTGAGCTCCGAAACCCAGACAGTCAATATGGCTATCACCTATGAATGGATTCCCAAAGCCCGGGCTACAGGCTACAGGGACGTCTACATGGTACGTAATGAGTTGGTCGGGGGGGCACCCCTGACCCCTTACCCCGACTGAGAAAATGTGCTAACGCCTGACAGAAATGGAACGACGTTGGTCAACCGAACGCCAGAGAAGGACAATACAGCTTCAAGTCAAGAGAATCCGCAGTCACCGTGTCCGGTAAGTGTCATGTCCAACGTATATTTTTGATTATAATTTGCTAAACACAAGACTAGGACGTCTTCTTTACACCAATGGTCATGTGCATGACGGTGGCACGCACACGATTCTTTACGTCGATGGCAAGGAGGCGTGCAAATCCGTAATGTTGTACGGCCGCCGCCCCGGGTTCTCGGAGGCTGGTTCTGAAGGTGCTGGAGCAACCGAGACCCCCGCCGCGGGCCATGATGCTGGTGCTCACGAACACCGTCGCGATCTCGTCGCTCGCCAAGGCCATGGTGGGCATGCCGGTTCACTTCATATCTCCGATTCCTCGACCTGCGTTGACTTCGGCGATGTCCGCTCGGGGCAGAAAATGCACGTCGAAGCGTTCTATGATTCAGATAAATACCCGTTGATGGAGCACAACGGCGAGAAGGAGAAGCTGATGGGAATCATGCGTGTATATGTTGGCAGCTGAGTGTGATCTGCTTGGTTCGGTTGTATATCGTTGGACGCATGCCTTCACATTCATTCCCGAGGCTGCCTATCTATTCTTATGTAGATATTTGATCCAAAGAGACTGCATCTTGCCTCCTCAAGAAACTCGATGAATCCTTTGTGTAACTGTCAAAGCATACTCATTAGTAGTACACGTTTGCCGAGGTGCTCGTGGCCTGGGAGCCCAGGAAAGCCCCCGGAGGAGCAGGGTGTTCTTCATCGTCAGAGTCACTCTCGCCTTGCTTGGTATCATCATGATGGCCAGGAGGGGCTCGCATCCGGAATACGATATCCTCTTCGGGGTTTGGGGCTTTGAAGGGCTTTGGGGTATGGTACTCTCTCCCCGATGGTATTGTTGATAGCAAAGGATCATACGGGGGGATAACCTGAACATTAACCTTTGGTGGATCAGCACATGACTGGCGGGTAACAGGGTAAGCGTGGACTTACGGTATCGTTCATCTTTGCCCACTTCTTCTCCAGCTTGTCCACGATCCGTGCTTCCTCAAATCGACCCGCATCGGTGCCCCAGTCAACACCCCTCTTAATCTTCTTATCCTCTCTCTTCTCTGCCCAGTCTTTCCTAAACCTCGAAAATCCTTTTAGCTTGCCATCGTCCTCACTCGTGCTCGCTCCAAAACCGAGTTCCGCCTTCGCTCCCCTTAACCAGGCAATGCCCTCGCCCGTTCTCTCCGCTAATTCGGCATCGATTCCTAAGAATCGGCACGCTTTACCCCTCGCGGTCCGCCTCAAATCGTCGGAATACGCCAATAAGTCCTCGTCTACTTTGCCCGATGAGCCGAACAGGGCCCGCGCTTGCGCGGCATGCCCGGCTGCTGCGAGGCAAAGTCGCGCGAACAGATGGGCGCGAACCTTGGGGATTTCCGGGCTCTTGAACATCCAGTCCTTAACGTTCTCATTGCGATCGTCAGCGACGACAGAAGGGTAAGGGTCGTCTTTCAGAACCGTGATGAGCGTCGCCTCTGCCATGGTCAGGGAGGCCAGTGCACTCTGTAGTGCTTGGGATATGTCCGCTGTTGCTGGCGGGGTTGTCCACTGCCCTGCTCGTGCGGCGAGATAAGAGTGGATGGAGTTTGCCTCCAGATAATACCTCATCGCAGATGTGATGGCTGCTGTCCGCTGAGCGCCGTCTAATACCGTACCATTGTACAAGGTATGCATCTGAGTTCGAGCGAGCATCGAGTTCGCGAGAGCCAATGTGGACAGTATAAATGCAATTTCTGACTCGAGACTTCGTACTCGGACTCGAGGGGGCTCTCGGCCTCCCACTGTCGATGAGAGCGTCGCCCGCCATTCTACTTCCAGCTCTTTAACTAACACGACGTCGACTTCTTCCCCGGATATCTTCGACCCGCTTAGGCCTACATCGGCCATGAACAAATATGGGAGATATTCATTGATGGACGACAGCACATTCGACAGGTTGCTAGCCTGAGACGAGGGCGGAAGCCGCTTGTGCTTCTTCAACGCATCGCGAACCACTGCACGCCTGGTGGTGAGAGTTATCGGCAACGATGGATGGGTTGTGCTGCTGAAAAATTCGGAGAATCTGATGAAGGAAGTCGTCGGAAGGATAAATGGAAACGGCATTGTCTTGATAATTATGCGAGTCGCGGATCCGTTGCTTGGAGCAGTTGGTTATCTGGGTTGGGCCCTTGAAAGCGAACGGGACAAAATAGAGGTTCAGAAATTTGGTTGCATGAGCGCATCACTTGGCATCAACCATTGATGTATCAGACTGAAAAGCGGCAAATTCGCGCATGTGGACGTGGTGACACTTTTCAAACGTGATGGCATTGAACATTGAGTGTTTAAGTATATACATGTGAAGTTTGTTGACTTCGAGGTCCTGTACCTGATCCGGTCGAAACCACTCCATGCTATGCAATTGCCGTTGCTATAATCAGCCGTCCAAATGGAAACCCTGAAGAGTAATTCTTCCTGTCCCTCCCATTTCGAATCGACGCTTGACTTTTGAGCAGCCGGTTTCAGCACATGGAGGGCTTTGGATACCGTCGCTGTGCACTGGAACTCATCCCGATTGATCCCAAACACGCAAAGCGTCTATTCCGGCTTTGTGACATAATTCTGCTGCTCGAAAAGGAATCCCTTGATCTTCGTATTCGGTAATAGTTCGAAGTATCGCTCTGTCAATGCGTGTCAATGATAATTCCTGAATCACCACGCTTAAGAAACAAAGAAACGACGCTCGACCGCAATCCGAGATCATGGGGATCTAGATATCCACTGACCTCTTAATTTCCCGCATTTCTCCAAGTGATTGACACCTTCTCTTCGATAGCAAGTGGCTAATTCCTCTCTCACCAACCGAGCCATCATCGCCTTAACCCACTGCTCGCGAATGATCGCATCTTGAGCCGCTTTGACGGCCTTGTGGTCTTCGAAGTCGACACCGTCAAAGGTTGGCGGAACCTTCGGCTTCTTCGCGAGAAAGGCTTCTGATTCGGGGGTCGGCATGTTTTATGGTCGATTGAAGGATGTCTAGGTTTCGGGGGTTGACTCGATGGGTGATGGGAGTGAGAATAGCTCTTTAGATGCAGTCGTCGGGTGGCCAGGAATTGTTCCTTGCTCCCTCGAGCCAATTGCTACAAGTAATATAGAATTGAGTCTCAAAGATTTGGAGTATGAGAGCTTGACAACAATAAGGATCCAGTTGATGGAGCTGTCATAGTTCAAGATAGAGTTGAGGTTTGTTCACGTGACAGCATTCATTTCATGCCTGAGGCTGTGAGGCAGTTCCGTCCATTTAAATTCGAATTGACGTTTCGCCGTTGCTCACTTTCTCGAGCTTCCACCATTCCTATCCGTTCCCCAAACATTGCTGAAAACCTCTCCAATATTGGGCATGCCCATTTCGCTCCCAATGCTTCCCATCATAGCTCCAATGTCTCCTCCATTGCCCCATGCACTCCCCGCATCGCCCCATCTCTCCCACGCCTTCTCCTCTGCGCGAGGACTCCTGTACGCAACTCTCCACTTCCAATCCTCGAATCGAACCTCCTGTTCCGTTACCACCTCCTTAAGCCGTTCATTCTTTTCGCGCGCACATGACAGGCAGAGTCTCTCGATCTTGTTCGCGCGGAAGGGATGTGTGCGCGGCTCACAGGGAGTTGGAAAGAGGCGGTGGTATGTGCTTCGTGCCCGGGCGGCATGTGAAGGGTGCGAAGGGTGCGATAGAGTGAGACGAGATGGCAATGTGGCGGTAAGGCTGGGTACTGCTGTGCCCAGTGATGATGCGAAGGCTCTGGCACGAAGGCAAAGTGGTGGAATGGGTTCGGGTTCGAGGATGACATGACCACAGTGCATGAAGATGTAGAGCTGATGGTAGCACATATTCTCTCCTTGATTTTTGGTCATCAAGTCTTTCGTGTTATCTGAGTTCTTACTATGTCTGAAGTTTATACATCGTTCAGTTTGTCTTTGTCGAAGGCTCTTCTTTATATACTTCGCAGGACTTAAAAATGCTTTCATTGTTGTTGCGAGTGAATATCAGTCTGCCGGATATGGAATTCATGATTCATTCAGTCACAATCGCGAAGCATTCCTTCCGCCGACTTTTTGCGAAGGTAATTCAAACCTCGAATGCCTATCTTATACTCTATTGGGTGGATGCGAACTCCTAATTCGACCTTCAACTTACAGAGCCGAGCCTGGCCTTTTGGCGATATAACGGACATCTTCGCCCCAGACAATATACTTTTCAGCATTTAAACGGCGAAATATGCATTTGCATTGGCACTGCGACAGTGCATGAAATCCCCTCAGTCGGTGCGTGTGGATTCGTTCGTCGCATTCACGCCACGGACATGGAGAGATATACAGTGTTTGGAAAGCAACAAGCTCGAGTATCTACCTCCAGCACTATGGTAACGCGATGCGAATCTGCAAGAAATATATTTTTCCAATATTAGGACAGAATCAAACGCCTCCGAAAATATCATGCATTAAAATCCAAACCCCATGACCGTCACAAAAACACCTTACCACATGGACGATATCTATGACCAACAGCGTATCGGCGCGAGCACTAGGAAAATAGCAGGGACGATGGTTCGAGCAGGTGTCGCATGGCCGACTCCAGCTCTTCGAGAAGAGTGGCTGCAAAACCTATCCAAGACTCGAATGTCACAATCTCCAATATCATCTCATCCCCTTTGATGAACGCCTGGATCTTCCATTCTCGCAGAGGCTCAAGGTGCGGATAGATCGTCTCCATCCTGCAAGGGGTCGATCCAAATGCCATTTGCTCCACATGTTCGACATCTTGATGTACGACCGTGTCGAACCAGTCAACGGTCTCTGGCCAGTCGGTGCAATGTTTGACAATCTCCTTCAGTCCGATGCCTTCGTACCGCGTCCGCGAGATGTGTTGGTGCTGGATCGATTGAAGCAAGTCGAGCACAGTCCAGTCGGATTCAAATTTCACCCTGGTTGGAACGTATTGCCAGCTTGGTCCCATCACGGCTTCGCAGTCTGGAAGCTCCAAGTTGCGTCCGCTGGCAACCTCACCGAATGTCACATCTCGAGACGAGAGACGCCGCGCCAGGCAGAGCGCCCATGCGGCTGTCGGAAGCGTTGCGATGGTGATTCCTTTCGGTCTCGAGGAGATGTCGATGGCCTTGTGGACACTGGCTGACTCTTTAGACGTCAGGGGGATATCGGGTCTGAGGACAGACATCGAGGAACCTTGCAGGGTTTGTCTCCAGTACTCGAGGCTCTGGGGAATATTCGTACGGACGACATGTGAGACGAATCTGGAGAATGGAACAGCTTCCTGGACCGGTGTACCGTTGAACAAGGCCGACAGCTGCTGTAGTAGGATTGGGAGACAGATCTCGTCATACTGCGCATGAGAAATTCTCATCATCAGACAACTTTGGTTGCGATCGCCCTTGATGTATAAGAACTTGAGGAAGGGCGATCCCATCGGCATTCTCGTTTGAATATCCAATTCACACAACTTCTGCGCGAAGGACGGGACATCTCCCTCGATCTCGTATTCGACAATAGGGACCTCGATATCCTCCACGACTACACCGTAGCATGCGCTTTCGTGTTCGATGAAGACTGTTCTGAGGATTTCGTTTTGGGCCACCAAATCATTACAGCTCCTGAGCAGCTTCGTGCCATCTACGGAAGCACTAAAGTGGAATAGTTCGTACCGAGCCGAATATCGTGGCAGTTGGGTGGTTCCCTTGACTGCAATCTCTTGTAGAGGCCGAGCAGGGAGAACATCGACGATCTTCCAGTCATTCCGGGCCAATGCAGGGCGGACAGCTGTCGCAACAAACGAGTCAACGTCTGGAATTTGGAGCGTCCCGAACGGCGAGAATGTCTCTTGGACAGTTTTCACGGACTGGGTGTCTTCTGCGACATCAGCTAGATCCTTGAGTTGCCTGAAACGGAAGATTTGGGCGACCGTCAATTTGAGGCCGGCGATCCGCGCTTCGGATACCAGCTTCATGGCACTGATGGAGTCCCCGCCGATGTCGATGAAGCTATCATTCAATCCGATCTCAGTCTCCGTGATGCCTAGAAGTCGGCTCCATAGACCTCGTAGCTTTTCCTGCTTCGCCGATGTCACCGGGGCCCATTCGGTATTGCCTTGAGATTTTTGGATATCCGTCCTCAGCCTCTTCAAGTCGCTCGTCTTTCCAACAATCACTATTGAGCTGTTGTCTGCGAACTTCGCAAGATACCCAGTTTTATACAGTCGCAGCTGATGATTTGCACCGTCGGTTGACTGAACATTCGCCCATTGCGGCTCCAAAGCGTCGTCGGTGTGACTTGTCGGACGCCCTGTCAGCAGCTCACCAACCGCACCGATCGGCACCAGGGCGTCTGGATCGGTAGGACAGACGATCCAGCTCGACCCTGATGATTCAAAGCTGTGCAGATCTTTCTCGCTGGGGAGTAATGGTGCTCCGCTCAGTTCCCGAATCTCCGCTCGTTCCACATCGGTGAGAACATCAATGGTACCAAGAAGGCTACGATCATCAGCACAAAGGTCCTGAACAACTTGTCCGAACTCTTTCAAGATTTTCTCCATCAAAGGCTTTCCGACTGTACAGGAATCAAAGCTTGCCATGGTGAGGAAACCGTTCGAGTCCAGTGAGCAGACGAGCATGAGCGCGTACGAGTTGAACTTGAGCGCTTCCCGAGCAGCGTCTTCGTCTCCAGCTGGGACAAAGCCATTAGCAGGCTCACTCTCCAGCGATTGGGTGATGGCCTCTTCGGTACTCGGGTGAAGGACCATGCCAGTCCTCAGCTCGCACGCGTCAAAGGCGTCCAGACTGAGCCTTCGGATGTGCTGCAGCCCCATATGTTCGTGAGGAATGCGCAGGACTGTCTGCTGGTGGATCGCTTGCAAGTAATCCAACTTGGATGCGCCACGGTCAACGGTGACTCGGACCGGCACTGTGGTGATCATTGGACCTTCGATTTCCTCCACACCAGGGATCGCGGCGTTTCGGCCGGTCAGAGTCTCGCCAAATACTACATCACTAGATCCAGTGTATTGAGCAGCAATGAACGCCCATGCTCCACGGATAGCGGTCGCCAGAGTGGTTTTGGAGGCCACATTCTTCGTGATAGGTACGTAGTGTTCGAGCAAGGAATCTGCCTGTGGTTGATATCCTGCGAACGGCAGAGCCGGAAACTGTGGCCCTGTTGCTCCCTCCAACTGGTCACGCCAGAAATGGCTGGATTCAGAATTGTCCTGTGAAGCAAGGTGTTGAATGAACTGCTTGAACGAAGCTGAGCGGACGATTTTCTGGCCATTGAAGGCCTTGTTTATCCGCTCCACAATCAGCGGCATAGACCAGCCATCGTAAAGCGCGTGGTGCATCGTCAAGACGAATTGTATATTGCCAGCCGCATCACCATTTGTGCTGGATGGGTCTGCGACAACACCGTATCGGGCAAGAGGCGTGCCAAGATCCATTGCCTCTTCAGCATCTTGCTGCAGATATTCTTGAAGATTGGCTCCAGATCTCCAACTGATGCTCTCATTTACAACCGCTTGCATGAGACCATGGCCGGGGACCTGGATGATCCGGGTGCGCATGATCGGAGAGTCGGCCACTACAGTCTCGAAAGCGGCTTGTAGCCTCTTAGCAAATGCGAGATCTGGTAGTGGGACCACCCTTTGCGCGACATAGGCCTCGTTGACCTTTGCAGAAAGTGCCATGAGGCCCTCTTGCAATGGGGTGCAAGGGTATATGTCCTCAATCTGATGCGGTGCCAGACCGCACAGTTTCCCCACTTGGAGACGAGCGTCGTCAATGTTCCACGTTGGCCCAATTAAGGAGAATGGAGCCGATTCTTCGGTGCTCGCATCGACACTAACGCGACCCATAGCCCTAGCCATGTCCCGTAATATTGGATGACGGAAGATGTCGGCGACGGTCAACACCAGTCTCTCCGCTCGTGCAGCTGCCACCAACTTCATTGCCCGGAGAGAATCGCCACCGACACTGAAAAAGTTTTCCCCAGAGCTGATTTGATCCTTCGAATCGAACAAGTTCATCCAAAGTTGCTGAAGACCTTTTTCCATTTCAGTCTGCGGCGCAACGGTTTCGGTCGAACTAACCCTGAATTTGGACAGCTCTTGTCTGGAAAAGGAGGATCCAATCTCTCGCAGCTTCTTGCGGTCTGTTTTGCGCGAGACAAGAGATGGCATCTCTTTCAACGGAATGTATGTGGTGGGTATCATGTAACTCGGAAGGTCCTCCGCAAGCTTGGTCTCAATGACTTCTACCAATTTTCCAAGGCCTGGAGAGAAGTGGGTGAGGAGATCTGTCGGATCCGCGGCATCCGAGTAATTCGGTTCAGAGATGAAAGCGGCAAGCATGGGTTCACTGCCAGGACCGGCAGCTGTGATAACTTCCACAGTGATCTTCGTCCCCGACGGAAGATGTCTTGCGATATGATACTCTACCTCTGCCAGTTCGATCCTCTGACCACGAAGCTTGACTTGTTGATCTTTCCGGCCCATAAAGACGATGGCCCCGGTGCCATCTTGATCGTATCTGACAAGATCTCCAGTCTTATAAAGCCGACCATATCGAGCCGCGGCAGTCCGGTATCCGTCATCCAGCCACACGGGATTCTCGATGAACACATCGGCTGTCTTTTCTGGTTCACGGAGATAGCCTTGCCCCACAACGGGACCTTCTATGAGCAACTCGCCAACCGCGCCGATAGGAACCAATCGATTGTGGTCTTCAGGATCAACTATCCAAGTGACACCACCAACGCCTTTACCGATGTTGGTATATGATTTTCCGTGGCCGATATCATTATTTATTGTGCAGCCAACAGTGCACTCCGACGGACCGTACGCAATAACCAGTTTCGTCTTCTGGTTCCAAACGGAGGCATCCTTCGCAGATATTGATTCACCGCCGAGTCCGAGTACTTCCAAGGAAGGCATGATATCAGGGTCCAGAACCCGAGCCACAGACGGGGTCATATGAGCCATATTGACTCGCATGGATCGTATGGCTTCGCTGAGATCATTGACGCGTGCGTCTTCGGACGGAACACAAATGCAACCACCATTAGCAAGCGTGCAAAGCATACAATCAATGCTGACGTCAAAGGCATAGGATGGGAAGTCGAGCACTCGTGAGTGCGGCTTATAACCAACGAGTTCTGCTCTCGGAAGTGCCCCGCTGGTGAAGTTCGTGTGGGAAATGATGACTCCTTTCGGCTTCCCAGTGCTCCCAGATGTGAATTGGAGATACATGGTCAACACGGGATTGACGGGAGGAAGTTCAACGACTGCCGGCAACAACTCGGGCCGCATTGACTGGTCATCAACCACGACAACTGTCGCATTCGGTGCGATTGCGGCGCCGAGTTTCGATTGGGCTTGGGAAGTTACAACCAACCTGGCGTTAACTTCTGTCGCGATAGTTCGCAACCTTGCCTCTGGCTGACTTGGGTCCGTGAGCACGACGGCGCTCCCCGTCTTCATGACCGCAAGTAATGCAACCACTGTCCATTTGCATTTTTCGAAGGAGAGAGGAATGGTTCGACCGGGACCGGCGCCAAGATCGAACAGCCTGACCGCGAGTTGCGTTGATAGGGTATCGACCTCCCCATATGTAAGATCCCCGTCCCATGAAGTGACTGCGGGACGATCGGGGGATTTATGGGCGATCTCGGAAACGATGTCTTGCATGCAAAGTTTGATCGTTTCGGGAACCGTACCGTTCCACTTCCAGAGTTGAGTCAACTCACTTTCCCCGACACGGACCGCCTCCGTAACGGAATGGAATTTTTTCGAGGCCAGGCCCGTTAGAATGTCCATACAAGTGGATAGATATAAGGAGACTGTTCCGGATGACATGTCGCATGGAGTTTGCGTAGGACGAATCATGACTTCGTCTTGGATCATCTTGACTTCGATGGCAAACGGCCACTATGAGAAGGTCAGCACTATGAAGAATTGAAGTACAGGACAGTATCACGTACATTGCCTTCATGCAGCACTGCATCGGATGTACTGGCAAACAGGCCAACCCCTCTCCTGTTGGGCATCCCTTGACCAACCCCTGAAGCAACTTTCCGGCGCATGGCCGATACGACTTCCAGATTTCTAGGAATGTCTTCGTCATTGCTGGCGACTACGTCGACCAATTGACCGATCAACTCTGGGGCATCAAAGCTGCAGCTATCGAGGGGTACAGAAAAGCCCCAACTGTGCGCAATATCACCTCCGATACCCACGCCCCGATAAAGGAGATATATCCATGCCAAGAGGATCAAATCAGCCTGCTGGTCGGCATCCTTGAGACCAAAATGAGGAATAATTGTTGATGTCCATTGCGATCGTTCATTGCTACTGTCTTCGGAGACACCGCCTTCAGTAACAATGCTCGAGCTAAGATCTGGAATGGATGTTGGAGGGGTTATGGTCCCGATCGCAATGAATGTTTTATCTCCAGCTCGACTTTTGTCCGACGGAGAGACGGGGGAATAGGGGAGCATGTCGACTTCTGCTTCCCTTGAACTCCAACTCTTTGCTTGTATTCAATCACCCATTAAGGTAATAAGAAGTTCCAAGCGACCGATTCGACAAATGATTCTTTAGGAAGCGACTGGACTGATGCCTTGGACCTTTCCAAGAGATTCACGGGATAGAGCTTCGAAGAAGCGAAAGGCCTCTTTCAACAAAATGGAAGCTTGCAAGTCCAACTCGAGAATGGCATTACAGGGTACTGCATTTGATACAATTCCGGTCGTAACGAATTAACACCCACCCTAAACGCAATCTCGGAAGAACATCCCGCTTCCATACGCCTACAACCCAGCACCTTGATTCCGTTCCATTTCCAAGGGAACGCGAATCACCTAGACTGTCTTTCCACTCTTTCCACGTTGCCCACCCCACCATGTGAGGCAGCGGCTAGAGTGTGGTCCAGTTTTTGATCTTCCATGGCTCGAACACGGCCAGGATGGCACGATCTCAGGTTTCCCGAGGCAAGCTCCACGAGTACGACCCCTTCGTCATTGATCACCATGTCCGAAACCGTTTCACACGTCTATAGCATTTTCCACTCGGGTGGGGAATTATTTTCAAGTTTCTCGCAGCAAGGATGGTAGCGCAGGATTTGAGAGTATTTGACGATTGGCGCCTGGTGGAGTGAATTCAGTGCCGGGCCCAGGGGTTCTAGTATCAGTTAGTTGAAATAGCCCCCGATTTTCGCGTGCCATAGGAGAAATAATGGGTTCCGTGATCCGTCAAGCAATAGCCGGAATCTATGATTCAGCAAACCGTTTAAGTTTAGCTCCAACCCCCCACCCTCCCCACCCCCATTCTCGAATGCCGTCTACCTGACCTCGGATACAGTGGTAGTTGCTATTTACTATGTATTATGTATATATGTAATCATATTAGCCAACGCTGTCAGCCATTCAGTGCCCCCAGAGGTGCGGATTTTTGAATTGGTTGCAGGATCGTTGAACGGTTGATCTCGGGAGTTTGCAGCAACGTTAATTAGGTACCCTACGGAATAATGCCGAACTCGATGTGCTCGGGACGAATCGCGAATAACCTCAGGGATCTCCCTGGGCTACAGAACCAGGGATGGACAGGATCACACGATGATGCCGATTAAAATGGCGTGAAAAAATTGAACAGACCAGGCGGAATAATGCGTCTGCACTCTGCAGTTTCAGTCAGTGAACAGGCTATTTATGCTGTTGAACACGGGTATTAGGTATTCCGTACGGAATACACGACAAAGAATCTTGAAAATGTCGAGGCACGGGTTGATATTTGCGAAAGAAATTTGTTCGAGGATGATCCCTGCGATTGGTAGGCGTTTCCTGTATTAATCCTTGTCACATCCTTGCAGCTTGGCATCTGATAACTTTAATTACATGTGATCTGATGATCTGATAACCTCCCTAAAGGATCTGATATGATAACAGGGGCAAGTGGATCATATAGATCGACGTTTGACGCTTCAGTTGGCGGGCCGGAATCGGAGCCTCTAACAGATTGTCCCTTAGCGAGGAGTATTCCCATTTAGTCAAAGTTTTCACGTACCACTTACCAGCTGCCACGCATCTAGGCACCGCCATGGAAGTCTCTCAGTCCAGACTCTAGAGTGCCGTGAGTGCTCATGTTGCGTGCGGCCCATTGACCCGAATCTGCCGTGACCTGACAGACGATAGTAGCAGGAGAGCAGAGAGATGCGTCACTTTTTGTGTGTGCGCGCTAAGTGCTCACTGCGACTTCACTAGATGTGATGTCGTCTTCCAGTGTCATCGGGCGATATCGCTTTATCGTCCAGCCCACTTCGTTCGCATCCGGAGAAGTTTCTGGCTTTCCCACATATACAGCATTATAGTTCATATGCATGCACGGGTATCTGGCCACTTTGGATCTCCTCCGGGGTCATATTTACAGTGAAATGGATGAACACTAACCTCTCGGGCATGGGACTCTAAAGGACGAGATGGTTGACAGTCTCTGATAGGTTGGCGAAACCGTGGGGTGGCAGTCTTCTCGGGCCAAGGCAACCCCCAAAAATCACCCTCCAGCGTCTAGCCACTCCACCAGGGGTAATAAACAGTTGACAATATCACCAAATTACTGTGGCCAGAGGTTTGAAATCATACCGTTGCCCGGCCCAGATATGCTTCCAGGGACGAAAACGGGCATAATGGGGTGGCTGGGTGCACCCTGCTTGCGTCGATGATCCACCCTTGGCAAGCCATTACACCGCAGATAAGAATGACGATTTTTTTTGAAATCAATGGTCTTGATTGTATTATTAAGAGCAACTGCTTTGTCGATTAAACATCCCAATGAGGAACAGTTTACTACAATCTCGCCATCGGTCCGATGCCATCAGCACCTTTGACAACGCCATCGTACGCCATGGGACAGAGTTGGAAGAAGCGCTCCCGGGGACAGACCATTAAAGCAGATCGCTTGTGTGGGAGGTCAACCCACTCATGCACCGCGAACCCGTTCGCAAAATCATAAGCAAGAACCGTCGCATTGGTCGCTTTTGGCTCTCCTACGACGCGCATGGTCCGGGGCTCATCCAGGAAAATGTAGTGCAGAATCGCTGCCCACCACATGGCAACCCGGTGAGGACCCCGGAAACGAACGTCTCCAACGAGAGAGTGTCGACCGCGATCGTGAGGCTGGAATTTGTGGTATGCGCCCAAGTTATCTTCCTGTATTGCCGTTAGCGTCACGCTCCATTCTCATCTAGACGTCACTTACCTGGGCCCAGTATATCTCATAATACGCGAAAAACGTATTATCGAAACTTGCCAGGACCGCCATTTGATGCGGGTCGTTGTGTATATCAGTCAAATACTCGAGATGTTCTTCCATGGTCCCGCTTTGGTTCCACCCTTGGGCGACCCGTGGATCGTTCTGCCATCGATGGAATAGGTCGAGGTGCTCCTTGTTTGCGATGTCCAAGGCAACCATGGAAAAGTGCTCCCGCAGATGCGGGATGTATCGGCTGTATATGGTTGAACCAGGCTGCGGCTTTGCAGGCCGTCGAAGGTGTCGCGTATGGACGCGGCCTTCAGGGAACGATGTTGTCTGCATGTAATCCAGCGGCATTGGAGGATATGTGGACAATGCCTTTTGGCCATCAAAGGGAGTTTCTGGGAGCCATACAGGACGAGCGCCGAATGGGGACCCAGCACCTTGCCAGAAGGCGCTTCTAAGGATGATACATTCGGTAGGCAATGGCGACCATGGAGTTGCGATACTTGAGAAGACAATCGGGAGAGGGTGTTGGATGGCCAGCATAACGGTGCAGAGTTGCTCCTTCAGAGCTTCCGCGCCGGATCCCTTCAGGCTGAAGCGAAGCTGCTCCAGCTGGGGAGACATCTCCAAAAGGACGTAGATAGCCAGCCATGATTGCGCTAGGGTCGGTTTTTCGGAACCAACCCATTCCAACGTAGCAAGCGGACTACGACGGGCTCGTCCCCAAGCAGTATTGTCTGACTGTGGCGGGGCATCAGCCGGTCGATCGGCAGGTTGCGTTATGAAGATGGAATCGGACTCGAGCTCGTCTGGAGGCGGGATTCCTTCTGGGAGCGAGTTCGGAGCCGGATTGGCTCTTCTAATCTGCAATACCAACTGCTCTTGCGATGATTTTGAAGACTTGTAGGCCTCGTACGTCGTCAGGTACGGATGAGGAAGACGAATGGTGAACGATTCGAAAGGAGTAGACGACGTCATTGTGAAAACGCGACTGATATGGTTTGTTGACTGACGATTGAGGACTTGTGAAGGCTGAAGAAGACACTTGCAGAAGACACAGGAAATTATTGAACGGTGGAAAGTTTCAAAGCTTCGCAACAGCTACACAACATGATCCATACCTCCCCGTCCTGGATCCGGACCTAAGCCGGCAAACTTAGCCATCTCACCCTTCGATTTTCACGCCTCGCGTCACATCTTCTCCGCCGTCGCTCTTAAACCTGGCTGCTGGCATGGTCTGACGACTGACCCCGTCCAGGCCGCCTCTGATGATCTGATTAACTGAAAGCGTGAACCCCCGCTTCACAGACCCATCAGCGATGGGGGCACCGTAATTGAGGCATCCTGGGAAGGGTGCAGTGCAAGGGCCCATATTAGTGTCTCCAGGCGGTAAAATTTTTATCAAACTGCGGTAATTTTGGGACCATCACGGACTCACGGTTTATGGTGAATTTGAGATGGTGGACATAGCGCAGGCGGAAGAAAAGTGGAAGGATGGACGCGTCCTGATTGATCAGATAAGATTGCAATCCTTGTGTTGTTGTGATGGATCATCACGCTAATGCAACTGCGATTGTCCCCGAATATTATCGAATCTCGCCTTTTCATGGAGACCAGTCGGCATACTCATTCCTGAAATTTATCTTCGATTTGGTAGGGACCCGAAATCGGTGCCGAGTCTCCGCCGTGCCTGATGCTAGTACGTGTATGTGAGAACATTGGGGTTGACTAGTAGAATGATGTCAATCCTGTGTCTGGCGCTGTCTGGTCTGTGTCTAGTTCTATCGAGAATAGTTCGCATGTTTAGGTGTTGTGAGGACATCTTTGATCGCAATGCGCTTGAGATCTATTCATTGAGTTTGGTTATGCCGTGTAAACCAATTCACCATGTCTGCAGAACAGAGTCTCTACGCTCCTGGCGAGCAACCCGCCAATGACCTTTCCATCCTCCATGGGCCTTCAGACCCTCCCTTAGTCTCTTTAACGTTAAGCGGACTACTAGATCTACAGTGCTTCCGGTATGGCGAGCGAGAATGCCTCATCGTTCCTTGGACGGGAGCTCGCTGGACGTACAGCCAGCTACGAGACGAGAGCATCAAGGTAGCGAAGCTCCTTCTCGATGTTGGTATTCGCAAAGGGGACCGAGTGGCTATCATGGCCGGTAACTGCGAACAATACGTCGCTGTTGTCTTTGCCGTCGCCAGGGTTGGGGCAGTTTTGGTTGTACTGAACAATACGTACACTGCAAATGAAGCTCTCCGGGCAATGCGACATACTGGCAAGCTCCCTTGCGCAATTGATTTTTGGGATGTATCTGCTAACTATATGCAAGGCTGCAAATTGCTCTTCACAACATTTATGGTCGGGAAGCTTGACAATGGTCCATTGATCGCGAAGCTTTGTGAAGAGCCGCATCTCGCCCCGTCCATGGAGGAGATCATCATTCTCCGTGGAGAAACACACGGTTTCAGGGCATATGATGACGCGCTCCTAAGCGGTGAAATATTTCCTGAAAGCGTCCTCAATGGACCTGGCAACCGAGCCTTCCATCATGACGTCTCAACACTGCTATTCACAAGTGGGTCAACTGGGAATCCCAAGGCCGCGATGCTTACTCACTAGTGAGTCTCTCTTCTAATATATTATACACCATAGCTAACCAGACTCTAGCGGGGTGGTCAACAACTCCCGTTTCATTGGAGATAGGATGGCCTTGACCCCTGACGATGTCCTTTGCTGCGCTCCTCCCCTATTTCATTGCTTTGGCTTGGTCCTAGGTCTCCTAGCGGTGATAACACACGGATCGAAGATCGTCCTACCCGCCGAGATGTTCGACCCTCTAGCAACCCTTCGGTCCGTATTCACTGAGAAGTGTACCGCACTTCATGGTGTCCCAGCAATGTTCGACTCCATATTCACTTTACCTCGAGGCAATCTGCCAAAGTCACGTCTTCGTACTGGCATTATTGCCGGTTCACCTGTCCCAAGGCACCTTATGGAGCTTATGTTCAGAGATTTTGGAATGACGGAATTTACAAGCAGCTACGGTACGGGTTCTAGGGTCCATTCTATCCCCTCTCGATTTTGACCGGATTATAGGACTTACAGAAGCCTCGCCAACGTGTTTTAATGCATTTACCAGTGACACGATCGATCGGAAACTGAATACCGTTGGAAAGTTAATGCCTCATGCCCATGCCAAAATTGTCGACGTCAATGGAAAAATTGTTTCTATTGGCACAAAGGGAGAATTGTGCATTGCGGGATATCAGTTACAGGCTGGCTATTGGAAGGATGTTGATAAAACGGCCGAATGTATGAAGATTGACGAGAACGGTGTGTTGTGGCTTCATACCGGCGATGAAGCCGTCTTCGATCGCGAGGGCTACTGTTCTATCACCGGGCGATTCAAAGATCTCATCATTCGAGGTGGTGAGAACATCTATCCCTTGGAAATCGAAAACCGACTAGTGGAACACCCTTCGATTGAGCGAGCTATCGTCGTCGGTGTCAAACATCCAAGGTTAGGGGAAGTGGTCGGAACGTTTCTCCAGTCCTCGCCAAGACAGAAGCCTATCAGCCAAAGAGAAGTCAGAGAGTGGACATCTGCTACACTGGGCAAACATAAGGCGCCGGCCCATGTGTTCTGGCTTGGAAGAGACGGTATTCCTAATTCAGTTCCGCTGACTGGCAGTGGGAAGATCAAGAAGTATGAGCTTCAAGCACTTGCAGAGCAGATGTTACACGGTGCGCCGAGGCTCTAGAAATGGGCGTTTCTGGAAAATGAGGGGATGTGTCGAATCTACAGCGTTTGATTTTATATAGGTCTCATTATCATCAATAGATTTCCAAAAATGAACTTGGTTAGCTTAATGCATTACATCACACCTCCAACTTTGCGGAGCTTCCAACACCCTCCGACTCGCCCTGCGGCCATGAACTATCTTCAAACGGTGTCACTCCCATGTGCCTCCATGTCCCGTCGCACATGAGGGCGGGGTCCGTCTCTTTCCCGGGGAAGACCAGTTCCGTTTTTCCGTCACCAAAGTGGGTGACAGAGTTTTCCTAATAAGATCAGTATCGTCTCATTGCTTCTCGTTTTATGGCGACTACTTACTAGTCCTAATGTGAGCTTGATGACGGCTTCACCCCACCAGGGCTTGTAGTGGTGGGATGGCTTCTTTCCCCAGGTGACCCGAGTGATGTTGTCTGCAGCTATCTGTCCCTGGCGCATCGCAGATCGAGCATTTGGGTTGCGTGTACCAGTGTCCGCAACATCGCCGATAATGTATACGTTGGGAAGCGAGTCATCAGCAATCTGTAACGTCGGCTTCACGCGGATATGGCCCGACTCGGAAATTGATCCTGGAGCAAGGTCGGAAAGGAGCTGTGACGATGGTTTCTGCCCAGTGCAGTGTATCTAACCGATCAGTCGGCAATTGGAAGAAATGTTCGACATGGGAGAACATACCACGGCATCGCATTCTAGGACTTTGCCCGATTTCAATAATACTGTACCAGATTCCACATCTTCTGATACCATTCTTTCGCTGAGGTGAACTTCGACACCTAATCTTTCCAGCCCTTCCAGAGCGGCCGCCTGGAGCTCCGAACCAAAGCGCTGCATGACTGTCGGGCGAGAGTGGACCAGTGCCACATGTTTCTCCGGGTATAGCGATTTGGCATCTGTGGCCAACTCGACACCTGCCGCGCCTCCGCCGACAATCAAAGGTCTCTTCGACTCCTTGATGCGCATCTGCATTTTCCTGCACCGCTCGACCCCCTCCGGCTTGCCTGGAGCGCCCACCCGCGAGGGTAATGAGTCCTCCGCACCCGAGCCAGTTGCGATGATCAGAAATGCGTATGGGATTTCTTCGGTACTACTCTGCAGTCGAATGCTTTCTTTGCTTACACTGACCACGCGGTCCTGGATCCATCGAACCATGCTCTTGGGCGCCGGCTTGAGGTACGGCCCATAAGGGATGAATGCCTTGTGTTCGTGCCCTTCAACGACGCAGAACCGTGGAAGAACCCAGGTGAACTGAAAATGGCTGTTCGGTTCCACCACCACTACCTGATACGGGCTGTTCGGGGGAAGGGAGTTGGTCAGCAACTTTGCAGCATGATAACCAGAGAACGACGCCCCGATCACAACGATATTCTGTAGCTCTTTCGGCGACTCGGGAGAGGTGACTCTGGACTTTGCTCGCCGGCCATGCACTGAAGCAGCGATTGATTGGGTTAGGACATCGAAGTAGAGCTGAACGCTATAGATGACGATCTTGGCGAATAGGATCGACTTTGCAATCTTTTTGAAAACCATCGGGAATTAATAGGTGCCCTCCTTGTCATTCCAAGGAGACTAAAATTTAAGGAATAAAAGAATACTGCCCATCAGTGGATTGAGTAAAAGATGGCGGTTGTCAAGAGCACCCAAAACCGGCAGACAGGATGAAGGCATAAGGAAATGTATCGGACGATCTGATAACGAGAAAAACACTAGTTGCTACTACTGTTGAGAAACACACACAAGTAAGGACGAGCCGAAGCGACCGTTTGGATGAGGTCCGGGCCATATTTTACATGCATAACCAAGGCTTAGGAAAACGACGGCGTCACCGGCTACTGTAGTCTTTTGCGCCGGGATAGCGAGATCGGAGTCCTGTCCATCCTGGTCCTCAGGCATTCCATGGACAATTGAAATTTGTATCCATGTCGATTGTCGAACGATGGTAGAGTAGCCAAGAAAAGGAATCGACAAATACCTGCGGCATTACAGCGCTTAAGATGAAGTAGAGTAGGAAGTAGAATTGTCAACTCTTTGGGATGGCTTCAGAGCTCAGTTCAACCCCTGAAAGTGCCCCACCTCAGCATATGGCGTTCTCTCACAACATCTATGCATTATCGCTCACAAATAGTGTCCAGCAACATACACGCCTAGCATTTAGCTATGCCCCTCATAGCATTGAAAATCTAACTATTCCACCTAATTACAGATTAACAGCCTAGTTGTAAGAATCCGGACCCAATCATCGCAGCATTTGCCTCTCTGCATTCACCCTGTAGCTCTCACTGGTTGCCATCAATTCCTCATGGTTCCCCGTTTGTACAACCTTCCCTTCCTCCAAAACCAGGATGACATCGGCCGCCTGCACAGTCCGTAGTCGATGCGTGATCGCCACGACGGTAATCCCCTTTGCCGCCTGATCCAATCCATCCTGGACCGCTGCTTCGCTCTCCGCATCCAATGCATTCGTGCTTTCGTCCAACAACAGTAATCTCGGCTTGCGAACCAACGCTCTCGCGATTGCCACCCGCTGTCGCTGGCCACCCGATAAACGGGATCCGTTCGGCCCGATCTCCGTGTCATAGCCGTCGGGAAGAGCTGCGATCGTCTCATGTATGTTGGCTAGACGACAGGCGGCTTCAATCTCTGCGTCGGTCGCTTCATGTCCGCGACGAGCGCCAAGGGCGACGTTGAAACGAATGGTGCCGTCGAAAAGTGCAGTATCTTGAGGCACGACAGCAATGTCGTCGCGGAGAGCAGCAGCATCTGGGCGAGAGAGATCGAGACCGTCGATGGTGACAGAGCCGGATGGCGGATTGTACAAACCTTGAATGAGGCGCATGATCGTAGACTTTCCGGCCCCAGAAGGGCCGACGAGGCCACAGAACTGTCCCGGCCGAATGGTAAATGACATACCTTGGAGGATTGAAACATTTGCTGCTGAGGGATAGGAGAACGAGACATCGTTGAATTCGATGTTCACACCTCGACTCAACGGAAGCGGCTGTGACTTGGCTTCCCCGACGGCCTCGATATCCTTCTCTGTTGCTGGAGTGGGTGAATCCCCGTCGAGTTGTGGGGGATTGGAACCTTTATCTGATCCAAGATTGATGAGGTTCAGAATGCGAGACGCCGATGCGTGTGCTCGGGAAACCTCTGGGGCTAATGAGAACATCTGGCCCCAAAGCTGGGCGCTAACAAGCATAGCGACGAGAACAATGAAAAACTGCGTTTGGTCATACCGGCCCTCCATGATCTGCTTGGAGCCCCACCAGTATGCGAATGCGTAGATAAGGAATCCCGTGCTGTTGGCGAGAGCAAGCCAAAAGTTGGTGAAGACACTGGCAAGACCGAGCTCTTTCCTTGGAGCATGTAATGCTCGACGATATGTTCCCAGTACTTCATCTTCGAGGGACAGTGTTGCAATGGTTTTGATTGAGTTTACCGCTTCAAAGGTGATGGCGTTTGCTTTGGAGTAGGCATTCGCATGTCGTGTCTCGAACCTGGAGAATGACCACAGTTGCATGATACCGGACCCTAGAAGCACTGGGACCGTAACAAGGCAAACAATTGCAATCTTCCATGCAACGATGTGCGAGAGAATTATTGCCACAAGCATGTTAATGACCACGGCAAAGATCGTTCCAATGATCGAGCCGGTAAGGCCACCGACAGCAGCGCTGTCTTTTGTGATGATTGAAAGCAACGACGAAGGGTTGCGATCATGAGAATGGTGCCATTCGAAGGACTGTTGGAATAGCGAGCGGAACGAGAGTACTCGGATTTTGTACAACAGTCGTTCAGCCACCACTCCGAACGACGACCAGCTTGTGCAGTTCGCAAGGAACTCTACACAGGCAAGCATGAAGAGCAAACCGCCGAAGAATAGACCACTGGATATAATGCGCTCTGCTGTGTTGAGACAAGGATTCAGAGCACCGACGGTATGACCAAAGATCAATCCCGCAGCGGAAAACATGCATCCAACGAAGATGGCTGCAAACATGGCCAGGAGCAGCCAAAACGTGTTGGGTCGAACGAACGGGAACATTCCTTTGATGACGATCCAAGCGGAATGTTTAGTGTCGATATCTTCCTCAGGTTCCTGGGAGTTCGTTTCGCCCACGGTATCGGCGGCTCCTGCATCTTGCGCGCTGAGAGAATCCTTCACCGGATGTTCGACCGATTTGATCTTACCCAGTTTCTCTGTAGTGATATCCGAGGATACGTTGATGCTGTCCGGTCTCGACAAATCGGAATCAGTAGCCTGTTGGCCCGGACCGATGGCCTGGAGACGAGCCATTTCGGCAAAGGCGCCATTTGCAGATACCAGGCCGGTATAAGTGCCTTGCTCCACGATTTCGCCTTTCCGTAAGACGATAATATTGTCGGCATTCTTGACCGTTGAGAGACGGTGAGCAATGGATACTACGGTCCTTCCTTTTGCAATGCGGTCAATGGCCATCTGGATACGCTGCTCACTTGCGGAGTCCAAGGACGACGTGGCTTCGTCAAGGATCAGCAGCTTTGGATCTCGAATGATCGCGCGAGCTAGGGCAATCCGCTGCCGCTGACCTCCACTAACCAGCTTGCCGCTGGATCCGACCATTGTGCAGAATCCATGGTCCAGGCGTCCGATGAAATCAGTAGCATCGGCCAGATCGGACGCTTCGCGCACTAGTTCGATGATTCGTGCTAGATCTGCGTTTTGCGGAGTCGAGGCGGTCAAGAGTTTATCCCCCTTGGCGGCAAATTCGGTCAGTTCGGGCCCATGGAGAAGTTCCTTTAGCTTCTGATGCTGTGGTTGCGGGGAGCTGACAAGGCCAAGGGCAATATTCTCAAAGATGGACCGATCCAGGAGCAATGGTTCCTGCGGAACAAGGCTGATAGAGCCTCTTAAACTCCGTAGGTTTAGCTCACGCACGTCGCTCCCATCGAACAGGATGGACCCATTGGATGGGTCGTAAAGACGAGCGATCAATGCTGCAATCGTGGACTTGCCACTGCCAGAGATTCCAACCAGGGCGGTATGTTGTCCAGCCGGGATGCTTAGGTCGATGTCCTTAAGGACGGGGTCGTCTGGTCTTGACGAGTAGACGAAGGATACGTTTCGGAACTCGATTGCTCCAGGGGTGTCGTGCGCCAGTTCGCGGCCGGTATCGTTCGTGCCATCAATTTCTGGGGTCTGGGCAATATCGGCGCGCAGTCTCTGAAAGGCGGAAGCTGCGGTCCCAAAAAGGGGTAGGAGTGGTGCGATGGCGCCGAGCATCACGCACGCGTCAACCAGCAAGAAGACCACGGTGTAGACCTCGCCGACCGTAGATCCTCCCTCGCCACGAACTGCAGCAGCGACAAGCCTGCTTCCTTGCCAAAATGCAAGGGCATTGGCGGAGTATGCGATGAAGAAGAGCAACCCGGCTTGGACACCAGAGGTGATCGCCTTTTTGATTCCCGCTTTTCTGGCTTTCTCCATGTGGCCACTGAACTTTGACTCCAGCCTGGGGGCAGCGTCGAACGCCTGCACGACCGCTACGTGCGTCAGAGCTTCGGAAGCGATGGACGCCGCCGATGCGGTGGCATTTGATATGCGCAACGAGAACTTCTGCACGAAGCTGCCTCCAACCGCGCCCATTAACAGGAACGCCGGAACCAGAGAAACCAACATGCCTGCGAGTTTCGCTTCTTTCATGAAAGCAACAATGTATGCCGTGAGGAAGAAGGAGATACTGGCGATGAAGATTCCCACTTTCTCCGAGGTTCCGGACTGCACGGCTTGGATGTCTCCATTCAGCTTCGACGCAACCTCACCGGCGCTCCGGCGGTCAAAGAACGCAGCATCCTGTCTGAGAAGGCATCGGAAATACTGCTCGCTTAGCCTTTGGCCTAACCGTTGGCTCAAAAGGTTCCAGCAGAGTACATATATATAGATAAGCGCAAATGCCGCAATGGCGATGTACACCAGCAGAACAACTTTATCCTGGATTTGCGATGTATACGACGACCCGGAACCGGTTGCGGTGGCCTCGCAGGACGCTAAATTGATGTCATCGACCAATTGACCAAAGAGGATTCCCATCAAAGGGAAAGGCACACCGGCGGCGGCGGCAGCAATAGTACCAACGACTAGAAGGACGATATCGAGCCATGAGGGGTTTGCCGTGACGAGGAGACTAAGGAATGCAAACAGCGCATTCTGAACCTGGAGCCGTGTTAGAGCAAGGCTCGAGAAGCTCGTGGTTATGATTCTTAGGAGGGGTTCCTGGAAATGGGGATGTGAAGACGATTGGGAGCATGCCATTCTCGTACCTTAGGCTTGGCGTTTGGAACCGAACTCTCTTTCGTCTCTTGAACCGTTGTGACTGCTGTAGCAGGTGCTGAATCAACAGATTTCTCTGTTTCCACCTTGGACTCAGCCATTATGGTTCGACAGCAACTCACTTGACATCGACCTTCCTTGACCAGGACTGGATGACAACTTGTAGGTCAGTTCTTCTGATGTTGAAATTGAACTGCTGGTGTCATGTCGCAGAAACATGTGCCACGGGTAGCGTGGGATCCAACACCCCCGCTAAAATCGTCAACGGCGTCATTTTTCACAATACACGCTATGGAGTAAATCGGTGTAATCTCTGTACAATTCCCTCTGCCGATGCCGGACCATGAGCGACAGATCCGGATCAGATAATTCCGATCAGATAAAATTTTCACTAGGCCAAGAAGTGTTCGAACCGGGGTCTTGGCCACGATAGAGACTGAATGACTGCTGAACTGACGCAATCATCTTCCGTCTCCACCCTCCATGGGAAAGTCAAAGGCGCCGAGAAATTTTCAAGGACCAGGATATTTCAAGGACCAGGATGGTGTCACAGTGCGGATCTAGTGAAGAAAAGAATATGGAGGAGCGGGTCGATGGAGCAAATACGAATTACGAAGCAGGGAGGAGGAGGTTGAGGTGACATGGGTGTACATGGATCAAGGATATAGCCGGGGCGTTTTCAGGGGTATGGCCAGGGGTAATTTCCGACACTAATCAGGGTTTGTGCATGGGGCAGCGGATCTGATAACTTTAATGTATTTTCTTGGCTTGCTAGGGAATAACGGAAAAGAAACTTCAGGATTCCCGCTCCACCGACCACCGATTATTATTATTATCGCAGGTCACTAATCCCCCGTCTATTCTCTCTTGTAGTCTTGTCCCGCCCTCCAGGCACATTCAAGCCATAGATCCTAGCTATACGGTCTACCGAATACGCCAGCTCTGAGGAGTACCAAGAACTTGATCCTTCACCAATGTAGCCCAGAATGTGGACCCTGCATTTGTTAGACATTTTGCCGACACCTACCGTAACTTAGTCGCTTCGCATGTTGTCCTCTATGGACTCATTGTTATTAGATGCTTCATTGAAAAAGCCACAATCAAGAACTATCGCCTGATCTCTGGTCTGGACTCTGATCTATCTTATCTCTGCTAGGAAGCTTGCCATCATTCTCGGATACATTCGATTTGGTTTCTTAGCGTGGGATAAATCGCGCCATTACACTGCGACTCCGGCGTCAAACTCATCAAAGTTGGAGCTTCAGCGTTTTTCCAAGTTATTTTAAACCTTCCTTCGCTCCAGTTTGGTTACGTGCTCCTAGGTCTCTTCCTTCTCAGTGTCGATCTTTCCTCTCTACTTGTGCCCCTAATCCAATCCACAGTTTCACTTAGCTAAACAATTGCTACTCCCCTTCCACGATGGGTCTTGTCGTCCTCCCCGCATTGATTCCCGATATCGAGAAGATTTATGATGTCTACTTTTCCGCCTTCGGCAACGATGAAATGGGCTCCATCATGGTTGACGTGCTCTTCCCGTCTGGGGTAAACGCGGAATTCCGAAAAGCACACACCGCCGCTACCCTGGACTGGTGGCACAAGAACCTCGTGCAGTACACAGTGAAGTGCGTTGATACCGATACAGGCGAGATCGTCGGCATGGGACTGGGAGACTTGTACCTCACCGAGCGGAGTGAGGAGGAAAGGAAGAACGGAGGAGTGCCGTGGTTGACGGGCAAGGAGAGAGAGAGAGCCGAGGCGATTCTGGACCCCTTATGGGCGGTGAAAGAGAAGTTGTTAGGTGGCAATCGACACATGTGTAAGTCCTCCTTTCCCGGTGGTTGGCGTGGCCACCTCCCAAGTGAGAATATCCCATTCTTTTTCTAATCAGTCCATAGACTGCCATGTCATCGGAGTCACTCCAGAGCATCAAGGGCGGAGAGGGGGCGTCCTTCTTACGGAATGGGGCATGGAATTGGCGGAGAGATCTGGGGTGCCACTTTATTTTGAATCGTCCCCGAGCACGTTGGCCTTTTATCAGAAGCTGGGTTTCGAGACTCTCTCTGAGAAAATCGTGCACAAGAAGGAGTTGCTTGGCACGGAGAACGATATTGAGGTTCCTCTGATGGTCAAGATGCCTTCAGCTGCTGGAGGTATGACCTTTGAGGAGTGGCGTGCCAAGGGATACCCGAAGGGCTACAAATGAAGAATGAATTGGTTGACGAGAGCGGATCGATGGAATTGGAATGAATGCAACCGATATTGTTAGATATCAGCAGGTGTCTGAATGCCCCAACAACGGTAGCAACCACTGACTTTAATAGCGAGCGCTTCTTTCTGTGTGTAATGCAAGATTATCATGAGCCTTGGTTGGTGCAACTCACACTGTATCCACTGTGGTTCCTCCAGGTTTATTGGCAGCAGAGACTACTTATATACGTACTATGCAAAGGCTTACGGGGTTACCGACCCCTGCTCCTCATGGTCCTGAAATAAGCAATAGATATTCCATCTGTAGATTGAAGAGGCATTACATCATTCCAAGTTCCAACCCTGTGAATGAGTGCGGATCAGATAACGTGGATCAGACAAGGGACTCTCTGGCCTCTGTAGATCCTGTGGGCCGTATTCAGCGTTCAGGGGGATTCATCATTCAACGAACTCGAAGCGAATTCAAGAAACACACTTAGGCATAGGGTTAGTCTAAGAAAGGCGTAGGCTCTTTATTGCAGTGATGCCATGGTGTGTCACAGGTGAGAAGACCGCAGACGGCCACGCCCATAACTTGTGAAGGGAGTACCTATGACTTCTAGACCATGGTACTAACTAAAGGAGGATAGCTACCTACTTTCCTGTAAGACAAGTTCGATTCTTCCTTGGCTTCGTTTTTGCCGTCCGACCTTTCGACACTGCCTCCACAAGTGGGGCTTTTGAAAACCGCTACCTAGGTAGGACTTTTGAGAACTGCCACCTACAATAGTCACCCCTTTTCAAAACCACCCAGGTGGGACTTTTGAGAACCGCCACCCTTTTTCCAGACCACCATACGTATGGGATTTTTAAGAACCTGCCCCCCCTTTTCAAAACTGTCATACGTATGGGACTTTTGAAAAGCTGCCGCCCCTTTTCAAAACCACCACCTAGGTGGAACTTTTGAGAGCTGCCGCCCCTTTTGAAAACCGCCACCCAGGTGATACTTTTGAGAACTGTCACCCCCAAAAGTCCCACCTGTGTGGTGGTTTTGAAAAGGGCTGACAGTTCTCATAGATTCTAGGAAATAAGTTTCAGTGATTTCAGTAAAACTATTTTTACAGGGAAAGGAACCAACACCTTTCTTCCTGTGGCAAGGCTCTTTTCCGGGCCAACCGTTGAATTCGCCGTCGGGCTAGCTTCCATCAGTGTTTCCAACATGGCCACATGTCTAGATTCAACTTCTTCTTGACGATGATGACCCATCAGAACGACTCCATCGTCGGTGAACGGTTAAAGTAGCTGATCAAGATAACCAACAGGGCCGTCCTCTCTCATCTGGTCCCTCAAAGTTCCATATCGGACGTTCACCTGCACCAGTGGTGAGGCTTCGAACCCTACTAGGTGACCAAGGCATGCCAGTATATTCGAATCCAGCGTTGCAACTCACTCCTGCGAATGATACATTGGAGACATAGTCTTTCGCAAGGGGCACCTCGCGGGATTCCCAGTTTTGTGAGGCGCTCCCGGGGACAGGTCGGAATTCGGCCGCGCCATGCGAAGCGAGAAGTACCAGAGTAATTCAGTCCCACGCGAGGTGACTATGGGCCTATGAGGGTGTTGCTGTCAAATCTACCCAACTACGCTATATCCCCAAAAGGGACGCCCTCCTATGGATCTAGGAGAAGGGTAGGTATAGCAAGGTTCGACAGTTGCCAGCCATGGGCCTCTCGCGTTTAGATGCCTCAATCTCTTCTGATTCTCGTTTCGGCCTGGGTGCATTATAGCGTTGCGAACCACGGTTGAGCTTGGTGCTCCCAGGCACCGATGAAGCTCTCCTGAATGCGACTTGTAAAGTGACATTGTGATGCAACGACCCTTGTGAGAACCATTTCCGGTCCACCTAAGTCGAAGCCCTCTATCGGTTTCAAGATTCATGTGTCGAAGTCAAACTAAGCTCACCGCTAGTAGTATCGCTTTCCATACATCGTATATTATGCCAACGGCCACATTTGGTGCTTAATGCTGCGTTCCCATGGTTCTTGACAGGGGCAAAGTCCACAACAGATCTTTTCTCCCTTCTCAACACGATTCGTGTCTTTTATGATAACATGGGCCCCCGTAGGTGACAAGGCTGGAAATGGGGTCGATTACGAGTGGCCGTTATGACGGGAAAGGCAGCCTTGCCAGCGGTGCGTGTCGTCACTAAGCGAGGGTTGGACCGAAGGTAATGAAAATGAAAAGTATCCTGATCACAAAAATGGCAGAGATATCGCGAGGGATTGGGGATCATGAAGATATTATCCAGCTCTTTGTCAATGGTGTCAGAACGAGAGTCAAGGAGGCTGATCAGTGTTCCATAATCTGATTCACTGTTCTTAAAGGAAGTCAAAGAATGATAGACAATTATCAACTTTGGATATGGTTTGGACGAAACCTCGCGGTCTTTCAAGGGCCCTGATTCATTGACCCTGGAGCGTCTCGGGAGAAGAGAGAGACATAAAGAATATCTGTCTCGACACCAGTGTCAGCGAGATCTGTGTTGTGAGGTCTTCCCCAGCAGATGTCTCACTATCAGTGCTCACTTGTGTCGCAGCTCAGAATACCAACAAGTATAACTATGATACTGGACTCATATCGTGAACAAATAATTGTCCGGTGGAGAGACATACCGAATGGTGGCTTGTTGAGCCTCGCGAAGTCAGAGTCGTCGGATGAGAGTTGCCCTGAACCACATACCCAGTGTTTCAAAACCGCAAAATCATTACCTTGTTTCATGCTAGCCTCCTCCTGTCTCGCTAGGAATGAATGAGTGGCGTTTCATGCTCGTCAATTGCGGAAGATCGTCCCAGGAGTGGGCCTTGATGGACTGTACTTCCACAAGTCCAAGTGGTAGAGGTTTCGACGCGATGACTGGAGCCTCCACACCACTACCGACACGATGAACTGCACTGTGGACGAGATTATTGTAGCAAGAGTTGTAATTATCTCTTGTAGAGCGTCATGACGAGCAGTTCGGAGCAGTTCAGAACAGTTCAGACAGACATGGAGAGGGATCTTGGCATCAAATTGAATTGGCAACGTACAGGAATCAATGCGTGATGTCTAAGCCCGATTTCATATCTTTCCCTATCTGAAAAGTGACTTTTATCTGCTATCCCAACGACGGTTTTCTCCCAGTGTCACCCAGCGGGACTATCCAGTTTGCGGGAAAGGTGTGGGAGAATGAAAGAGGAGACGCCAGGAAGTACCCGATGTGGAGGCGGCATGATCCTGCTCGCTCGACTTACTATTGTTTCGCCGGTGCCCAGTAAACGCCATGTGCAACACCATCTATTACCCTTTGCCTTTGAAATCACGAAGTTCCATTTGTCCCGTCCTCGACAGCTATGTCGCCCGCTAGCACCTTGGTCTGGGGAGCCTCGCCTTGATACGGTCCACCCCCAGGCGTCACGGACGTGGGATTTCCAGCTTCATCCACGAACTCGAAATTGTATCGCGATAGCAGATGGGGGATTGCAGACAGTTGCGGACCGTACCTCGCGGTATTGTCGTACAGTTCGAATAGAGGAACGGCAAGGAGCTTCATGTTCTTCGGAACGCTGAGGACCTCTGCAGAAAGGTTAGCCAAATAATTTTCTAATGTTCGGTATACATATGCCGTATCAGCATGCAGATAACTTACTGCTCCGAGGGAGTTGGATGAAGTACAGCTTCTTGCACTCCTTTGGCCGCGTAACATGCGCCGGGATGAATGGGTACATGAACGTCTCGAAGTTCGGTCGATACCACTGCGCCAGCGTATCGCCAATCTGCCATTCATCGTTCACACCCTCGCCGGAGAATTGACTTCCGACCGGAGCCAATCGCTCATTCAAGCGGGCCTTGAACCCTTCGACCTCGTCATCTTCGGGCCGAAGATAGTCGCCAGGCAGTTTGAAGAATGCGTTGGCAATCTGCAACATCAGGATATGCGGATGGTTGTGCTCGTGGCACACCAGAATCCCTTCACAGGTTCGTCGCATGCCATGGTGCTTGTAGTGCTCTTCTAGTCGAGTGAGCCTAGCAACGACCGAGGGGTCCTCTTCTGGTTGGTTCTCCTTCGTGCCGAAAGTGTAGTTGCTGAGAGGGTACAGCCTAATGGTAGTCGGTTGATTCGCATTGAAGGATTTGGGGAGGATGGGGGGCTGGGAGCTTTGGACAGCTGTTTCTGTGACGGTCGACATGTTTAGCTGAAGAGGCTCGCAATAGGTTGATTGATGGATATAGTGAAGGTCTTTCCAAAGATTATAGTAAAATCATGGCGGATAAACTTGCCAGGCAGATGGCTACACGTTACAGTCTGGGAGTGATATCGAGACATCGTCAACACCTTGTTGCCGGGGATGTGCCACGTGACCGGATATTTGATGGAACTGTTGATTCTGCAGCTCAGCGATTTAAATTTAGCGTTCTGAGTCCAGAACATGCACTTTGAAAAAGGCAGGTTACAGTAGTAACGCTAAGGTTGACTAAGTGGAACGACCTCCAAGCAAGAGAAATTATTGTGTCTCATGATCTACTGGTATATTTGGAATTCCTGTGAATCAGTGATGCTTTGAGGAAAACACTTCAGGTCCTTCAATTACTTGGTGTCGGTGAAGCTCTTTGTTCCACAGAATCGCTAGAGAGTTGTATTCTCTCGCTTTCTTTATTCACCTTAAACCATCAAAGTCAGCCATAATCAACATGTCTTCGCCCGTAATCACTATTGTGGGCTCCCTCAATGCCGACCTAGTTACGAGGACCCCTCGTTTCCCCAATCCGGGGGAGACCATAACGGCGCACGCCTTCTCGACCGGCTGCGGGGGCAAAGGCGCGAACCAAGCTGTCGCTGCTGCGCGACTCTCCGGCACGCCTGGCAAACAGGTGGGAGATGGGTTCGAACCGCCGGCGGCCGAAGTTCGAATGATAGGGGCGGTTGGGCAGGATCAGTTTGGAACCATGATGCTCGATCAACTGGAAGAAGATCAAATAGATGCGTCCGGCGTGTTACGAGTCAAAGACTCGACAACGGGGACGGCAAGTATCACAGTGGACGATTCCGGCGAAAATTCGATTCTCGTCGTCCGGGGTGCAAATGGAAGACTACCGCACGATCGATCCCTATTGAAAGGCGATGAGACCATCGTTTTGTTTCAGCTCGAGGTCGACATTGAAGTGGTAGGCTCAGACAATGCGACGCAATGGCGGTTCCGGATGGAACTGTGCCATGCTCGACACATGATTTTCCTACGTGGTATCTGACGAATATCAGGTTGAGAAGAACCTCAAAGCCGCTAAGCAGAACGGAGCCATTGTATGAGTTCCAACGTCGGTTAGGTTGTGCAACCGCTAAGTGATACGCAGACGATTCTGAATCCAGCCCCTGCCGCGAGGCTGTCGGACAGCATTCTTAGTAACGTCGACATCCTCGTGTTCAATGAACATGAGATGGCCATCTGCGGGCCGGACCCGGCAGAACTCGGCGAAGACAAAACCCAGAACGGAGCCGAGTGGTTCATGGCAAGAGGGGTGAAGTATATCGCATTAACACTGGGGTCTAAGGTAGGTAGAGCAGCAATCGTATCTTCACTAGGTCTGACATGATATAGGGCTCCAAGACGTGGTCATCCAATGGGGAGACTTTTGAGAGCGGAGCTGGGGCCGTCGAAAAGGTGGTGGATACGACAGCGGCCGGAGATACATGGGTGGGAGCCTTTGCTGTAGTCATAGCACTGGGAGCTGCAAACAGGAAGGAGGCAGGACAGGCGCAGAGCATCAACATGACAACAATTAAAGATGCGGTACGGTTCGCCCATGTCGCCGCCGGCAAGACGGTGGAACGCAGTGGAGCCATCTCATCGATTCCTCAAGGAAAGGAGGTTCAGGCAGCCTACGAACCGATCCTGAGGCTCTTGCAGAAATCTTGAGACGGGTTCAATTCCGTGACACGCACCATTCGATGATAAAGAACGGGCAGGCATTCTCAAGGAACGAGAGAAATGTGGATGAGAAATGTGGATGAGAAATGCGGGAATGGAACATTTTGCATATGCAGGCGCAGATCCAATTGCTAAATCTTGGTCATTAATTAGTAGAGTAGATATGAGACGAGATGAATGGATAGACACGTATGAAAAGTAGGACGCGACGAGACATGGTCAGTGAGCTTCATGACGCACTTCACCAGCACCGGCGATGCCATTTCGTCTCACGACGGTCAAGGCAGAATGTCGATGCCACGAAGCGCCGACACGAGCCTCACGATCGGCTGGATATCTGCAGCGGGATATGAATGATGGAGCAGAAAGTTGCCGGGCAGCGAGTAGAAATAAGAAGCTGCATGCGAACACGGTCGTGTGCAAGTCGCGCAACCTTGCAACGGCTTGCATTGGTGTAGCAAAGTACAGCATGGGAGAGGAGGGCACAGGATAGTGAGGGTTGCGTGACAGCCAATCCCTCGGGGACTCTGACGATGGCTGTGTTGCTATGGCTGCATCGCTTAAGGGAGTTGAGGCACAGCCTGGCGTAAAGTATCGACACGATGCAACTCTTCAACGCGTCGCAGCTGGAGCATGGAACCCCCTTAACCCCGATGCGTGTTTAGCGTGTCGCGTCTATCCGCCATATCATATCATTTCCCTCCCTTCCCCTCATCTTGAGTACGGGATATGCATTTCAATCTTCGTGCATTCTACATTCTTATGATTCTCCAGAACTACTATTAGAGCAGCATCGCCAGTTGACAGCTCTTTGCAACCCATTCTTATGAGCATCAAGTCCTTCGCTAACCATTTTCACCTCATCTCTACTCGCTATTGTGTTTACGCGTGATTCCGATAGCCAAGGCTTGCTGGACTGTCAACAAATTCAATACGCCCGACGACACCTCGTTAACGCGGTGGAAAAGGCCTCCAAAGATTGATCTTGATTGTCAATTATCTTTCATAACTCGGCTTCGGAAGCAATGGCTACCATTCGACAACCGTTCGCTGAGCTAGGCACTCCTCGCCTGCAGCAATTGACCAGTATCAAGAACCGTCAGAATGGTATGTGGGACGCTCAAGACTCCGATCCCACCACCCCGTGTCTACAGAGAATATTCGTCCCGAGTATCCATCCTTACTTACACGTCCATTAGCCCTCACCGAGTCGCTTTGCCAATCTGCTCCAGCGAAGCCGACCATGGCCACATTCGCTTCTCCCGCCAAAAAGCGGCTGGCACCGCTCGATTTTGATGAGCCGGACACAGAGAACATTGATCCTACGGTTTTCGATTCTCCGAGTAAACGGACCAAGAACATCCACGGCCGCGCCGTGAAGACGCCCGTCTCCAAATTCACCCTGACGTCCGCGGCTAAGGCGTCCACCCTTCCAAGCTCCAAGTCGCTTTCGTTGTCAATTCCTTCTTCCACTTCGACTCCAATCAGCACTTCACGTGCTTCGCCTAAACACAAACGCATCGCTCACCTATCTAACCGCCGCGTCTCATCACCCTCCATCCGACGCGTCGATCCCCCCCGTTCCCGCTTACATGCCCCCGCCGCCACCCTTCCCTTCTCCATTGATGCCGCGCTTTCCGGCACGCTTTCCAAGCCGCCTCCCCCATCGGAGCCTAAGGAAGTCCCGATGCCAACGTCATGGTTTTTTGACATCCATGTGGACACTCCCGAAGAGGAAGCGTCCAACCTCATGGAACACTCCGCGGCCGTCCTTGATATCAGCTCCGACGACGATGCGGCCACGCGCCGCAAGCGCGAAGAGCTAGAGGAGCGCGAGCGTGGCAAGGAGAACATCCCGCCACCTGACTTTGTCGCTGCGGTCGGGAACCGGAACGCGAGGGGTGATGTCGCTGTCGATGCATCTGCAGATCTCCAAGGAGATGCGATCGCGGTAGCCAAAACGGCGAATCGGAAGTGGAGGGAGAAGCTCGCTGCAACGGCTATGGACGAGGATCGAAATCCGTTGGGTGATCTGAAGCCGTCGGATTTCTATGATGAAAAGGCAGAGCTGGTGCACGTCGTTGTCGAGGACAACCAATCTGAGCAACCTTGTGTGGCGTCAAAGGTGGAGGAATTTGAGGGTACCGCTCCGGTAGTCAATGAGGAGGGAGGCGCCGAGCCGACCAAAATTGCCAAAGGCGAAGAGGTGACGATATTCCAGGATCAGTGACGAATCCAATGTATGCTTGGGGCCTGTTTGCAGGGTGTTTAAACGGCGTTGTTTGGAATATATCAGGCTGGGAGGTATTGTAGGAAGGTAATATCAGTACCGGCGTCACATTTGGTCATAGGGGTTCTTCATTAAAGACTGGTTAGCTGGACTACTTTTATCGAATCAAGTTCGTTGAAGCACCACGGATTGAACAGACCGTGTGCCGTCCTAGATCGCCATCCCCTAAGCCATGGGATAATTTCATTCAGAGACCCCCGAGCGTCTTCAATGTTTACAGATCGGTCAGATCCAAATCGGTGGCTGACTTTCGCATCGTACATGTGTAGAATCCCAATGATACTTGCGTCTATACGTGAGTCCCTTGCCGTCGTCTCTGAGCCTATCGAGCGGCATGAGAAGATCGCTCAACTCCTAGTCTCTTGATGCATCCCCCGGATTCAGCTGGTTTATTCTAAACTTGTGTACATGTCCATCTCTCGCCCACTTCTTCTCCTCCGCTCGTCAGGGCTCTCACGCACCTCAACACCCGGACCAGCTCTTCGTGTATCGCTTCGACGGGAGGGGAATACCTGGGGGCGGCGTTGTTAGCTGATGTTGTACCATGGTGTGGCTCAGCGCGTAGCTAGTCAACCCGAGCGGCCGACTCCGAACAAGAGTGAATCGCTCTCCAAAGGGAACCAGAGAATATTAAGCCGGGGAATCTAACCTTTGTCCGACTCCAACCCAACCGGAAAGCAATCTCATGAGCAAACAATTCTCCGAATCCCAGCATCAATCCATTTACGAAGGGTAAGAATAAGTTGATCGTGGCACCGCGTATCAAGCCCCACATAGTCGGGGGATGGTAGAGGATCATGGGCGTGTCATCGTTGCGGTGGGAGGGGGATTCGGAGTGTGGAGATGGGTCGAAGGACGGGTCGTTGGGGTGATTTGCATCGTATATCTCGCTGTCAGATGGAATGGTCACAGCGGAATCGGCGAGGTTGGCCATGGTGCGGATCGGAGGGAAAGGGAGGTAGAGTTGGAGGGAGAAGCCGAAGCAGAGACGTAAGGTTACGTTCAAGTGGGGATATGAAGAATGGATATAATGGGAAGCTTAGAACGGGCGAACAAGAGTTCAAGGGAGCCCGAGAGCATTCGATGATGTCGGGGAGGTGGAAGTTCAGCATCCCCAGGCATTAATATAAGGCATTCAGGCAGCACCTGACGTCCGTTCGGAGGCTCCTTGCCAGCTCAACCTCCTCCGCTTCTGCCCTCTCCGCCCAGTCCATCCAGTCATCCCAACAAGCAAGTGTAGAAAAACCTTAGGAGAGAACCATCGTAACCATACATTGTGATATGGAGGTATGCCAATATGCCATATTATCTGGCTATTGCATCTGGCCCTGTATAGAACCGCGACTTGACGGATTGACATTAGATCCTCTCACGACATGGCAGCTATATTAAGAGATTGGGGTTGGACGATTTGCAACTGGAATTGAATATCTTCATCATGTTACTCTCCTCTGTTTCCATAGAGTCCTATTGCTTTAAGCCGCATCACCCCCTTTGCATTGCCACGTCTTTTCCGTCATCCACTTCGCGCGCTCATCCGAATCGATCATCACAGACCTGACCCATGAGCACAAATAACTCCGAGGCCATCTCCGACCCCTTCTCCTTGAACGACTCCTTGCAGCGCCTCCCAAACCAATCCGGATGAAACTTCTTATGATTCTCGACGCCCCATCCCCAAGCATCATCTCCCCCGCTGTTCAGGAGCGCGATGATATCGTGCTGGCAGGCCCGGATAGCCACCCCTTCCACCGCCTCGGTTCCCGGCCGTTCTGCCAGGCCGTATTTGAGCACGCGACAAGCAACGATCTGACACCCCTTCTGCGAATGTTTCTGAATGATCTCCTTCGGGAGCGTCGGAAACTCGTCGAGCGAGCTCATGGGTGCGTTGAAAGCTTTCTCGGCTTTGCCCACCCATTTCTCGAACATGGAGCCTTTGGTGTACCTTGGTGGTTCACTGGAGCCTTGGATTTCGGATCCTCGATGGTTCTTATCGAGAGAGACGATGTGAGGCGACACGTAGCCTTCCTTACCGTCAGCGGTCCGGGCAGTGTACCACCACGGGCCTTCCTCTGTTAAGATGAATATTTTCTGGTCTTTCTTGAGCTTCAGCTCGAATTCATCGCGAGGAGTCCAATTACGTGTTGCTCGGGCAGGATGAGGGGGGTAGAACTCTGGAGGTGACATTCTGCCTTAACCTGTTGTTAGTCACTTGGAGTCAGATTGGATCAACAGTGAGTACCGGATTGTTAGCTTGAGAGTTCAAACAGATGGAGAGGATGGTTCGAGGCACGAGAGGGTCTTGTCTGGTCGTCGTTTAGCCTTGCTTCACTGTTGGAAAGCAACCAATGATTGTAAGCAGGCACAATGTGTTTAGTCGCTTCCTTGAGTGGAGTCGAAGGAGTGAAGTGAGGTCTCAGAATATGAATGATGTTTCAAGCCAGAACAAATATCCCACTGACTGGAAATCATGGATCAGCTTGCCTTGGTGCTGAATGTTAGAACTACCCATCCCAGATGATTGCGTGCACTTGTTACAGACCAAGAGCATTTGGTCTTACCATTTAAGGAGGGGAATACTTTCATACTTGGATGTTCCCTTTCATTTCACTCTCTAAGGATGCCAACTTAGGGCTATTTCATCCTCATTCCTCATCACTCCATCAGGGTACATTTTTATTGCCACTGTGACTTCGTCACCCCTTTCTTCCAAATGCATCTTCCCACCTAGTGACGTGCGTAGCTGAAGAGCGAGGCTAGAATCATAAGAACTAGGACCTGGTCAAGTCCATCTCTGCACGACCACCCCTCCCCTCTTGAATTCGGCCATGTCGCCAAGTACCGCCGCCTTGTCCTTCAGCTCCGTACTTGGGAAAGTGGTCATCAGCACATATGGCCGCTCCGTGTTCGCCCTTGCGGCGGCATCCACGAAATTGTAGACGTCCCCGATTGTATGCGTGGTGTTGAATTGAGACCGCAGCGAAGTGCCGTCACCAAGTCGAATCTGGAGGGTGATTGCGGGTACGGAATCATCGACGGTGATGGCGGGTGGGTTGGCAGAACTAGCGCTGGCCTCGGCGGACTGCGTCGGTGTTGATGTGGAGGAGGTTTCTGCGCCGGGCACTGGACTGCCCAGTCGGTTCCCCGCTCCTACGAAAGGCTTCCACTTCTTTGTGGGCGGCTTATAATCTTCCTCCCGGTGCGGGTGGACTTCCAAGTTGACCTCCTGCCCTTGCTGCACGTCCAGGATGCTCATCGGCGCGCGACCCGAGTTGATCATCTCCAAGATCTCCGCGTTGTTCGGATCATCGTACCGGTATAGAGCTCCATCGTCGATGCTGAACCCGTCGCGCCACAGATGCATTCGTCGTAAGACCCGAGGTGGCGGAGTGGAGGACGAGCTGCCCGCGCCAGGAATGATGACGCTGGGTGCATCGTCGCCCCCTAATGTCTGTCCCGGTCCTGAGAAACGGCTCTGCGTCGGCACCTCATCCTCTCCACCCGGCCGAGGAACATTCCTACACTATCATCAGTACTGAGGATCGGAATCGGTTGGTCACACATACTGTCTTGCGCGATCGATTATGCTGTTGATGAAGCGGTTGGGACCCGACCCTGGTTGCGAGCTAGGTCCACTGTTCGGGTTCTGGACAGCGAGACCTGATTTCTCCCCACCAGCAAAGAAGTCTTGGTCATCAGAGTCATCGCCGTCATCATGAGAGTGAGCTTGGGGGGCACTCGACCCGGAGTTCTGAAGGTCACCCAGGGTCACTGGACGACCGGGAGTGCGCCGTCGGTTCGGGTCAGTTGGCGGTGCCATTTTCCAAAGCTTCTAGTTATGAAGGTTGAACAAGCTTAGCCAGGGAGGAAGGACGATGTGGTTCGCGTGTAGGTCTCGTTTTCGAGCTCGGGCAGAATGGTTGCAGGCTGACAGCAACTACGTTGATTGATGGAAGTAGGAGCTTGGGATGGCCAGAAAGGTACAGTTCAACAAGGTGAGAGGTGTGGAAGGTGTTCCATGTTAGGATTATGTTGTTGTAATTATCAGAGAGCTCGCCATCAGTTTGCGTTGTGGATTGTCATCCTCCACTGTTCACATTCAGCAACGGTGTGCTCAGGCTGCAGCGCATGCGGTGATGTGACGTGCCCCACCACACTGACACAGACACACAAATGAGGCGATAAGGCGACAAGGCGACAAAATACATATCTATTCATGTGACTTGATGCCTTATATCTTTCCCTGTCCAGGCCACCAGGCATTGTTCCAACTCAATTGCCAGACTGACAGGGGTCTGATCTGGTCCGACTTCATCGCAGTATTCCAATCGGAGATTTAATCGCGAATTTCTTTGAAGTTTGAACTTGAACCACGACGACAGCTGAGATATCAGGTATCTGCATTTGGCACCGCTGCCACCCGGAGATTCTAGTCCATTATTTGTATACAGCTGCATCTTTTACCTTTCTCCGTCCTTTTCACGGTTTTCTTGCGCTCAATCGGATTGGTCGCAAGGACATTGATACTTCCCTTAACCCTCGGAGGTCGACCAGACGTCTGGACGATTCAACCGCGAACGGTCCTTTATTGTATGATCCACCATGATGCCCGTACTGGTCCGACGGCCCATCACGGCTGCGGCCTCTTTCACAGCACGAACAACCCTATCCAGACCATGTGCTAAGGTGAGCAGCATCATCCTCGAGCGCAATCACGAAGCTAACCTTCCCAGACTACCTACTCTGCGCATCGGCAGATTCATATAGCTAGGCAGAGCGGCGGAGCAGCCCGAACACAGCAATGGCTTCCTTCATCCAACCTTTCTCGACCGACCCTTCTTCAACCAACTAAACTCCAATGGCGCGGTCCCAGCGACTTACGGGCGTTTTCTTTTGGCGGCTCGGCTCCGTCCAAAAAGCCAGGTAACGAGTTACCCAACTTTGCGGACTCCACCAACGTCCCTGCTGCGGCCGCCTACCCCCAGAACACACCACCCGGCGCTCCAACAGGTGGAATTCCACCCCCGACACAGACAGTTCCTTCCGAACCCGCTCCGCTCACCGACAACATTGCCGGGCAGCCACTAGATCTTGGACTTCCCGATTTTTCCGACTCCCTCCCACAGATCTCCGAGCAGATACGAATCGGATATCTTGAATCCCTTGGACTGGAGTATTCCTTAATTAGTCCAACGCATTGGGCAGAGTGGATGTTGGAGCATGTTGCCGTATACACCGGGCTGCCTTGGTTGGGTTCGGTCGCGGTGACCGCTTTACTGGTGCGGCTTCTCTTCCTTCGGTCTCAAATGAAGATGAGCGATATAGCGGCGACGTCCGAACGTCGAGCGCCTGAAATGGAGGCGGCAAAGGCCAAGCTCGAACAATTCCGTAAAACCCAGGATCACACCCTTTTACAAGATCCAGTCGTGCAAGAGCTTCGAGGGACGATGCTGAAATCGTTTGGTACAATGATGACCATGATTTTTGGCCAAATGTACCTAGGATTCGGATCCTTCTATCTGCTCAAAGCGATGGCGACCCTTCCTGTTCCAGGTCTTGAAACAGGAGGCCTTGCCTGGTTCACTGATCTGACTGTCCCCGATCCTCTCTATGTTCTACCTGCTACTTTCGGCGCAACGATTTTCTTGACCATGAAGGTATGTTGATCCCTCTGTCCCTCTGTCCCTCTGTCCCTCTGTCCCTCTGTCCCTCTGTCCCTCTGTCCCTCTGTCCCCCTGTCCCTCTACCAGCGACGGGGGCATATGCGGTGCTGAAAATTCACTAATGCCGATTCCATCCAGTACACAATGCGACCTGCTCGAGAGGAGAAAGCTGCGCAAATCCAAAAGTATTTGCCTGTGGTCCTTCCTGGGCTTAGTTTCGTCGTCAGCATATTCTTGCCTGCTTTGGTGCAATGCGCCTTTCTCGTCACGTCGGTGGTTTCAGGCACCATTTCATACCTGATGAACGTTCGCGCAGTACGTGCACGACTCGGACTGGGACAATTTCCGGTTGCCGCCGCCGCTCCCGCCCCCAGAATCCCGCAATTGCGCATGAAGGACTGGAACGCACCGAGCCCCGCGAATAGAAGCATTGGCATGAAATCGTATCAGGCACCGCAGAGGCGTAACTCGAGGAAATAGACTACAAGATCTATCGGCGAAGATCAATAGCCTTCACCTCTATTTCACGAGCCTTAGCGGTCACTTTTGATTTGGGTCTTGCGAAAATCTTGGGAACGACACGGGGTCGTGTCCAAACATGATGCATGTTCTGGAATACATTGTACATTAGAATCGCTCCTCCAGTACTGTGTACCGTACTCTGTACTGTAGTGTGTGCCGTAGTGTGTACCTGTACATTATATATACTTAGAAGATCTGGCAGCAGAAAATCTGGAACCACACATCGTTGATGTACTCATACATCAAGATATTTATTCTGCATGTAAGCTCAGGGGCAGGGGCAAGTGCACGTGATTCGTGGCAGGTCGGAACAATTGAGGCCTTATGGCCTTATGGCCTGACTTCACTCCGACATGAGCATCAAACCGTCAAGCTGCACATGCGGTCATAGTCTAATATCTGCCATCTCATCGATGCCATACCAGAGCAACGAACTCTCTTCGAAGAGCCGTACAGCTGCCGCGCTCTAATCCAATGCAGCTATTTACTCCCCTCTGGTTAGGCGCGTACCTGGCCTCGGGCGTCGTCGCCTCGTCCGGTCGAGTGTTTCTCTGGGATCCCGATCGAACACCTGCACAGGACCCCGACCTCCCTTCAGTCAGCGCCGAGACAGCACGGTTAATACTGGCTCAGCGGCTAGGACTCGGGCAGTTCCATTCTATCCCGGAGGATGATGCGCAGGTGCTGGATGTGTTGAATCGATTTGGAGCTTCGGCACCGCTTTTCCAGGCAACACCCGTGTCAAAACAGCCCAAGGCTCTAGTGGTGATTGAGGGATTGGAGGAACCAGAGCGTAAGATAGCACTATCAGCTTTATAGAGTTGGGACGCTGACCGACTCGATATACAGAACTTGTCACCGATGGCCGATATACTCGATTTGAGATCGGCGACGTTCCCGATGACGCTAGGACGCAGCAACTATTGAAGGATATCACGACGCAGGCGGCATATCTGGGAACCGAGCATTCAGAGAGACACAGAATTGGAGGCTATGCTTTCAACGGCATCAAGCATTTTCTTGAAGTCGACGAGTGGAGTCTTTTCGAGAACCACAACGGAAAGATTGTTCTCCACCTTTCGGGGCTTTCGGTAAGCGTTGGACCTTGATAGCCATGAGATATTGCTGACGAGACATGCATAGGATATCGCCACGAAAGAAGGCTTGAAATCCACTGCTTATCAGAAAGCTCTTGCCAGGGTGACAGAGGAACTCGATGGCATTCTGGGCTTTGCTCGGGACGAATCCATCTCGATCACGGTTGCTGCCTTACCATATTCCTCCTCCACCGGGTCAAGGAGTTCGTACGGCTCATACCAGCTACCCAAACGCGATCTCCTGAATGCAGAAGCACCAATGTCGGAGTCGATACCTACTTCACGACCCCCGATCCCGAAAGCAGAGTCACCAGCTGTGGGACCCTTCGAAGCAGGACCATCGGGCATCATCCCGGTATGTTTCTCCTCCCTTTCGGCCTGCGAATCCACTACGCGAAACTGCACGGGACATGGCGAGTGCCTTCTCAAATTCAAAACGCAAGACGACGAACCAAAATCCTGCTACGCCTGCGCGTGCACCAAACCCGTTGTCCGGACCAACGAGGACGGATCCAAGAAAACCACCTACTTTGGCGGCTCCGCATGCCAGAAAGAGGATATCAGTGTGGCTTTCTGGCTTATCGCGGGTTTCACCATTTTCCTGATCTTTGTGGTGTCATCCGGAGTTGGGCTCCTTTACTCCATGGGATCGGAAGAACTGCCCTCGGTCATTGGGGCCGGTGTGTCGGGACCTAGAGCCAAGTGATGGTCACACCAAATCGGATCGAATGTAAATCTGTTTGTAGATTGATACTTTACAGGGGAATCGCCTGTGTCCTGGGTCTGTATGATGGAATGGCGTTAATAGTCCATGGATGATGGCATCAATTGTTTTACGGGCATTTCTAGCGAAATAATAGGCGGTTGCATTAAATTTTCATCAACATAGTACCCATGCTCTAGATGGAATGTACGGCTTTGTTCCTTTGGGTGTGGCAAGCAGTCTTTGTTATGAGGTATTTGACAATGCATCACTACGGATTGGGTCTTTGATCTTTTTGACATCGCGCTTCTATCCAAATCACACAAGGCGGAAGAACAGACTAAAAGTCATGGATCAAACCCAAAGTCCAAGAATCAGGAGCCCAGATGGACCAGACCAGAAACCTACGGTCGCGGTAGACAAGATGGGTCTTCATAGACGGCGGCGGGGGCAGCAAGCGGTCATAAAATCCGTCGAAATCCTCAAGAAAGAGACAGCATATTTTAAGGACCGGCCTTTACCATCAACACCGGCGTCCATCCAAACTACTCCGGTTGAGCTGTACGACCTTAAGGTTCCCTCACCACTACGGCAAGAGAAGCATGAAAATGCCAAGAGTCAGTCGCAACAGGGAGCGACACCTAACCTACTACTAGTACCGATCAAAACCGACCCCGCGTCCCTCTCGACGACCTTGAGCGCATTGCCCGAAGGCAAAATCATCAACTTTGAAGGCAGTAAATTCAGCGCCATGCGCACCCGGAGGGGGTCTGTAATAGCAGTAATAACTCCCGAAGGGACATGGCGACGATCAGTGTATATCCCAGGACCAATCAGATTGCCAACGCTTGGAATGAAATCCTTATATTCCATGTCCAACCTCGACTACCTCGACGATGGCATAGAACTTCCCGGGGAGCCGTGGGGAAGGAGACTGTCAGAGGATGGGATGATTGATGACATCGTGTCCTTCTTCGAATCCTTCAAGTTTGAGCGTGTCGGCATCGAGACGGAAAGCGGATGGGCAAGGCCGCCATTCAACGATGCAGACAGCATCTATAGCAGCACATCCCTCGGCTTCAGTGACAACCGCAAGTTGGTAAAGATGTCGCAGTCCAGCACCCTCCCCATCCCACAGACACAGCTGCAAATCAGTCCCCTATCACGGACCGCATCCCCATATTCGCCAAGCAAATCGTTGCCGGCGCAAAATCGTCGCAAGCGGCCGGCGATACATCAGAAGTCGGGGATCAGGCGGTTTTTGGCTAGCGTAACCTCGATCGTGTAGATACCAAAGCGCTGGGTAGATATACGCTTCAATTATCTCGATATGTTGTTAGCGTGATGGAGCTCGTAAGAGCTGGCTTCACGTACCATTAATGGAATCATTACCATCCACAGATGGATCGACGGCGAATAGCATGGCACAGTAGAAAATGGCTTCTCCACCGAGTCCAAATGGACGTGAGTACAGCCGTCCGGGGTAATAAAGGCATCGTTCTCATGACTTCAGCATTTTGTTTCGCTTTTCCCTTCTCCTCAGACGCTCCACCCGTTTCTGATGCATGGTCTCGGCCATTTTTGCGTATCTTTCCTTCTCTGCCTTTGCCTCGCGGCGGTCCTTGATACCTTGGATCCATTTCTACGAAGGTCAGCCGATGAACTGGTGTTCAAGAGTGGGGTAGACCTACTTGTCGCGATGCTGCTTTCTCCTCCTTCATTTCTCGTTCCTTTGCTTTGACGGAGTCGAGGGCCTTTTGTTTCGCCATGCGTTTGGCGAATGATGTCAAGCCAGCGGTAGGGCGAAATGCGGTTTTCGGTTCGTGCCAATTTTTGCCTGATGAATTAGTCCGACGTGCTGCGGGCGGACAGGATTGGGACTGTACCATTCACTCGCTTTCCTAAGGTCATTGGGTTGGAGTCGGATTGCTCCGTTATGGTTGTTTGAGTGGCCTGTGTATCCGCCATTTTGAATCGGGTCGCTGGATGTGAAGCGAGTGTTGGAGGTAGGGTATAGGTAATGTAGTATTTGGATTTTGGAGTGATGGTTGAAAAGTGAAGTTTGAGGTTGGCCAAGGGCTGCTCTGATTGCACAGAAATTTCAAGTGGGGCGATATTTCGATGCCTTTAGTAATTAGTAACCTGTCAGGGTGCAGCAGGGTACTAAAATACATACTGAGTCTCTGACCGTCGTAAGGCCGTACATAATATTATTAAAATGTTGATTCATTCATGCAATCCCTTTGCTGTGTCAACCATTCAAACTGTTGCGGATTATTCCTGGGTCGTGAAGTGCATCGCATTGGAAAGGAAATCTCGAAGGGATCCTACAGGGCATGTAGTGATGAAAGGAGATATATAACACTGTGATATAATCGTACACAACACCCAACCTCGACGCCTTGATCAACCAGCTTCGTTATGAGTTGGCATCGATATCAGCCCAGATTTCCCGTATCTTGGCATTCTTGACCTTTGCTTTGTCCCGATTCTCCTGCGTCCGCTTCAGTCGTTCTTTACGGAGACACATGTTGACTGCATGCTTGGCTTTCGTGCAACCCCCAACCGTTTTCCAGAGAAAGCCTCGGGCATGGCATTCATCGAGGGCCGTCATGACCTCTTCGCAACCTGATGAGCATAAGCAGACTGTCGTCTCAGGCCTCTGGAACACCGCATCGGTAAAGATGAATGGTGTAAGGAAGTGCTTCAAAAACCCACCTTGGTTGTCTTTCGTGTGCAATAGAGGATGCATTGTGGCCAATATGAGGTTCAAAGAATCGATGAATTGGTTAGCCCTGTTCCGTGGCGGATGCGAACTGCTCTCCTATATCAGATCTGAAATGGGTGGGCGAGGCAGAACTGACCAGACCTGTCGGCTCCAGGGAGGTCCTACCAATGCGGTTCTCCTCGGGAGATTGATCGCTATAAGATGGACTGCATACTATGAAAGTGGCTAGGTTGAGGGAATTTACGCAATATTCACCTAAGACTCGCTTTGAAGCCGACGGAAAACCGTGATGGCTTCAAGGGACAGTTCACGTGATCTTATGGTTAGCATTAGTCACATGATCAGATGATTGAGAGTCACATGACCTGGATACACACATGTGATTCGATTCTCAATTTTTGGATCATCCAGCCAAAATCTCACGGCTCACCTGTATTATCATTCTTTCTCCCGAACTTACAGATAGAATTAATGTTACTAATTACGAATCAATGCCTGTGCCATGTCCGTGCTGCTGTGCTGTCACTGCTCACTAGTTTCCAGGCGTCATCTATACAAGCTTCCTCCAATCCTCCTGTCCTCCAACTTTTCCCCACATCAGTCTTCGGCCAGCCACTTATAATGCAGTAAGCATCCGATCTGCATGTTGAATCTCCGAACAGTTCGAACCGAACTTTCCAAAAAGACTAAAACCCTAGCTACAGAATGTTTCTTCCGATATCTCAGGCCTGAAGCAGGGTTTCGAATTTCGATTATCACTTATCAGTGCTGTCAAGGAAACCTCTCAAAATGCTTATCTCTGACCTCGAAACCATTACCTCAAACACCTCAAAGCTATTACCGTACATATGAAGCCAAGTATTCACCGTTTCCTTTATTCTATAATGTTTCGAGTCGGGAAATAAGTTTCACTTTGAAGATTTTATGAACGCTATCAAATGAAGTCCACTGCCGAATTCTTTCAAGTCTTAGTCTATGCCGGTTGGTGTCTAAATCGTATCAATATGACTTTACGGAGTACGTTCTAGTCGATAAGGCGTGCCAACACCGCCCTTATCTATATTTGAGGGATATATTTTCCGGGTCCTTGGTATCTCCCCAGTCCCCACTTCCTACCGCTGCTAGAAAACTGAAGGATGTCGGCAACGATCTATATCATCCTAAATCATGATCTATACTGAAAGCGGAGTTCCGATCCTGCTCCCCCCTCAGAATGCTACGCGCCTACGCAACCAGCTCGAAGCTCCTCGGGGCTTACACGGAACTCTCCCAAGGATGCCGCTAACGTCATTAGTTGATACTTCTATATGCTACCGTGCGTGGGATCTCGCTCCGTAGTTGATAAGAGAATCAAATATCTCTGACAAGCATGTATTGGCCCCTTCAGTTCCGAATTTATAAGAGTTGAGCTTCCCAGCACGAAGCCAAGCTCCAACCAGGTACGGAATGCGCCCTCGAATCTGAGAGTCCTTCCCAGTAGTCGTCGTTGGCTTTTACATCTAAGTTCTTTTGGCCGAAACGTTACCTGAACCATGGCCTTATTCAAAGTCTTTGGGGCTAATTGGCTTGCCGCGCTAGTGGTTCTCCTTTTCGCGGTTGGAACAGTCGTTTCTATGCCGAACTCATTGCCAAAACTGGAGAAGGTTCCGCACGGCTATGCAAAGAACTGGCTTTACAGTCGTGGCGGAAAGCCGAGGAACGAGACGAAGCCGGTCAACGCAGAGTCTTGTGTAGCGCCCGTTGTGCAGACAATTACTGCCCCCAAGGAAAATATCTTTGCTGGTCTGTCTGATGTGGAGGCCGCCTCTGTCGTCGCCTTCCTCTTCGATCAGAAAACCCTCAACTTAACCACTTCCGATGAAGCGGGCAGCTGGGACAATACCATGTGAGCCCGAGGTTGATATGCTCACGACGCACATACTAACAGATCTAGTACTCTCGTGGAACTTTTGCAACCCAACAAGACAGCCGCCCTCAGCTATTTGGACGGCAACGGTACCCCTCCTGTACGCTATGCTCATGTTATGCTCAATTGTCGATCAACCGAAGAACCCTATTACCAGGACTTGACCGTCGGGCCGTTGCCCATTTCGAATGGAACGACTACGATCGCCGCTCTGGAGTATCCATACACTCGCAAGACTGAGGGCAAAGTCCGAAATTTGGATGCCGATGCTGATGAAGCTCTCTACGCCGACTGGTTGTACGTGATTGCAGCAGAGATCCAGGATATTACTCTTGACTGGTTTGGAGGCGTCGCTGTGGGAGAGGACAATGACACTCTGTCTGTTTGGGTGAGTATCTCGTGAACCGAAATACCCTTCGATTCGGCCAGCTAACCGCTTGGCAGGGCATCGATCCGTTGTGGCAAGATGATGGAATCATTCGATGGGACCAATTTTGGAACACCCCAACTGGTGACTTCGACTCTGGGACACTGCTTCCAACCGGCCTCTATTTCGGCTCCAATGTCACTGGCAGGGATGCTTCTCAGTGGGAGCTACTTGGATGGTATTACAATGGGATCTATTACAAAACTACTGAAGATTTCAAAGCAGCATACGCAAGTCCGGATTTCGTCAAGCACAACCCGAATGTTGATGGCGACTGGGCCTGGACAGACCACCTGGGATCTAGTCCAGAGCAGGATGTTATCGCACCTCCAGTTTCCGTTGCTCCGTCTGGATCCCGGTATGCCGTTGACGTTCCGCAGAAGTACGTCAAATGGATGGACTTCGAGTTCTACATTTCTTTCAACCGAGATTTGGCCATGCAGCTGCATGACATCAAATACAAGGGTGAACGAGTGCTCTACGAGCTCGGCTTGCAAGAAGCGCTTGCACATTGTGAGTTGGGAATATATCCCAGTGTTATCAAGTGCTAACCCAAGACAGATGCCGGCCAAGGTATATACCATACCACACCTACCGAAGATTGCGCTAATTGAACTATTTGACAGACCCGACGCAATCCGGTACTGCGTACCTTGATAGTTTTTACGGATTTGGCCCATATAGCTTCGAGTTGGTTGCTGGCTACGACTGCCCTTCCCATGCAACCTACTTGGACACCCAATTCTACACGGGCGAGACGACGCACACGCACAAGAATAGCATTTGCTTGTTTGAGAAAGAAGCGCAGCATGCCATGTCTAGGCATAGCACTGGCAGCTATGTCACGGTCAATAAGAACATATACTTCACCGTAAGGAACATTTGCACCATTGGTAACTACGACTACATGTTTTCATACGAATTCTACATGGATGGGAGCATGAAGGTGGAAGTTCGAGCATCGGGTTATATCCAGTCGGTAAGCAGATGTGGTTGGGCGGATTGCAACGGAATCAAGGTTAACTCATGCAGGCTTTCTTCGCGAACAACGATGATTATGGTTATCAGATCCACGACTCACTTTCAGGATCCATGCACGATCACGTCCTCAACTTCAAGGCCGATTTCGATGTCCTCGGCACATCCAACACGTTGACTAAGACTGCTCTCGTTCCCACCACAGAAACTTATCCGTGGTCAATGGGGAAGAGCCGCAACACCATGAAGCTGAACAAAACGCGAGTTGTCTCCGAGGACGAAAGCAAGCTCTTCTGGGACCACAACTCGCAGACTCAGTACCAAATCGTCAATCTTGACAAGCCGAACAAATATGGCGAGTCCCGAGGTTGGCGCATCTCGCCCTCCGAAGGAACGGCGCATCTTACCGTCGAGAACAGCAGCAATCTTCAAAATGCAGCCAATTGGGCGAAGTATGACTTTGCTGTCACCCGTCGCAAGGATACCGAGCCGCGCGCTGCTCACGCGTACAACTCACAAGACGTCGCCAATCCTCCGGTTGACTTTGATGACTTCTTTGATGGCGAGAGCCTGGAACAGGAGGATCTGGTGGTGTGGTTCAATCTGGGAATGCACCACGTCCCGCACACTGGCGATCTGCCGAACACGGTGATGACGAATGCGCATAGTTCGGTTCAGTTCTCTCCACTGAACTATTTGATGGGCGACGCTGGCAGGGAGTCAGTCAACATGGTCCGTGTCCAATATGGTGAAGGGGAGCCGAGTGACGTTGTGACATTCGGAGGACAAGAACCGCAGTGCTTGGTTGATATGGCCACCTTGCAGCCAGATCTGACCACCTACATCGGCGACGTGGTCATCAGGAAGTTTCCTTTCGACCCCAACAACCCGTACTTTGAGACGGGTTCCATTTAGACAATGCTGTGGTCACAAGCCGGCGCTTGAGTCCGGAGCTCATAGGATTGGTGTTAGATGCAGCAGGCAGTACGTTGCAATGTGTAAATAGAGAATGGCGAATGGTGCAAGGGAATATAGAGTTGGAAGACTTGAGAAGGGTATCCAGCCAACAAGGCGATTCGCGCCATCCATCTATTGTTACATAGTCCCGCTCCAATTCTATACATAATAAGCCGAGTCAAGCACAAGAATGGTCCTCATGAGTCGCACTCTTGATCCATATCCGCCGCGTACCACGCAGCTTCAATCCCAAATGATCGCGCAGAAAAGCCCGACCTTTTACAGGCGACCGTCGGCATCCGCAAAGCCAGGTGTCATGCCAAATTACATGCCAAACATCCCTCCACTACCAGCCTGGCCGCCCCTTGCATTCGCTGCGTCCTGTTGGAACTTCTCGGAGACCTTCAAGCTGACTTCGACAAACTTCGCGGCGCAGCGGTCAAGACAGACAGACTCGGCTTTGTTCAGTTCGCCCTCGCGGTAGTCCGTTGGTAGGCATTTTCGGGTGCAGGATGAATTGAGTCTAGGAGCGATGAGTGTCAGTAACGATGGAGAAAGGCAATGGCGATTGGGGATGATCTTGCTGCGCGTGTCCGAGAGTTGTGGGCGTTGCAGATTCGACTTGGATTGACTAGAAGCCAAGGAGGGCTGCGGAACAAGTGGAATAGGAAGAAGTATTATTACCTGCTAAAGGCGTCCATAACCATCTCGAATTCCATTTCTGCTTGGGCGATCTTCTCCGCCGAGCTGGGTTGCGGTCGCCCGCCGCCGAAGAGGAATGACATGATCGGGGAGGTTGGTGTGAGGGTTCTGGCTAAGATATTGGGGAAATAGTGGCCGTAAGCTCGTCAGGAAGAATTGAATTGCTGAAGTTGTTGTATAGTTCACGACTGTTTGTGTATTGACTACAGTTATGTTACTCTCAACTTTTTGATGAAGCTGTAGACAATTCATCGTGATGCAACTGAGAAATAAGTGGGAAACGTCGGGCTTGCCCACGTGACACCCCTGACTGTCCTATTCTCATGTCTACCTTAACTCTACTGGAGGAATTCACTACGGTTGTCCACCCGAGGGAAGTAAAATAAACCTCAAAGGGTTTGCCGCCTTAAAATGTAGAGCTTGGTTTTCTTCGCAGGTTGCCCGTTCCCTCGAAAGCCGAGCCTCAACCAATTCCACGAGACCAGGGAGGAGAATGTTGCAGGAGAAGACCAGTTTCGATTCTGGGTCATCTTAATTGAAGACCAGTATTATGCCATAACGGAAATTATCTAAGAGTCTATTGTCGGTACTTCCATAACCTTGAGCAAAGATAGAAGACCTCTATTACTCAATAACTAAAACATCATTCATGCAGCAATGGGCTTGGACAGTAAAGATAGGCAAATATATCCAAAGTCATTTCGTCTAAAACTGCATGTCCTCTACAGAGTTGCATGTGAAAAATCCTCAGGGGAAGATCACACCCTTCGGTTCTGATGGTCGAATAAAGACATGATTCATAGTACCCCGTCTATGAGGAATTGCGGAGGAAAATTGCATACTCGAACAAATGGTTTTACATACAAGCTCATGGCAGGCCATGGAAAACCTTCTGCCACTCATTCAGACTATTGTGATATTGAAGTCTGCGTGTCGGCTCGCCAATCGCTTTCTAGGAACACGAGTTGCTCCATAGGCAGAGACTTCTCGCTCCGGAATTGTCCGTTAAGGCTGAATCCAGGGGAGTTTGTGGAGCTCAGAACCTGCACGGTGATTAGCAATCGCCGGACTAGAACATGGGACAACGCCTTACCACTTCATGAATGTCCTTGGAGATCTTTTCGCTCATCGCGGCCATATCTTTCTTCAACTGACCGATCAGGGCTGCCACATTCGACTTCAGCTTGTCCGGTGTGAAACCCAGCTGTCCAATGGCGACCCGTATCACCGCCCGACTTTCTCGATACTCGCTCGCACCGCCCATGTCTCGTAATGCCGCGGCAACGTCCTTTACGATGGTATTCGTCTTCGCGCTTGGCATCAGCTGCCTAGGTCCTAGGATCCTCGCGACACCAGCTTTGTTCAGCTTTGCAACGGATTCGTCGTGCGCGATGCATCGATCAAAGTCAATCTTTCCCGCCTTGACCTTCTCAAAAACTTCTTCTTCGCCGACAAGCGCGGCTCCGGCCTCACGGGCGGCGATCCCTTGTGGAGAATCGGCTGGGCAGATGACACATATGCGGAGGTCGGTACGGACAGGGTAAGGGAGTCGGACGCGATTACGGATGACGGGGCCATCTTTGAGCGACCGGAGGCGAATGTGAAGCTCGTATTTTGGGACATTCGGAGGACGGCCGACTTCAAATGCTTGAATGATTCTATGACGAAGGGTCAGTTTTCCAGGCTCTCATGCCATGTCGGGTTCATGGAAAATATACGCACCGCATCGCATCGCACAGCGTATACTGCTCAGCAAGCTTCAGGTTCGGTTGGCGATACTCTTGCGGACCCTTCTTCTTCTTCTTCGTTTCCTTCCCGGCAGCTTTGTTCTTTTTTCGATATTTGGCGGCATTGGCACTGGTTCCGGTCGTGGCATATCTTGTCTGCATCGCCAGCGGTAGCTGGAAGGCGGATCGATCGACTTGGAGATGCGATCGTTGGAAGAGGCATGACAGGCATTGGCGCCTGTATAGAGGAGCTGCGAACGCCATTGAGACGGGTGGCTTAAGAAAAGATGCTGTCATCTCAACAGCTGGTTGTCTATTGAAGACGTCGAAAAGAATGTTAGACATGAATTGAAGTCAGAATGTGACAGGGGTCCGAAATGTGGGCCAACAATTGAATGTTCTCACTCTGTTCAATTCTCACACGTGCACAGCCAACTAGAGGCAATTGGAATCATTTTCATGCTGTTAGAATTAGATGCACACATCACGAAATCAAACTAAGAGCCCATTCAAGGGCACTTGAAGATGGGTAGAAGCTCTTTGATTCATCATCCAGTGTAGATTCTGTGAGTGTGCTCAACTCAGGTATACACTCAGGTCATCACTTGCATCAGGGGCAACCTTCATGCAAGACTGGCGGATAGCGATTCAAATTGGAGAAAAAGTTTGTTGTTATATTACCGAATCCCATTCCACCAACCGCGTTAGGGATTGAGAAAGTAGATTTGCTCGGATGGATAGACCTTCACCCTAGAGACGCGTAAGACACTGAGCTTTCTCCGATGATATCACGCATCAATAGGCAGGACAGCACCTAGATCCTTTGTATCGCGGTCCTCGATTCGGTGGACCTGATAAATGCTCCATCACAATTTGTTAGTTGCGGTTAAAACAGACGAGGAGCCTGGGAGAGACTAGTTGGATATCAGGAGCTCGGAACAGGAATCGTCGCCTATGGAATCACCTACCAAAATAACTATGGGAAAATGATGTGATGAGTGGGATGGAGGCCGGAACCAGACATGTCGTCGACGCAGATGGAGCCTCTAGATGACGATACCAAGCCCGCAAAGAAGGTTGAGCTCTCGCTTGGGGAGCAGTTTCCTCAAACGATGTTGCATTTACTCCTTGAGAACCGAAATTTCATTACCACATCACCAAAGCTCGGTCTCAGAATGTGAATGTAAATGGAATGACACCATTTGGACCAGTTAGCAACTCAGAATGTTGAGGCTGGCGAAATCCCGATGCTAAATGGCGTGAGGCGAGGCTGTTAGTACGACTATGTATCAGCTCGAAACCCGGACTCCTGGAGGGGACATATTCCGGTGGAGCAACCTTTGATGAACCAAACAGTAATTTGACCTGACTGAATATCTGCGTCTGAATGATGTCCGAAGACCCTGTCAGACAGGTAATAGCCCCATGAAAGCGGTGGGCGGTAAGGTAGTAGCTATCGGAGGTTCGAAACATCGAACTACGCTTGATCTCCGAATCTCTCAGCCTCCATCGAAAGCATGCTGGGCAGTGAGCACAGGTGCCATCGTGTTGGATATTGCGGTGAAAGCACATGGACCCAAGAGTATGGTAGCATATGCCGATGCAGACCAAAATTCCGAGGAGCAAATTGAAAGCCATTTCCCCGCAATTCGTTTAATGTAGCCTTCACCGGCGGATGGGGCCGTTGACTAGGTCAGTACCAACTGAAGCAAGATCCGGGGTACGATGGAGAGTTCAAACTTCAAATTTCAATAGACAGTAGACACTAAGACACAGCATGAGTGTGATTTCGGTGATTGGCTCGATCATAACCTGCTTCGTGGTTCCAAGGGGACTCGTCCGACATTGTAGAGTTGAAAGAGGCGACATCGAGCCGACATATGTCGTGATGATTTATGGCAGTTGGATGAGAAGATGAAAATTGAAACCCCTAGCATCCTGTTTACACGACGTCTCACTTGGTCCCTTGGATGCATTTAAACGTAATGGAAAATTTGGGGTCTCCACCTTCTCCGCTTTCCCCGCATCAATCTTTTACAAAAGTGGATGGGAATAGCAAATTTGCGAAGGATCGCCAAACGGCATTCGATCTCTAATTCTCCATGGATGTGTGGCACCATTGAACGATGGGGACATCGGCATCTGGGGATGTGAACGCCGAACGCGACAAAGACGAAAGAAATAGGCACGAGGCGTTACCCATGTCATACCAAAGGAAAAGCTAGCGGTCCCGTGAGCAATCAAAGCCTTATTAAGGGCTCGTGAGACGTGCGCTTATGGAGAATGGACAATGACACGAAGGCCGGCGGACGGACGAGGAGCAAAAACATGACACATGGGTTGGCAGGATTTGCCAATTGGCAGAGGGAGCCGTGAAAGGATTTATTATGTGAGGGTAAGAGAAACTCATCATGGGCCATTCGGAAGGGGTTGGAGCAGGTTTGGGAGGAGCACGTGCTCAGAGGTCACATCAGCGACCAGAATTCAGACGTCACATCTTTATTTGATGGCTTCATCTAGGTTCATCATCACTTCATCAGGCAGTGATGATCACCAAGTACGCAGTCGCCCCTGGACTGGCTTGGCGCCAAGGTCATATCGCGTCAATGGGTCAAACAGAGTCTCAAAGACAGTGAAAGACTGGAAATCTACAAGGGAAAGAAGGGAGTGCGCGGGAGGCAGTCAACAATAGTAATTCATTCTTTAACCTTTCGTCATTAACTCGCCCCGACTTTCCTAGTTGAGCGAGTGAGTGTGAAAAATCCGACGGAAACCTTTGATGTTTGTTGGGTCCACTCTGCAGTTTTGCACCTTCCCCGAGTTCCGAGACCCAAGAGGGCCCAGACCCAAAGGACCATTGCCCATCGAAGGGCCCTGCACTGCCCCTGTCACCCCCCTGCAGTCGTGCGGCCCTGTGCCGCTCCAGCCAATAAACGGAGCCAAATTCACCGCCGAAAACCCAGCCTAACACATGACATAGAACCCGACCGCTTTGCAGCGGGCAACCGCCCAGATTGCCGCCAGATGGGTTGGAGTCACAGCCAGACTGGAGCCAAACTGGAGCCAAACTGGAACCAGCCTCAGCCAAAGTGTGGACTATAGAGGGTGGACCTCGATCACCAATGGACCACAGCATGTCCACATCTCCACATCTAACCACTGACGCACTCACCACCACCACAGCTGCACCGTTGCTCGTCTCTTGCATTCTATTAGTAAACACATCCATCAAGGGAAAACTCTTCAACTTCGGTGACTAACTATCCATCAACCAATTCAACCCATCCTCGACCGGAAGATCCACTCTACATCACTGCCTTTCATCTCACATCCAACGTGTTTTCTCTTTAAAGCTTCCACTCCTCCCCATTCTGTCCCCGCATTTCATCATTACCACTGCACCACTACTATCTGCTATCACCGCCACGACTACCACTCCCACCCACCTATAGCTATCGTTGTTGTCATCGCCTTCCCGCACCACACAGCGATACCAGTTGAGTAGTCCTCAGACTAGCAGACGTCGCTATATCGCGCCCAGCCGAGCGGCCATCTAATGAACATCAACAGTTTCCCTCCGGAAATCCTCTCCCAGATCCTGAACCACGCCGTCGCGTATAATCTACGGGATGGTGTGTCGTTCACCTTCGGTCTGTCCCAGGCTCCCCAGCCGGGCAGGCGTGCGAGGCTGGAGAGGTACGTGAGGGGTCCCAATCATCTTCGTGCCTGGGACGCTGCCTCTCCCCTTCGCCATGTCTGCTCCTTGTGGCACGAGTGGGCCGTCACAAACAGTGTGAAAGATGTCTACGTCCGCAAGCGGCAAGGATCGGAGAGATGGGCTGAATTGAGCCATAATCGAGGTATGTCTCCGTTTCCCCCCGACGTATCCTGGACATGAACTGACGTTTCTGAGCAGCTGCATACGGATCCTATGAACTCATGGACCAATCCAAACTGACGGGATGCTACGTATACCGCGACCCCTTCACTCCTCTGCAGCAAACGAAGGGCCTTTTCGAGAGCCATGCAATGCTCGCATCCAGTGTACAGCGCCTCTGGATCCATGGTTTCAACGGCTTCGAGAACTCCACCGATGTCGCCAACATCGTCCGCGCTTGCTCGGGCCTCGTTGCCATCAGTCTTCCGTGGACCTTGCTTCGATACCTGACCGCGAGCGACTGGGTCCGCCTGCTGCGACATGGGAGCGACAACCCCTTGGTCTCGCTCGAATTCCTTTCCGTCGACCTCCAAGAGGCTCAGACCAATGACCCCCAGAACCGGGCCAACTTTCGTGCGCTGCAGGACTCGCGAGTAAACTTTGGGTCCCTCAAACGACTCAAACTGTTCGGCGATAGCACCTTCATGCCGATCACGGATGATGATCTGTTCGCCATTTCCGCAACCGCCTCCGGGCTCGAGGAGTTCCACATGACATGCACATCGAGCATCACCATCAACGGTACGTGATCAGTTGATCGTTGTTGAACCAAGAGCCAGCACTAACGTCCATTTCTAGGTGTGATGTCCATTCTCAAAGCCTCCCAATCCACCCTCCGCGTCCTCGAGCACGCCCCTCGCTCTCAGGATGGTTTCGATCACCCGCACCCTGGCTCACTGGCCGATGGAGAACACATCTGCGAGGTGCTGACGAGCTGCCCCAATCTTCGCGACCTTTCCATATCCGTCCCGACCATGTGCGCGGACCTCTTTTCGAACGAGAACGTCCGCTGGAAAGGCGAATGCCAGGTTCGTGCCGCGCACCTGTGCCCGGAGGCACTATCACACGCCAAGCGACAGCTCCAGCAAAAGCCGACCAAACCCCGTGGCAAGTCGTCTCGCGATCCTTCACAATTGGCGCTTGCATCGCTTCTCGTCCAATCACGGAACCTCATCAATGCATGCAATCGACTTCGCGACCACGACCCGCTGTCGATCGAAATCTTCTTCTCCGACTACATTTTTGAGCCGCATGCCCGGTCGGTTCATGGGTACTTCGAGCCGGCGGAGACGGTGTCGCACGGATTATGGCCGCAGTTGAAGGCACCCAGTGGAAAAGGACCATACGGATCAACCGGTCTGTATGGTAAAGGGGAAGAGGGGGTTTATGATCGGATTGACGAAGAGGAGTTCCTAAAGGGTCTGGAAGGGGACTGGATCCGGATTAATGATTGAAACATGGTTCAATCCTGGCGAGCCGCATAATCTTGCGAGGCTGGGTCATTCGATGACGACATTACGAATTCCGAAGCTGGCGTTTAGGTTTATTGGGCTTCATGATGGAAGCGTCTTTATTGGGCAGCACAATTAGCGAAAATCGGATATCAGGGAGCATCAAAAGTTGATATTGGAGGAGCAAACAGGACCGATTCCCTTCTCACGGGGTTATGGCACAAGGTGCATTACATGTATCTCATTCGCCCTTGGCAAAGGTTGCAGGATCGAAGTCCAGATGAACTTCATGCATATAATAATCATTAGTCACCCACCCACAATCCTAGAACGCATGCTTGTGATTTTTTAATTGTTCTTTTACTCTAGCCAATCCTGCGGCTGATAGAAACAACCGTGATGCAGGTCGATAGTACTACGACTGGCCCTCCCCTGAGTACTACGCTTTTCGCAGCTTTACAGTCCATGTTATACGGTTTCAATACTTAGATACGGAAATATCAAGGTCCAGAACCAGATACACTTTTCATGATGATATGCATTCCAATGAATTTCGTTCACTCGCTAGAGAATGGTACACTTCACCGGAAGCCCACACGGACCGTCCTTGTCCACATTCTTCTTCTGCAGTGTAGCTTTGGGTGATGCGATCCCCTCATCCGCCGTCCCATGTGCCAGCTTTTCCTCAGCACCGTTGCTATCATCTAGTCATGCGAAGTTGACTTTGGCGACGGTGGAATAGAAGGCCTTGCCCTGCTCCTCGGCGAGCTCGAGCTCCTTCGTGGTAGGTTGGCGCGAGCCGTCACCACCCTATAAAATCAGTCAGCTTGACTAGTCTCATGCTTCATGCAGTGTCATAGCCGCTAGGCAACGGGGAAGAAAGGAAATATTAAACGTACCGCGAAAGTGCCTGCACCCCATGGGCTTCCGCCGCGAACCTCTGTCAAGTCTGCGAGGTGGCCGAAGACCGTCTTGTATCCCAAGGGCACATAGATGATCCCGTGATGGGTCAAGGTGGACAGGGCGGCAATGGCGGTGCTCTCCTGTCCGCCGCCCTGGGTGCCGGAGGAGACGAAGAGACCGGCGTACTTGCCCCAGAACGCGCCGGACGCCCATTGCCCGCCCGTGCTGTCCCAGAATGCCTTCCACTGGGCGGGGAAATTGCCATAACGGGTCGGGATGCCGAAGAGGAAGGCATCGTACCCCTCCAGATCGGCGGGCTTGGAGAGGACGGGAATGGAGGGGTCTTTCGGTGGGGCGTGCATCTTGGTGAGGATTTCTTCGGGGAGAGTCTCCGGAACTCTGGAAGAATCAGTTAGTCTGAGGTACGCAAGGTAGTTATGTTCATCATGTCCAGGGGTAAGAACCCCATCTGGGAGAGGAGGAGAGAGTTAGATGGCAACGTACTGGAAAAGGTCGGCAGTGCCGCCAGCTGCCTCAATGCCCTTCTTTTCGGCTAGGGCCAGCTTGGCGATATGGCCGTACATGGAGTACTGTCGAGTCAAATGTTAGTATGTTCATTGATCCAGCAGTGCTGAGGAAGGGTGAAGCCGTACATAGACGATTGCGATCCTCGGTGCCATCGTGAAGGAGATGTCTTCAAAAGACGTTACAGGTTATGGGACTAGATTGGGATGAGTTGATGGATTGTTCAGTGATTGCAGTGGAGGAATTGGATAGAGGATTGGGATGAATTGGAGAGAGAATTTGGACTGTGTGGGGTCAGGTAGGCCTTTATAGTTATCTCTGCCGTGCACAGCGGAAGTAGGACAGGTCCATTCAGTATTCCGCACTTGCTTAGTATTCATATTTGAATCTTTCTACTGGTAGACCCCCACCTATATTTCCCAAATCCCAACCGGAACATCCCCGCCATGAACTCAACTCCTGCACACCTGGCTGCACGACATGACTAATACGGCAATGATAAACACAGACTGGTACGGCAAATGATAAACACAGACTGGGTTAACTTGAATGCCTAGGTCGTCGACGTTCCACCGTTCCTATTCTAATCCCTCATACACTGTGAGAACTCAAACACATCCATACATCCGATGTTCCACGTTGTTTACGATTCGTACTTGGTGGGGCTTGGAGACTCGGAGCCATCGGTCTTGGCAGAGGACACCAAGGCGAACGATAATCCCAAATAGCTTAGAAATCGGCTGGTAATATAGCTATCCCTATTCCGTACTCCGTTATGGGCGGTTTCAACTGCAGGTCTGATGACCTAATCATTGGTCGATAAAGGTGAGCAAATTGCGGCTAGTTCCGCTATGGGTCAGAATTTCTAAGCCTTCCATCTGTTTGCTAATTCTTCTTGGTTGCTCTGTGGGCCGGTTGGTTAGTCATGTATGTGGACTGCGGAACCGGGCTGGGCTGGGGAGTGGGGATTCATTCCGTCATGGAGTGTCCAAATTCCGCACTTCTTAATTATTCAGCAAATTCGGTTTCTCACGTCCCCAACCTGGCACTGACCGAGTGGCACAGTGTAGTCTCTCCAAAGATTTGCAATTGTCGTGCAACATCCTAATCACGGTCTAGTACACGTCTACAAGACCCCATTTTAGCCGGCCCTATTATTAGGACCGAGTTTGACGGGCGACAGAAATGCGTAGCTCGGTTGCTCAACAGCTGATATTGATTCTTGAGATATTGACACTGGATAGGTAGTATTATTGCGTGTACGATGTTTGTCCGCACTCCATGCTGGAACAGGATCTTCTTAGACCGCGACAAGAGAGAGAATTGTCTTAATACAGGTGAAGGTCGATTCTCAGATTGTCTTGCCGTGACGCCTCCTGGATACTGTCTTTTTTCTTGTCGAACTTCCATCCCCTCCATTCGCTGTTTTCGGCTTGCGGCTAGCTAGTCCTTCTCCGCGAAATCGATATGTTTGATCGTCACGTTTCCTTTCACCATCCTATAGTGTTTGGATATCTGCTGGTTATGAGTTTTATGACATCATGCTTTTGGACCCTCGTCAGACTTACGGATTGGTGACATCAAATTTGATTTCGACTCCTTCAACCCTCTCCAACCAGAAATACGCGGGTTCGGCCAGCGATCCATTCCAGTCGCTCTTCCCTAGAATGAGCAAATCCTTCCCTGGTCTGACAACGCGGAAATAGTCCATCAATGGCACTTTATTGTAGATGATCGTCGCAGTGACAACACCCTGGTGCTCTACGTTCCGAGCTCGAGCGATGTCCTTCCTTGGGTACGGAAAGATCACGTCCTTATTGACCGTTCCATTCGTCGGTCCGGGGGGGTGGCAGAGCAACGGGTTGACAGCGTTCTCAGACGCAATCTGTTTCCCGAACCAGTTGATCGGGCTCGGTTTCTTACCCCCATCGAAATATCCGCCCCGATAGGTGCCGATCGCCTCGGACACGGAGAGTGGTGGCAAGGCAGACCACAGTGGATGCAGTGCTTCCGCTGGAACGGCCTCTCCAGCGGAAATATGTCGTAGGACTTGCTGTTGGGCGGCGGGACCGTCCATGTTCACTTGACAACTTGGGGGAGATGGAACTACGGAAGTGGATCCAACGATTGAAAAGCACACGATACCGGAGCAGATGGCAGCAGAAATGGAGGGTGAAAAGAACATGGCGATGCGCCGTTTTGTAGTACCTCTGGTAATCGGAAGGATCGGATATCGCGGCTGCAGCGCATTGCCTATTCCTACGTACTTATGCAACTCTTGCGTCGGAGCGACATTACCAGATCGCTTGTCAACCACTGGAATCTCCCTGTCGGCTTCTCGGATTCATGTATAAACAATAGTGCTGTCAATCCCCGTATATTCCACAGCGACCAGGGTCTTGAAGCCATCCTTCAGCGCTAAAAAGTTCTGGCATTCTGGAATAGCTTATAGATCGGGTGCCAGGTAGCTCAAATATTGCTAGGTATTACTTTAAGGCCTGATATGACCAGGATGGAGACCTCTTGGGTGATATTCTTCGTGAAATTCATAGGTTCGACCTCGGTGAATGATCTGTTTGGATTCCATGGATTGGTCGGTATGAATCCAAGGTGCCCGTCCCCAACATTGCCGCTGCAGATGCCGAATAGATCTCTCACCTTACCGACTTGGCTAATCTTAGTTGTGTATAGTGTCGATATAAAGTTATTGCCGGATATTAATGTTGTTGAACCATGCCTTGTTGAGTGAGACTTGAGAGAAGTCCAATTTGGTACGGTGGTATGGTCCCTGGCATTCAGGGAAGATTCCTAATGACTCGTGATTGCTGCACTGTGAATGGCACTGCAGGAACGCATGACTCGGGGAGATCCTGGAATCCGAATCACCACATCTTCGCGAGGCGACGCAAACATCGGGCAGAACGTTAATTCCAAACATGTTCTTGGGCTTCTGGGCCCGACTCCAAAGACAGAGATAGTTGGACATTCTTTATATCCCCCGAACGATATAACCTGGAATGGCGACCGCCACCATGTCTGCGCAACGTCTTGCGAACGAGATCCTCCATGTTACTCCCCCTCCCAAGTATGACTTCGGATTCAACGAGTTCCTGAAACGCGAATATCGGTTTGGACTCGATCCGGATCGTCCATCATGCAAAGCATACATGCAAGGGCACTGTCCCATGGGGAGCAACTGCCCTGACAAGCATCACATTCAAAGCTCGTTCAATAAGTATGCCTCGAGTGTCCTTTCAATCAAGAAGCGCCTCTAACGGTTGGAATCATAGCCTCGTTTGCAAGCATTGGCTCCGTGGTCTTTGCAAGAAAGGGGAACAATGCGAATTCCTTCACGAGTACAATCTACGTCGCATGCCCGAGTGCAACTACTTCGCCCGCCACCAGACCTGTCCCAATGGCGACGACTGTCTATATCTCCACATTGATCCCGACTTCAAACGTCCTCCATGTCCGCATTTCGAACGGGGATTTTGCCCCCTCGGACCCCGCTGCGCGAATCGACACGTGAAGATGGAGAAGATTTGCCCGTTCTACATTGCCGGCTTCTGTCCCAACGGGAAACAATGCAAGGAAGGACATCACGCTAAGTTTGTCGATGACCTTCCGCCGCCGGAACCAAAGATCGTGAAGAGCAAGGAACAACTAGAGCAGGAGAAACTGTTGAGAGAGCAGGATTTGAGGGAGGAAGAAGAGCGGGAACGAGAGCGATACGATAAAGGTGCCGATCCAAGCTCCCAGCAACAGCGATTCCGAGCGAACTGGAGGTCGAAGCCAGGGAAAGCTGGAATCCCCCGTCCGAGGAGAGGAAGAGGGTTTTGATCGCCTGAAACCCTTGGAATTTCTCAATTTCATTGCAACATGGCTCTATCGCATGGTTCGCAGATGGTAGTCAACGTGGAGCGGAACGGGTGATATGGCCGACGCTTCGAAACAATCTACCAAGGGGCCCCTACCTCTATACAGATTTCTCCTCTGGGAAGAAGAAGTGAGGAATGGATCATATGGTTTAAAAGTGAAGTCCAAACAAGAGACGATACTGGATTAGTTGAGACTGCAGTCTCGAAGATGAAGGGTTAGGAGGGTGCCGCCCGAGGCTCTTGGTATGGATGAGTCTTAGGTGGAGTTACCTTACGGCCAAGCGCCATCTAAACCTAGTGGTCCTTCAGACGGGGGTTGAATATGGCATAGGGGTTTCTACGGGGGTGGGTACCAATCCGAGAACGTCCCACTGTCTGCTGGGAAGGCAGCTAAAAAGAATTTCACAGGCTGAGGGAATTTGGAGGACAGACTGGGAAGAGCTTCATATCTAGCTAGTGTAGTGCGTAATGCTGGTACCTGTGCGCTATGAGACTATATCTGGTGCACGCTTGAAATACTTCAGCCTATGAAGATGCTTTCATTGTCCCACATGCAGAGCATGTCCACCATTGTGATTCCATAAACGCACTGCAATGCCAGCAGTTCCAACCTAGCGGCTTCTCCTTTGGGATTATAGGGGTGGATGCCAACCTAGACATCTGCCGGTCGGCATCCAGCTTTCCGTTGGCCTGCTTCGGGGACGAGATATAGGTGGGTCGTTCCGATCCGCATGCATCGCACGCCAAATAGTCCATCGGATTATCCAGAGTACATATGAGACAGCTCCAGATATTGCTGGCATGTCCCTCTCCCAACGTTTCGGCTTGATGAGTAATAGGCAGTAACAGTAATGAACTTGTGTCTGACTGCGTTGATGGTACCGATTCAGTTGCCCCAAACGGCTCCAGAAGCGCAAGGCTTGCGCTTCGTCCCGCCTGGAGACCTGACTCGGAGCTCCAGATCAACCCGTCTTGATCGTTGGATATCGTTGCTTCCTCTTCCTGTAATTTATTTCCCTCCTCGGCCTCATACAACTCGACTAGGGCAATGGCAATTGCTGCATCATTCGCATCGTCCTCCTCTGCCTTAGTCCTGAACCCATTCTTAGAAGCATCCTTGGCCAGCCTTTGCCCTTCTTCCGTGCCCGAAGCGCAACCTTTTGCAATTTCTGTCCGCCTGGACGCTGCATCGGCCATGGCCTTTCGCATATCTGTAACATTCGATCCGGGTGTACCGCCCACTCGATGCCCCTGTCGGCCATGGGATTGTTTCTGACGCTCCGCAGCGGCAGCCCGAACTTGTCGGCGCAGTTCGTCATTAGGTATTCGCTTACCGCCGAGTTTACGGCCCGCGGATAGGAAGCCTTCGCCCGTGTACCCTTTCATGCGCAATATTTGGTATTCGCCGCGAAGCTCGTTCCATAGTGTTTGGAAGTTGTGATTGTGTGGGCCCCAGATGATGTGGGATAGTCTATGGAAGTCAGCATAACGTGTAGGACCTGAGAGAGAAGGAACATGCTCGTGTAAGAGGGTGTCGATAACATTTTCTAAAGGGATGAACTGCCGCGGATCGGGTGTGAAGCGAAGTCGAATGCATATTCGCTCAGTCTTGTTGATATTCAGTCCTAACCCGTTAGTTATCATATGACCCAGCGCTACGGCCATCCTCGTGGGGCTCATCAGACGAAAGTCGCAATGTTACCTTGGAGTCGAGGGTCTGGTGGCAGGAATTCGCAAAGTGTTCCAACCTTCCAGCCTCGTTTACGCATGAGAGGCTTCACGATCGAAGCAGCCTTTCGCAGCGTATGGAGGGCTTCTGCTTCCCGAGGAAGTTCTTTAAGGTGCTCGTAAGCATCAAAATGCGCGTCGATCTCCTTCATCCTGCAAGGCAGTCGAAAAAGCTGGTTCTTGATAAGTACGTGTGATTGCTTCTGTCGGAGACAGAGTACCAAACGGACTGACGCAGGCTGGGGTACTTAAACGGGCAGCTTGTAGAAAAAGAATTCCGACCTATGTGCCGCGTAAACACCTACCGTGGGACCGTATACGTGGATATATGCTGGACTGCGGGACAGGCTTGGTTGCGTTGGAGGTTGTCCATGGCCTTTAGTACATCTCCCAGGCATCCTGTGCCGCGTCATGCAGATATGGTTAGCATGAGGCAAACGGTGCTTACACGATTAATAGGAATACGGTTGAGAAACATGGCTTTCCATAACTTTGGACATCTGGGATGGTGTCGCAATTTGATTCTCACATTTACACTGCAGTAAGTGACCGTGTTGAAGTAGAGAGCTTCACTGAGTGGCAGCACCATGAAACTACCATGGACCATGGACCATGACCCTCCATGCCTGGTCACTTTATTGACATTTAACGCCAATCGCCATAGTTAAAAGTGGATAACGTAACTTAGTTATACGCTAACTAAGTTAATACTAGACTTATCAACGTCTCATTATAGGATTCGTAGCCAAGTCAAGCCAACATTATTGAGTTCACCTGCCGACTCGTTTTTCCTGAAGCTTACCACGATCCAGACTGCACTTCATATCTACAGTATTACTATAGTAAGTTGCCAACAATTGTGGATGCTACAGACAACGCGTACAACTGAGCGAACCTTACGAGCGACTGGATCAAAGGATGCAGACGAATACTTTAAGAATTAAGATTGCATAAGTGCCGCAAACTCCTTCACTGTCGAGAAACGAATCCTAACCAACAGGAAGGTAATCAAACTAATCGACGACGACGCTTCAACTACCCTAGCCGTCCAAAGCCTGTATAACCTGCCCCCAGTCATCCTGCTTGTAAGCACCAGGAACCACGCTGTCAAAGAGACTTGCTAGCACCACACGATCCGACTGTTCTCCTTCCCATGGCTGTCGCCCATGCTGGGAAATGATGTTATCATAAACCAGAACATCACCTCTCTGCCATTTGTGGAGCACCCGGGTTTCGTCAGTAATCTTGACAAGGTGCTCCAGGTACTTCTCCGGAATCGGGGTCCCATCACCATAGAGCTGCTGAGTCGGACTTGGTCTGCCCCGAGCGGTACCCTCATTCAGTTTATTCTTCCAGTATGCCGCCAGCCCGGTAAATAGCGTTGGCAAATCTGTCCCTGGCTGAGTACGAATCGCCGGCAATCGATGTGTCAACACCAGCGTCTCGTCATCCTGCCATTCCCACGTCGTATACTTCCCCCGCCCATACCGAGCAATTTGCGCTTCAATCTTCGCCCGCTGCGTTGCTGCGTCATCCCCATCAATAATCTCCTTGCCGAATGCTTGTCGGAGGGTCGATCCACCGACATACTGCTGCCCCAACTTGTACACCACGGTGCTTAGGATACCCTTTTCTCCAAGCTCTTCGATAAACTCCGGGATCTCCTGTTGCGCACGATGGAACAGTTCCAGTGACGATGAGATTGGAGACTCACCGCCTACAACCGGGGCGCGATGGTTGTAGAAAAATATATACTCCGGCGCATGCGGCACTTGCGGAGACTCGTTGTGGTTGTACTAGAATACCAAGACCTTAATGTTTGGACTCTGAAAGATAACTTGAATTCAGTGGGCTATCTTACAATGAGCACCTCTTTCGGCGCTTCATTGGCTGGCGCTACGTTCGGCGCGAGCTCTGGACGGTTGACTACGATACCAATGATCTCGTGGGGCTTGTATCCGAAGGCGTGGGCAAAGCGGCTGAAATCGTTGGCGTCGTGGATTGGGATACCGCGGAACAGAAGAGTGCCGTGTAGGGCGAGCTTCTTTGTCAACAGACCATCTTGGGCTTGGAGCGATTTGATGGTTTCGATGCTGTTGTCCAGCGTGATATTGTCGCCCGTCGATGGACGAAGGGCAAGTGGAGTGACTGTTCCTGGCGGGAACGGCTCTCCGAGCTCTCTTTGATTACTTGCGGGAAGCTCGAATGACTCGAAAGTTAAGAGATGCGGTGAACGTGAAGCTCCATCCAGGTGGAGTTGAACGTTGCCGGGTAGCTGGACCGATGTTGCCATATTGGATCAGGGTGGCTTTAGTGGTAATAGCTGGTGATGTTGTCTTGCTTCCTTGAGTTTGGAGCAGTGAACTACCTGATATTTTTTGGGTCTGAAATCAGCGAAACTTGTATCCGCGATTGTCTGTCTCTGTCCTTTCCATCATTTAAAGTACCGATCACGCAAAGTGACGTGGAGATCCACGACGATCACCACATGGCACCCCTCTCTCACTTCATCCCTGGTCCCTGGCTTTGGGATGCTTCCCCATAGGGTAATTAAATCGGTAATCTTGTCCTACGTCAACAGTCGACTCTCTTGCGTGCTTTGGACTCACTTCCGGAGATATCAAAGATTCAAGATGTATCCACTGCACAGGCTTTGCTTATCGTTCGTACCGGCAGTCTGGTTGTCGCCACACTTAAATGATCCCATGGCTACCAGTACATGTAGTCTCAATATACCCACAATCGATTTCCTGGAATCGTCTCTGGCCTTGACAATCAATCTTGGTAGATCTGCCTCCTAATAAATTTATTTTAGACCCTGAACAGTGACTGAAAAAATGTCAAAAACTCCTTCGGCCACGAAGGATGAATCTCAATTGAAAGATGGGGACCTCAAAGGGTCCGGTCTGGGCTCTGGTTCTAGTTCAATTGCTCCTCGCGAGAAACCACCCTTCTTCCGAAGCACACTCTTCCAGATCTTGGTAGTTGGAATATGCGCCGTATGTTTTAATTCCTCTCTTTCTTTTTGGAGCGAAATACTTACATAGCGCAGTTTAGTGCTCCCGGCATATGGAGCGCGATGAACGGCCTCGGTGTTGGAGGATCAGCCAGCCCCGACCTCATCAACGCCGCCAATGCGATATTATATGGTTTCGTATGTTCCCGTCTTATCAAGCTCTCGCCTTTGCGACAAGCCCAACTATTCATCAACTGGACTGCTTTCGTTCCGGGGTGTAGGCATCTACCTGCATAGCAATAGCGCTGACAAACCCTCAGATGACGGTAACATGCTTCGCTGGGCCCTGGTTCACCAATGCTCTTGGATTTCGGTGGACTTTGGCCCTAGGCAGCCTAGGATATCCGGTTTATGCTGCCGGGTTGTACTGCAATAATCGCTTCGGAAACATCTGGTTTGTATACGTTGGAGCTGTTGCATGTGGAATCAGTGCTGGTTTCTTTTGGAGCGTCGAAGGAGCTATTGCCACGGGCTATCCTGAGAGCCATAAACGCGGACGCTATATCGCGTATGTGCCATGTTCCATCCTAACAGCCTTTTGCTCCTAAGACTAACCCACTCCTTCGTCTGTGGTCGCATCGCGCAAGTCGAAAGGACACTTTTTGGAGGGGTTTAGTCTTAGGATGCAGGTGTCTGCATTTTCAAATTGGTCAAGAATGGGAGTACTGACAGCCTTTAGAACTTGGTTTAGCTTTCGCAACTTCGGAAACATCATAGGTGGATCAATTGCTCTTTCCGTGAACCACAAAACCAACAAGCTCGGAAAGGTCGGGTACGAGACTTACCAGGCCTTCATCGCAATCCAATGCCTCGGTTTCTTCGCCGGCCTTCTTCTTTCAAATCCCGACAAGGTCCAGCGCGATGATGGCACTCGCATCAATGCGCCGAGAGATATCAATTGGCTCACCGAGCTGAAAGCCAACTGGAAACTGGCAACCGGCAAGCATATGCTTCTTCTCACCCCTCTCTTTTGGTACTTTGGTTGGATCCAAGCGTACCCTGGAACTTACCTCGCAACTTATTTCACCGTCCGCTCCCGCGCTCTTGCAAGTTTCCTGTCGGCCGTCGTTGGTACCTTCGCTACATGGCTCAGCGGCACGATTGTCGACCTCCCGTGGGCAAGAAGCCGGAAAACTCGCGCAATTTCCGCATACATTCTCATCGCGCTGCTCAACAGTGCGACTTGGATCTGGGCCGTTATTATTCAGAACGAGTTTCGGCACACGCGACCCCAGCTCGACTGGGCGGTGCAGAGCACCTTCGGCCGTGGCTTTGGCGTGTATATGTTTGAAAGATTGAGCCTAGGAATGGTTGAAAATTATATCTACTGGTGTATTAGCAACTTGTCCGACTCCCCAGGCGACCAGATCCGGTACAGTTCGCTGCTTCGGGGCATCGAGACGGCTGGGGTCGCGGTCGGCTTTGGAGTGCAAGCAGTTCCTACAGCTTTAATTGCAACAGCTAGCATCAACCTTGGGTTTTGGTTCTTTGCCTTGCCATTTGGCTGGTATGCAACTTTGCGGGTTGTGCGGAAATTCAATCAGTTGGATAGTGAGCGAAAAGAAGGACTGCAGAATGTTGAGCCAGTGGCTTCAGCGTGATGTGGAGAGCGCGTGACCTGAGATGTCTTTGAGAGTTTCTACGGTCTAAACTCTGCGGATCGTGATTTTACAAGAGATTTGCGTCTAAATTAATACTCGAAATTTCTAGGATAGAATTTACCGCGTGATCTGATGAAATTTGAAATCGATGTCTTTGATCAGACATTCAGCTTCTTATATGTAGTATCACCCTAGCTGAATTAGTGGGCCATGGCGAGCTTTGTTCGGACGGACCGGACCGTCTATGGATATCACGGGGAGCGTACGTAAAGTATCACTGATCAAGTCCAGTCGGCATTCGCAGCTTTCTCTTTTACTTGCCATAATATCCGTCACCACAGCCGTGAAGATTTTAGAGACAGATCTTTGCTACCCCACCATACCGATGTTTTTCAATGCAGTATACTATCCTAATTGGCACGTCTACAGCGAGAGGCCACCGTCGAACCTAAACTTCTCCGTCATCTCGCATGCCTTCTACGCATTTGCCTGGTATGTCGTGGCCTTCTATCATGGTTTCCCAGTTCTGACGCATCCGTAATATCAGGGTTAAACCTGATGGCTCGATTTATGTATGAACGTCCCAGATCCGCCTGACGTCTCAGCTCACCTTGAGATAGTTGAGCGATGAATGGGCCGACGACCAGATGGAAGTGGATGGGGAGAAGGGTGCATTGCGTGCATTTGGCGCTCTGAAGCGTCGCCACAACATCCTTAAAGTGGTCCTATCCATCGGCGGCGGAGGCAAAGGCAGCGAACCGTTTGCTGCCGTTGCCGCAGATCCAACAGCCAGGGAAACCTTTGCGAGGTCGGCTCGAGCATTGGTTGATCAGTATGGACTGGATGGAATCGATAGTAAATCACAACCTGCCTAACTTCGGCCGGCTGTGGCCATACTGACCGTCTTAGTCGACTGGGAGCATCCTTCCGACCACCAGCAGGGGATCAACTATCTGCATTTGCTCGCAGCGTTGCGACGATACCTCCCTGCCCCGCAGTTTATGCTCACGTCGGCATTACCAGCTGGGCAATGGGCGCTGCAGCATATTGATCTCGCGCAAGCCGCGCAGTACCTTGACCTGATCAATGTTATGACCTATGATTACTCTGGTCCATGGGTGGATCGAACTGGCCACCACGCTCAACTCTGTTCTCCTTCACGACCGCACAATGATGCGGCCAAGATATCCGGGCAGTCCGCCGTCCAGTACTTGCGGAGTCGTGGAGTACCGGTATCGAAGATCCTCTTTGGTGTTCCGACCTATGGTAGATCATTCCTTGGAGCTAAGAAGGTGGGAGACCGCTATAAGGGATGCGGGGGCAATGAAGGGACGCACGACTATCGAGATTTACCACTACAGGGCAGCCAAGAATCTACGGACAACCAGACTGGCTCCGCATATTGCGTTGGGAAGGAAGGCTTCGTCAGTTACGACAATCCACAGACGGTGGCGATGAAAGGTCAGTTTGTCAAACAAAATGGCTTGGCTGGGTTGTTTTATTGGACAGGGACGGCGGATTCGAGGGATGATAAACGCAGTTTGGTCCTTGGTGGATATCTGGCGATGCATTCTTAGGCTTCATGCTTTGGTTTTGATGCCAATCGGAATGGAGTAGGATGGTAATATTGACAAAAGGTCCTGACTATCTAGGCTATATTTGAGATGTGCTCATCACTTGGATACCACACCTAGTCCACCATACCTAGTCCATATCCGTATCGGCTAGATTGTTGTCGTTCTTTATGGTACCATTGGAAACTGATGATGAGGTCTGCCGTTAGCACTCCACTCCCTGAGAGTACGGAAATAATACAGAACTGCTCCCAACCGAGTCTTCTATTGGAGGATTACAATACCAAGTAATTGCGCTAACCACAATTGGTTAAATTTCTTATTGCTCACTGGGTAACAGACCTACCCCTGCCATTAACTTCACATCATCGATCATTGACAATGTGGTAGCTTGAATGTGATATTCTACCAGCCTTCTTTTTGTACTGGCAATTACTTGCAAGACTTTATTACGTTCTGCCTCACGTCCTTTTTCTATCCATTTCCTATATGATCCCACCAAATCCTTTGAAACACCTGGGCTGAGGTCGGCGGTCCGACCCTCCGCTGCCACCAGGCTCCCAATGCCGAGTGTGGACCCATTGCTGGATTCTGGTACGAGAGCAGTTATGAGATATAAATCGGAACAAATCTGACATTCTGATATTAGTGGACTACGATCCCGTCGGCCACTTGAATGCCATCTTCTCCCATCATAGCACCCTCTCCTCCCTGGAACAGACCTCCTCCACTCTTCTTCAACTCCAGCATGGCCTGGATCGCCAGATCGAGCAATCCATATCCACACAGATCGCCTCGGATGGAGATAATATCTCTCGGATTCAGAATACGAAAGCCGAATTGGCTGGCCTCTTCACAAAGATCGACAATGTGCGTTCACAAGCAGCACAGACGGAGCAATCGATTGCGGAGATGACCGCAGACATCAAGCGGTTGGACGGCGCAAAGCGGAACTTGACCTTATCAATGACCGTCTTGAAGCGACTGCAAATGCTCACGACGGCCTATGAGCAGCTTCAGACCCTGAGCAAGACAAGACAGTACCGAGAATGTGCGCAGTTGCTTCAAGCAGTTCTGCAACTAGCGGCCCATTTTAAGGGCTACAGATCTATCGACCAGATCGCAACGCTCAGTCGGAACGTGTCGGATTTGCAAAGAGAGCTGCTGGAGAACATTTGCGAAGATTTCGAGGTCATATTTGCGAAAGGAGAAGTAGCACAAAAGAAAGGGCTGTTGGCAGAAGCTTGTCTCGTAATGGATGCGATTGGAGAACATGCTAGGTCGCGGCTGGTGACTTGGTATTGCAATACCCAATTGAGAGAATATCGGCAAATCTTCCGAGGCAACGATGAGGTACGTTCTGATCTGGCACGCGGATGTTGGGCAATACTGAATTGGATAGGCCGGGTCTTTGGACAACATTTCCCGCCGATATTCCTGGTTTAATCGCATGCTTAAGACATACGACCATGAGCATGCCGCTATATTCCCAGCCCATTGGAAGGTTGGGGAGACGTTGGCACAAGCGTTCTCGGAAGGGACCAGAGACGACTTCAAAGATATTTTACAGCGATTAGCCCGCCGATCGGAAGGTCAATCGATAGATGTCAACCTCCTGCTCTCCTGCATGCAAGAGACGCTGAATTTTGAACATACACTCGAGCGCCGCTTCGCAACGAACCCTCGGATGTCCGTAGATACAGCTACCTCCGCAGATGATCGTTCCCACGGGATTGGGCAGGTCATCTCCGAAGCCTTCGAACCATACATGAGCCTATGGGTTGAATCTCAAGACCAGCAGCTCGCTACCCTCGTTGCAGATTATCGACGACAAGCTCCGAGGAATCCAGATGAGGAGTTTTCCCCGCAACAAGTGATTCCATCATCCACCGAACTTTTCCACTTCTACCGCCTCGCACTCACTCAGTGCGCGAAACTATCTACCGGGTCACGGTTGCTCGAGCTATCACGAACGTTTGCCAAGTATCTTGATACGTATGCCCAGCAAGTGCTGTTCTACTACCTCAGCGAGCGTTGGGGTCCACAAGGTCCATCCCTCGAGGACTCGATTCTGATCCTCAACACTGCGGATTACTGCTATATCACCTCCAATCAACTCGAGGAGAAAATCAAAGCGAGGATTGACGAGGAGTTTCGACCCGAAGTGGATCTCCAGAGTCAAGCTGATGCGTTCATGGGTGTTGCCAGTGCCGCTATCCGTGTCCTAATACGCAAGGTTGAGGTCGAATGCGAGCCGATATGGAAAGAAATGCGGCAAACACCGTGGGGAAAGTTGGAAACGGTCGGAGACCAGAGCACATTCATGACGGAGCTTCTGCGAAAAATGAAAACGATCGTTGGGGATATTCTCAAATATCTGCCAAAGCAGCAATATGCTCGAGCGTTTTGTGACAACGTGGTGGATCAAACCGTCAACACATTCGTTCTGAACATTGTTCAATGCAGGCCTATCTCGGAGACCGGTGCGGAGCAAATGCTGCTCGATTCCTATGCTCTCAAGACAGGATTTGGCGAAATCGCAGAACTGGCGGGTCCATCGGGTGGTCCGCCCCCTGCAGCGTAAGATGCTTCACCCCGGTTTCGACTATGGAGGCTAACTGGGCTGTAGCTTCATGAAGCGTGTGAACTCATCGCTATCTAAACTCGATGGACTTCTTAAGACCATTCAAGTTCGTCCCTCGCCCCCAGAAGCGCTTGTCCAGGCGTATCTGCTTCATATCGCCGATCGTTCCGAACCCAACTTTCGAAGGCTTCTCGACCTCAAGGGCATCCGCCGTCAAGACTACACGGCTCTGCTCGACCTTTTCAACGCCCATTGCCAGGGACCACAGAACGAATCGTTGCAGGCTTCTTCCCAATTCATGGCGGGCCTTCCAATGGCAGCGGCGCCCGCTCAGTCCGGCAACCCGCTCACATCGCTCAAGGATTCGGGCGGGATAGGTACGCCAAACCTCAGCGGCAGTCGGTTCGATCCCGCGGTATTTGGGTCGGCTCTTATCAGCGCGGCACGAGAAGGTGTCGACCGATTCGGAGGCCCTGCACTTGGGTCGATGCCCGGAGGATCCAAAGGGTCTGGGACGACGTCGCCTCCGCCGCCTCCGCCGCCGCAACACGCCGCTACGTCGTTCGATAGTCCCACGGCAAGTCAGACGGCTACAAACCTGAACGAGAATCTGAGGAACATCGGGAAGTTCTTCAAACGAGATTTGGGTGCGATTGGACGGTTTGGCAGAACAACCGACGGGGATGGAATAGAGAGGCGATGAGGACAACTCCCTTGCTTTGCGAAAATCCATATGTGGGTTTGATGGCTTACGGTCTGCCGTCTGCAGCTCTCTTCGACAGCCCTGTCGGTGTCATGAGCCAGATAGCTCCCTCGTGAAGGTCCGTTTTCGTCAGGTGTTAGAGGACTAGTGTTTAAGAATACGGGGAAGCATAGGCGGCGTACCTATATTATTTTGCGGTCATATTAAGGCTTCCGAACTTGCAGGACCACCGTGAAAAGCTTGGATCCATGTTGTTTCAAACCTGTCGTCACAGTATGGAATATCCGGTATGTTTCAACGCCAAATGCATGGGGTGCTTAGTGCCTACTGGAAGGCAACCACAAAGAGGAATACCTATCAGGTACCTACAATCGTCAATCATAAATTGGTACTCGGATCATGCCGATCGTTTTGCGGAGGCATATGGTTAGTATATATTATATGCACATCCGCGGAGCGACTAATGAGCATGATTTATTTAGGGCTAATGCATAATGTCGCTTCGTAGAAACGACCTCGTGGGACCCCGGAGAGCGATGTTCCGTACAATCGATTCCATGATCAGAGGCCTCGAACTTGATATGTAGTACACAGCGATACTGGTTCATGAGTGAGCAGCGTGTTTGAGTCGTGACTGTGATGAGGATATCAAATAATTAGGATATATACAACGGATGGATGGCAATGAGACGAGTCTCTGCCGAGTCCAGACTCCACAATGACCTTTCATACCCCATGGGGGAGTGCCAAAGTACCTGTCAAGTGTGCACTCATGGATGAACGGCACGCACCATATTGAATTCAAGTCCATACCTATACTCCGCATTTGATCGAACACCTGACCGATTGCGAATTGCCTAATCAATATCGTGTGGGGTGACGTTGGTTGATGGCTTGATGCCCGTTTGTAATCTGATACCCGGGGTACCGATGAGGGAATTTCACCGAATCGCCGCTTTGCCTCCCTACCGCTTCCATGTGACATTTTTATTAATTGGCAGTATGAGATTGAGTAAGGTGGATAGTCAAATAATGTTCGATTTACATTGTTAACGTATTTGTTCTCCTCCTGGGAGTATACCAGCCGGGTTCCAAGTCTAGCCGGATCATGAGGCTCCAACGGTTTCTGGTAGACGAGGTGTTATTGTCGATTGCCGAAACAGGGTGAGCTTATCTAGACTCCTTCCGATAGGACAGCTACTAGTTACTGACACATGAAAGTCTTCACGTGTGCATGACCGCAACAATGGGCGTAAGGATGGCTGCAACCGAGGCGAGTGTAGGGGTTGGTGCTGGGAAGCTGGGGCTAGGAAAGCGATTGACAAATTGATAGGCCATGAACTCATGATTGGCGATGGGCATCATCGGAACCCAGAAGAGAGCCAGCAGCAAAGCAATTGGTAAATGATATACATCACGGACTCATAGTATTATGGGGTAAGCTACGGGGTATGGGGTAAGCCACGGAGTACATACTGGGGAGTGGGGACGTATCAAGTATAGACGATGGAGGTCCTGTGTTAATGAATTATGATGGGCCAACTCGCAACTAGGAACTACAAACAAGCATTCCGTATTCTGTAACCGTGAACATGTAAACTAACAAGTAACCACTCATAAGCGGGGAGGTGGCGACTTGGTTCAATCGTTTAAGCCTTCGTTGTTAGAACCGGCGTTGAACGGCTCCTTCGCTTGGCTGTTCTAGTCTGTCCTCCGGCGCTCCTCCGGCTTTTCCCTCCTATTCTTCCATGTATTCCCCAATTTCCCCCAATTTCCCCCAATTTCCCCCAATTTCCCCCAATCCCCAGGTTCCCTTCTTTGTTCCGTATTACTTCGTCCTCTATTTCCCGGTAAACTCATTAAGCGCGCCAGGGGTCCTTGGGGCCCAACTCCAGGCAATTTGGCCATCAATACGGGATATGTGCCGTGTATCCTCATTCCTCATTCCTCTATAACAGTCCTCCTCGCGTCAATCAAGATTCAAGACCCATCCCATATATCCACCACTCATGCGATACTGCAATGCAATACAACCATCCTGCCCAATGACACAATCGCAATTACGATCTGCCCGAACACTTCCCACCAGCTAGAACTCCAGAAGCCCTGAATCACTAGGTCCCGCAATGGTTGAATGTTTCCCAATTGGCCGTGTGTCCGTGTTGCCACTGCGACAGATCGTTTCCCCATCTAAAACAAAGGGCTAACCGTGATACGAATGGGTTCATCAAAAATCCAAGGTTCAAGACATGGGGTTGTCGGGGGTTGGAGTGGGTCGTTCCTTTGTCACATTTTCTCCCATAGTGGGCATTTTGAACCACCTTCTCGCATCTCGACCACATGCATCCCGCATGTGGTTGTCCCGGAGCGATCGTTCCATTTTTTGCCCTAATTGGCACCCACTGCTAATGCGTCTGAATTGGCCATCGCGCATGATAGTCACTCAACGGTGGAAGAGATATGGTTAGTCCATCAGTGGCGCACCCTTGGGAGGGGGGTCAGAGCGCCTCCATATTCCTTCATAATGCTTCTTTTCGTTGCACGAGGCAGAAAGTTCCATGGGTCTACCCATGCGACGCCTCCTCCACGCTTAACATGTGCTTTTGCGGATCATTTTTATACTCATTTCCATCCCTTTGTCACCACAAGGTCGTTCTGTTCATATCACCCTCCCGATTCCGCGTTCCAGGTTGAAGTGACGTTGGACCTCCTTGGTCACTTATTTCCCTTCTGAGCCTCTCATTCCTCTCCGGACCTTTGACCTTAGCTTTGACCTTGGCTTACATTGCTACTGGTCTCGTCGAGTCAATTTCATTTGCCTTACTGCTGTGCGGGAGGCTTCAACATGGCTGCCGATAAACTGAAACCCGAGACGGTCGAGCAGGAAAACGGTGGATATGATACTTACGGATCGAAGCCCAGCGCTGGGCAGAGGGTGAAAGCCCATCTTAAGAGACGGTGGTGGGTGCATCTGATCATCTTCCTCCTTATCGTATTGCTTGTGGTCCTCTTAATGTAAGTACAATTTTGAAATCCGAGGAACTAGGACATGCAAGCTCTAACTCCCCGGTGACCAGAATCTTCGTCGCCTTTCCTAAAATCGCTCAAAAGGAAGTCAACAAGGCCGAGGTCGTGTTGGTATCCGAAGTCGTCACTGACCCTACGCCTGATTCGGTCCAATTGAAGCTGGTGTCTCGGGTGTTGAGTGATAGCAAGTATCATCCGAAAATCGACGCCTTCGAGGCTGCGCTTTATCTGGAGGACACACTCCCTGATATCATTCCCTTCGTCTACGTCACCATCCCGGAAATGATTAGCAAGAGTGACGTGACCGCGGTCGTCGAACAGCGTGTCACTATTGCGAACCAGGAGCAGTTTGCCCGCTACAACAAGTTGGCCTTGGCGAGTGAAAAGTTTAACATTGGTCTTCAAGGGAGGCCAAAGATCCACGTCGGAAAATTGCCGGTCACAACCGTCGATTTCAACAAAATCGTAGAAAGCAAAGGTTAGCATCTTATCCCTTTACGCCCTTGTTGTTGAAAGATCTGGGCACACTAACTCTAACAACAGGCCTCAACGGACTCGCCGGTTTTAAGATTGAGAGCTTCGAAATCAAGCTCCCTGCTGAACCTGATGGAAGCAACATGGTCGGCACCGTTTTCATCCCGAACCCTTCACCCCTCGACTTCACAATGGGCGATGTCACCTTGGACATCTTTGTGGCTGGCAAGCTCATCGGGAACTCCACCCTTGCCAATCTCCATATCGCTCCTGGCGAGAATCGCCTCCCCCTTCGTTCTATTGTGGAGCAAACCGAAGTTATCTCCTTGGTTACCAGCACGTACCAGGACGGTATGCTTCCGGTCGACATCGTTGGCAGAAGCGCTGTAGACAAAGACGGCCAACATCTCACGTACTTCGAGGAGGCTTTGAAAGGAAATTCCATGCATACCGAACTCAATGTGGGCGAAGCCCTAACGAAGATGGGCATCGACCTAAACGCATTGACAAGTGGCTCGGGCTGATTGGTTGGCTCGATTCGCGTGTCTGCTAGGCAAGTGCCGAGATCATGTGCATTCCACGATGTTGCAAAGATCTCCACGCAGACGTTGACAATCGGATACCCCCTGGCAGAATGCAGATGTGTGACTGCAAGCCGACCTGGCCTTCTTTTCGTCAATCTCTTATTCGTCTCTACTTTCTCAATCTGACAATGCCCTGTTTGGCACCGAGTGCCTGCAGGAACCTTTCGTGGACCGAGGATTATCTTGGACTAATGTCTGGCTCATATCCATGGCATGGATAATTTCCCCAAAGCTGTTTAAGGGGGTCACATGGCCTGCCCTACGTTTTGGTTTCCAGTTAGAACCTCTTCATGTCTCAACTACGCCGATGGTCTTTGTGAATCGCATGAAACTGAAGAAATCTCTAGGGTACATTGGAAGGCCAGCATGTTGGGCGGAGACACTGTACAATACCCCTAGTCTTGTATCGAGGCTTTGTCTGCTAGTTTTTATAGGGCGGGGTGGGAGGACCAATGGGGGGAAAGGAATATTATGATACCTGGAATTGCAATTCACTTAAATCATTTTACCGTTCCTGAGCATCGGGTCTCCCTACGCACCTAGTGTCGGAAATTTGACTGGAGCATTCGCATTCGATAGCTTCAATCACCAGGCATCCCTTTAGAGAGGAAGACGGAGGCGTGCTTGAGATTGAGGTCCCAGTTTTGGGTACGTTAAGGCTTTCAGCAGGAAATTAGACCAGGGTGATATTCCTGGTAATGGTACAAAAGTTCACAATTGCCTCTATCCCCTTGATAGAATGGTGAACAATCAATTCATGGACTGGTATCACTGAGTGCTGAGTCGATTTTTGCTACAATGTGTATAGACCCGAAGCAACGGGAGCTAGCTGGGACTTTCCAATTATCACCTGCATGGTCCTTACATAGCACCGGTACATCCCCACGAGGTCACCCGGCTTGTTGCCACTGAAATATAGAAATATGAAAGACCAATATGCAAGGTTGATGCAAACAAGGATGGCGAATCCAAAGCACGTGACTGGCAATGACTAAGCTATAAGCAGACCGCACCCAGGACGCTGATTGGTTCAACGGTTGAAGGTTGTTCCGTCACATGGATTGAGTCATTCGCTTTCGTGACGTTTCTCATCGCTTGCCTCTTCTCGAGAACATTTCAAACTTGGCTGGAATCCAACATCACATTCCAACCTCCTCCAACACACATTACCATGGCCGACACAACTACAGAACGGCCGAAGCGGAAATCGGTCGCATTCAGCGAAGGTGCCACCATTGTCGATACGGACGGCCAAGTCACCGAAATGAACGGACATACCGAGAAGACCACCGCCGAGAGCCACTCCCACCCCAGCCCGAGCTCCAACCCGACAGTTCCAAACGGTGCTGCCGGTGATGGGGAAGTGGACGAGGTTACTGCGATGATGGCAGGACTGGCCAAGAAGAAGAAGAAGAAGTCCAGCAAATCCAAGGAAGGCGTTGAAGCGGACGGCGAGAAGGCCGAGAATAACGGCGAATTTGACCCCAGCGCGCTCAAGAAGAAAAAGAAGAAGAAGAAGGCGGTCGACGCTGATGACTTTGAGGCAAAGCTAGCTGAAGCCGATGCCGGTGACAAAGGTGGCGAGGAGAAGGTCAGCGCAAAACCCCCAGCGGAGGAGCAGACCGGCGATTTCGAACAGGGCACCGGTATCTGGGCTCACGATGCGAAGACTCCAGTTGTCTACAGCCTCCTATTATCGAGATTCTTCACTCAGCTGCAGTCACACCATCCCGATCTCTTCTCCAGCGGTCACAAGAGCTACAAGATTCCTCCCCCGCAATGTCTGCGTGAAGGCAACAAGAAGACTATCTTTGCCAACATTTCCGAGATTTGTAAACGAATGAAGAGAACGGATGAACACGTCATTCAATTCTTGTTCGCTGAATTGGGTACCAATGGCAGTGTTGATGGAAGCCGTCGACTGGTCATCAAGGGGCGATTCCAACAAAAACAGATCGAGAACGTCCTTCGAAGATATATCGGTAAGTGTGGTTTGACCTGTTACAACGGATATGAGGCTAACCATTGACTAGTGGAATACGTGACATGCAAGACCTGCAGATCTCCAGACACGGAGTTGGTCAAGGGGGAGAATCGGTTGAGTTTCATCACTTGCAACTCATGTGGCAGCAGGCGCAGTGTGACTGCGATCAAGACAGGTTTCTCTGCCCAAGTTGGGAAACGCCGACGCCAGCGAGCATAAGTGTGCGCATCAATACTTGCCATTCACACTCGCCTTCGTACAAATTGATGGTCACTGGGAGTTTTCATTCTCTGGGTTGCATAGGAGGTTTACACGGGCCACACAGTCTACAGGGCCGAAGCAATGATGTATATTCAGCTTCTATCCTTACTGGAGCGCTCGTCTAGTAGTATGACACGTCCATGAGGGCAACACAGGAATATAATCCCATCAATCATCCAAGTCGCTACAAACTGCAACGAGACTGAAGTCCATCCGCCCCATCTTTTTTCCGACATCCAGGAAATCTCTTGCCCCTATATTCAGGGCCTTCTCGCTGAGTGCATCCTGACCCTTCACCAATTCTCCCCTCTTTACCGGTCCATTCATACCACCGTTCATTTCCCATAGCCCACCATCACTTCCTTTCACGAAGGTCACGAAATGATGACCGAACTCCACGACTGCCACCGGGGCTTCCGTATCACCCAGCCTTGCAGACTCTTGATGTGCCCGTTCTAATGCCTCGCTGTTGTGCAATAGATGGGCACGCTCCCCCGCCTTCAGTGGCTCAGCATCCTCAACCAGTTTGCTAAGGAGAGATCCTGGTAGGATCATCGATCGCAGTGGTCCGTTCGTGAGAGCATGGAGGAGACTGTGCAAGCCACATGCATTTCCGATGGTTTGTCGAAACCACATTACGGGTTCAGACGAGCCTGACCCAGTATACTCGGGGATTGTAGACTCGAACTCATCGCGGGCAGCATGGTAGACTGGCGCAGGCACCATTATTATGAGGGCGTGACACGGTCGAGGGATATGTGCTAGGAAATCCCGGTCAAGGGACAGGACATCGTGGAAAGTGATACGGTCCGATACACCCAGTCGAGCAGCAAGGCCACTCAGGACCTCAGGGTTATTCTCTTGAGAATGGAGGTTAGTAAGGAACTCTCTATGTTGAGACACTGCCATGTTGAGACACTCCGTTGAGACCAAGTGGGTGCGAACTGGGCTATTACTCACCTAAAGCAATCAACACTTTCTTCCCCGATTCATCTATCACGGTGTCTGGGTCCGCCATTTCATGGAAAACAGCAAGCCCGGTCAGTACTTGCGAGTAGTTTCTTCCTAGTGCGTAAGCACTATCAAGTGAACTTGGTGGGTAAGGTGTGATGCTGGTTTTGTTGCGCAATAATCGGTCGAGATGGGTTTACAACTTCACATTATTAATACATTGTCGATGGACAAGCACCTTGCAGGTACCTACCACGCCCGGTTTTAGATATCGCTACATCAGTAAGTATTATTAGCTGTTGCATGTGTCAAAACAGACTGCTCCTGAGCTCCTCCCATTGCTGCCTGGGAGATGCTTCATTCATATCGGCCACTCCAACAGCTCTCCATGTATTTTTGGCATAGCCTCAATTGCCAATCCCGTGGGCGCTTCTAGGCTCTCCCACCATCCAATAATGAGCAAGGTATGGATCAACAGCGAGTCCCTGGCGCGAGTGGCGTCTGTAGACTGTATTCATTTGAGTAGCACAGGCGATACCCCGCCAGCCGCTGGGGGAGAAATGTCCGCCGTGAAGCGATACCGTTTGGAGGTCTCTGGTCCTCTCTATCGTCTCATGCGCTACGCTCTCGAGCCGACTCCTGCATTCTATGTTTCCTCCGTTGACTTAAAGATACGATCATCTGCCGTGGATTCGCGGTGCATCCATATTTTCGAGTCCATCCTCGACAGGATATCCTTAAGCTCGACACCGTGATACCGTGCTCTTCCCAACCGAATTGGCAGAATGTCCGGACAATATTACCCTCGTGAGTTGATTCCCGCCTGAACCAAGTCAGGAGGATTTAAGGATTGACAACATCACAGCGCCCCCGGAGAAGGGTGGTTATACCCAAGGTGTGCAATTCGACACGTTTGTTGGGCATGAACCGTTCCACTAACTCTCGTGAAAGACCTTCCCCACCACCCGGCCCCTCAGCAGCAATTCTCGCCTCCTCCTCAAGCACCTCCGGGTCAACAGCAGCAATACTATCCTCCCCCTCCTCCTTCTTCTGGAGGACATCCTCCTCCAGGCTATCCTCCTCCTCCGAACCAACCTCCACAGCAACAGTACGGTGAAAAGGCGCCCGGAGGGTATGCCTCCCCTCCACCCCATCAGCAGTATGGCGCACCTCCTCCCCAAGCGACGCATCCGGGCCACACTCCATCCCCTGTTCCGGTTGCTCAACCACCGCAGTCGCAGCAGGCGCCCATGAACATGAATGCACCAGGGGCGATGCCAGGAGGGGCGCCACCCGCTCAGCATTTTGTCGGTGCACATACAAACCAGGATGACGTTGGAACTTTCAATGGAGGGAGCTATCGAATCAGTCACCGGGACACGAACTCCATCTTGACACTCCAGCTTGCCATGGGGTGTCCTTTGACGGCAAAGCCAGGCGCCATGATTGCTATGTCGCCAACCCTGACTCTCAAGGGCGATGTGAGCTTTAGCATGAAGAAGCTGATCGTGGGCGGCTCTATGACATCCTCACAGTATACCGGTCCGGGTGAACTGCTCTTATGTGGTCCCGCGCTCGGCGACATCACTAATATTCGCTTGAACGGCAACGAGCAGTGGAGCGTCGGCAAAGATGCATTCCTTGCCTGCACCCAGGGTGTTATCAAGGAGTATAAGAGTCAGGGGTTCACCAAGGCTATGTTCTCAGGCGAGGGTCTTTTCGTCTTCAAGATCTCAGGAAACGGCATAATGTGGATTACAAGCTTCGGAGCGATTGTCAGGAAAGACGTCAGTGATATCTACCTCTACCGAGACGATGCGCTAACGGAACGACAGCTACAAAACGGGGAAAAATATATCGTCGACAACGGGCATCTGGTAGCCTGGAACTGCAAGTATGTACTTGAGCGTGTTGCCAGCGGCGGCCTCATCTCTGGAATGGCGTCAGCGGAAGGCTTGGTTTGCAAGTTCACCGGTATGTCATGGTACAAGAGGACGCAAGCAGCATCGACTAAACTTTCTCAGGCCCTGGATCGATCTTCTTCCAGACAAGGAATCCTCAAGCGTTCGCTGCTTATGTTACCGCCAATTCAGCGGGAGCCCAGTAACCTCGAACCGGAAGTTCATAATGTCTTTGTGCGTGCAATGCTTATGTTTTCAAATTGAATGTGGATGTCCCGTTATCCTTCTCTGACGTTATATGTTTGTCAGCAAGCAGCGGCGCTGTCTGTCCAATGAACCTCTCTTAGCTACTGGTACTTTGTCGAAAGTTTTCAGTTTCTCGCTTGCCTTCCAACAAACCGTTCTTTGATCTACCTGTCTGATTTCAATGCCACATCGGGTTCGTCCGGTATGTCTGGCAGTCGGAATGAGCGTATCTGGGACCTCGATTCGTTCAATTAAAAAGGTTGCCAGCGTCATGATGTGTCCGTTCGATACCAATACGTCGACTCTAACTCAAGGTCGCGAAATTACTCGTGACATCATCTCGATGTGTCAAATGTAATCGGCAAAGTTCTGATATCCTTGAAAGGAGCCGGAGTGGGATCCTCGGGATGCTAATGGCTTGGCAACTGGCTGTGGGTCCTTGACTTTTGTAGTCGAGCAGTTCTTCTAAGATTGTAGCATATTCTCTGCACTGAAATCCAACTATGTTCATCTCATGACTCCATTCTAAACAGTCGAGTGCTGCTTAAAGTGACTTAAAAACATTGAAGCTCCTGGGTGAGTCAGTTGTGCGTTGTATCCGCAGGCTTTAGCAAAGAGGATGACTTACGAACGAGGTCTCGCCGTGGCTGCTGATCCACTCCACGTCACTTCGAACATAGTCCCTCCGTCCTCGCAGGGACTCCCAAGACTCCAGTTATCAATCCACCCAGGCTCCCAATACATCAAGCCTTTTCCAAGACCACGGGGCACACCTTCCAGCACCTGAGCGACCTTCTTCATCCACTGAACCTGTCCGTCGGCGGAGAATGGGATCGATCGGAGACTCGGGGGGATTCGGCTGGCGCCTTGCGAGCATTTGATCGGCCAATCCGTTTCACTGACTACAATGGTTTTGCCATATTTATTCGCCATGTTGTTCAGAGTGGATTTGAAGTTCTCGAGGGTAGAATCGGTAGGGTCCCAAAATGGATAATAAGAGACCCCCTGCACATCGACGTTCGACATAGAGAAACCGGCTTTGATGATGCCGTCATAGAACCATTCTTGCGTTGACCAGGAGCTGCCGCAGTCAGTTGGGCCGACGCTCAAAACCAAGCCACCTTTGCGAATCAGAAACGGTGACATACTATCCCTCATCCAAGTGGATCATCACTTTTGCTCGCGAGCCAAACTTGCTGTCTTTGACACCCTCGGATGCCGAAGTAAGCAACTTAGCCAGATTTTTCATCTGGTCATATTTGCCAGTCGGCCACAGCATACCAGCGCGGACCTCATTGCCAATCGATATGAGGGTGACGTCGACTCCCGCATCATGAAATGCATTCGCAACATCTCTTGTATAGCCCTTTAGCGTCGTTACTAGGTCTCCGGTATTCAACTTTGCCCATGCAGCAGGCTTCGTTTGATGACCTGGGTCCGCCCAGGTGTCAGAATAGTGCAAATTGAGGATCACAGAGAGCCCTGCTGCTGTTGCACGTTTGCCGAGCTTGATGCCATAATCGAGACCGTAATTCCCGTCTGAAGGATTAACCCATCTGCGATCATATGAATATCATTCCTATTGGCGTTAGGGAGGGATTGCAGACACACGGATCTTGATACTATTGGCACCAGCGTTCTTTGCTATCGATTCCAATGGTTGTTGATTTCCTTCGAAATCCAAATAGGTCACACCTTTTGACTCTTCAACAAGCACCGACGAGATGTCGAATGTCTTCCAGGTCAACGCAGCCGCAACATAATGCGTCCCTAGCAGTATGGAAAGACTGACAATAAAGGAAAGGACACGCATTTCGACGAAGAAACAGCGAAGAAACAGCGAAGAAACACAGCCAGAGAAAATAGGTTTGATTTGGTTGTGACATGTCGAACCTTACGGATAGCTGGACGAACCATGTTGTTAATATCATCCATAGTACGCAAAACCCAATCCCGTGTCGAACTCAATCGCGAAATTGAAAGTTTGATGGTGCGTCAAATTACTATGGTAATTGCGTGTTCACCATCCACCTTTCAACCCACAATCCTGATCGACTAACAATTGGGATGACTGACAGCAATCTTCGGTGGTCGAATACTTATAAATTGCCAGGGAGCCAGACATTTGAGAATATGAAGAAAAAGCCTTTAGGGGGATTCCTTTGAGTGCATCGGGTTTTACGACATTTCGCGATGTGATAGAGGGGTATCGAGCTGACGGAATAATAGGAAAAGCGAACAGGACGAGCCTGAGGGACTACCCATTTCGTACAAAAGTAGCCGAATTCAGTTAGGTATAGAGTACAGAATTCCCCTGTCTGTATCCCCGCCGTTCGCCATGACGCCACGTTTCAGAGAAATGGCTTTATCCTGCGTACATCAACAATCAAACGCATGATGAAGCGCGCACATCTCGTTTAGGCTTTGGCTATTAATAACGACATGCTGAACGAGTCAACAAACGCATGATCAAGATGCGATCTGCGACCAAACGAATAAATGCTCCCTGTGCGGAATACGGAATACCTACACCCAGATCCCCCTCGCTAGCCCTTCTCAGCGGTGCATTGCCGCGCCTCATATGTCAGTCGCCTAGGGCGGGGTAATATTGCGTTTAGCAGTTGAGCTCGTCGCCTCGGAGGAGGACTTGATGACCAGCGCGAGAATTGAGGAGCCAGGAATCAGGACTCAGCTGCCTGGTACGGTTCTATTGTTACGATTGTGTACAGACATAGATGTTGTCCAGGTGATGGATGTCCACTGCTTGTGGAGACCATCTGCCATGGTCTGGTACAACTTACGGAGTACTGCCCGGGAAGAGGAGAGCTCCGTCGAGCCGTCCACTACCAGCGCTTTCGGAGGGATATCGTTCGTTAGTTCCGCGGTAACATGTGCGCATGGCCTCCCTTTTTATGGCCCTTCCTTTGTAGCCCTTATGCAGTGGGTGTCTGGAGTCTGGCCTGGCCTGGTCATGCCCGCTGTCCGCATCAACCTTGTTTCGAAGCTGATATACTTAACCATTCGCACGCCCTCTGTATCTCTTACTGTCCTACATTGACTCGGTACCTCTGCATACCTTTATTATATAACTCCCATTTACATATAGAAGTGCCGTTTCCGAATTTCCAATACAATGGCGGCCCCTGAATCTATCAACATCAAGGATATTACTGGAAAATGGTCGCTGGTATGCCCCCCATGTCCCTCGATGTTTGTTACCGCCTACTAACACCATGACAGAACAAAACTATCAGTGATGACATTGATCCCGTGCTCGCCCTGGTACGCAACCCGGCCACTTCCAGAATCCAGTGGACTAGTGTTAATACGATAATTTAGCAAGGCATCGGCTGGTTGACTCGCAAAGCTATCGGTCTTGCCGGCCTCACTCTCCACGTCAAGCACTACAAGGACGACGATGCCACGGAGCACATCGACATCGAGCAGATTGCAAGTGGGGGGATCAAGGGCACCACTGAGCTCCGCACTCTCAACGGTGAATGGCACGACCATAAGGACCACATCTTCGGCTTTGTCAAAGGCACCAGCACGTGGGTCCAGCTCTCCGAGCTCGACGACAACGACGAAGATGAGGCTTTCCTCAAGGATGGGTGGGATAAGGGAACGCAGGAGATTGGCCTGGTCAAGAACCACGTGGAAAGCCAAGGTAATGGCTGGGTTGGCCGTCAAACATGGGGTTTTGCGGACATCGACATTGATGGAAAGATCGAGAGGCGCCATACGCGCAGGGTGGTGGTGACCAAAGGCAGTGAGGCCAAGAGGATCCGAATGGTATATGACTTTATTTCGCAGTAGGTGACTGGACACATAACGAAGAGATAAGAGCTGGTGCGTAGCGGACAAATATTGAGACCACTCGCGGAGCTGTCTTGGAACGTGGTAGAAACTAGAAAGCTTCCTCCAGAATCCCATGTTTTGAATGACCAGATCGTCGGACTTGGATTTGCATACTGTCCAACATCCTCTTCTTTGCATCCTTGTCTCTGATGGTGAGCCCATGAAACGCTCCATGCGTAGTATCGAATTCGAATGGCTTGATCGATTTCCATATCGGCCAGATCTCGTCTGGTGAAAGCGGAATCATGTTCGGATATGACCACATGAAACTGTAGCTGTTTGTTCCGGTCGGTCGGTCCTTGAAGTACAAGCCGGACTATCGAAAGGTCAGTACCAGGTCCAGACCCGTACCAGAGTTTGGTCGTGCCAACCGGAGTAGCCATGACCGTGTCCGCAATAAGCAACTTATTTTCCCAATGCAGTAGCAAGCTTCCTGGGAAATGCCCGCCGGCCTTGATTGCTGTGACTCCAGGAAGTATAGTCTCTGTCTCTCTGGTGATGAACCTTCGTACGTTGTCAGGGTCTTCATCTCGGCAAATCCATTCTTTATCCTCCTCAGCCAAGTAGACTGGACAATTGAACCTTTTGGCCCATTCGAGATGTGTGGAGTAGTAATGTGGATGTGATATCTGGGGGATTAGCACATCAAATATAAATGCCACCCAAGCAGTCCTTAACTTACCACAATCGCCTTCAGTCCTCCGATCGAATGTATGAAATCAACCGTCTCTTCGTCAATCAAGGTGATGAGGTCCCAAAGCACATTGCCGCTCGGGGTCTGAAGTAAAATTGCCCTTTGGCCGATCGCAAACTAGATATCACGGTTGGCCAGGTCCATCTCGACCATCTGGTGCCTTACCTTCGGCCGTGTAGATAGAAATGTGATCTTGCTATCTCCATCATCGGCGACAAATTGATTTTCAAAGTCTCCAGCTTTGAGTGATCCCAACGTTGTCCAACTTTGTCCGCTTGGTGGAACGTATTGTCTTGGATCCTTCCTGAGATGTTAGTTGCGAAAACAAGATCCGTATGATTAATATTACATCACATATCTTGCATGCTGTTAAGTCACTGGTGGTCCCGTATTGGGTTCCACACGCATTACAAATGAGAAAGTCTTCACTGTTAGACATTTGGGATACTTTGCATTGCTGTTGAAGAGCGTGGAGAAAGAGTTCAGTCGAGTCAGAATGGGGATGCACTAAGTTACAGTAAGTACTTCGTATTCCTGTACTTGCCTAATACCTTATCAATTAGGGCGCTGGGCTAGTGGGGCTTCAGCTGTGTTGCCCGATAAAGATCTAACCCCTTCCTATCATCATGCGCTAGATATTTCTGCATGTCAACTCGTATAAACTATAAATACATGAGCGTATGGAATAGCTGCCGGATCCCAGAAACAGTATTTATCCGCTTCGGATTCGCATCTGGACATTCAAGAATATTCTGGAGAGAACCCGGCGACTCTGCTCTGGCATTGACAAAGGCTGTGATGATATTATATCAAAGTCTTCTCCTGGACAGTAGTCACACCCCCAATGCCTTTTCAAAGTTGAAATGTCGATAGAATAGATAGGGCAGGATGACCCTTCATTCCATCTGACGAGACATACTAATACGCCTTGAAAGTGGTTTCTCACGACGTGGGACAACCGTCTCTCAATAGCAACACACATGGGCGGAACCATATAGGTAGGAATTGGCGGCTGTGGCTTCAGTGAATGGCTCGAGTGCGTTCGAAATTCGACAAGGCGCGTGAAGGCACATGGGACGCATTACTGCTTCGACCAAGAGTGAATGTCTGCAACTCGTAGATCCGAACTCATACTTCAAGACCGCGAATGAAGCTGTAGATGCCTCTCATTTAGTGTAGTCAAGGACACCATTCAGGATCCACACTTCGCCATTGGCAACGCGACTAGCAATGCTGGTAACCTCAATACCTTTTGGCAGAATCTGTTCACAATCAGGCCATATTCTTCGCAACTGATGGATCTGGCTTACAATTGTTTTCCCGTCAACCTTCTCAAACCAAATGGTCTTCCCTGTAAGTGTTTCTCGTTTCTCTCTTTCGTTCCAAGGACTCCCGACAACGATATGAGCTTCCACAAACCTTTTCAGGTTCTCTTGAGCCTTGTCCGCTCCGGAATCACCATTGTAGGCGCTCTCTCCAAATTCGGCATAGTCTTTGGGATCTTCCCACGGCTTGGATGGCAGCTTCATGATCGCATCGTTCGCCGGCGCAAGAATTGTAGCATTCTGGGCCGCGTCATCCAAGCGTTTGGAGACTTGATCAATATCTCGAGTGAAACCACTGAAAATATGGATGGCTTGTGATTTCCCGAGTACGTCGGATAGGATAACTTTTGATGAAGTTGACATGACTCTGGGTTGCATTGATTCCTGTTGTGGGGATGTCCGGAAAGTCGGCAGGTTCCAGAGTCGATTGATTTGCTTGATCAACGGCAGGTCCACGCCTTCCGATACACTGGACAATATAAGGAGGGAGAGAAGCTGTGATGCTTTCATTTTGTGTTCAATACTAAGTGAGTAAGGCACTGTACTGTAAGTAAGTATTCACGAAATGCTGAGAACGATATGGAGATTGGAGATGCACAAACACCAGAGGCTGGAGAGGCCCCGAATGACGTCTCCTGGCACGTGATAGTAAGGGTAAAATGTTGCCTAAGGCATAAAATCACATTTCACGATGAACCTATAGACACCGATTCTCATTGATATTGAAGGCTGATGCAGTAGTGTGGTTCTTTTTAACTATTGGTGCTACGAAAGCTCACTTGCTCTCTCCCAGGAGTTTGGAGAGGTTCAATACGGCTCTCGCCATGAGGCGCATACGCGGTTATTGGATTCCTTATCAATAGTCACGACCATTCCTGTCTGACATTGGTGTATCAGGATGGCATCGTGGGACATCCCATTTTCGATCAGCTCGGTAAGTTCAAGACTCCCATAGATTTCAAGAATTCAACTAACATTGTGACAGGCTGACCTGGAATCTTTCCACTCAGCGCACTTTCCTGAGGCTCCCATTCCCGTAATAGCTCTCCAAGCTCTAGAATCGCGCGTTCCGGAAGCTCACGAACTCGGCGAAGACGATGACTGGCTAGGTCATTATCCGGACGGCGTGAAGCGGACCGTTACGGATGATGAGGTTGCCATCTTCCGTCACAGCGAAATACAAGGGCTTCTACGCCAACGGAGGCAGGCTGCCGAGAACGAACAGGATGGTCGGCTCGAACAGTCCAAGGCGGATGGTACCGATACCACTTCGGGAAGACCTGAGAAACCATCCCATTTGAGGAAAGAAGCGACTGTACCGCATAGTCCCGCATCATCAAGCTCGGGTCGACAGGGCAGGAAGAGGAAGCATAATCAAACCCAACGAAAAGCACGCAAGCGGACCGGATATGAAGATCGTGGAGATCCTGACGGCCGGACTTTCCGACGCATCGCTCGCGAGATGGATGAATTGAATGCGGAGGCTGTGGATCTTGACTATTGAGGTGCAAGAGAGTCCATCCGTGTCAAGCCATAGCAGTCTTTCCTGGAGACGTTGAACGTTATCAACTCCGTTGATCTCAAAAGGGCAAGGTACGTAATATCCATTCGTGACTGGAGCATTTCAATGATGAAATTTCATTTTATCGTCATCCTTAGAATGAAGCAATGAAGGATACTGCTTGGCCGTAAGGTCGAGCGGAGCCTTCTGTCGCAATGTTTACTGTAATCTTCTCTCTGAACTGTCTTGTTCTTCCTAACTCTTCCATTGTATTGCTAGTTGGCAGATACTGACAACCAATGTTGCTTAGGCAACCTAAGGTCAAATTCCGAAACGTGGAATCACAGCAGCAAGCACTAGGGTGACTATGAAGAAGCACAAAGGAGCTTGGAAAATACTCAGAATGTCGACGACGACATGGAATCTCAAGCATTTCCGCTGTCCTTGAGTAGCGGGTTGAAGCCCACACTAGGGGTTCATGAACCTCGCGAGCGACGACGCTGCATACTGTAAATACACTTGTTGCAGCTGAGGTGCAGAAACCGTACCTGCTAATCGAACGTTACCGTCCAACTAGGCGGCATGAATAGCCCTTGGCTCTATCTCACCTCGTTTCGACGAACACCCTACGCGTTCGAAGCCGTATATCCCGGCCTGAGGTATGCGTTTCCCGTTGCCTCAATCGCTTGTAGTTTTGTGATAACTTTTCCATTTCCATCCTCCACTTGTCCAATCAATGTCTGGGTCCGCGATGATCGTCGCCGATTCTCTCCAACGCCTGCGATTGATTTAGTTCGTGTTCGTGATGATGTCTTAGATAGAATGCATACCTCCAGCATGACAACCGAGTTGCCCCGAATTACCACCATTCCCAGACGTACTTTCTCCCCGCCAGCCTTCTCTTCCACCGCCTCGTCCAAAACGATGTTTAGGAAGACCTATTGCCAAATCAGTGCTGCCACAACTCCTGTCCTGTTTAGAGCTGCTCTCTGAACGCACATCATAACCTCGAAGTACACCGAGGACCTTGCGACTACCGTTCAACTGGACGAATAGTCTCTTATCGAGATACTGATCCGATGAATTAGCAAAGCTCGGTGCGCTGAAATTCGTGGGGCGCTTACCTTTTTGAGTTCGGGCTGTGCTTGAGGCATCTCGTTTGTTGTAAATTGGGGAAAAGGAATTCGTTCGTATGGGCGAATACGGATGCTGATTGCTGATGAGTTGAACTGGAAACCTGGTTGAATCCTAAGACGGAACCTGAGATGGTGGAAATTCGATGCGGAGGTGGATGAGAAGTCATATCACGTGAGCAGTTGATTCATGCCAAATTCCATCCTGATACCCTGATGGCTTTGGTGATAGTCAACCAAACGTTCCGTTGTTGACCCCATCCAATAGGACTTCTTTTGACAGTTGCAATCATTGAAGACCTCCCCACCCGTGGCTTGCAATCGCATCGCTTTATGAAATGAAGAAGTCATTTTCATCGAGGCGAATGCCTCGCAAGATTGGGGGCGACCCTCCAAGCCGTTCCGAACCAGGACATCAAGATGATTCGGGTACGTAGATGATTTATACCGTATGCTATGCGTATCTGACCATCAGTCAGCAGTCAGCAGTCGACTGACTTAAGAGCTAGAACCAGCTGTTGTCCGACCGTCCGCACCCAAGCCGAAGCCCAAAGCCACCTCACGACTCTCCTTTGCACCGAGCAGGTCCACCGATGATGATGATGATGATACCAAAGCCGCCGTGAACGCTATTCCAAGCCGGCGCAAAATTGGCACGTCAAGATTGGAAGAACTACGCTCTGCCGATACTACCGAGCGGGACGCCAGCCCGAGTTACAGCAAGGACTACCTACAAGAGCTGAAAAAGTCCACACCTTCGAAACCGAAGGAGTTCAAATCCGAGACCGGCGACACCATCATTGAGTCCACAAGGCCTCTTGACATTGCCGCGAAGTTTGGTCAAGGGTACGATACCCGTCCCATCGGTTCATCCGCAATCCCAACGGAAGCAGAAATCCGAGAGAAGAAAGAGCGACGGGCCCGATTAGCGAGGGAAGCAGTCGCTGGGCATACAAGTGATGCGTCTGGCTCTGAGGGCAATGGTTTCATTTCCCTTCAACCGAAACCAAAGTATGCTGAGACTCGACTCGTACCGGACGACGAGGACATGGCAGAGGGGTTTGAGGAGTTCGTCGAGGACGGAAAGATAGCATTAGGATCTAAAGATGAACGGCTACAGGAATCGAAACGGCGCGCCGAAATTGCAGCAAGGATCGCTGACGCAGAAGGTGACTCGGATGAAGGGTCGGAAGACGAATTTGAAGCTGCACGTCACGCAGCGTACGAAGATGCACAATCCCGGGCAGGGGCCTTTGGAACGAAACACGGGACTTCTAGGTATCCAAAGCGACCAACCACTCCTCCACGGATCACTTCGATTCCTCGGCTCGACGAGGTCCACGTCCGTATGCAAGCGTCGATCCAAGACTTACAGGATGCCAACAACGTACGCATGATCCGGTTACACGGCCTGCAGCAGGAGAGGAAAGAGATTGAGGAGAATGAGGCTTGGATACAGACGAAGCTCAAGGAAACAGGCGAGGCTTATGAGAAGCTCAGGCTCGAGGCGGAGGAAGCCACGGCCACGAGAGACGGGGGGAATGCGGTGCCGGCCCGCTCGGAATACGATCCATTGATGCCCAGGGATTCTCCTCATGAGGATCTCAATGGGACAGACTTGGGTGGAACGAATGGGTGATGAAGACGACTGCTAGTCAAATGCAGATGAAGAACTTACCGATTATGACTATGAGAGAGCATTCCAGGTTAGATTGCCTTGGGAAGGCGCCCACTGATGGATTCATGGGGTTGGAAAATGATTGCTTTTTCGAGGTCAAGGTCCGGCACTGGAGCTCGTCGAGTCCTGCGAACATTTGCATCCCGGATGAAGGACTTGGTTCCACTACAGACAGCAAATAGCTGCCATGCTGGACAGGAAGAATTTCCTGAATGAAACCATATTGTCGAAGTGGCATAGAGGTGTTTAAGGCGTGATGGACTTGAGATGTGCATATATATAGCCGGTTGGGTCCCTGTGCTACGGTATTCGCAAGGAGTGAACAGCCAGTGGGAACTGGATATTGATATTCCACAGCGACATGCTATGTATACTGTGGTTTGTAGGGTAGTCATCTGCCCGTGGTAGATGTTAAGTTGGTTTTAGGAGGATACTCCAATCATGTCCGACTTTGGTAGATGATTTGTTCCAATGCCATTCAGTACCAAGAATCCAGCCGAATCCATTCAAGGGTCTCTGAGGGGGTATGCCAACATGAAACACGGCCCTTTTACTGATCTCAATCCCCTGATGCTCCTTAGAATAGGTTGTCATGTTTCGGCTTCTTCGTTGCCGTACTCCACCAAACAGAAGCGTGCAAGATGGTACTAATATATGGGCGATTGACGTAATCGTTAGCCAACAGGGATGAGAACGGAGATGGACCAATCAGGAATTAGGGGATTCGGCTGACACAAAATGTGGGCCAACAAATGGCGTGAGGATGGCGCGGATCGCGCACGGCTTCCTGAATGGGAAGTCAGGTACACCAGAATTTGTACTATCAACAAGCCCAAACATGACTGAGAGCCTCGTGTGAATGAGGTGACTGTAACTGTGAACCGTAAACCCATGATAAGGTAAACAAGAGAAAGATTAGATGCACTGCCCCGCAATGTCCTGTACTAATTACTATGAATCTTCCTGCTTCCCTTTCCTCTTTCTTTATTCTTCAACGCTCTCTCAATCTATCCCTCTATTAGAGTGTCACTTCCAGGCCTTCATCTTTTATATTCCAGGCACCTGCACCAGCTAGCTCTTGGAAACCAGCTGGGTATTGCCACTCCACGCTACCACATATCAAGAGCTTTCCCTCCCTTTTCACCAGAGCCACTTGCAGAACCACTTGCAAAACCACCTGCAAAACCACCGTCTCTTACCCTCACCTCCTCACATTTCATCATGTCGCTCCCCTCAGTACTTCCTCGAACCTTCAACCCAATCCTGCGCAGAGCATATACCACTGAGCCACCACACAATCGCTTCTGGAGGGTTCAGGTCGGCCTTGCAGGGTTATACATAACCGCCGCCGCCTCACTACCGTTTGTGCCACCGTTCCTGGCAAGTCGGAAAGCAAGGAGAGAAGGATGGGACAACCAGGAATGGCAGAGACGAGGTCCTTTTTGCGGAGTTCCGAGTCGGTGACCCGGGGAGAAATGCTACTCACACCGTCACTAAAGCTTGAATTCGGCGAACGCCGAGAAGAAACTCCTAGGGATGGGGAGAGTGGAGATGAAGTGCAAGAGCGGATGTATTGGCGGTAGCTTGCTCCTCGGGTGTTGCATTGCCATGGAGCATCGGGCATACATTCACGTTACTCCCCAAGGCCAGTGCATAGGGCATCGGGACTGGGATATGCATTCAAGGTGTTGCAGGCGCAAGGTTGGAGGCTCGAAGCGGAGCCGAGATGGCACACAGGCGTTCAATTGATTAGATATATGGCGTTGGCAATGCAGTCCATTTTACCCTCCATGTTGGGAGGTTGACGTATTTTGTGTATCCAATTCTATCTCGTCTTTGCCGGGTAAAGATGCCAATTTCCCCGATCAAAATGTCTTGATGCTGTATAGGCGAAAGGCACTCAGTCCGGAGAGACATCGACGATGCGCATGGAAGACTCCATGTAGGCCGATCTTTGGATACCGTCAGCGGATGTTAGAACTGACACCTGATGGCTTCTGACGGCTCGGATTCCTAGTGACGTTTTTTTTATGCTCCAGTAGCGCCATCGTGGCTCCCACTGATGACTTACGAATAGAGCCTCCGCTCCCCGAGCCCGCTGCTCCGAAACCGTTCGTATAGCCACTTATTGTTCAACCCCACTCCCCCAACGTTGGGTGCACTGCCTCTTGGTAATGGCGTCGGGGATCCAGGGCCCACGCTCATATTTGATATGCTACTCTCGCCCAACACGCCTGGGCTTCCCGCACCACCCATGCTCCATCTCTTTCTACTTCCACTCAAGGAAGGCGAATGACTTGGGCCAACCGAGTGAGAACGTCCTAAGCCTATCGAGTCTGCTAAGGGGCTTCGGTCGCGGATGCTCATTCCCATTGGTGAGCCAGAGGCAGAGCGCCGACCGGAGGCCGGGCTAAATCGAGGGGGTATCGAGAACGCCACCGGACTAGAGCCAGCAACGGCGCGTGTCGTAGACGGCTCGAAGGAAGGGTTGGGGCTACGGGAACGCGCGGAAGTCGATGGAGAGTGAGGGAGGCGCGGCGGTGTATGGATGCCGCTTCCAGGCGTCGAGGCAGGTGTCGATGTCTTAGAAGCAGGAAGTGGCGGAAGGTTGAGGAGGGACCGTTGAGTTGGAGTAAGAGGGATATCCGAGAAGTCATCGGGGGTGAAGAAGAGGGGATGCATCGAATGGGCTATGACACCAACGAGAGAGACACGGAAGGCTAGGAGGATCCATGGGAGAAAGGAGACTGGGAAGGTCGTTGGGTTTTCCAGGGTAGGTTCCGTGGGTATCGTGAGCATGTCTTCGGTTTCTAATGGCTCGTCGAAAAGGAATTGCAGGCTACGAATAGGACTCATCAGCATCGCCAACCACATTAGCGCCAGAGTACCCGTACCATGCTTTGAAGACGACCGGCAGCATTTCCCCCGTCTGATAGACGGCAGGAGCTGCGTAAACACTGAAAACGAGTAATGCGATGGACCAGACGATCGTCCGTATGTTGCGCCCTCCAAAGGTGCTCGCGCTTTTCCTTCGATTGATTTCGTTCATGCGCGGATGTTGCCATCGCGCCATGGGGGGTGTAGCCGGAAGTGACGGGGTAGGAGTGGGGGGTATGGCGGGCGACGAAGGCGATGGTCGAGGCGTCATGGCCTTTGTAGATATGACTGAAGCCATTCCAGACCTGGGGGATGGCCGGACTCCTGCAAGTATGTGTTTAGTCAAGTACTCATTGTCATTGTTTGGCTGGATGTGTGGCTTCTTACCTGGAGAGTTCATGGGTGCTGTTTGGGGCGTTAACAAAATACTTACCGATGATGTTGATATGAAGCAAATTTCCTATGGATTCATTGTTAGTACGGCGTCCGTCTCCCAAACTCGGGACTCCTGCAATTGAGATTGCGATTGGAAGATGTGTGTTGACGGAAGTTGAACAAGATCGAAGGTTGAAGTCAAAGTCAAAGCGGGAACACGTGAAATCGTCAAGTTGCTTTGTTTCCCAGCGACGACCGCCAAGAACTCCAGGAGGAAGTCGCGGGGGTGGACCCCTGTCATGCTGTGCCACACTTTCGACGCCACAGTCCACCTTCACCAGAGACAATCAGATCCATGGTCCAGCACACTGCTGACTGCACACAACACCTCCTGTCGTCATCCTCTCTAACCTCCTGTTTTACACGTATAGTTCGGTACAGATCCTCTACAGAATACCTCTACCTCCGCCGGGATTGCGGCTCTCTTCATACAACCATTGAGATCCATTTCCTCGATACCCAACACCGCACCGAACATGGCGAAGCTTGTCGATGATCTGGACGCCCTCCTGGCCTCTTTGATCGCCGGTTGGAATGTCTACTCCTCCGTCCTTCTGGGCCTCATGGTTCTTTTCGTCGTTTATGCTATATCCTCTGCACAGGATCCAGACACTCACCCAATGATTCTACTCCGGCAAGCCGCCCCATCCATGGTGCGCCAGCCGGGCGAGTCTGCTACCTACCGCTCCCACGAAGTCCCCCACAGCTATCCTCTGAAGACGGGGCTCAACGTCAAAGCCCCAGGTGCGCCTCCGTATACAGCGGGTAAAAATGGTGACCTCCGAGACATATGGCGAAGAGTGCTTGGAATCATTCCTCGAGAGCAAGCCGGCACAAAGAGCCAGATGGGGAAGATCTTCACCGTGCTTGGGCGAGGAAAACCAACCGAGCATGAATTGGACCAAATCACGAGGGAGATTAATAGCATTGGAGAGTCGATCAAGTCGCATGGTGGGAAGAGGGTGGCGGTGTATCTGCCGAACCGCATTGAACTGTTGGCCACACTTTTCGGTAAGGAGAACGTAAATAACATGGTGGTGCTCCGCTGATGTGACGGTAGCTGGCGCGTTTTATGGCTTCAGCGTTACCCTGCTCCCTTACAATCAATCTCACCCGATCGTGATCGAGCAGCTTAACAGAGTCGGCGCAGATACTTTGATCGGAGAAGCTGGTTCCCTCCCACTAGCCGATGCTGTGAAGTCCGCCACTAAGCTCAAGCAGGTCATATGGGTGGTGGAAGAGACGTCGCGCCACATGGATTGGACCGATGTGCCATCGGACGTGGGTGGCCAAGCGGACGTGTCTGTCTGGCATGAGCTGGTATCCGATCATCCAGGCTCCCTCGGGGCTTCGCTTCCGGATGAAATTCCTTCTAGCTCCTTGGGGACGGTTGGATTCATTTGGCAACAGAATCCGAATGCTGTCGGCTCCTTTACGGAATTCACTCAGGCCCAACTCGTCGCTGCAATCTCCGCCCAACTCTCCGCCTTACCGATCAACCATCGCTTTTCTCCTTCTGATCTCTTTTTCTCTGCCGATTCTCTGGACTCCTCCTATACCCTTATCCTCACCTTAGCCGCGCTTTTCTCCCATTGTTCTCTAGCCATCAACTCAGTTGCTAACGCTGATGTCAACCTTGATGTCAGCACTTCGTTCATCGCACCCACTATTGTCGTTGCTTCGGCTAAGTCGTTGAGCAACCTCCACGCTGAGAACCATGCGTCGATGCGGAGTAGCTCTCTCAAGCGACTGGCGCACTCCACCCAGTCGACTGTGCTGGCCGCTGGCCGCATGCCGAAACCTTCACTTTTGAGCAGTATCTTACCTTCCGAGCGGACTTCACTGGGGAACACACCCGGTAAACTTCGATTGGTGTACGTTGCAGAAAGAGTAGGAAGTGACGTCACTCCCCCATTGAGCTCTGAGGAGTTGGTGAATCTGCGTATTTTCATGGGTACGCGAATCGTATACTCCCTTACCGCGCCCCAAGTGGCTGGAGCGGTGTGTCAGACTGGGATGTTCGATTACAGGACTCAAAAGCACGAATCTGGTGGAAAGAAGCAATATGGGCATTTCGGAGTTCCCTTGTCTTGCGTGGAGATCAAAGTTGTCGACACTGCACAACATCGGACCACCGACGAGAAGGCAGTGGGTGAGGTAAGTTTGGCCCAACTCTTCCAGCATGTAAACGTCACTAAACAACGCAATAGATTGTCGCATCAGGTCCTGCGGTCGTTGGCGGGGAAGCAAAGCTTGGAGTCAACGGGCAGTTTAATGATGATGGAACGCTCTCATATGTGTAAACGCTGTTACGAACCCGGATGATCATGTACAGCAAGAACTCTGATTCATCTCCTTTGTTGCACATTGTGCTGCGTGTCCAACTTCCAACTACCTTGCTGCAATCAGCGTCCGAGAATTCCGTCGTGGCCCACTCGAGTGCAATGAGCGAACTTGGTCCCATGAGGAATGCGATGGAAATGGTAGAGAGAAATGCGAGCGTATCTGACTGTACGGGACACCCAAGAGGTTAAATTTACAAATTTTAGGGGAGAATTCGGGAGCGACTAGGGGACACAATCAGATATTTGGATAGGCTAGCTCTTCTTCTGATTTGGTTAGCGGCTCACAATATCCCCGCTAATTACTAGCCCAACCTCAACTTCCCTGCTGACCAGCACGTCAACATATGCAATCAGCAGTCAAGGTTCGGCGCTCATTACAAGGAGCTATTAATCATTTAATCGAACGATTTGATCAGAAGGAAATCATCCTTCTCCCAAGTTCCTAATGTCCTATCGGTTGACTTTTGGGGATCCGGATCGCAGGCTCGCAGAATGCTGGCGCATCCAGGACTGCTGGGGCTGCACGCATAGTCCCTGGAACTGCGGTTGGTGTCCATTTGTATGCCTTTACGCTTTCATTCAAGTCAATTTAATTTACAATATCGATATCCCGTTTCGATAGGCATCTGACCAGGAGATTTCTGATGTCCCTACAACACCAAGGTGCAATGAGACTGGAGGGATATGCCCGAGTCTTGGTTCCCTATCAACAGATCTGTCATACCAACGCAAGTTAATTTTCGGATTAAGCTTGATTCTGACCAATTTATGTAGTCTTCTGCATGCATTCCACTTCCCAATTCCGCCGTCCCTTTATTGGCTCCTGTGACAAACCCGTCCATATGTCCTTCCTCGAATGAACGATTCGAGTTGCGCACCCGCGCTTTAGGGTGTGGTTGTTCGACCACGACATTCCTCAGCATTACCGTCACAATCGCAGCAACGATCGCAGCATTGCTCATCGGCTACGCTATCTCTTGGTGCGCCAAGGGCATAGTTCGAGGACGGAAGGCAGCAAGCGCCGGCTGGGAGGTTTGCGTGGATGAGAACGGAGAAAGAGTTCAGGGGGTCTGGGAAAGGAAGGATTTGAAGACGAGATGGTGGCCATTTCGCAAGACGAATATTAGAGAAGACGACCTCCTGTTATGTGATGGTGATGAGATAACAAAGAGTTGGAGGTGGTGGAGGCCTTGGAAGAGTCGATCGGCGTCAAGATTACGGAACGGCGCCGACATTGATCACCAGTCTGATCACAATTAAGACGCTTCTAAGCGGCTCACGAGTTCGGTATCAAGTACACTCTCGAGCGGGAGTGACAGATATCGTCGACGTATGGGATTTAAACGCGATAGAATTACTTGAAACCTCCGATTTTTCTCTGAACCCTACACTAAGAAAGCCAGATATGAAACAACGGCATCTAAATCAAAGAAATTTTTCCAAGAGCTGGAATCCGGCCCTCCAGTGGATTGGTCTACAAGCCGTGCCGCATGTCTCCAATTCTCGAACCCAAGAGTGAGATAATGCCGAGTCGAAGCGGCTATTCATTTTATCGTGACGATTTCCTCGGCGCTGGTGGGATGGATTGCTACACATCGATCAAAGTCTTTCTTGGTTGCGCCCATCTTGAGTGCAACGCCAAAGCCTTGCAACATCTCTCCGCTGTTCAAACCGAGGATATGAAGACCAACCACCTTCTCCTCCGGCCCCGCGCAAACTAACTTATACCTATTGAAGCGTTAGACTTGCCGAAATGAAGAAACCGGACATTACGACGGACTCTGTTGGCTTATCCGCCTTCTCCTCTGCTGGGAACACGTCGTAAAACATGGCAGAGAATTTCGTGTGGTATACCTCATTTATGTCAGCCATGGAAAATAGCCACACGGAATCGAATTACCTTTATCTGGTCGGCCCCGAACCTTTCTCTTGCCTCTGGTTCAGTCAGACCAATGGTGCCTACCTCTGGATGAGCGAACACGACGCTAGGAATATTCTGATATTCCAACTTTGACTCCTTTAGATGCGGCGGCCCAAATAGTCGATTTCCAAGTTGCCTGCCAGCTGCAATGGCAACAGGGGTAAGTTCCATTTGACCGGTGACATCTCCAAGTGCGTATACTCCATTGACGTTGGTGTTCTGCCACTCATCGACGATAATATGACCGTGCTTCGCGACTTGGACCCCGATCGTCTCTAGGTCCAGGCTCTTCGTTTCAGGGCCTCGACCAACAGCCCAGAGAAGCTCGCCGACCTCGAAGTCTTCACCCGAATTGGCTATAAGCTTCAACTTCTTGTCCGGAGACGGCCCCTCACATCTCCTTTCGTGTGGAGTTCCACTCGAGGGACAGTTATCAAGTCTTTCCACCTTTGCAAATCCACCGAAGTTCTTGTGGATGATGACCCCGGCGTCTTCATACCGCTTTGTTAACGTCTGTTGAATCATCGGATCAAACTTGCGTAAAAACGTCGAGCCCCTAATGAACATGTGAACCTCAACGCCAACGGCATTGAGCATCCCTGCGATTTCGACGGCAATGTAGCCCGCTCCCACGATTGCCATCTTCTTTGGAAGCACTTCAATGTCAAAGAACCCATCACTTGTGAGCCCATGGTGCGCACCCTCGACATTTGTTGGAAGTATCGGGTAAGAACCTGTCGCGATGCAGATATGCGGAGCCGAAAACCGAGCCTTGCCACTGCCGTCTTGCAGTTCAACTTCAAGTTCCCTGCTATCCACAAACGACGCTGTACCATGAACGACTTCGATGCCTTCTTTGGTCCAGTTCCGGTCATATGCAGCACTATTCCTCGCCACAGCTGCATCGCGCTTCTTCTTGAATGCCGCAAAATCGTAAGGGACATGTGCTGGGATATCATAGCCGTAATGGACGCCATCACGGAGCATCTCCGATATGGAAGCGAAGTTCCATGTGATCTTTTTGGGAACGCATCTGTATCATATTTTAGTATACTTTCATCCAGCCTCAAGGTTTATTGCAATCGAGTTACCCGACGTTGACGCAACATCCTCCTGACGGGCCGTCGAGGATGATCAGTGTCTTTGCTCCATACCATCCTGAAGCTCTCCTTGCTGTTCCACTACCTCCACTTCCACCTCCAATTACGATGTAATCGTAGGCCTTCGCTGGGGCCATCGTACTGGAATGACGAATTAATTGGGTATAAAATTGGCGGAGTCGAGACGCGGTATTTTGGACTCGCTGCTGAGACGTGGACGTTGAGTTTGACACAGTCGACACGGCGCGCTGAACCATGGTGCGCGACATGGTGGGACATTTATGGTCTCCACGAGACCAGTTGACCGATTAAATCTGATCCAGCCCTTTCATGTTTGACTGGTGTAATGATGCACGATCGTCTCGGCCAAGGATAATGGTATCTTGAAAAGGGTTTGTCATCTAGCCACGATGCTGACATAATACATGATAAGCATGGATTGAAAGGACAATGGCAAATGAGTGCATTTGGCCATTGGCAATAGATGGACAATGGTAGAAATGCAAGTCAACTACAGCATGTACTGTCTTGTAATTTGATGGTTCTCCCGATTGGGAGTTGGAGATTCAGGGTAAGGTAGCCTGCTATCCATGAGTGATTAAAACCTTGTGAGGAGAATTATGTCTATTCCTGCCATACCTTTTGTAATCACTAACTAATACCTGTCGACTACCGGTGAACAATTTACACTTTACACAATAGGTAGATTACCGAGTGAGACGACGTCCACTCAAGCCCCGACACAGCATAAAGAAATGGTCAATGTCGTCCTGTCCATCATAATTGATAGCATGTACATCGTCAGGACGGCAGTCGTCATCTCCACCACCTGAACAGAAACAGACCAACATCCGGCATACCACACGCTATGCTCGCCGCATACTCGTTGCTATCATGATCCAGAAAGGAGATACTCTACCGCGCCTTGTACACTCCCCCCTGACCTCCTCAATGCTTGAACGTTTCGCTCGAACTCATAGAACCCCATATCGTTCAACTGTCGCAACTGGTCCGCATATCGGTCCTCCGGTGGTCGGTCGTCCGGAGGAGAAGCTTGAGGTTGAGCGCCCCCAAACATCCATGGCATCCCGCCCAATCCGTTTCCTCCTGCTCCTTGCCCGGCTCCTTCATCGGCTCCTTGTCCTGCCCCAAGACCGCCTCCGTTCATTCCTTGCATCATCTGCATAGCCGCACGCATGGCCTCGGGGTTCTGCATCATTTGTTGTGTCATTTGTGCGATCGGATTGGCTCCTTGCGAGTTTGCGTCGCCGGACGGAGGCGCACCGAATAGCGCGGCAAAAGGGTTGGCTGGACTGGGTTGGGTTGGCTGGGTTGGTTGATTCTGTTGGTTCGGTTGTTCTTGTGCTTCGCCCGTCCGTTCGCTCGGCTGGGTAGTTTGTCCGGCCTGAGTCTGTCCTTGCGGGAAAAGCGATGCGAATGGGTTGGCCCCAGCACCGCCAGCACCACCGGGTAGATTTCCAAACAGAGCAAATGGGTTAAAGGCAGGTGGATCGGTGCCTTCCTGGCCCTGGTTTCCAGCCCCGTCTTGCTGAGGCGTGGTGTTCGTCACACCCGGAGCAGGAAATGCGTTCTCACCGCCACCGGCGCCTCCGAACGCGCGATGGATTTGCAGCACTTGACGGATCATGTTGGGATCTGTCAACATTCTCCGCGTTTCAGGATTTCGGAACATTTCTCGGAATTGAGGGTTGGCGCGCATTTCGGGAGCATTTTGCATCATGTCAATAACTTGGGGATTGTTCATCATTTCGTTGAATTGTTGGAGAACGTTGGGGTCATCGAGCAGTCGTAAAAGCGTATCGGGATCCGGTGGTGGACCCATCTGCCACTTGATCAGTCATAGTAATACGTAGGAGTCGAGCGACATACCCCTCCATCCGGACCGAATGTACTGGCACTGGGTAAACCGTGAAACCCTGCGTACCGGGCACCCGTGAGAGCAGCAAAGGGATTGTTTCCAGTACCAGCTGCTATATTTGTAGGAACATTTGACGCTGGATTCGAGGGTTGTCCAGCAGGGCTTGTCGAGCTGGTGCTTTGGGATGTCGGATTCTGTCTGGCGTTGCTCGCTGCGCCTTTGACCAAATGTATCGTATTTCCATCCTTGAGTTTGAACGAGGCTAGCGTATCGGTGTCCTTCAAGACCCGCCCCGAATATATCAATCGTTGCCGTTCAACGGGAATATCAGCATATTCCGCCGTGGCCAACTTGCCCTTCAGGTCTGAAACGGTTGCGTTCTCCGAGAGCGTCAGGACGTATTTCTGGTCGTTGGCAGCCTTCACATTGAACGTGACATGGACGTCCTCCGATGCCCCGGCCGTTTGGTCTTCCTCAGCCATGGTGGGCTTGATAAGAGTGAGGAGTGTGAGTTTCGATGGATCCGATGGCAACTGATATCGAGCGGCGACACGGCTCCAAGGTGTATAGAAGCGGGGAAAGGAAAGGCGGATGATCAGAGCAGGAGAAGATAGATATATCGCAAAAGGTGCGCCGGTTGAGGGAGAATACGGCGACGGTGGATGAAGGTTCTTTAGGTGAGCCGAATATGAATGAACAAGTGAGCGAATGGTGCTGGGTGACGAATTCCGACCCTACCTAGTTACGTGGAGCATCGGATGTGATCGATGTGATCTCATGTTATGTTATTCATCATACTGAGGACCCTGAAGCTATAGTTGCCACGTGACACGGTCCATCTTTGGTCCATTTCGCTGGATGGAAGTTTGATCCATCCGCTTGGATGTTGGACCTTTCTAGTTCGGTGGAATTTTGAAAGCCGAAGTGCACGACGGTTATTAATTCAGGTCAAGTTACCTTAAGAGTCTCATCGCCTTTATGCTGCAACCCGACAGAGTCCCTAAACAAGCAAGACAGTCTATGGTTTCGAATGGTACTCCAGGATCTCCTTATCGCTAATCACGCTTTCTTCTCACCATGACAATCTTTCCAATGAACTTCCCGAATGCCCTGGAACGAGATTCGGATATTTGTTCCAAGTTATACTGATAGAGGATACAGTATATCTATACTATACGAGTCACGGAGCCCCTAGGTATGCAGCTATGGAAAGCCGTCATACGATAAGAACAGTCACTCCTGAGCGATAACCCTTGATGCCTTGGCCCTAGACCTGTATCTCTTATCAAACCGATGTTCGTTACCCATCTTATTGACATCTCCGTCGGCGGAACCATAATCTTGATCGATACTATTGCCGTTCGGGCAAGTGATCACCTCGCGCTCCGTACCACGATGTGCGTCTTTGATGTCTATCAGTCTATCTTATCCGTCCATGTGGTTACACGAAGCTCACGCCCTTCCCCATGACTAGCTGGGAAATAAATGGCGCTGTTATCGCAAAAGACGGCTTGTAGTTTGGGCTGTCCGAAGATGCAATCAAGATATGAGCAGTACCTGAACCGACCTCTAAGAGTGCCACATCGCGCTGTATTGTTTCCATCGTTTTTATTGTTTTTTCCAACAGATCATCCTTCTATTCTGTCTTGAATTCTTTACAGACATACTCGGTTCCAATTCGGTCCATTGGAGCACAGAGCATCCTTTCGCATACTCCTTCACCTGTGCGCTAATTGTTCGAGATCTGTGTCCTCGACCCATGAATATGAAGCTGCAATTCAAACGTCCACATTTGAAGGTGTCCCCGGCAAAGTCGGCGTTCTCAGAAGGCAACCCTCGATGGATCAATCGGGACTTGGAACCGGTCCGAAGACATGAGCGCAAATGGACGGTACTAAGCTTTATTGTGTACTGGCTCAGCGATGGCTTTAATGCATCCGCATGGCAGTTTGCGTCTTCGATCATTGCAGTGGGACTGACCTGGAGAGAGTCGTTGGTGATCGTGGCAGTTGCCTTCTTTATTATCAGTTTCGTCATTTCACTTAACGGTGCGTGGAAAAAACCTCATTTCCATTGTAGATGTCTAGCTAACCCTTTACCAGGTGCAGTGGGTGTGATACACCATGCTCCGTTCCCGGTCATCGCAAGAGCGAGTTGGGGATTCTGGGGTTCCTATGTTCCTATCATATCCCGAGCCGTCCTGGGAGTCTTCTGGTTTTCCATCATGACCATGAATGGCGCGAACTCGGTACGCGTAATGATTGGGGCCATTTGGCCTTCCTTCCTCACCTTGCCAAATCACATCTCTGAAGACCAGGGGATTGCCACGAACACGATGGTTTCCTTCCTCATATTTTGGCTGTTCCAGATACCATTTCTCTGCATGCATCCGAATACCTTGCGATGGCTATTCTTAGTGAAGTCGATCCTGGTGCCTATTGCGTGGATTGCGATATTGATTTGGGCCTTCGTATCGGCCAAGGACATGGATATGTTTGATCAGACAGCCACAGTGTCTGGATCAGCTTATGCTTGGGGATGGCTTGCTAGCTTGACATCTGTCATCGGCAACTACGCCACTTTGTCTGTCAATCAGGTTAGTGTCTTCACGAAGCGTGCAGGAGATGTGTTAACCGATACCTCTAGGCCGATTTCTCTCGCTATTCTCGCGTTTCCGTGAAATGGCAGCTTCTCTACGTACCTCTGCTTCCTATCGTGTTTACCTTCACCGCCTTCGTCGGTATTGCGGCTACTTCTTCCGGTGCTGCACAATACGGCGAACTCAATTGGGATCCCATGGACCTCATTTCCCACTGGCCCTCACGTGCGGCACGGTTTTTTGTAGCGGCATCGTTCGCACTTGCAGCGCTCGGCGTCAATATTTCCGCAAACAGCTTGAGTGCTGCCAATGATCTGACCGCACTGTTCCCGGCTTATGTGAACATCCGTCGTGGTCAGCTTCTATGTGCTCTCTTGAGTTGGGCGCTTGTTCCTTGGAAAATCCTTGCGTCTGCTGCCAGCTTCCTCAATTTCATGGCTGCGTACGCGGTGTTCCTTGGTCCTATCGCGTCGATTATGGCCTGTGACTTCTGGATCATCCACGAAAGGAAATACGACACGCTGGCACTCTACCAGCCGTACTCAATATATCGATACACCTATGGAATCAATTGGCGAGCCATTGTATCGTTCTTTGTTGGCGTTGCTCCGAACCTTCCGGGGTTTATCAATTCTATCAACCCAGATGTTGACGTTGGAGTTGGTATACATCCATATCAGTTTGGATGGCTTTTAGGTTTTTTCGGGACGGCACTGGTATACATCCTTCTAGGAAAGGTATTCCCTCCGCAAGAGACTTTCATTGACAAGGCTGTGTTACCGGATGATGTATATGATGCATCTGGATACATGGACGAGCCAACTGACGGAGAGTCCAATGTTCTGGAGGGTCAGACGGTGCCTATCGACGAGGAAAACATTGTTATCGAAGGAGAGAAGGGGAGAAAGGACCGGCATCGGTCGGAAAAGATACTGTAACGTATTCCACAAGCGAGCGGCGCATACAAGCGAGCGGCGCACCCCAACCACAAAACGTGTCTCTCTATCTTTCATCAACAATGGAACAATCAAATCAACCTCAATCAAACCAAAATGAAGGTCGAGTATAATTAGCAAAATTTGCTATCGATCAAGACCAATTCAAAGTAATCGAAGTGCTTCAAGAACCTATGGTGCAGCTGAAATCACGCTTCGTCGGCGACGCGCCTGAATCCCTTCACGACGCGATTGTACGCCCAATTCAAGAAAACTTACGGATCTAGAGGAGAGGGTTATTATTCAACATATCTTGGACCTGGATTCGCGAGGATTTGGGCCCCGGTTGAATGGCGTTGAAGATATGGCCAATAAGCTACTTGCTACTCGGGATAGCGGACGCGTCGGCGTTGACTGGGCCTCAAACTGTGTTAAGAGGACCCCTGAGCTCAAGATGCGCTTTAATGGACGGTTAGACTACCAGAGGGCCTAGAATGAGGACCCAGAGATCATGAAGGGCTGGTTTGAGCTCGTGCGCAATACTATCGCTAAGTACGGCATCCATGAGGATGATATCTATAACATGGACGAAGTAGGCTTCCTAATGGGCCTTATCGCAACAGCCAAGGTTATCACAGCCTCTAAGAGACGCCATCGACCGAAAGCGATACAGCCAGGCAATCGCGAATGGGTCACGGTTATTGAGGGAGTCAACGCTCAAGGCTGGTCTATCCCACCTTTCGTGGTCTTTAGTGGACAATACCACCTCTCAGCGTGGTATAGCGATGATATACTAAAGGATTGGGTTTTAACCCTAAGCGAGAATGGATGGAATACGAATAAGCTTGGATTTGAATGGCTTCAGCATTTTGAGAAGTATATAACACCTCGTATAACTGGAGGCTGGCGTTTCCTGATCATTGATGGGCACGAGAGCCATAACTCGCTTCAATTCCAGGAATTCTGCAAAGAGAAGAACATTATTATACTTTATATGCCTCCGCACGTGTTCCACATTCTCCAGCCGCTTGAGTGGGTTGTTTTGGGCCACTAAAGAAGGCGTACGGATATCAGATTGAGGACTTGATACGGAACTCTATCAACCACATCACTAAACTCGAGTTCCTACCAGCATTCAAAGCCGTACACGAAGCCGCTCTTGCGAAGAAGAATATCCGTAGGGCCTTCCGAGGCTCAGTGCTAGTTCCGTACGATCCAGAAGCCGTGATTTCGAAGCTCGACGTCAGACCAAGGACTCCGACTCCAGCAGCTGAGGATGCTCAATAGGAGACGAAAACACAAAGCAACGCTATTGAATTGATGGCTCAATCGAAGCTAATTCAAAGCCGCATTACGAACTATCAAAATAGCTCGCCTACGCCAATCAATAAGGCACTTGATCAATTCGTTAAGGGCGCCCAGGCGATGGTCCATTCGCTTACGATTCTGAAGGGTAAAAACAAGAGCCTTCGAAAGGCAAACAAGCTCGCAACACAACGAAGACAACGAAAAAAAAAGCGGATTCAGGAGCGAGGGTCTTTGACTATTGAGGAGGGCAGGATTTAATCAATCATTCCGCCGTTGAGTCCCAAATTTCTTAAGAAATGCGTCAAAGTCGTACCTAACAGGACGGGGCTGCGCTGCGTCGAAGGCGATGTGGACGCTGCCGTGAGGTAGGACATCGTATTGAAACATGTCCTCTAGGTCAGCAAGATACTGTAGAATAGACTAGATATTAACAACAATTGATTTTATTTGGCGTTGTAGAGATATCTGCTTGTGAAGTGGTTTACTATGGTTGGGGTGTGCCGCTCGCTTGTGGAATACGTTAGGGATATGTAGGAGGGTAGTTCATATTTCGATATAGTAGCAGCTACCGCCAGATGCAGACTGAATCACCCATCCAGGGTTAAAGGAAATTGATCGTCCTCCCCCAAACCCTAAAAATGAAAATGGAGGCGGAGTGGACAATAGGATCCTGAAGCATATTACCCCGCATATGGAAAACTCTCGATCTGTCTTTTAGGTACTTATCCTCCTTTTACTTACCTTAGGTAAGTCGGCAAGTATCTATCCGACTCTCCGTTACCTAAGGCCGGCACGGCCGGGAAAGGATGTCAAAGTCTAGCCATCAGCGTACTTCTCCCACATCAACTTTCTTCGACCCTGGATGATATTATATCACATCAACCGTCTGAGAGGTGAAGACAGGATTTGGTAGCCCAATTGACAGCCATGGAGAAATAGCTAAGCGGCGTCCGGAGCCCAGGTTTCCATTTTCCGGTTCCCAGGTTGCATTTGACAACCAATACGGAGTACAGGGTTCCCCGGATATTGACCATTCCGTAATTCGACTCCTGCCCTTTTCCTTTCCACATGACTGATCTTTACGATCCCACAACAATCATATCCTCCAAAATCACAAATGTTGATATTGAATTTCTTTCACATGGCAGTCACAGATGCTAATGGATCTTGTGCATAGCTGTGACCCTCTGAGAGGTGCCCGCCACCTCCCCATACTATGTTCGTGGTCACTGAACTACACTCGCTTGTTGAAGCACAGTGCTAGCCTTTCCTCTACCATTTGTCCTCAGATACTCAATTATCTCGCATCACAATTGCAACTGGTAATACTACAGGCCCCTATTGATCCATCCTGGAGATACACCTATTCTATAACTTGGGAGTCTGTACGAGGGACTGAGTATTCCATATGTGGACAGTCCACTATACAGCAACCTATTGCAAAAGTTCCTGGTAGATGAATTGGGCTACTGCCTCTATCCAGATCTTCTTTTTCCTTCAGTTAAGCGATTGATTCTTAGCATCCTTCCTATGTACAGGACTAGGACTCACAGATCAACGATGTTGGTCTATTTCGGAACGGCATCGCTCCTAACCCGTCTTTTCCCAGTCCATCTATATCATGGTCATGTCTGAGTTGCATAATACGGATGCAGGCGGTGCAAGGCCCCGAACTCGTCGGAAGGCCTGACAAGCCTGATCGAACCAGTGGAAGAATATCATTTTGCCTAGTAGAGCAGTCCTTTTCGGTATGTTCCAGCATGACTACGAATCCTAGAATGGACCCGAGATTCCGGACACTCAGGTGTGCCTCATATGTATATATCATATCGTGATCCTGTATTAGCTCCGCTTTCGTTGGTACAATTGTCATCGCTCCAGTTTGACTGAGTTATACTGCCTTCTCTTGTTCTTACTTTCATTTTTGATCCACTGCCTATTCGAAGAAGCCACAATGTCTGAAAAATACCATGACGCTCACTCCTCCATATCGGGCCACTCCGATCCGGAGAAAGGGGGCGTTGTTCACTACCAGAGTGTTGACCCTGTGTACAAGCCAATGGCAGAAACTCGAGAGCTCAAGAAGATCATGAAGGAACCCGCCGTTGCTTTTGGCGGTTTTGCTGCCCTGCTTCTCCAAATTGCGCACCCTAGTGTTGGTCGCGGTGTTGCCAATCATAGCGACTTTGCCTATCGTGCCCTTGATCGCGCAGACAACACGGGCATTTATATCTACACGATGGTCTTTGGCACAGAGGAAGAGAAAGCGGCCATGAGACACTGGGTGAACCAAGCCCATGTCCCTGTCAAAGGAGGCTCTGGAGCCACAGCGTACAGTGCAAAGGATCCTCGTCTGCAGCTATGGGTTGCGGCCACCATCTACGTCGGAATGATCGGAGGCTACGAAATGGCATATGGGCCCATCTCACCTGCGATAGCGGAGCGCGTGTACCAAGAGTTCTCGATCATGGCCACATCTCTTCAATGTCCTCCTGAAATGTGGCCGAAAGATCGTGCCGCTTTCAGGAAATACTATAACGACGTGGTCGAAAACGAGCTTGTGGTACTTCCGGAGGCCAAAAAGGTCCTTTATGACCTCTTCAAGCCAAAAGGACTTCCCATTTTTCTGCGACCTATCTTTCCCATCGCCCTCTACTTCGCCAAATGCATTACGATCGAACAGCTCCCACCTCAACTCCGAGATGGCTTTGGATTGAACCGAACCAAAACGTCAAAGTTTTCCAGCAACGCGAGCATCGCCGTCTTCCTCGCCATAAACCCTATTATCCCATCTTTTATTAGACATGCGCCAAAGAACTATTACATGTGGAAGATGAGGCGCATGATAAAGAAGAAAGGTCTTGTTAAGGCAGTGCAAGCTTGAAACAGGGATGGACGATTCTAATGTTGATGTTTTCGTTGTCTCGTTAGGATGTTTGAGTACGACTATAACGAATTATCTGATTCTATCAGCGTAGTGAGGACTGCGGATAGGGTCATCTATCGCACATGATGTCATTGGTATTCGAACAATATATATTGCTATGATAACATGCTAAGCCCGACTGAGGATGCACTGGCAATATGCTTTACACATCTCCAAGAATTTCCAGATGGCTAGTGATAAATAACTTCATGGCCCGCAGGATTGATGACCTCCCGTGGCCCAGGCAAACAACCAGGTGTTATTCCAGAACGCTCCAAGTACGAGCTGCTCTACAGCTTCTCAAACGTCGGTTTTCGCTTTTGTAGTCCTGACAGTAGGGCATCTTTGGTATCCTTGGTTTGGATCATGCCGCCATTCCAAACAGCGGTGTAAATCAGGCCATCTTCAACACGTCGGTCCTTTGAAAAGTTGATAATGTTCTTCGTTCCCAGAGTGGCCACAGGGCTCTTCTCAGCAATCAGTTTCGCGATCCCAAAGGCTCCCTTGACGGCGGCAGCTTTGTCCGGGAAGATATGGCTGACATAGCCGACACGAAGTGCTTCTTCGGCGCTCCAGATACGCGCAGTCAAACAGACCTCCTTCACCCAGCTCTGGTTTCCGACGGCTTTGGGGAGCCTGGTCAAAGTCCCGATGTCAGCTGCGATGCCAATGTCCACCTCTTTGACGCTAAATCGAGTGTCTGCGCTGCACACTCGGATATCGCAAGTCACGGACATGTCGATAGCAAGACCAAAGCTGTATCCGTGGAGAGCGGTGATGATGGCTGGAGTTCAGTCAGTTAACAGGATATTCGAGGTTCGTAGCGCCAATAAAGGATAGCTGGAGTTGGCGTACGCTTATCGCATCGTTCTAGCGCAGTGATGCAGTCTTGGAACTCAAGAACATGCTGACGCACTTTGTTCATTTCCTGTGCCTGCATCAGTTCTGTTGAATCTCTAGATGGGGTAATATCCTTACTCTTGCAACATCCGCAACTTTGCCCTTGCCCCCAATGGTCCCCTGTGAGGCGGCTTGAACATCTAGACCCGCAGTATACGCTCGATCACCAGCGCCTGTCGAGCGTCAGATATCACAAGCAACGCGACAACCGAATCTTATCTGACCTGTGAGTACAATGGCCCGAACGTCGGAGTCTCGCGACAGCTTCTTAATGATTTGCTCGAGATTCAGCCACATTCTAAAGAGTTGCATCCGTCAGCCCTACGTACTTCGAGGGTAGCTCTCCAAGCTCTTTCACACATTCATGATTTGTAAGGCTAATGGAATAAACCTTACATTTCGATGAAGGCATTCATCTTCTCCGGGCGGTTGATTTCAACATGTGCCACATATTGCTCCGGAAATGTGACGTTGAAGTACTCGTAGTTATAAGTAGCCGGCATCTTGTAGTTGATTGAGGGGATCGTCCGATTTGGGTGAATGCGAATGTTATGGAGGGATTTGAGAACCAAATATTCCAACGACAATGTGTATGATATGCCGTAACGGTTGATGAAAGTAATATGAATCCATCTTGTAGTCGTCTTACGTTTAGAAAAGAAACAGCAGTCGGCTATCACAGGACCCCGTGTATCAACACCTCGGTCTTGGCAGTAAACAAATGGGCAGTTGCTATTGGCCAGATATAGTTCCTAGGATGAACTGGTCCGGTCTTGGTCCACACGATCTCGACTCTCGCGCTAGAATTTGGATGCATAGAAATTCGAATCATCAATTTGGCAGTTCAATTTGGCAGTTCACAGGGACACAGTGGAAATCAGAATGGATCCTTTTGATGCTTATGCTGGATGTGAAATTTATCAACACCTCATGGAAGAATGCTCCATGACCTTCCGAGGCAGAAACGCCAGTCCGATACTATTGAGCAGGAGGATTTTCCTCAATAGCCGCTTTCCCATCTAGACGGCCACATGTCAACCTCCCACCTCCTTTTGACACCCCCATCCCTCATCACGCTCGTCCAGCGGCTTAACCTCTGCTCATGACGCCCCAGCAGCGGATGATGTTGTCGGTGTAGCCACTGAAGAGGGTCTGACCATCCGCACTCCAAGCCAAGCTGATGCACTCCGGCTCTCTGCTCTTCTTGCCGACCTCAACGAAGTCTGGCTTGAGTTCGTCCACACGAGTCTTCTTCTCGAGATCGAAGATGACGATGCTGCTGGACGTGGCAGCACAGAGCCAGTAGCGGTTGGGGGAGAAGACAAGGGCGTGAATCTCATCGCCGGCAGCGAGAGAGTAGAGATGCTTGGACTCGTTCAAGTCCCACAGCATGGTCGTACCGTCCTTGCCTCCGGACGCGCAGAGAGAACCATCGGGAGAAATGGTGACGGTGTTGATGTATCCGGTATGGCCGATGTGATCGGTCTGGATCTTGCACGTGGCCAATTCCCACACCTGTGATGATCTTGTTAGCCATGGACTTGGAGGGAAAGTCGTAGTCATTGAAGTGCATCGTGTTGTCCCATCAGTTGCAGGTGTGTATTGTTCTCATGGCCAAAAGGCTCTGAAGTAGCAAATATTTTGAATTGCATAGCATCATATGATCGCGTGGAGATTGGGGTGTATCTTACCTTCACTAGCTTGTCCCACCCGCTGCTCACGATGACCGGGTTTTGCGGGTTGGGGGAGAATCGAACGCATGAAACCCATTCGGTGTGTCCCTTATCCGTGATGGTGTACTTGCAGTCGCCCAGAGTGTTCCACAGCTTGATGGACCGGTCGCGAGATCCAGAGACGATTTGTCGGTTGTCGGCGGAGAAAGAGACGGAGAGAACATCGTTGGTGTGACCGACGAATCGGCGAGTGGTGTTTCCGGTTGAGAGTTCCCACAGTCTCAAAGTCTTATCCCACGAGGACGACAAAGCGTATGCGCCATCGGAGGAGATGACCTATACGCAGTCTGTTAGTCTTGGCTCGAAGAGTTGCGGTCAAGCGGCAGTCCACATACACAGTCGGAGACAATGTGCGAATGTCCGTGAAGGCTTCGCTTCGGGTACCCGTATGAGGACTCATCACGAGTAAGGTTCCAAACGATCAAGGTCTTGTCGCGCGATGCGGAGAGGAGCATGTTGGGGCTGCCAATTGTGAGCATCCATGATTTTCAGATGGTATTTCGAGACATACTTCTCCAGGGACGTGGCCAGAGAAGTAACCCAGCCACTGTGTCCCACAAGGGATCCCCTCAAGACTAATTGCTCCGTCATGATGAAGCTTGACTCGTCGGAGACTCGTTGATTCGGGTGTTTGTAGAGGATGTAACGAGCAAAGAAATGTTGAGTCGGATTTCACTTTGGTTGGGTGCGATGCGATGTGGTGGAGAGGTAAGCGAAGCCCGAGGTTTCGCCGTGGATCACGTGCTTCTGTATCATCCGACCTTCAAATCAGCCACGTCCACGGGACGTCAAATCAACTACTTCAAATCAACCGCTCGGATTCTCATAGGACACTTGCTGCTCATTAATGCTCCAACTTCATGCTAGAACGGACAGGCGTCGTTACATTATTATTCACTGTCAATTTGAGTTCCTATTCTAAGCCTGGGATATCCATATAACATTTCTCACATGTTTTCAACTGCCCTGATGCTTCAACCTCCGCCTTTCCAGTCTAATGATGCAGAGAGAGCATGCACAATGTCCCCTGCGTCTTCACCAATGCCTTGAATCGGCATTTTCCGCGAATGGAAACTCGTTCCTCGCTATCACAGATTGCGCGATGGCACCCTGATCCAATACCTGGATTTATGGTCCAAACGTATTGCCTTTGAAGAAAAGTTAGCAATGATCGCGAAAGCCTATCTCAGTACATACGACTGCGTATCCGGTTGCCCGCGTATTTATAGCGGCATGGTGAATACACCGCTTAGGTGTCGTCAGCACAATGGCTGCGCAGCTTCAGGTAATCCTTGGAGACGCTGGCGTGTCCAACCCGCCTACACTCCGAGTGTCCGGCGTAGAAGAATGTGTGGAATGATTCAAGCCATGGCCCTATGGCTTCACACTTTCCGTCGCTTGCATTGTGCAACGACAACACTGATATCATCCAGTTTCCCTAGTTAAATTAGCAACCAGTTCGAATAACCCTTCGACCCAAGCACTCACCTCCTTCAATGGACAGACCTTCATCAACAGCCTTTTCCATGTAGGGGCTCTCTGCAAACGGGTCTTCGGCAATGGTTCGTGCTCGCTTGACTAGCTCCTGCGCTACAAAGCTCATGCCGTCCGAATACGATCGCTCTGCTGGTTCCACGCCCTTCTCATCGTGCGACTCGCCTTCCTGCCATCTCTTCATGCTTCCCAGCACATTGTCCACAACTTCATGTTCCCATAGATTGTCGATCACTCCATCGGTCATGGCCAGAACGACGTCGTCTTCCTCTACCTTTACCTTATCCATTACTGCGTTGTCGTGAGGGGTATCTGGACTATTCGTGCCAAGCTGTCTTGGACAGTCAAACCAATGCCATTGCTCTCGGGTTTTGTAGATGATTTCGCGACTCCGAGGTCGTATCACCATAACCTGCGAGTCCCCTAGCTGAGTCACATAGAGTATGGGATGTGGAGGAGTTTCGCGATCGGAGGTAATCAAAGCACTCGACGCAGTCGTCGTACCAAACCACTCATTAGGCTGGGATGTGGCTTGTTTCGTTTGTTCGAAAGCTCGCTGCAAGTAGGCGATAGGATCAGGATCGTGCGTGCCACCATATCGGTCGCGTTCTGCTTCGAGGGCCCAGAAGTGTAGGATTAAGCGTGACCACAGCCTGAATGGTGCCGTCTAGTCAGCACATTTCGCGAGCGAGAAGAGGAAATCTCATACGCGGCATGCCCTTTTTCCCTCGTTGCCCAAGCACCGACCCCATCATTTGCCCCGATAAAGTGTTCACTCACAAGAACGGCATCATCGCCATTTGTGGTCCCGCGAATCATCTGTCCTTGGTAGAAACTCCTCCTGTCCCTGCTACGATGATGCGTACTGAGAGGATCTGAGAAGCTACCCGACGGATATGAAAGGAAGGGAGGGGGAAAGGGTCTCGAGGGTCGCTTGGCGAAGAGCGCATATCCCGCTTCGAAGTAGAAAGGTGGGAGAGACTGTGTCGCATTCTCTGATGCGGTCGTTCCAGGCGGGGAAGATGTATCTACATGCGGCTCCGATGATGCGTTTCTGTAGTACACAGAAGGGAGATATCGCGGTGGTCGGACTCCGCCATAGGGATGGACTGGAAGAGTGGACAGGGACTTGGTCAGACGCTGAAGCTGTCCATAAAGTGACGTCGGTCGAGCAGTTGGCATCCCAGCGATAAGGGAGAGGGTTTAGCGATGGTGCCAGGGCTTGACAATGTCAAAGGGCGTGTGAGCCCAAATAATACACCAGCATCGAGCGGTGAACTCGGGATTCGACCTGAAGCTTGATCGGAAAAGCGTTGAGATGCATGTTTGGGAACTGATTCCGTGGTGACCGATGTCGATCATGCAGGGATATGATGATGGCCAATCATCATGACCAATGAACAGTCATTGTGACATGTGAAGGTATGTTGAGGACTACTCCATATCGGTGGAGGACTGGGAGTAATAATAACTCCATTTGGAAGCTTCGGTTCCGATTTGGTAATTGCATTGAGTTATTGGTCCCCTCTAAAGGTCCCTCTCGCTCTAGATGGGGTTCTATTGATAGATGGGAAGCATGTCACGAATTGTATTGGACTTCATCCCTGAATGATCGCATTAAGCAATGGTATACGCCATGGTATCTAGTATTCATCTGTACGGAGGCCAAATTCTTCATCGTCTCCGACTTCACTCTGGCTGGCAATGCTCTCCGACACACTTGGGGCCTTGTCGTTTTTCTTTCCAATCCGCTTAAGTGAGCTCCAACTTAGCCCACTCGCTCTTCCACCCCCAACCGTCCCAGAAAGGTTGGGACTGGTCGAGAGATCTGGAACAGTAGCTCGAGAGATTTTCGCATCCTCATCCGTTTCATCTGGTGTTCCGATCTCGGACGACTTTTTCTCTCTCGAGAACAGGCCACTCTTATCTTTACCAAATGCAGGGAAGAATTTTCCCGAGCTGCTCTTTCGGGAGAGCTTTTGCATCAACGACTCCTTTCCGGAGGTGGATGCCGAAGGTGTGAGGGGGGCACCATCCAAGTAGGACCCGGAAGTGGTCCGCTCTAAGGATTCGCGTGGTTGTGACGATTCCGCAACGGATTCGGCCGCGGTTGATATCGAATGGGCATCGCGGGATTTGCGAGACTCGGGGGGTGACTCCATTGGGTCATGGAACCCAGTCGAGTGCATCTCATGGATGGATCGGGGCATTACGATGCTGGGAGTACTCTGCAATAGTTTATCGGGGGTTTTGTCCTTGTCCTTGTCCTTGGATTTGGACTTGCTCTTCTCCGAGCTCTTCTCGGGCTTCTCGCCTTTCCGGTCTCGGGTGAACAGACTCTTGAAGTCTTTCGCCGTCGGGTTGAGTTTCATGTCCGATTTGCTTTCAGAGTCATATTCAGCGCCTGTAGTACTTCGGGGAAGGTCATCAATGGGGTGGGGTTGGGATGATGGCCGGGTTCCGATGGGACCTAAGAATGATTGTGTGGGTGATCGCGTCATTACCTGAGCTCCAAGACCTCCTTCGGCCTCATCTTCCTGCAAAAGCGATCCTGGGGGATATTGGGCTGAAGGCCGTCGAGATGGATGTTGCGACCAAGGCGCGGAAGGTAATCCGTTGCCCCAGTCCATTACGAGCGGAGAAGGTCGTTGTCCGGTGTTGAACACATCCTGAGATCCAACCGTCGGCGTAGGCCAGCCGAAGCGGGATCGACTATCGAGGGACGGGCGTGGTAAATGCTTGCCTTCCGATGAGATGGTGGAACGAGGTGATGGAGGCTTTCCATCGTCTCCAGCCAAAGGGCTCGACATCCAAGGTTCAGCCTTGGATCGGAAAACGCCAAAAGTACGGTGTCGGGAAGCAGGCTCTTTACCCGATTCCGGTGAGCCTGGGTGAAAGTCGGGTCCGGACGCATCGGAGGAGGATGGGCCATGTCTTGAGGTCGAACTCCGGAACGGCTGCTGAAGGGAGCCCATCCAACTTGAGGACAATGAGCCACGTCGACGTTGCGCTCCAATGGGTTCTGGATTTGTGAGATCTTCTCGTGGCATGGACTGGGTTTGTGAGCCCTTCAACGAACCTAAGGCTGGCCCATCTTCGGATTGATCGCTCGTTTTGGCTCTCGACCGGCTGAAAAGACCCATGAATCTGCTACTACTGGCCGTGCTAGGAAAGTGTCCACTTGCTGCTCGACGGGAACTCGCCGCAGAACGGGTCGATCTACGGTCTGCGTCGAGATTATCCACGGCACCTCCGTACTGTTGCAGGTGGCCCGTGGAATCCTTTGGGCTGGCGAAGACACTGGGAGATCGACTTTTCATGGACCCAGGAGAACTTGGTACGGTCATCATACGATCGTCCACATCAAGGGTTTCCGGGGCCCCGAGACCTGGCAGTGCGCCTAGACCGGGGATCGCTGGATAGTTGCTTCCGCTTCCTGGACGACTTTGGTCTATATCATCCCCAAGGAGACCCGATGGAAGCAGAGCCCCTGCAGCCGGGCTCATGGGAGCCCCTGAGGTGATTTGGTCAATATCGGATGGTGGCAGATGCTCGAGATGCATCGCAACGGAGGGAAGCGATGGACCGGTGATCGGATTGAAGAATGGCGGCGATGCGAATGTAGGAGAGACGCTCGAGATGCTATTGTTGAAGGAATTGTTCCCAAGCGCGAATGGTGCATCGTGATACAAACCATGGCTGCTCGCCCTTCTTGCTCGAGTGCTGTTCCGCCGTGCGATCAACGTGTCCGGGGCCGTAGACGGAATAAATGGCTGCGCGAAGTTTTGAGAGGAGTTGGTCAGCCATTCATATTGCTGTTGCGCCTTGACTCGGTGTTCCTCTGCCGCCCGACTCTTCATCCATGCCGACATGTATAAAGTTTGCAGGCTCTTGACTCGATCAAACCATTGCTGATCCTCCGCTGGATTCGGATCGACCAAAGCCGGTTCTTCCGGCGTCCCGCTGGTCGCATTTTCGGTTCTTTCTTCGTCCAGCGTCTTGATCTGTATCCCGAGTTCGTGAATCCGTTCTTCCAGTTCTTTGGTCGAGGCCTGCTCCTCGGCTTGTCGATCGCGAGATTCTCGAAGGTCGATTTCAACGTTGTTCCGCAGGGCAACAATGTCGCATTTGTCTTTTTCGATGGCATTCAAGATCCGGGTAATTTCCTCTTGCCATCGTTCCGTATCCTCTACTATTTTGGTCCTTTGGCTTTGCTTCTGCTGCAATAATTTCTCCTGGTTCGTCTTCCTCTGTTGGGCTTGAGTGTTTGCATACGACAGGTCCTTGAGTTCTTTCTTGAGGGATTTTGAGCTATCATCTCTTTCTTTGAGCTCCATTCTCAACTGGTCTCGTTCTTCGGACAAATTTTGAATCGTGGTCAAAGACTCCTTCTCCTCTTCGGCAATGCGAAAATCCTCATCCTCCAGTTGCTTTCGGAGTCCCTCGAGTTTTTCCGTCAACGTCTTGATGGTCTCCTCTCCGTCATCGTAGGAAATCTCTTGGTCTTGGTTGAATTCCGGGGCAGCAGGTGACGACCTCCGACCTGCACGTCTGATATGAGAAATGCTGCTACTATGCTCCCTTGTCATCGGTGGAGGAGTGGATGCAACCGGAGCATCGATGATGGGTTTGTATAGTCGGACTACCACCGACTCATCTCCATCTTTGGACCTGGCTTCTCCATCCCCGTCGGCCCCTCCTTCAAAATTATCGTCGAGGGAGTCGGTCGCCGAATACGGTTTCGTGCGAACGCGAATGACGCCGCTTGGGGCGTGGAATCCATTGGAGCTCACAGCCACGACTCGGATTGTGTAGTATTGTAGGGCTTTAAGCCGATGAATGGCAATCGATGGTCCACCTTGCGGAATGTTTCCCACTGTGAAGGAGTTAGCAATAGTAGGTACTGGTGTTATGCGCCTATATAAATCCTCCCAGACAATGTTTTCTGTCGTCCAAGTATCCGCTTGATCGAGTTTCACGCGGTGACAGGTGAATGGCGACATCGACTCATAAAAAACCCATGAGAACAACCCCAAGAACATCGGGACCTTACAATTTACGCCGTTTATGTGAATTTGGTAGGACACCGAACTATTCTTGTGTTCGGGAGGTTTCCAATGCAGAATGACGCCGTCGGATTTGATACCCGAGAGGGCGATATTGGGTGTCTGCGGCACCTCCAGTCCCAGGACGTTCACCAGCTCTTCCGCCGGTTTCAGCAAAACTTGCCATGCACGGTAGGTCAGCCTGATGAAGAAGTCAGCGACCCGAGCTGAGCAAGGCTACGCTCAAGAGTTTCAATACCATGCCAGCGCAAATAGAACCCCAGCCGCTCGAAGATATGAAGCCGAGAAGGCGATAAAATTCGTAGCGGGGACCGCATGCAGCCGGAGCAGAAGGCTATCTTCCGGCCACGTCATACTCATGATAGTCTAATACACGAGAGGCCCAGCATCCCGAAGTCATGGATGAATAGGGAGGAAGCGATACTAATATCAGATCGTATGGTATGTAATGGTTTCAAGAAGCGGGCCACCCGGCGAAGTCTAGATGTCCCGTCGCTTGAAGTTCGGGCCATCAGCCGACTCTCCGACACTCCGATAGTGCTACAGTCTACGGATGATGGACGCGGTTCCTAGCAATACAAGGACAATACTTCAATTGAAACGTCTGTCGCAGAAAGGGCTTTGTCTTGCGTATATCCGGTGCTGTTAATGCTACAATCCAGGTCCCGTCAGCAGTCTTGCGCCTTCAACGTGGCCCGGATATCGGACTGACTTGTGACGTCCGTCGTTCCGTACGCATGACCACCAGTGACCTCAACTTCATCATCGTATAATTACACCAGAGAAGGAATCAAGCGCAGCTTCCTTCCCTCCTACTTTCCTGTTCATTCTTCCCTCGAAACCCATCTTGGATACCTTCGGTTTGACTCGCTAGCGTTCCTGTTCGTGCCTTACTTCTTTGGCCATCCTCACGATTCCCGACCCAGTCCCTCCGTTCCACACTATCCTCGTCATTAGACAGCCCTCGATCACACTCGGAAGGGATACGATATAGTGTGCGAGCGGTTAGGCCATGCAATACGTGCGATCCATCTCCTCTTCCGTCTCGAATACCTGGAATTCAATCAATCCGGCCACGCTCAGCGGCGCAATCGACGTCATCGTCGTTGAGCAAGAAGATGGTGAGACCACGTTCGACAACCGATAGCCAAGTCTGACCGGTATCGCAGGGGAACTCGCATGCTCGCCGTTCCATGTGCGGTTCGGAAAGTTCCAACTCCTCCAACCGCGAGAGAAGAAGGTACATGATAGATTCGGACGATGGGGTGCAGAACTAATGCCGGGCAGGTGGAATTCCGAGTCAATGGTTCGAAACAGGACTATTCCATGAAGCTAGGTGAAGGTGGAGAGGCCTTCTTCGTTTTCGAGACCACCGAAAGCATTCCGGCCGCGTTACAAACCTCTCCGCTAGTTTCGCCCGAGACCAGTCCACAAGCTCTACCAGCAGAGGTAGGAAAAGACAGTCTCCTTGAACCAGAACCCCTCGACCTCGCATCGGATGCGCAGCCAAAACGAAGGTTCCCAAAGGACGGTCCAAGGCCGAAAACTGTCATAGGTTGGTGGATCTGGAGGGGGTTTCGTGGCAGTGCTGATGGAGCGTATAGGAGATCTTGCCTCATTGCAAGAAGACGACGATGGGCTTCGACCCGCGCTATTATCAGACCAATGGCCTCCGCACCTTGGTGCACCCATCGACTTCGGACAATCGATTAGCGACCGTGTAGTACCGTCCAGCGCATCCAGCGTTCCCGCCAGAGCATCCGAACCGCCGGAAGCTCTGTTTCACCACCATGAAGTATCCCTCGATGCAAGTCCAGGGTATTCCGCCACATCCCACCGATCATCCAGTCCCCCGCCTGTATCGCAGTCCGAGGCGATGGCGCGTGCGATTCACCTCTCCAAGCGTCTATGGACCTCCAACATCCCATCACGCATTACCGACACAGGCGATCTCATGTTGGACATGACCGGGTACAAATCATCCGAAGAGCAGATTCTTCGGGCGGAAGTGGTCGCAAGGAAGATTTTGTCCGAAGAGCTGGAAGGGAACTACGATATTGGGGCGCTCATTGGAACGGATGAGACGGGGAATCTTTGGATCTACAGCAGCGAGGAGCGAAAAGAAGCTGCAGAACGTCAGAATCAACCGGAGAACGGAATTTCCCATGCCACAGCAATGGGTTCCACCGACGCAATATCCGATCCAGGATACCACAGCGACGATGGTCACAGCGATGCTGGGACCGCTGTTGGGGACGATACTGGACTGGGCATTCCCGGTGCCGGCCATCGCAGAGATTCCGACAGCGCAGTCGGGCTATCCACTCCTCCAAAATCTCCGATGGGCAATGATCAAGATTCGCCGCCGGAGCCGAGCCGCAACTATGCTAAAACGCTTCGTTTAACCAGCGACCAGCTCAAAGCCCTGAAACTCCGGCAAGGATCCAACTCGATGAGTTTCACCGTCAACAAGGCAACTTGCCAGGCTTGCATCTACTTCTGGCGGCATGATGTGCCAATTGTGATTTCGGATATTGATGGCACAATCACAAAGTGAGTGGCACTGAATCCCATGGTTAGCCATGCTAACGTCCCAGATCTGATGTTCTTGGGCATGTCTTGACCACCATCGGCCGCGATTGGACTCATCTAGGGGTTTCCAAGCTGTACACCGACATTGCAGCCAACGGATACAACCTCATGTATCTGACCTCTCGTTCCGTTGGACAGGCCGATACTACTCGCGCCTATTTGAACGGAATTGTTCAAGAGGGGCACCGCATCCCAAAAGGCCCTGTCATACTGAGTCCAGACCGCACAATCGCGGCACTGCGTCGAGAGGTTTATCTCCGGAAGCCCGAAGTGTTCAAGATGGCATGTCTTCGGGACATCATGAGTTTGTTCAACAAGGCGGGTACCCCTCAACAACAGCCTGGGGTGCACCATCCAACGCCGTTCTATGCTGGTTTTGGGAATCGCCTCACCGACGCTCTTTCATATCGAAGCGTGAACATCCCTTCAACGCGGATCTTCACCATCAACTCGAATTCCGAAGTCAGCCTCGACCTCTTGAGTCTGAATAAGTACAAGACCGGATATGCAAGCATGCGTGAAATTGTTGACCACTTCTTTCCCCCTGTTGGGTTGCTCGTCAAAAGCGGAGGTGAAGACTTCACTGATTTCAATTACTGGAGGAGCAAGCCACTGGAACTCGACGAATTCACGGCTAGCGAGAGTGGTGAGGAACTTGAAGAGGGCGATGAGGACGCTGAAGGAAGCGAAGGAGCAGACGAGTTGGCGGAAGACCTAGAGGCCAGCTATATTTCGAGAGACTCATTTGACCAGGGCGGGAACCTCGATGATTCAATCATGGAGAGTATTGAAGGCGATGTAGGAGATGAAGATGAAGGAATCTTCGAAGAAGCTGACAAGCAATTGAACGGGACACCTGAAGCTTTGCCTGCCACAGAGATAAACTTAGGTAGTGCCACTGATGATACCAGGGAGTCTGGTTCTACCTCTCATGGCAAACCCAAGAAGCTGGGCAATCGATAGTATAATATAATACGATCAAGAACGGCTAGACTCATAGAACGAGTAAGCCCTTTAATATTAATGAAGTTTTGAGTGACTCCGGCTTGGCTCTATCCATCCTGATACAAAGATTGCACTACTGATGAAGGCATTAAGGCCAGGCTAATATAACCCAGTACACTGCAGTCAATCCGACTTGTGTTTTTACGACCGGCCTACAATTCCTCCGTTCGCATCTACATCGTAGTTCAACTCGGGTTGAAGCCAGTCCACTGTTGTATCGGACTTATCGTTTTGAATCGGGACCTCCTGTTGAGGCAATGCCATCAACCCAGAGGGGGGATATATCTGCGTGTAGTCCCAGCTCGCAATATCGAAATTGAGTTCGGAATGTCTAGGATATTCAACCTTAGCTTTCAGTCCTTATCTGTGCTAGGAGAGCTTACACATGTAGCGTGGCTTGACCGGATATCTCCTCTGAATCCCGAAAATTGGGGCCAATCGTGGCAACACTGGGAACTCGGAAGTTCGCGCCGAAATTCTGCGCCCCTGGTACACATCAGTTAACTATGACCGAATTCAGTCGGGTCAGTCGTACCCAATAACTCTCGCTTCCCAGTGCTAAATTGAAGCCTTGAATGAACATCAAAAACGAACTTCGCATGGATGGCCCCAGCCGAGCGGAACCAAATGTGAGACTGCTAAAAGCTCCGTAAGTTTCCCAAAGTACCTTGTGCAAAGTAGCATCTATACCTTCTTATAGCGAGTAATTTCGGCATCCCTCCGACCGAGCGGATGGATTACGGCACTGAGTCCGCACCGCGTGATTAGTCCCAACCGCGCAATATGGCCCATGATGCGTTCGAGTTGAGTATCTGCGATCGCGCCACCAATCGGCAAACTTTAGCAGTCGACAGACCCTTCCAATATAAGTCAATCTCCCTATCTCTCAACACGCTCTCGTGGAGGCTGAATCGAGCTTGAACAATGCTGCAACCGCCCCGTTTCCAGATCTACCGCATGAAGCATGTACATGCTCCGCTGCGATGGACTCGGGTAGTACGTCAGTCTTGCTAAGTTCAGCGCTTCCGCCAGAGCATCTCTACTGCTGTAGCGGCTTTTCAACTTGGCTGATCGACTTAGGGGATATGGGACGGCGAAGGTAGCGGGCGATCCTCTAACTCCTTTAGCATAAATGAGCACACGACTTCTGGATCTATCGCAAGAGCAAGCGCTGAGAGCTGCTCGAAAGTCAACCGCTATTATCCACTGATGACCCTGAATTCCTACCACGTAAGCCATCCTTCATCCCTTCGTCCCCCTCCTCTGTGTGCTGCCTCATCCGTTCGCATGAACAAGTGCACCGCTTCCGGGGCCCATCGTAAGAGCAAGCACTGGGACCTACTCCACAGTAGAGGGCTGCTGTCCATTTGATTATTATATTCCTCCGATCTCTCCTGTATCCATCTTTTTCCTGACGGCCACGACCTTTAACGTCCAGGATATATCATTGTACAAGCACCTCGCAAAATCACTTAGCATAGTGGTAGAACTTTGTACATCGCAACTCGATACTCGTGAATTTGGCGCCGAAGGAGACGGACGCGACTTGGGTCGGCTTTATTCAAACTACTTAAGTAACGTATGTTCGAAAGTCATTTGCTCTTTCATACCCAGAATTCTGACATACATTGAGTCCACATTGTACTGTCCTTTTCCCCAAAGATGCCGCTGCACTTCGAGCATCAGCAACCCCTTAGACCCGGCGTGTTGTATCGCTTCAAGGTCTCATATGGCAGAAATCACGGGCAGAGATATGCCCATCTGGCATTAAGTGCCAGTGTATCCCCCCCGGGCAGCAATAGCACGCGCGACCCTAATACTCGGCTCGTCCAAATACCGTGTGGACAACTCCGCAAGGAGCATATTTAATGGCAGAATAACCACCTGCGAAGCCAGAAACCCCGTCGAAAACCCGATAGGCCCAATATCCGGTATTGCAAGTTTATAATCGTACCAGGTCGAAAATTGCCCCCGGATACCGCCAAACATGCGTTCGACACGGTCTCCAACGGTAAAAAGGAAAGGAATATGAAGGAGGTAAAGCGAGAAGCTAATGCGTCCAAGATATTTTAGCCACTTCGTCAGAAAAAAGGACTGCAGCCATTTAAGCCTAAGGACAGCGTAGACGAGAATTATGGCGCCGGGGGTGTTGTAAAAGCGCCAATACTCGTCCTCAAAGTAATTCCGCGGAGTAAAGACCATCGTCAAGTAATACCAACCGGGCGTATTATAAGAAAGTTCGGGATCGTCGCGTTTATTCGCCGGTTGACATAGAAGCCACCATGACAAAAAGAACAATACGTTCAAGGCCACTTTCACCCACTGCTTCGAGAACTGCTTGAGCAAAGCATGGTCGATGCCATCCAGATCATTTATGGCCAGAACCACACCGCCCATAAAACAAGCCATAGACCATTTTTTAACCGAGAAAAGGATAATACCGGCAACGCTGAAAAGGCTCAATCGATATCGTGGGATAAACGTCGCCACGGCTAGCATAAAATATACTAGCAAGGAGCCTGCGTATTCAACTGGCATTGTCCAAGCCGGCGGGAGGTATAGATACCCTCGCGCAAAGGTCCCCGGAGAGGCGAAAGGATTCATCCATAAAGCGGTCTCCCAGATCCAATTCTGTAATTCCAAAAAAAAACTCTCTTTAGGCACCGGAAATTCCAAGGTTGGAGCGAGTCCAAACGGCAGATGCATAACAAAGACAAACGCAAGCGCGATGCTTAACGCAGGAATATACAGCCGGAAAGGACGCCGAATAAACGCAGAGATCAACCTGCGATGCGCTGCTGCAGTATCTCCATCGCGGATAAGTTGAAGTGGACCCGCGCTAAGCACATAGCCCGAGAGGACGAAAAAGATAGCAACCGCTGCATTGCCACCGTTGAAAAGGCTGCGGATGAAGGGGAAGGTTGCAAATGCCGTTTGGCCGTGATATCCAAATCCTTCATGGAGGTTATCTTCGCGATACCACCAAGTGTGTTGATGGGACAGATAGACCATAAGACAGGCGACACCGCGAAGTCCATCGAGGCAAGCAGAAGACCGTTCCGGCGGAGACCGCCCCGGTAGATTGGCTACCGGTATTCTTGGTTCTTCCCTCATTAAAAGAAGCAAGTTTTGGCTTTCGGAATTTCGGCTTTCTGATTGATATTAGACACCTCTTCAACAATCCATAGTTCAATATTACTCACCTGATGTCCTTCCGAATCGGGACGACCAATATTCAATGTCGTCACGCTCCACGTAGTAGCATCGCCGGCCTCGATATTACCGGTACGTTTTGAGATGGAAATATGTCATTTGCGTCGAGACAGGCGAGAATACTAGTTGTCACAGGAAGTCGGGAGAAGGGAGCAGACATGGATCACCTGCCTAGGCCTGATCTGGGCTACCACAAAGACCCCTGTTTCGGGACAACCCACTTTCTGGACACCCAACAACGTAAATCTACAAACATATCGTTCGTACATTATGCACAATAGCTCAACCACAATCGATTCTATATAGTTATAATTGAAACTGAGAACAAAGCGACTCAAACTCAGTCTGTTGGAGTTCTCGCGATGTCTCCTCTGCATCGTAAATGACTTTTTATTGCGCAGATTTGCGCTCCTCTTCTTTAGCAGCCTCCCGAGCGGCAACGATTTGATCAACCGTCGCGAATCGTTCATTAGGATCTGGGACGACTCTTTTTCGTTTCCTAGCACTTCCGCCTACATCTTCCAACGTCTTTTCAAGCCTGGCAACTTGTGCTTTTAGCGCGGCGATCTCAGCATTCTTCTCTGAAAGCGACTTCGCAATCTTCATTCCCGCTAGACCACCTAAATACGACTAAGAAATGGGGGCGCGGTCTGGAGACCGGCGGGTCCCGAAAAATAGAGATATCCTGAAAGCCTGATCTCTGACACCTTTGAAAGCGTATGCCGCTTCCACAGATCCTCGACAAGCCGCTCCTCCGCATATACCGGGGTGACTGCAAGCATCGCACGCGTTGATTTGGTGATAGGGAATTCAGAATGGGATACACTCTGGGTTACAGATCTTGGGCGTTTACGCAGGCGACCGGATCTGACACAAAACGCAATTTCCAGGTGTTCATAATTTCGGGCAGAAACCCTCCAATATCACGCGATATCAAGAAACGTTAATGCAATCAAACTCGCTGTATCCAAACGATCAAGATATAAACCTTTGAATTGCGGAACGTGTTTAATATTTTGGGGCAGCCAGAGGAACGCTGTTGTCGCCCTTTTCCTCGACCCACGATTCCTCGACGTCCTCGTCAATTTTCTTGATGCCAGCAGCAAGACCTGCAGTGAATAGGGAGTCGACTGCCTCGAGCGTTTTCCCACCTGTTTCCGGGCACAAGAAGTACCTACTAAGAAGTCAGATGTCGTGATGCTTGTGATGGAGGTGGAAGGGGCGTACACAAATATGATAGCAACCACATTCCCGCTCAGAACCCAGGCCCAGAAACTTGGTCCAACATTTGCCAGGCCAATAGGCCCCACGAACACCGTCAGCCATGTCATCAGCCACTCGCCCTGTATCTCGTTAGCATGAATTTTCGGTTTGGCGTGTAGACTCACGCAAGCAGTAAAGGCGCCTCCAATATGCCTATACTCGAGAGGACTGATCTCGCTGCAATAGAGCCATACAGAACCTTGCCATGAGTAGCCAAACACAGCGCAGAAGATGAAGATGATCCCAATTGCTGCCCAAGATATGGATGATGTCTGTTCCATGAGCTGTAACGTCATGAAAATGGTCATGAGTACGGTCAGTGCCATCGCGCCGTAAAGCAGCACCGACCGCCTTCCCACACGCTCGATGGTGAAGTACAATGGCACGCACCCCAAAGCAAAGCAAATGTTGAGAACGCCCGCAAGCATTGAGATAAGCGTCGGGTCAGCCCCTACCCGCTGAAGAATAATTGTGCCTGCATGATATTAGCCATTGTTGTGCCACTCAAGGGCACTACAAACTGTAATAAGCGACCAAGCTACTTCCCATCCACTCTCGAATCATAGGCAACCAAAAGCAAATACAGAGTCTCCTGACAATCTTGATTGGGGTGCGATCAATGATCCCGCTAGTCAAGAATTGGCTCCAGTGCAAACTATGCGCTGCCTCCAGTTCCTGATCGATAACAGCAAAGATCTCCCGCTTTGTCTGCTGAACCTTCTCGGACTCGATAGGCGCATCATTCAGTTGTGCCAAAATTGCATCGCCTTCTTCAATCCTGTCCTTGGCATAAAGAATCCTAGGCGTGTCTGGTAGGAAGTACATACAACCACCAGATATGATAGCAAAGACACATTGGAGGATAATCGGAATCCGCCATGATGCCTGATTTTGCATTTGGATAAAGCCATAGTCGACCCAGTATGCTAGCGGCACACCAGAAATGAGGAGGATGGCATTGAAGGCATTGGCGGGACCTCGGTCACCGATCTCACTGCCCGTCTCAGCGAGGTAAGTCGGGACCGCTGATGAAATACAGCCAATGCTAAACCCAGTTATCAGTCTCCCGACAACCAGCTGTGCAATGCTGTACGATGACGCCTGAATTATAGAACCAAAGATCGCGGTAACATTCCCTAGGATGATGGTGCCACGGCGACCAATGCGGAAAGTGAAGAATGAGATCGCAAGAGCAGTAACGCAGGCTGCTAGGCTATATGAAGAGGTAATCATTGGAATGGTGTATTTCCCAGTTGGGTTCCCAATGGCGTCGAGGAAAGGTTGATGTAAGAGGACCCCGCCAAGGACTCCCGCGTCGTAGCCATACATCATGAACGCTGTACCGCAGACCACCTTGATAAGCCAGTACAGCTTCTTACCGCGGAGGTTCTTGAAAGGTGAATGAAAGAGGGCCATGATGGCGGTTTATGATCTAATAAAGAGCGCTCCGGCAACAGAAAGGAGTTTGAGAGGAAAAAGAAGATGAGATAAAAAAAGAAGATGAGATAAAAAAAGCAAATTCACACGGGCAGAGCAGAAATACCTTTTCTATACGAGTACCTTTATAGCGACTTCTATATATCCGATCAGCTTCAGCGTTGGTCGGTACGTACCCTCGGCTATCTCCAAACGTCCCGGAAGATCTGCACCAAATGTCACGGCACGCCCTGCGGAACCAGGATTAATGGCTGGTGAGATTTGTCACATTCGCGGGGGTGATGTTACGGCACGGTAAGCTGGATGCACACAACATACACATAGCCAAAGATATTCTAGATCGAGATAAAGAGTAAAGGTATCTATGCCCACTATGACAGAGGGATCTTGATGAGGTTCCATCTCGACGCTACTAGGCTTGATTAGGCTTAGGCTCTCTGCCTATCCCTTACTAGGTTTTCATGCCACTGGCATGGCCGCGCTAGCACCACCCCATTAAGCACTTAGCCTAGTTTGGAAGAATTACGAGTTCTTACTTATCAAGATGTCACATTTGATAACTAAATGTCGCAGACCAAGGTTTCATCTAAGGGAGCTCGAGGCTACAAACTGCATTAATAAACTTGCCACGAATCTCATATATCTGGAGGGCCAGGGGACCAGGCATTGACATAAGAACACGCAACTTGAACGCAACTTTCAGATACCTAGAACACAGAACAATACAACAACTTCGCTGCTGGAACAACAGCACCTCACTCCCAACCATTTTACTGTACTAACTACTAGTTAACTGAGTTAACTAGTTAACAGTAACTTACTAAGTTAACTAGTTAGTTAACTTAATAACTAACTAACTAAGCCAAAAGTCTGCGCACAGACCCCATTCTCAGCTGAATATCTCTACACCCACCCCTTACTTTGACAATCAATAACTTTACCAAAATGAGGTCTTTTGGCACAAAAATAAGTGGTAATCGAGGGCTAATAAGGAGTTATCGGCCGCTCAAAGAGTTGGGATTTTTCAGGCTGCTGAAGATGGGAAACCAAAGACTGAAATCGCGCGGAACTTTCGCGTCTCTAGAAGCGCGGTGTATGGGACTCTAGAGAGGTGGGAAGAACATCAAACCACCGTATCTTTACCCCGTGAAGGGTGTCCCTATAAGCTATCACGCCCTGACGAACGGCATATCGTTCAAATCGCGCGTCGATTTCCTAAAATAGAGTATAGAGAGCTCCTCGCAGGTATTTCGTACCTCCGCATTTCTAGGAAGACTATCTACCGAACTCTTAAGAAATATCACCTTATGATATGGCGAGCGAAGAAGAGGCCTTACCTGAAGCCCCACCACGCAAGAGACCGCCTCCGATTTGCCCACGAATTCCTTGAATTCGACTTCTCCCGGACCCACTCCACGGACGAGTACTCGTATGAGAAGGGGGCGGGCGGTAAGCAGGTATGGGTATGGCGACTGTACCACGAGGCATATGATCCGCAAATGGTAGAGCCTAAGACCTCTGGCAAGGCCATTTCACAGATGATATGGGGCTCAATCTCGCGTGATGGGAGGTTAGACCTGGTGATCATAGACCGCGACGAAACCTCCGCAAGACAGGGCTATTCCGCGAAATCCTACATCGCTACGTTAGAGGAGGGACTTCACCCTACGTACGAACCCGGGGATGTTGTTATCCAGGATAACGCAAGGATCTATACGGCTAAAATCACCCAAGAATGGCTGGAGACGCACGGCATTTGGGTCATCGATTGGCCGGCCAATTCCCCAGACATCAACCCCATCGAGCACATATGGCATCTGTTGAAATCAAAGGTCCTAGAGCTGTACCCTGAATTGAAGACGATGGGCGCCTCGGAGGAGGCACGGGAGGCCATGAATGCGGCGTTAAAGGAGGCGTGGTGGGCGATCCCTCAGGAGACGATCCGAGAGCTGATCGACTCAATTCCGCGACGTCTACGGGCGGTAATCAAGGAAAAAGGGTGGCATACGAAATATTAGATATTTACCAATTAAGAAATCAAAAAAGTAGACTGAATTTGCATTTGTATGTGTTTTGCAGCGTATCTCAAGATACGGTGTATAGCGATTAGATTTGGTGATTTTCGGGGGTGTGTGCAGACATTTGTCTACTTAGTGTAGCAAAAGTGGAAGACCCTCAAATCATCGGTCGTCAGTATCCAACCGAGATATATCAGGGCCGAGTGAAGTCTTATAAAGGGCTATTTCTATCCTCCTATTCGCAGTGTCCCTTTCTAACCGTATTCCTATCTCTTTACTATTCATCCCATTCAGTAAGAAGAATCGAGTTCCTTTTTAGTCGTTCTTTTTTATAACTAACCAAGTTCAATCCTTCTCTTTCCGAACTTCGTCCCTTCGTTGGGATTGTCATCCTCTACCATGAAGGCCTCTCAAACTATCGTCCCCATTGCTATGGGCCTCTTCCCAGCCCTCTCTCATGCCCAGGCCGTCTGGGGCTGGCAAATGGAGAACGTCCCCAAGGATGGTATCAAGGAAATTACCTTCCCTATGGACACCACCGGCACGGAACATATGGGGTTTTGCTACTACGCCAACCAGTTCCTCTTCGTCGGACACAGGGACGTCGGCTACGCTGGCCTGCAGCCCGCGTACGACGTCAACGGCACTAGCCGCATCCGCGGTGTCATATCGGCATGCCTTGGGAATCTGGCGGCTGTGTCGGGACATCCAACTAGAAGGCCGAGCGTACCGAGGAAGATGATGGCGTTCGCATGACTACCGGCTGGTTATCGTTGACCGAATATACCCGGACTTTGGGGGCTTAATAATTGGATGTTGGAAGGATTACAGGGTTCTTGGAAATCTGCAAACACCCTGTGGGATGGTCTGGTCGAAATATTTGTGCATATGCCTGGAGGAACGAAGTGCCTGGAGGAACTCTAAGGTTTATGCCGCCGTTTGCCAGGAGGAACAAGAGATGCGAACCCGCAAGCGGGTGTCGCTGAAAGAGAACCTGGAGGAACGAAGCTAGAGGTTGCAGTTTTTGGAAGTCCTACCCAAAAAAAGTAGTCGAATTATATTCACAGAAGCATTACAAAGGTATTGAATTTTACTACGACATACATCCTTAAGCGCTCGAGTTCATTCACCATATTCTACGAAGTCTTGTCACGATTAAAGGATCCAGCTCACAACAACATGAGTCCGACTCTATAAGCCCGAAGTGCTGCGGGCCTTCTACAAGATGATCCCGACTTCTTTCCCTTACAGTTCACATCTCTCAATCCTGACGAGCAGATGGTTATCTTGCGCGGTATTCGTGAGAACCTTCTCTGCCTAAAGGAAGTGAAAAATAAGTGGAATATCTTATGCAGAACAATGCCAGCAATTAATCGTCAAATTCAAAGTGACATCTCTCTGTTCATTCCGTGCACTTGTGGGGATGCCGAGGATGCTGAACTCCCAGAGTATAAAGAGGCTACAAAATTCCGAGGTCCTTAGGAGTGGGGTGGCAATATGGCTACTGCGATTAGGTTAACGGCTGCTTTTGCTCAAGTGACAGTGTTATGGTCTAGAAGGGACAAGGCCGCTTAGTATATTCATTTCATTGTGTAAGCTTGGAAACATTGGGCGTCCATTTCATCCAATTCGGTCAGTTTAATATTCTATTTCACGGCACACCGATAATGCGGTGGAAACTCGAGGCCGTGTAGGAGTAAATAACCTATCAGCGGAGAATTAATGTTTTGTGCGGTTTTCTCATAGTCCAGTATCGCAGCTCTCTGCGTCGTCATTGGGGCTCTCTACATCGGCCTTGCAATACTAAGAGCCAGCAAGGACTTCACGCCAGGGAACATAATCTGTTCCCTTTAGACTCTAGTAGACGAGAGGAAGATAGCCAACACGGCAAATGTAAGATTGGCCATATTAGCCATGGTTGTCCCATTCTCGCCAGAGTAGGCTTCCAAAGTGTTGTCCCATCCGACCACGGATAGATAATAAGGCGCCTCTACCTTGTCAGCAAATGACAACCCCTTTAATCGCTCATTCTCTTCTCGAGTTTGACATCGGTACCCGTTCCACTGTACAACATATGTCCGACGTCCATTCTTCCTGACTTCCCCATCATTGAAAGTCCTTGGGCTGCCTCTGCCGGATGTGACGTGGGTAGAAGATAAGTCTGATACCGTATATAGGAGCTCCAGTCCCTTGCTTTCCGGCCCCCAGCAACGGGGCACTCATGGCTCGTGTTTGATATTTCTGTCGTGGCGTCATTCTCGCAGACGTGCTAGCATAGGCATGGTACGGAAGCGTCTGCTGGCTTGGATTTGGTGCGGGAAAGTGCATCGATGTAACGAAGGGTTCGTCACATACGAATAGCCGGGCTGTGGGGGGGGCATCGAGAAACCTATAGTCCGCAGTTCAGACGGAAACCAGGACCATTGGCAAGAACGGGTGAGGATGGCATCAGGGTGTGGTTGGTACCGCTAAGGGCGATCAACGGAGTGAGACGCGCCCGAAAACGAAGAGATACGGGGAGAATTGGTAAGGTTGGAAGGGGTATTTGGTTTGTAGGATAGGGCGTGGTGCGTGCACAAAGGCCTCGGTTGGGGTATGAGTAGCTAGGGGCCTGCGCTAGTCGGTGTCGAAGAAGGTATAGAACGCTGAGATGTAGTGGGAGAGGGCCGAGGGTGGATGTTGGGCGGGATTTGGTCGGTAGGTGTGTGGGTGCTCGGAGTGAGCATTCTATCCGTCAGGATAATATCTGGTGCGTATGAGCAGGGCAGAAGTAGGAGCAAGTCCGCCAGGATGGATGAACGGAGTTCCCGGGGAAAATTCTTTATGAGCATGATGTATGTACGCGCGATCAAAATGGATTGGAAATTCTTGTAGAAGCGGAGGACGCTTCTTGAGTAGGGAAAGGAATGCTCAAAAACGCTTCTTGAGCATTCCTTTCCAAAAAGCAAGACAACATACTTCAACTTCAGTCAAACCAGTGCGACCACAGATTTCGTTGCTGGCGGAATTTGCAAGATACTATAATGAGGAGGTCCTGATCGAAGAAGAACTCACCTCCATGGTCTTGTAACGCTGCTATAGCGTGGTTCAAACAGCTTCTCATCGCAAAAATTTCTTGCTCGAGTGTTTCATTCTTTCGCCAAGCCTACATATGTGTGCTACTGCGATCGTCGCAGCTCGTTAGCTCGGCGATATGGCGCTCCAAACACTTAATGTGGTACATGGGTAAGTAAGGCAGTCAGGCTGATTGTGACTCTCATGAAAAACATTCGGATTATTTGCTAACCATTGATTCTTCACTTGAGGCCCACAGGGCGAAACGGTGAATTTGAGGATATGCCAGTACGATTGGGCGATAAATTACACTAGTATTCAGATATTGAAAATACAACGCGTTCGCCAATAAGAGCTCCTGAAAAATGATAATACAGCTGTGCCGATATATTGGGCAAATGTCAGTCAGTGTTTGCCTTAACGCCGTGCGCCTCAACATCAACTTAATTGGAAAGGGTCAAAGGGATATCTAGATGTATATCCGGGTGTGACGTAGGAACAATTCCAATTTCCAAGGGCGCCCTAAAACCCCAGTGTTGGCAGAAGAGATAACACAGTCTTACACAACGGTACAGCTAGATTGAGGAAAGGTTTCGGATCATCAGGAAAAGACGCAATCAGCTTCAACCCAGCGTCTATCACCAGGTCTAGACCGCTCCCAACCAAGTTCGAACCCATGAGTCCCGAAAGTCCCGAAAGCTGCGAGCTGTTGCCGAGTAATGATCCGAGAGACCCCTCTAGTGCCTGTTTGAGGATCGTCTTCGCATCTCGAGTTGCGGTCAGGTCAATGGTCTGAAATGCTTTCTCCCAGTAGGGAAGATGTTGACCGTTGTAGACCACATTTTTCCCTCGGACCCCAGCCACGACGAGTCCTTGACGGAGGTAGGGATATTCTATCCTCAGTAATTCTTCGATATGTTGATTCGCAACATCCAGGAACGCTTGGCCTTCAATGGCGTAAGTATGGTTCCCCGGCTGTAACGTCAATGCGTTTATCGTGGCATTGCCGACAACGATGTTGCCAACGACGGCCTCGCCAGTGATATTCCCCTGTGCAGGATCGTTAGCAAAAGCCGTTGAATTGGCTTGTTTTATCTACAAATACGCTAGGAGTAGTCATACAAGGTCAATCGTAGCAGGAGCAGGATTCGGGGCAAGCAATTCCACTTCAATGTTGTTTCCCGCCTCGTCCGGTCGTGTCAGTGCTACGGAGTTAATCAAAAAGTCCGTGAAGTTGTGGAAACCTTCGTTCTGTGTCAGGTGGAGAAGTCCTGTCAGAGGTTCAATATCACTGACCGGGAAAGCCTGCAACTTTGTCAATGTTGACCTTAGCACTTAGACCAGCAACTTTGACAGTCGTCGATGCTGTGCCCCTAATAGTAAAGGTTTTGTTATACGCCACAATGTTGACGAACCGCGCAAACTCCCGGACGTCGCCCAATGTTAAAGTCTGGTTCCGGAGTTCTAAGTGATCTCCTGGGCTGAATTTCAATGCGGGGATGTTGACCATTGCGAATGGAGGGGCATCCGGTTGGGACACTCTGTCCCCGACGTAGAAAGAGGCATTCATGCCGGACAATGACGGATAGACCGCACCAGGGACGCGGACAGTGGACCAGAGATCGAAATGGATTGAATCATTTGTTGGATTTGTCATGCTTGCGTTGACGCCGGTGATTGGTACCTCCATTTGATCCACCATATACTGTGCAAATGGAGGAAGCGCGTAGAAGATCCTGGACAAGATATCAGCGTACGGGGTACAAGTTGGCTGACTGCATGAGCAGTGATAGGTTCAATCGGTTACTCACAGAATGGGAATGGCGATTGCTAAGGCAATAATGCCCGCAACACTGTACAAAAACCAATGCCGGACGATGCTCTTCGCCAGTATTCCCCTAGTTACCGTGAGAGTGATGCATACGATGAGTACTCTCCGCCTTACTTTGCCTTGATATCCACCGTGTCATCATATGATTCCGTTTTTGCTTCTGTAGGGTTGATTCCGACCCTATACAGACTATCAAATTGTTGCTCTTTGGCCTGGATTCTTTACTTACCCCCGAATTCGCTTGTTTGCAACTGCGAAGATATCAAGGAGGACCCGAACAGCACCCTTTCAGCGGTGTTAATGCAAGCCTCCTCTTTACCAATAATGGGAGGAGTGCCAGGAGAAACATACAAAGAACGCAGACCCGAGCCAGGCAAACGAGGTGAGAAAGCAGAACGTCGTTGCTGCAGTATATGACGGACATCTCCCTGTGACCTTCGAAAATCCATAGCAGTCTGTTTGTACAAACTGAACAAGGATTGCATGTCAGAACGATCAGATTAACTGAAGTACCGAAGAACACTTACGAGCTCGAGCAGCATAAAACCGGCACAGATAGCCCACATTACCCCAAAGAAGCCATCGTATACAAAATGAGGGTAAGGGGGAATTAATGCGCCGACAAGAGTTATTGCAGAACAGACTTCGATGAATATAAGGAAATCCTCTGCATGTCCCAGGTCATGAATAAATGATGCAACGAGACCCAGGACTATGATGGACCCGGCCAAAGCACCCAGCCGTGCAATGAAAGAAACGGCTTTCAGAAACATGCTGAGCAGGAGGACAGTACCTCAGCAGCTTGGGTTCGATACTGGGTAGAAGATGAAAGTCAATGCTTGGGACCCTGAAATCTGAAGAGTCATGGACAGATACCACGATCAAACACGTACACGAACAAACCGTCTGGTATTTTGGGGAGAGCGGTGGAATACATATACCTGCGAGTTTGGCACCAACTCTTGTAGTGCCACTTTTCAAAGAGACGTCTCGCTGCACAATAGTGACAATAGCGTCGGTCCCAGACAGTCGAATGGGCTTGTGGATGCAAGGAGGTATCCATGTCTCAATAGTCCAGCCGGATTGGCTCGCATGGTGCCTCACCTTGTTAGTCAATAATGCCACCTGATATGTCGAAGACGTTCATGAAGTAGAAATCGCGAAATGAACAAATAGCATGATGCTTTGTTGTAAGTTTAACAATATCGCTGTCCGGAGCCAAGTGGTCCACCTCCGTTGCAGTGCGCCATTGTGGGGAAAGCTTGTGGAGGAACAGGGGCGTCTCGGATGATTTTGGTTCCGACTGTTCCCCATCCCAATTCCCATGGAATCGGCAACGGCAGGACTCGCTTTGATCCGAACAAACAACTTTCGAATCCAAAAACGGCATCCATCGATTATACAATCGATGAAGCACATGCTGATTCCTCTCATATCCAACCCCGCGATTCCAAGAACATAGCTCGCAAGGAAAGATCGTCGTCCGGACCATTCTTGTTGCATCCTTCCACCTTCTCGAACAAAGGTCGCCTTCCTACACCATGGGTCACGCTGCGAAGAACCCACGCCCGTGGTCTTTGCTTCTGATCAGCATGCACATAACGCTCGTGATCATCGGATGCTGTGTATCCAAACCCGAAGGCCAAATATCAATCCTCCACATCGTGACGCTTCGACATCAGCTTTTGGCATGTTCCCACGGATGTCCACGATCCGCAAAGTTGGGGGAAGTCTGTAAGGGCTGCGCGAGCAAGTTCAAAGCGGAATTCACGGTATTTCTCGCGATCCGAGACAGCGTCGATGGTTTGTAGCCATCCATCATAAGATCCGTCTCAGGGTAAATGTGAGCAGGTTGCTCAGTGGATCCAGCATAGAGGTCCAGATCCTAATATAAGGAAAAGCATCGGACGGGACTTGAACGATCCCCTCGACTCCTTGGCCTGGGTGCACTAGGACGGAAAGCCTTCCTCAAGCATCGACATCAAATCCTGGGGCGTACTGCTTGATATAGCAATGAAGATTTTCCGAGCACTCGAGACTGAGCTGCAAGAATCCATGGAGAAATGGCAATCTCTCAACGGCAGTCTTCCTTTTGTGTTCAATCCCAGAATCGGGATCTGACTGACATCCAAACAATTACAATAGAGAGGTCATTAGCCATGTCACTAGAGGATACACTCAGAGCGGGCGTCCGACATCATGATGAAAGTTCATAAATGATAACACAACCTCGATGAAATGGCATGGGAGATACAGACCCAGTCCCTGTCCCAAGTATGGTAGACTTCGGCGGTTGACCGGTCGGCGCCTTTAGTGTATTAACAATGTGTTAGTGAGTCTGGTTAACACGGCCACCTACGAAGCCGTGCTAAAAGACCAGCTATATGAAATGAGCTAGAAGCCATAGCACGACATACTAGAGACTTAAAATGACATCTCAGAAGAGGGGATGAATACAGGCAAGACCTGGGAAGAGAAGACCTCAGGATAGAACATGAACGTGCTTCAGGAAAGAGTGTGGTGCATCGTTGAAGGTAGCCTTGCAAGAGCGAGAGAGAGAGATTCTGTCGGAAATCAGCGGTCTACTTAGTCATCCCATTCTGTACATTACGTAAGCCTGGGTATATCTACCCTGCGATGTATCCTACCTTTACACAATACAAGCATCTCACTGCCTCTGAACAGGTATCCTATTGTTTCCGTGGTTTGCTCTGTAAACACCAGAACAGATAAACGCCTCGCACACCTTAGATAGATTCCTCCTTCATAGCAACAATTCAATGTTTGCCTCACGATTGGAGATTCCCGACAGTGAGACTCTTACACTTTGTTGCTATCTTCTCTATGAGTGTTTACTTATTCGGAATATATTGATTGATTGAGAATCATTGAAATCAGCAGTTGAGCACTCTGATTAGTCACGCTGTGACTAGGACCCATCGAAAGAAAGACCCATAAAGAACCGGAATTACCGAACCGACAAATCAAGATGTCAGAACCCCATCGATCCTTGTCAGCGTACAGATCGGATGAACACGAGTCGGAATTCGAGCCGCAGGCTCAGCAAGAGATACAAGATGTGGCCGACACTCCGCAGATGAAACACGCGGGAGTATACCCAGAAGACAGGCGGTAAGAGATCCGTCAAGGGAAAAAGCCTATTGAAGTAGGCACTGAGAGAAAGATCCTGAAGTTGGATCCGAAGAACCACTACTACCTTCGATTTGAAGAATCCGTAGTCCTCGATGCTAGAGGTGCGCCAACGAAGGCAGCTTCCGTAGGACTTCGAATCTTCCTTCGAAATCCTTATGGAGGAGACGCCGTTACTAGGCCGGAGCGCCTTGCGACCTTTTACACCGGCGATGCTTTCTTGCGTCACGTTCAAGATGACCCAAAGGGATAGTTTACCCTCGTTCTTCGTGCGGTGAAGAACTACCAAGACGAGCAGGAAACTATCACCGAATTATTAACACTAGTACGAGAAATGCGTGCGACGCCGACCAAGAAAATGATAAAGCCTACTAATGCTTTCCCTGTTAAAAGAGAGGAGAAGTATATGGCGATGAATGACAAACTAATCCGTATGCGAGCTTAGAGAGATAAGTATAAGTCTTAGCAGAAAGACCTCTAAGCCGAGATCGCAGAACTTAAAAACAGGGTTAAAAACCTTAAGACCGAAAAGAGCCAGGCAGACCCTATAGAACGACGATATACTGGCTTCTACGAATCTGAAGAGGAAGATCCCCTAGAGCTGCCTCCACTGAGGCCCCGAGCTCTAGTATCCTCCCCGGCAGTCGTCGAGTCTCGTTACACGACTCCTGGCACCAATGCCTCGATGTCTATTTCTACCAAGAAGCGTGCTGTAAAGCCTTTTTAATTCAAAGGCACCGATATAGACAAGAAGCTATTTGACAACTGAAAGTTCATGGTTAACCATTGGTTCCGCCTCGACAGTCACCTATATAC